CCAGAAAGTGTCTTTGGCAGGGATGTTGCGTCATGAGGATATATACCATTAATTGGAGTGAATACAGGCGACTTATTGCCAGAATCAACTGCTGGAGATGAGGTATCCTTGGAAGTTGGCGTAGCTGACTGATTTTGCTGTTGCTCGCCGTTCGTCTTTTGCTTTGATTGTTGCGAAACAATCTTGACCTTCTTCCCTTTAAGGGCAAGCTTCTCACGAAGTGAAAGAAACTGACTAGGTCTACCGATAATGGAATTAGAGCCACCAGGAGGTGGAGGTGATTTAGACGAGGATGGAGATCGTAACTTGGGCATTGTTTGAGCAGGGCGTGAAGGAATTCGTGTATTTGGTGCTTTCTTTGGTGGTCGCCCTCTTCGCTTCTTGGCAATCACTGGTCCCTCAATAGATGTATGGATAGAGGATTCTGCCAATGGTGCTTTGCGGGTTTTTGCTGCTGTGCCCTTATTATCAGGATCTTCGGCACCATTATCAATTTTCTGATCTTCATCTTCAGACATCTCCGGGCTAACTGGACTGACGACATTATCCGCATCATTACCGAAGAGACTACCATCACTGATCTCACGGCCATAGTCGTTAGTAGCTTCCTCGGATCCGTTGTCTGACATATTAATGCGTGATTGTGGCTCTCTTTGCACTGTGCTTTGGCGGGTTCTCCGTGTCTTCCTAGGTCGGTCCTCAAAAGGATCATCACTCTCTGCTTCGGCTCCACTTCCATCGCCTGAAGCACCAGTGACAGCTTGCCGAGTAGTCCTCGACTTCCTTTCAAATGGCGCACTATGACGCGAGCTTCTGGTTCTCGTTGCTGGTAACTCAGAAGGATACTCTTCCTCATCATTTGCGCCTTCGTTTCTTGAAAGCCAAGTAGACTTCCGAGAAGCTTTAACCGACGCAGATTGCTTTGACGGGCCAGATGACGCAGCTATTTTAGATGCTGTGCTCGGGCGACCACGCTTTTTCTTACCATTAGATGCGGGTGTACTGCCAGCACTGTTTGTTGTCTGACCTTTAATTATATAACCAAAAGCCTTTGCGGCGAGATCGACATCATCATTTTCCTGACCAACTGTGCGCGCTAAGCTCTGTCGCGAGGTCGAATGTGGTTCTGACTCTTCTTCCGAACTTAACAAATTCTCTACATCTGCTAATGAAGGCTCGGTGTAATCTTGGCGTTTATTAACGCGCGACGGACGATGCGCAGATCGAGAAATACTCTCTTGTTTTATGTCTGTAACGATTGTATTCCTAGGTTTAACTTTCCTTTGACGCTTGGAAGTGAAGAATTCCACATCCTCGTCATCATCCTCTGGAATGCCTTCGGAATTGAGTCGTTTTCTCTTTTTTGCTACATTGCGGAACTGATCAAGTGAAGCTAAAAGATCTGCAGGATTCACGGTTACCATTTCATTTGGCTCCGAGTCAGATTTTGGAGAATCGTAGAGGATGCCGTCTATGCCAATTTCTGTCGGGTAGTAATCTTCACCCATCATGCTAGCTGGTTCAGGTGTTTGAGGTTTGGGTGGCGCTGCTTCTGTTGAAACCATAGGTGCTACTGTTGCTAAAAGTCTTGATGGACATTGCGCTGATTCACTAGGATCATGCATTTCTGCATGATAATTATCGTCTAGATCATGGTGTGCGTCAAGAGCTCCTAATTGCTGATGAAGCTGCTCCTCAATACTATATTCAGGAGCCTCCTGAGTCTGATCCCAAGCTGAATGAAATCCATTAGTCTGAGTGTGAGGTGATTGATTTGTGTCATCACGAAGTGAAGGATCAATATCTGCCATGGTGTTAAAATGGTTATCCTCTGGGTCGTCCGCACGAAAGAAAGCCTCCTCCCCAAATCCAAGATAACTATTGTCAATAGTAGGCTCTTGTGCTTTGTCCCTCTCAGCCTTTTCTCTCAATCTCCGCATTCTTCCCGTTTCTTGAGGATCTGGTTGATTTTCATCTTCGTGTCTCAACCAGGGAAGATTTGTTTTCGCAAAGTCAACTAGACTCTCAATGCTCCTGTAATCGGCTACCTTCTTGGTATCGTGTCCAAGAAGTGTTCCTTTGGGAGTGTATGGTGTTTGCTTCGAATCTCTTCGACATCGTGCGCATGAGCACATCTTCAGACATTTTGGACATTCCCAGTTTTCCATCTCCATTACCGTTTGAGGCATCAAGTCAAACGCTCTCCACAAGGTTCCATAGCAATAGGATGAGGAGCAGGTAGAGCAGCGCGCTGATTGCCAATTCCAGTGGTGATGGCAGCAGATATGGCAACTGCTTGTCTTGTTTTTCGTGGCCTGGATTCTACCTCTTCTAGAGGGCTTTCTGTACGGTTTCTTCAAACGCCCTTCATCATCAACTTCTGGCTCAACGTCTGATTCGCCGTCTAATGGTTCAATTACATCTGGCTTGGTGATATCTTTCCATGGTCGGATGGCAAGTTGTTCTTGACATATCTGAGCAACACTTTTTTTGCCTGTTTTGTCTCTCTCTTCTTCCAACGATTTAGGTGAATTTTCATGAGGATCTTCGAAGCTTAATACCACTTTACGCCATAATTCATAGTTCTCTCTGAGTTCAGCTTCTTTCCATTGCTCTACCCACTCCAAACAAGAAATGCAAGCACAGGAGCGACCCATGGCGTAACACTCCATGCAAACGTCGTACGTATCTTCCTCCTCTCCAGTATCAGCGGTCAGGATACATGATTTGCATGTCAAGAAGCGGTTGAAGATATTGCATCTACAGTATGAGCAAGTAACGTTCGAGTCGTATGGTAGGTATTCTACGTTCCTTTCGGGGCGCGAGCGAGAGAATAGCTCACTGATTAGCACTTCTGTATAGAGTTTGAATAGGCGTTTGAAATCTTCCATGACCTGCCGTATTCGACTTCCAGGTCTCATCCACATTTTTGGTTCAACTGTATCTCGTGAAAGTAAGCGATAGTACTTATCTAGGGTATAGTAAATGATGGCCTTGTTCTTGTATTGCTCATCTCGACAAACAAGGCGAGCACGTGGAAGTGCCTCGTGAATGGCAAGCTCAAGTGTATCGACGGTTGTTCGATTCCATGCAGCTTTCATCGTTCGTGTTCCGCGATTCCAAACCTGGTGGGGAGCAAGAGGTGGAATCAAAATAAGGTCTCCGACCCTTTGCTCCGTCACCCAAACATTAAATGGGGCTTTTCTCCAGGCATTCAGTTGTGCAAAATGTTTCTCGACTTCTATATCATGACCAAGTTTAGAGATGAACCATTCCGATACCATTTCTCTTTCTTTAGATTCGGTCATGAACCAGATTGAGCTCCCAGGGATTTCTCCATCATTACCACCCGAAGTTTCAACCATAAGATTGTGTCCCAAACTTGCGCACATTTCTCTGTGAGCGGGAGTATAAGTACCTTCGTGTCCAATATAACACATCATATTCAAGGCTCGCATATCCTTTGGAAGACTGCTCATCAGGTCGCCTGCGGGCGCAACCCCTTTTCCAAATCTCATCTGGCCAAATTCGTTGGGCTCGCGGATTGCTCCATCACCACCAGTGCGCGACTCAATACAATCGTTTAGGTAGAAAAAAGCTTCAGGCAAAACGTCTTTCAAATTCTCTTCCCATTCAGTTGGACAGTCAATATCTTTTAAATACAGTCGTTGTCTTTTCGGGTCTCGGTAGGTTTGAGGGGTAAATTGATTCGCTAATTGGCCCATCGAACGCAGGTAATGTCCCATAGTCATTTGAAGATCAATGCCACTGGTAATATCTCGAACCTTTTGCACTAAAAGTAAAGTTAAGGTCAGGAATCGTGCTATCAACAAGAGGACCAGATCATTCACCTTCTTTACCGTAATTTTCCTCTAACCATTTTGCAGAAAATAACCAAGGTGGAATATATGAACCCCAACCTTCCAAAACCAGGGGTCGACCTTCTTGAATAACATAAACATACACTAATTGCTCCAGACTCTGTACAGTGTGTGCTTCCAAATCGGCCTGAGGGAGTCTGCGAACATGATCGAAGCTTGGATTATCATTCACCAGGGCGTCGAGATCGATGTTAGGTGAAAGAGGCACAAATTGTGCTCTTGGATGTTGCTGCGAAGGCATTGCGACAAGCTGGGTTAAAACCTCAATGTACGTCTTAAAGACTACAAGATAGGCCTTACTATCGACGTAGCTAGAGTTGCATAGTAGAATTATTTGGATTTGCGGGATGTGGAATATGCGGGGATGGTAGAAGCTAAAATGTGATGGATGCCAAAGTCGAGGCTGGTCGCGTTTGTATCAATAATCAGATGTCGCAAGCTTGAGAATGGAGGAAGTAGCTTTGATAATGACTGAAAATCGCGGTACAGATTTTGTGTGAAGTAGGAAGCAATGTCTCGAGATGCCCCAAGAAGGATAGTGAAAGGTTTGTTTGTAAATTCCGTGAGAGTGGTTGTGAATTAAATTGATAAGTACCATACTGACTGTAGTTATCGCGATCTGAAATTTACGAGGGAGTTCCTTGTAGACGCGAGGCGAGTGCTTTTTCCAATTCCCTGCACAGTAAAGCAACGCGCTACTGGGCCATTCCACCATTTTCCGGGCGCCTTACCACCTAGCCTAAATCCTTGTCAATAATCTATCATTTTATTAGTCAGAATTTTCTGGAGAAGAAAGACAAAAAAGAGGATGGGGATGAATTGAAGATCAGATATTAGGAATTGATATTGACTGTGCGAAGTAAGTTTATCCATTCATTTGCAAATAAAGTAAAAGCCCTTTAATTCTACAGCAATGAAGTTCTGTCATGTTGTGGGAATGAGAAGTAGCATTGCAGTTTTCATTCGAGTTCGGGGTATCAAGCGATATTCATAAAGCTCTACATTCACACACGAGAAGGAATCTAGTCAATTCATATCAAAAGGTTCAGATGTAACATAAAATGATAAACGTTACCATCGGTCACCAGAGCCTCAAAGATGTAAATAGTTGAAGAGTGTCTCTGAGTGTGTCTTCACCACAAGTTGAGGTTCCTTTTTAAAAGCTTACAGAAAAAGGAGTATGTTTCTATCAAACTAACAAGAGGTAGTGGTTATTGTCCATCTCATTCAATGATGCCTAGATGCGGCATATTCAGCTTGCCGGGAGGCTGCCGGAATACTCTCTTCCAAAATATCTCCTGGAGTCAGAGGCCCTCACTTAGAATACCTGTCAATTATTCAAAGATAACCACTTGCTCGTACCTGTCCAAAAAGGAAACAAGCAAAAGTGTCCGAAGCCAACATGGAAGAAACCTTCACAATATCAAAGCGAGAGCCATTTCGGCAACTATGAGCGATGCAAAAGTCTCTAACATAACTGAAGATGTTCCATCACCTGTTCTTACACCTTACGTACCGCCAACTACTGGTCTTTTATCAAAACTTCCATCTCCTTGGGTACCATATGCCGAACTCATCAGACTAGACAAGCCAGCAGGAACATATTACCTATTCTTTCCATGTCTCTTTTCAACTTTACTGGCGGCTCCATTAACTGTCCCCATGGTCTCACCACTTACCGTCGTGGGAACATCTCTTTTATTCTTCAGCGGTGCTTTGATCATGCGTGGTGCAGGATGCACCATCAATGACCTCTGGGACCGAAACCTAGATCCAAATGTTACTCGAACCCGATTACGTCCCATTGCTCGAGGAGCCGTCTCTCCATTCAAAGCCTTAGTCTTTACCGGAGGTCAACTTTTCGCTGGCCTCGCAATCCTTCTTCAATTTCCCTACCAATGCTTCTTCTATGCTACCCCAAGTTTACTTTTCGTGGCTGCGTATCCGCTCGCTAAACGTGTCACTCATTATCCGCAATTTGTCTTAGGATTAACATTCTCCTGGGGCGCAATCATGGGATTTCCAGCTCTTGGAATTGATCTTCTCTCTGATAGTGCTGCTTTGACAGCAACCGGATTTCTATATGCCTCGAATGTGGCATGGACGGTTTTATACGATATGATATATGCGCATATGGATATCAAAGATGATGCCAAAGCAGGAATCAAAAGTATCGCATTACGACATGATGCTCAAACCAAACAAATCTTGACCGGACTCGCCATAACTCAGATTGGATTATTAACAGCAGCTGGTGTTGCTGTTGGAGCAGGACCAGTCTTTTTCGTTGGTGGATGTGGTGGTGCTGCTGTCACTTTAGCCGTCATGATCAAAAAGGTCAACTTGAAGAGTGTGAAAGATTGTTGGTGGTGGTTTGTTAACGGATGTTTAATAACTGGCGGTACGATTTCTGCCGGGATCGGAGGAGATTATCTTGTTCGATACGTAGAGAGGGCTGAGAGCGAGGAGCCCGAAGTTGAAAATGAACGAAGAAAATCTTCTTTTACTGTACTATATGAATACCTGTTTTGATATTGAAGAGACTAATCCAGTAATATACGGGTATATCAGGGGCTTGGCCGGTAGAAGAAGAGCCGAAAGTTATTTAGATCATGTACTTAGTAGCTCCTATAGGTTATGGAAGCTATTCCTTCCAGATACCGAATAGTTTCTATAGATAATATCAAGCTATATGTAATACTAGCAGCATTAAACAACACCTCATCTGCCCCTCCCCAAGTATCAAAAACCCCTCCACCTATTTCATCCACAGAGCTAAGAACCCATAAACTAGGTAGGTAAGGTTATGCATCTTGGCTCGGCAGTAAAATCTCCGGTCAATGATCATCATTTAATAGACTTATAAGCTCTAAAATTCAGACAACAAAACATGGATCGAGTTTCCATGTAACTTCGAGTCGACCTAGGTAGGTACTTAGTTGAGTACCCCACTTTCGGACCACCCCTCTTTTGGACCACCTAAAATCTTACCCCATTTTAAGCACTACCTCCCAACTTCATCTTTAATAAATCAACAACCACTTATTCAATTGATATAAGATTTTAATACATTATCAATTAAGCTATGACAAAGCCTTATACTGAAGATGATATTGCTGCAGCACTTTTTGCGATTGCAGGAGGCATGTCTATGCGTAAGGCTTGCTCAGAATATGGTATTCCCCGCACCACTTTACACAACCGTATAAATGGCCACCTTTCACATAAAAAAGGTGCACAAAACCTACAGAAGATAGCTCCTGTGCAGGAGAGAGCTCTAGCAAATTGGATTTTAGTACAGGAAGCCCTAGGAACTAGCCCTACCCATCGTCAAATACGAGAATTAGGAGAGTCCATTCTCAACCTCGAAGGAGGTGATTTATCTCTTGGCAAGCGATGGATACATAGTTTTTTGGAAAGAAACCCAGAGATTAAGACTAAAAGGCAATATAAAATCGATAATGCCCGTATCAATGGTGCAACTACCGAAATTATAAGCAAGTTCTTTGAAAAGTTGGATTTACCAGCAATTAAGTATATCAAGCCCGAAAACAGATGGAATATGGATGAAGCTGGTATAATGGAAGGCCAAGGTCTCAATGGTATGGTACTTGGGAGTTCAAAGCGACGTTTTATTCAGAAAAAGCAACCCGGTTCAAGAACGTGGACCTCTTTTATTGAGTGTATCTCAGCTACGGGAAGAGCACTTTTACCTTTGGTTATATTCAAAGGTAAAACACTTCAACAACAATGGTTTCCCATTAAACTTGATAACTATGAAGGGTGGGAGTTCACTGCTACAGATAATGGGTGGACTACGGATTCTACAGGTTTGGAATGGCTAAAAGAGGTGTTTATACCACAATCAGCACCAACTCGACCGAAAGAAGCAAGACTCCTTGTTTTGGATGGGCATGGAAGCCATGAAACCACTCAATTTATGCTTGAATGCTTCAAGAATAATATACACCTCTTATTTTTACCACCCCATACATCGCATGTACTACAACCTCTTGATTTATCAATATTTTCACCTCTGAAAAAAGAATATCGATACCACCTCAATACTCTCGATTCATTGACGGATTCTACTCCCATTGGCAAAAGAAACTTTCTTGCCTGCTATCAGAATGCTAGATTAAAAGCTTTAACACTTCGAAATATCACTTCTGGGTGGAAGGCTTCAGGTTTATGGCCTCAAAACCGCGCTAAACCTCTTTTGTCCAGATTATTGCTCGAAAACAGTAATCAAGAGGTTGTATATCAAAATCCTGTTTCAGATGATGATCCCGAGCTTCAATGGAATATACATTCATCTTTTATTGCATGGAAAACCCCTCAAAAAGGAAGTGATATTCGAAAATATGCTGATATAATGGAGAAAGTTGATGAGACCGATATTCCAACTCGCCGGCTGCTTTTTCGAAAGATTCAAAAAGGATTTGATGCTAAGGACTATGAACTTGTACAGTCCAAGAAACGAATAAAGCAATTGGAGCAAAAATTAGAAGAGATTATACCTAAAAAAAGAAGGATGGTAAAAACTAGTCCAAATTCGAGGTTTGCAGGGATAGAAGCTATATATCAAGCTCAAATTGAAGCTGGTGATCGGGAAATTGAGATAAAAGACTCTGATAGTATTTATGAAACTGACAATACAGGGGATTGTATTGAAGTTGAATAGTGGTTGAGTTATTGAAGTTTAAAATTCATATATATATATATTTTTAGGTGGTCCAAAAGAGGGGTGGTCCGAAAGTGGGGTACTCAACTTTGCTGGATATCACAAATCCCATTCCTATATCATTCCATAACTAAAGAAAGAAAAAGATCTAGAAAAGACATTTTCAAGTAAGATTAATATAATTTTATTATATTTAAATTTCTAGTAATGTAATTATAATAATAAAATCCAGATTACTAGGAAAGATACAAACAAATACCTATATACCTAGTATCTATACAAAGATAGAGCATCGAGTATATATATCCGCAAATCCACCCCCCAGTAGATAAATAACGTTACTTCCCCACCAAATCCTCCACGGAGTCTACGGAATTAAAAAATTACATCAGCATTAGTATTAGCATCAGCCAAAGGTTCCTACAACTACCGAAACACCCCTAGTTCTAGATGATTTGCACGCACACCCTCACCCGTCCGCGCATCCGTTCTCCAGATCTACGTACAGAATACTGTATTTTACTCTACTTGAATACAGTAGATACAATAGTAGGTATCTATAGTACGCAATATCAACCAATTATATACCTACGGAGCTTGGACGATTTTCTTGTTTTGTGATGTATATTTTTCGGGATGTTTTTTTTTTTTTCCTTTTGATTGATTGGGTTTACATAGGTACGTACTAGGTACATAAGGTTATAGACGGGATACAAGGAAGGTCTAGGCGTTTCCAAATCGATGATTTCATCGAAATGGGTTCCAAGTTTTGGGAGATTTCTCTTTGTTTCGGGGTTGTAGGTTGGAATGTAGTCTTTACTTATTGTGTAGGGGCGATGTTTGCGGAGTATTAGATGGATTTGATACTTAGAGAAGAAGATTTATTGTGAGGGTGGTATTATTTATGGTGTGCGTGGGAGGAAGTAAGAAAGCGTAAGTGTTAAGTTACTATATCCTAGAGAGGAAACTTTTGATGATAACTGTTATTGATATTATTGCGTTACTTATTACTATTAAGGTTATTCAAGCAGTCTATCTGATCCGATCACACAAGGTCATAGTAGTAAAATATGACGCCACACAATGAGAGGAGCATTTCCATGTACAATCAAAAAAATCAACTAGAAATCAGATCATTGCATTCATATCTTTCTTTCAAGCTCGACATAACAAAAAAGGAAATCATTCCATCCAATACCACAAATTTGACATAATAATAATAATAAAACACCCTTCCTACGAAATAAATACTCAGAAAATCCTCATCGATCCATTATCATTTCCTTTGATACAAACCTACCTACTACCTACCTATTACTCATTCAATCCAAAATCAAACATATCAAATACAAATACCCCACGATCCTCCCGCACAATCCACACATACAAGGACCATTCATTCCACCTTTCCTTACCCACCTATACCTGATAAACATCGCACTGTACTCGATCTAGCCAAGCTTCCATCAAAATCGTCATATTCACACCCTAACATCACACCAGCACAGCGTGTCAAGGAACCTCACCTCAGAAAGAAAAGTAATCCCAAAACTAAATAATCCCTGGAATCATCAACATCACCATCATCATCACACGAATCAGAGCTTTCTAGCGTAGAGCTTACTCATACTTCCCATATACATTTGGGAACCCCTCTCTTTGAAATCCGTTTCTGTTTTCCTTTATACTACTACTTTCTATACAACTTTTCATATCAGCAATCAGAACCCGCCAGTTTTCAAATCATACCCTCACATTTCTCAAACATATACATAAATCCCTTTGGAATAGAAACCACAACATCCATATCAAAATGCCTTCAATAGCCCAAATCGGTTTGAGAAGTGCTCAATTCGTCACCGTACTTATTTCGCTCGCTCTCATCGCCGCTGCAATAGATATCCAGCGTTTCGGCAACAAAAGCGTCAACTTTGCCATGTTCACAACTGTAGTCTCTATGATCGTCGTTCTGTACGGTCTAGCAGCTGCATTCGTCGAATCTCTTGCACATACCCTTATTCTTGCCATTATGGATGGCGCTGCCTTACTTTTCAATCTCCTGTCTGGTATTATTCTGGCTAGCTATCTGCATGTCCACAGTTGTAGTAATAGAGTAAGTTTCCTCTTTCGAGGTGTATTAATGGATACTCTTACTGATCATCATATAGCGTTATGTCCTTACCAATCAGTTAACGCAGGGCTCGACGGGTCGATGCCGTGAGCTTCAAGCTGCTACGGCGTTTATCTGGTTCTCGTTTGCTTTGTTCACTGCGTCGCTCGCTGTGGATTTAATGAAGGGCTCTAGTACAAGCATGCGTCGTCGTGGTGGCGCTCGCACTGGACCAACTATGACCCAAGTCTAAGGAGGAACTAGGAATCGATAGGTTAGTAGTTTCCTCTTCATCCTCTATCCTCCATCCTCCATCCTCCATCCTCCGCTGCTCCGAAAACTTCATCTAACAAATCTTCAAGACAGGAAATGTGAGTCTATATCAATATCTCAAAGCCAGTTGCGGCGAAAGTCCGCTTTTCGCGGTTAGTAAAGATAGAGGGTCGGTTATTGAGGAATTGCTCTTCGATGTTGGGTTCAGGAGTAAAAGCTTTGTAAATGATGTTTATGACGTAGGGAGGGGCAAGTGGGTACTTCGGAAGGATTTTTAATATGTACAGTATAAACGGGAAGATGGATTTAATAATACCATAGTTAATGAAACAATTCTATTCGATGTTTTAATATACTGAGCAATATTCTATCGAAATGTGCATGTTCTAGAATTAACCTTGGGAGAGTGCGAAATTGGCTTCAGAGACGTGGAAATGGAGGGGGAAGAGATGTATAGTTCAAATATAACTTTCAATCATAGACTGCTACTCCTTCGATGTGTATATATGGAAAACAAGAATCCTTCGAAAATGTGTATCTCATATTCATATGTACCGAGTGAACTAAATCATGTACATGTCTTGCCTGCACTCAAGCAATCCCCTCTATAAACAATATGCCCAGCCAAGATGTCAGATATCGGCCATGTACCTCCACATGCATCGTCTATAAACGCCAATCCCAATGCCATAATAGCTGCGTCGGGATGCCCCTTTGATGATTTACCGAGAACTCTCTTCTGAATGAGACATCTGATGCTTGAGACTTCTCCGCCTAGCTTCTCTAGTTCACAGGATCTCATGCTCATGAGTCTCGTATTCATAAGTTCACTCGAATATTCCCCTCGAGTCTGCGATTTGCATTCGTGAATATCTTCTTTCGTATTTGCTTTCTTCAGCCTCGCTAGCTTTAGACTCAAATCCCTCGGCTTTACTCATAATGAGGCTGCAGCTTCCACGGCTCCAGCTCCTTCAAAGGCTGGTTTACTGGTTATTTCGACGGTGACTGGATACTTCCATGTCATATATTTTGCCCAACCTATTTGCAGATAATGGGGATTTATTAGCCAATATCCTTGCATATATAGTCTCCCTAGAAGGGGAGATGATTCACATCTCCTCATGTCCGCTCCAGCAAAAATCAAGAGAGCAAGAAGAAAGAAGTAAAAAGTAATAGAAAAAGTAGGAGGACATACTCCAATAAGCAAATTTCCTTCCAAAGTATTTCCCAACCCATGGCACAATCACCATAGTAAGCATCATTTCCAACTGCTGTAAACTGGCTTCCCATTCCTTCTGAGCATCGGATTCTTCTCCCTCATCTGAAGAGGCATAATCGGAACTATCAATAGAGGAAGGCAAAGAATCTAATTCGCGGAGCTCATCGAGTTGATCCTGAGAATGGGCGGAGGCATGGAGATATGAATCTGAGGCAGAGAGGGACATTTTTGCTGAATGGTAGATGGATGAATGTGGAAGGTGCAAAGGGTTTGTTAAGCTGCTAGAAGAAGCATAGAAAGAAAATGAAATTCGCTATCGCCGAAGAGGGATCTGGCGATCCATTGAGGGGTGAGAGGAGTCTTTGGGAGGGATATAAATGCCTAGTAATTTCGTACTGGGAGCTCAAACTTGGCGCCCATTTGTTACGACTTCCGTTGGCGCATTCAATGGAGTCACGTGTGGCGGCCTTTGATCCCTCTTTATGCCTAATTTAAAAGGCTTCAACAAGGCTTTCAAGGTTTGAGTCATCAATTGATAGCCGTGGGCAAGTTTCCAAAACTTTTGTTTCGAAGAAAGAACCACCATATCACTTTCCGAGTATAAAAACGACGGAGCGTACCCATAACATCACAGTCAGAATATAATTTTGAGACATTCACTACCGCAATCATGGCCGACGTAAGTTAGGATTTCTCCTTGATTTTTCATTTATGAATCACTTTCACCCCACCTAAATCTTGCTTTGATTTAAGGCAAACAATTCCACGTTTCTAACACTGTATCAGGAGGTTGATGTCAAGCCGCGCAAATCGGTAGCTTTCAGCGACGGAACTACAATCGTAGACGAAAACGGAGAAGTCACAATGAAGGAAGACGGGCACGACGATACCAAAGAGACGGCGCAGTCCCACTCACCTAGTACGCCGCCACTCTCCAAGGCTTTGGGCGCATTTACTGATCCTTTCCAAGGCAATGGCGATGAAGCGACCGCAAATAACGAAGATGATGGATTGGGCGATTTGTCGTTGATGAAGAAGAAGAAGAAGAAGAGCAAGAAGGTGGATGAGGGTGAGGAGGGAGGTGATGAAGCTGCTGCAGATGGTGGTCTTGATCTTTCGACTATGAAGAAGAAGAAGAAGAGCAGCAAGAAGCCTAAGGATAGCGAAGATGATTTCACAGCTCGACTTGCAGCCGCGAATCTCAACGACGATGGAGAGAAGGCTGCCGAGGAGACCCCGGTCGATGAGGGTGATATGATGAAGGGAACTGGTATCTGGGCACACGATGAGACGAAATTAATTCCTTACGAACAACTTCTCTCTCGATTCTTCACCTTGCTCGCCCAAAAGAACCCCGATCACGCATCTTCCGGTTCAAAGAGTTATAAGATTCCTCCTCCACAATGTCTGCGTGAAGGAAACAAGAAGACTATCTTTGCCAACATCGCCGAGATTTGCAAGCGTATGAAGAGAACTGATGAACATGTTACTCAATATCTGTTCGCTGAATTGGGTACCAACGGTTCCGTCGATGGTAGCAGACGTTTGGTTATCAAGGGTCGCTTTCAACAAAAGCAAATTGAAAATGTTTTGAGGAAATATATCAGTACGTTTAACATTCTCATTTTCAAAAGCTTTACTAACATCCTTTACAGTGGAGTATGTAACATGCAAGACTTGTCGCTCCCCAGATACAGAATTGAACAAGGGAGAAAACAGATTGTTCTTCATCACTTGCAATTCTTGCGGTTCTAGGCGTTCGGTTACTGCTATCAAGACTGGATTTTCTGCACAAGTTGGCAAGAGAAGAAGGCAGCAAGGTTAAGAGGTTTTATCATATGTATCATAGCTCTACCTACTTTGATTACCTAGTTAGCTATCTGAATGATTCGATAACACATGTTTCAATTTCAGAATACAAATTTGATAATTATATGATTTCTTGATGGGTTTGCGTGTTTTCGGATATGTTATCTTTTGATGATGATGATGGTGATAATGATGCTGCTGATAATAACATATATCTTGTCTTGTCAGTAATCCTTGGTTTCCTGATAGATTATCTATATCCATATCCATATCCACAGAGAGAGGCTCTGAGCTGGAAGTATAAAAACCCTTTTAATTTCACCGTTTGAACTTTCCCGCGAGGTTTTAGATTCGAGAAAGATATTAGTTTTGTCTTTCACAGTCAACTTTTGACATTGGTTGTTGAAGACAATCATGAGGATAGTTTATAAGATCTAGAGCTTTAGAATTGGTAAGTTGATTAGGGATATGGAGGGGGAGGGGAGTGTTGAAGTTGAAGATTATGTTGAGGTTTGTGTTGATGTTCAGTAAATCGAAGTATGTTGAGGGTGTTTGGGGGGGGGGGGGGGGGGGGGGGGGGGGAAAAAAAGGAAAATTGAAAGATAAAGGGGGGGATAAAAGGGAGGGAAAAAAAACCCCCAAAAAAGCGCCTTTTTGGAAAATTTTTACTTTTTTTGGGGGGGGACCCGCCCACCCCCCCCCTCGTGGGATCTCAACCCCCCGTTTGTTGGGGGTTTAAAAAGAAAAGGGGGGTTTTTTAATTTTGAAAAGAATTTTTGGGGGTTAAAAAATTCTGGGTTTTTTTTTTAAAAAATCTTTTGGAAAAAAGGGGGGAGGGGGGCCCGTTCCCGGGGACCCGGGGGGGGGGGGGACCTTTTGGAAATCGGCCACAAAAAGGTCCCCCCCCTCCCCGGGGAAAAAAAAAACAGAAAGCAGAGGGTGCACACAAATCGCACGGGCGGAGTTCATATTTGCTGGTAGTATAAGTTTCTGGTCCCTAATAAGATTACCATTTGAGTGTGAAGATAGAGAATTGATTTTGGTCTTCAAGGTGTATTCAAGTCGACGTCAAGGCTGTGTGTTTTGGAGCTATCGCTATACACCTATGAATAGGTTATGTTTCCTTCTGTGGCTACCTTACTCTTCTTCTTCACAGTCTATATGTGTTGGGACTGCTATAGACGTACAGATTTTTGCTTAAACTGGATATTTGGATTCATCTTATATGCGCGTAGAAGCTAGGCAGGAGAGAAAAAAGAAGAGAGTTGATTATGAACAGTTTCAACAAACTACTCAGTTTGCTTGTGAAATTTGATAATGGAATGACCTTTCAGATTTGTATATCTTTAACATTGCTCATTATTCCGATTCGAGCTGTATGGTAAAATAGTCTCAGACTTTATTCTGATGCATGGCTCGTCTCCTTTGTCGAATGTCGATATATTTCATGTATATATCAGGGGAAGTTTCTTGTACAATTCCGTAGAGAGTTTTCATCTACCCCTAGTTTATTTGAATATAGTATTGTACTCGAAGCTTCTACTCTAGAGTAGCATTCTAATAAACATATTACATTGGGAGTTTTGAAGTTTGAAAATTAGCTATATCTGTTAACGTTGCAGATATATGAATGAAGTCGTCGGGAGCTCATGGGGAACATCGCTAATAAAAGTAGACTGTGTATTAAGATTGTCATCAACTCACATATTCTAAAGAGTAAATGAACGAGTATCTAGAATAGGTATTAGGTACCTCATAACCAGGCTCAAAGAGGGCCATAGAATCTTATATGCGGGACCGGGTGTGTAGTGAGGTTAGAAAAGACTGAAGCAGGGTATTTATCGTGTGATGAAAGTTATATAGATGAAATGTGATAACTTGTAAGAGTATAAATATCTTTAAAACCAAAACACAAGTAGAACTCAAAGATAGCATGAACTCTGTATTTAACCTAGCTTATATGCATCTGAACCGCGTCATCCAGTATACGGAGTATATTTAATATTTAAGCGCTCGGGATATTTTGAATCCATTTTTGATCGATGTCAATATAAAAAGATCAAAGCTTCTAATTTGATCCTGGAATAATGATTGGTTTACAAGTGATAACCGAAATAGCATAGCCCACACCAAGAACCGCACCGGCCAATCCGGGGACTGAACAGGGTATGTAGGAGCTTGGGGCAGATGCATGGGATGAACGGTGGGTTTATATGATGAAAGGCAGCTGCTGTTTTCACGATGAACATGTTGAGTGCACCATTTTTTTTGGTATGCGTGTTTGAATGATGTCTGTGAAGCTTGAACTGAGAGTTAATACCATCGATATTGGGTTTTGATCGAAGAGGTGAGTCCTGCATCTTGAGAATTCGCATGGTTGATTGAGTGCGGGGCAAGCTGGAGAGGTTTAGAGCTTGTAAGATGGTTTGCGATGGTATGATATGCTGACTGGTTCTCAGCCTCTGACGACGACAACTCAGATATAACCTGATCTAGCTTTTGGATCTTTTTGATTGTTTGTTTTGGATTTCCTTAATCACTAGAATCAATCAATCAATATGTCTGCATACTATCCTCGTGAGTACTATTGTCAGCCTGCTAGAAAAATTACCTAACTAATACTTCGACAGCTCCTCCCGGAGGTAATGGAGGTAAGAAGAAGACCACTCATAAACCAAAAATATCCTTCTAACCTCTCACTAAAGCTCCTCAACAACAACAATACGCACCGCCTCCAACATCTTCACCTCAGCAGCAACAATACGCACCTCCACCAACATCTTCACCCCAGCAACAACAATACGCACCTCCACCATCATCTCCACCTCAACAACAACAACAACAATATGCACCACCTCCAACATCTTCACCTCAACAACAACATTCATACGCACCACCTCCAACATCTCCGCCCCCAAACCAAACCTCGTTCAAATATGCCGCTCCACCCACCTCGCCCCCAGCTCAACCCTCACATGCCTTCTACCCACCACCTCCATCTACCTCCACAACAAGCTATACCCCTCCTCCAAACCCCCAACCTACTCCTCCCCAACAACAACCACAACAACAATACGCGTCCCCTCCAAATTTCTCCCATCGCCCTTCTTATTCCGGTGGTCAACATACTCTTCCAGTCCATACACCCCCACCTCAACAATCACAAAGCTATGCATCTTCCTCCGCCGTCTCTCCTCAAGAAACAAATCTTCCAAATTATGCACAGCCAGGTTTCTATCCCAATCAGAATACAAGCGACTACCCACCTGAAAAACCAGCCCTAAATACAAGTCTTACGATTAATTTGGATCACGGGGCACCCAGCGCAGCGCATTTTGTAGGGGCAAGTACCACTCAAGATGATGTAGGCACGTTTAATGGTGGGAGTTATCGCATTAGTCACAGGGATACAAATAGTATTGTGACGATTCAGTTGGCGATGGGGTGTCCGTTGACTGTTAAACCTGGTTTGTTTTCCCCTCTTTCCTCTATCTTTTTGTTGATGAAATCTTGTGGTTGTGGGAGTGGGATAGAGAATAATTGCTAACCCAACCAAAGGCGCAATGATTGCCATGACTCCAACCATAACCCTCAAAGGTGCAATCAAGTTCTCCGTGAAGAAACTTGTCATCGGTGGTGAAATGACCCATTCTACTTTCACTGGCCCAGGCGAACTTCTCCTAGCTCCTTCATCATTAGGAGATATCACGAATATTCGATTAAGCGGTGATGAACAATGGAGTGTGGGAAGAGATGCGTATTTAGCTTCTACACAAGGTGTTATCAAGGAGTATAAAAGACAAGGTATTGGTAAGGCGATGTTTAGTGGAGAGGGTCTATTCGTTTATAAGATTAGTGGGGTCGGTTTGTTATGGATTAGTAGTTTTGGCGCCATTATTAGGAAGGATGTATGTTGCCCCGCTTTCTTCTCCTGTTGCCCATTGCTCCTCCCACTCTTTCCATTTTCTTCCAACTAACACCCAAATAGCTACAAGAAGGCGAACGCTACGTAGTCGATAATGGACATCTGGTCGCCTGGAATACAAAATACATACTCGAGCGTGTAGCATCAGGAGGTATCATCAGTGGATTGAGTAGTGGAGAAGGTCTAGTGTGTAAGTTCACGGGACCAGGGACGGTTTTCCTTCAAACAAGGAATCCGGCTCTGTTTGGTCAGTGGATTAGCGCGCATGCTGGTGGCTAAGTCTGGAATATCATCAATGAAGTCTTCAACTCTCTTGGTGTTTTTGCCCATATTGAAAAGCAGGAGAAGTGCCTGGGGGTGGTATATGAGAAATTTAATAAGAAGGAGGAGCTGTTAAAATAATAGTTTATGAGTTCAAAAAAGGTTTCAATGAGAAATGCTCGACTTTATACCTTTTTGCATCTTTCTCAAAACTGTCAAAAGTAGATTTTCGATGCTTTCATCACCAACAGTTGGAAATATCTACATAACAACTCATCATATGTATGGCCTATAGCTGCTAGAGTTCTCTCACAATCACAACACCAACACTTAGGAGTATCGATGCTACGCTTCATGATTTCGTCGATTGGTTGGCAAGCACCCAAAGCCAAGGATCCTTGTCCATCTGGGGGTGTGTATCCTTGTCCCATGGTCGCCTATCATTACTGAACCCAAAACAGGCTACCCGGTTCTAGGAGCAGGAATATCGACCACCAATATGGCAAAAGGTATGTCTGCCATTTAATTTTTAAGGACAAAAGTCTTCGATGCTGCATATCTGGCCCTGAAAATAATAGAAGGAGAGCAAACCCAGTACTTCTTGAGTTTACATTCCTGAAAATCTGCCTCGACCAGACACAAGATAGTGGAAGGCAAGATCAAGGGTTATGACAAGAGGTCTACCCTGACCGAATAGATTGAAGCACAGCACCGGTACAGATCCGCCAGAGATTATGCATGTGACGATTGTGGATCCTTGTATAACAGTTGAATTGAGAAGAGCCTTATCTTTCTTGAGCAGTTATCCTAGATAACTAGTTTGTGTCGGATAATAAACCCAATTAACACCAGGAATTAACCGCTGACGACAAAACAATCGAATCAAAATTGCGGAAACAAATGAAAACCCTGAGAACTAGCCATCAATATATATTATAGTTGAGTCGTTTGCCCTATCCGTTTAAATAACAAATCTTGGCCAACAAAAGCCAGCCTTTTATCAATAATAAATAACATCATTGAACGAGAAGAGCGGAAGTCTGCAAGGAACTAACCGAGACACGAGTGATCCCGTGTTGATGCATAAGTTATAACTTCATTCGAAACCATTTTCCAGAAGAGATAAACACACCTGTTGAGTTGATTGTTGCACACCGATTTCCTTTTGCCAATAACTTTTTTTTTACACGAACCTTAAATCACAAAATTGTACGGGTCTTGAAACCTTCATCTTCACAACCAAGCCCGAAATCCAGCACCGTATTAACTTCAGTCTGGTTAATTTTGATACAGCAATATACAGTTGGAATCTCTAATCACATTTCAGTGGAGCTTCGGATTGTTATTCATACTCAGTTCAATTATCTCACAGTTCAGCATCCTCGATTTGTTATCATTATTCCTTTGCAGCCACAAAATGATCAAACAAGATGGACTGGAATGGGTGGCGGAGACATTTGGTCTCGAGCCACGTTGGTCATCTGAGCCGGATATCGCCAAAGTCGAATCAATCTCTCGAAAGCACCTCAATCTCAAAGAAAATGATTTTTGCCATCTTAGCTTTTATGCTCAAGGTGCTTTCAATAAACTATACAAAGTCGAGATTGAAGATGGATGCTTCTTAGTTCGTGTCACATTGCCTGTCGACCCCTCCAATAAAACAAACAGTGAGGTAGCAACTATCAACTTCATTCGCCAAACTACAGATATCCCAGTACCACAGATCCTTGCATTTGATGATAGTAGTGAGAACGAGCTTGGGTTCGAATGGATACTAATGATTATGTTACCTGGCGGGAATTTGCGAACGAAATGAAGGAAATTGTCCAAAGATTCCAAACAAAATCTGGTCAAGCAAATTGCACAATACCAAGCCCAGCTTTTCCGGCACAAGTTTTCTGCTATCGGCAACATATTTGTTATCCCAGAACCTCGACTCAGGAAACGGAATCTGTCTTTCAGTATATTATCAATTGGTGTCAAAGGAACGTCACAAGACTCAGAACAGATTTCACTTACACTGGGGCAAATAGTGTCAATGTTCTTTTTCTGGGGAGACCACATTACAAAAGATGTACCCCGAGGACCCTTCACCGACAGCAAAGACTGGCTCTGCGCCCGTCTTACCTTGGTAATTGACGACCAAGAAAGAATCCTCAAGACAACCGACGATGAAGACGAGATTGAAGATGCGCAAGACGCCAAAATCCTCGCTGAGAGACTTCTTAAATTACTACCTAGCATTTTTCCTACCACTGACTCCATTGCAGAGTAATTTGTGCTCTTCCACGACGACTTATCTTCCCGAAATATCTTAATAGACGACGAGGGTACCATCACCGGAATCATCGACTGGGAGTGCGTCTCCACACTCCCACTCTGGAAATCCTGCGACTTTCCAGAATTCCTTAAAGGAAAGGAGAGAAACGAGGAGCCGAACAGAAACAACTACGCTCCGGAAGACGAGGAAGACGCCAATGAACCTGCAGCAGATGCACTTGATAATGAAGGAACTAACGATCTCTTTTGGGAGCACCTTTTAGAATACGAATCGACCATGCTCCGCACACTTTTCCTAGACGAAATGCAGAAAATTGCACCAGAATGGATCGAAGAGTCTACGAAAGGGGCTGGGAAAGCGGATTTTGAAATAGCGGTGCAGCATTGTGATGGTGGGTGGTCTGTGAAGCGGCTTACGGCGTGGCTTGATGCAATTGAGAAGGGGGAGAATTGGAGTTTGAGAAGGAATCTTTATGGGTATAGTTAGACTGTCATGGTTTCTTTTTCCTACATACAATTTTTTAGTTTAGAAAGAATAAGAAATAGGGTTTGAGATGAAGGGTATGAATATGAAAATGAATGAAAATATGATAAATTGGAATGTTTAATGAAATATGTATTAGTTGAATTAGTGAAGTACTTAGTATACGTAGTCTAGCTAGTTACTAATCATTACTACATCCAGATTCCTAGCTTGATATTGTTCCATGAGAAACACTTCCTTATCCCATCCTATGCTTCAAAACACAGTAATATAACCTTGACTACCAAGATAAAGGAGAAAACAATTGTCAGGAGTAGCTGGCCAGGAATGAGTTACAAAGTCCAAACCTGAAAAATGTCAAGAGCTGCAACCGAAAACACAAGATATAAGCTGATGACACAGCAACCAAAATACCCAATGTGACTATGGGTATCAAAAAGCGTGTTCAGATTGTATTTAGAGTAGTGTATTTAGGAACTCAAGATAAATGCTACAGATATAATCAGCTATGCGATTGACATCCACCCAACTCATCCTCGTCTTCTGACTGGATTTTAGATATTCGAAGAAATGGAAATCTTTATGGTTATGGTGAAAGAAGAAATATCGCGCTTGGAGTAATAGAATGTATGGCTTGCTCAGAGAGTAAGGTGTAGTCAAATATGCGGGTATTATATAGAGAGATGTTGTCGGAATAAAGTTATTGTCAGTGTATAATTGACGAGTTGGGGTTTCGTTGTATGGTATGTTATAGAATAAGAGGTCGCTGTTGCAAGGGATATTTATGAGCTCGAGGATAGCCCAATGTAAGTAGTCAAAAGCTGGGTATAAAAGTAAGAACAGTAATTTAGTTATTGTTCTTCGAAGAAAAGATAGATCTTATTAAAGGCAATGAAGAACTGCAAGACATGTATAAGTGACTTTTATTTTTGAAACTCGTAAGCAAGTTTCTCGAGGTCAATTTATGCCTGGTGATGTTAGATTTGAATATATCGAAGCTGATAAATAGGATACGTTCCAATCTCGCTGGTGATCTTGTGGCATTTATATACTTAGCTAGGCAGATGGGTATATGGTATTTTAAGATCTTACTTCTAGCTTCATACCTTTTCATATCTCAAACCTTGCATTCAAGAAATGGGGGAAAGCGAAATCATGCACTTGCTAGAGGATTGATAATTCAAACTATTCCCTTTTCTCACATAAATTTTGGACACACTGCGATTGACTGATCGTCGATATCGTATGCTTCCAAGAATGTCAGGGGAACTTGTAACATATTGACATATCAATGCTATCATATCAGTAAAACCGATAATGTTGAAGAAACAAACAAGACTCCATATTGGATATTGGAAGAAACCATTGCAAAGTCCGGTCAGCAACCCTACATGTCTCTGATATCACGTGACCGCAGAATTATTCGACAGTAGATGAGGATATAATAACTTGGAGGCTCAAGATTTAGATTAAACTGTACCTACTACCAATGATATATATTACAATGGCTATGCCAATCAATCAGTCGGCTCAAGTTCCGAAGTTATGTGGTTTTAATATCACGTGAATATCAAAAAAATACGGTAGGCACAAACGAGTTAAATCATTAGCATGCAAACTTGGAAACTCGTTCAGGCAAACAAAGTGTTTGCCGGCAAACGCAGCCTCAAAACTTTTTCTCTTCAGATTCTACACAACTCATTACAAGAATTCTAGCTTCATACAAGTATCACAAATCATTGCGAATAGCACTAAATCTTAACAATCAGAAACTGTCATATCGACAAAGCCACAATAATATGGTGACTTCCGATGGGGTCGCTGTGGAGGTGCACGGGACAACTCACGTTCCAAATTCTATTTTGAGTTGGTATGATGAGACTCGCCCTATGTGGATTGATCTTGTTGGGGATTATGCTGGAAAAGAGTTGTTTCTGCTTGAGGGTGATTCTCTATTAAGAGAATGTTTTGCAGATGAGAGGATTGATTTTCAAGGTAAGAAAGATGTTCATTTTCTGTTGATCTTTCGCTTTTTGATCGGTGGGGCGGTTGGCTTCTCATTGAGAATTTCATATCGGGAATTTCAATACGCAAGTACTTGCTTTCAGTACGAAATCATGTACAACATTACACCACCACAAAAGCTCCATGTCACTGCGTGTTTTATATGAAAGACTCTTGATAGCAACCAACTACTCTATTTAAATCCATTTTCGCAAAGGGACTCGTGAACTAACGTCATCAGATGGATTTCAACTACTACATGCTGTATATGTAGTAGAACGATTCCTTGAGAATCTGGTCAAGAGACACTGCAACTTTCATATTGCGTTCTTCGAAGGTAAGTGGTTCCCTTGCAAAGCTATGCTTTTGGTGGTTCATACAATATTCGAACATCCAAACGCAATCGACAATTTTAACCTTATTGTTAGAGAATCGCCAGTTATGTGTACCACCAGGAGTGGAATCCACACACCGAGGTCGGTATCTCCTCGCTCGAACAGCAGTCAGACAGCATCTACACCACAAGCTGCCACTGTCGCATCCAGAGATTGTTATCAATACTTTCTCATCAACGGAGAGTCAAAAATTCTCAAGTTATCTCCATGATACACCAATTCACTTTGTCATGTCGCATGACGGCGCGGCCACAGCAAATAAATCTCGCTCATCGAATGAAGCGAAGATCATTCTGCGAGGAATTATATGGTCTTTTAATTGCCACAAGCTCAATGTTGCTTTGATCAATCACATAGAATTCATAGATTCTAAGGTTTTTACGATGATCGTGGAAAGCATGATTGTCTCAAACCGGCGCAAACTGCTGCTGATGAATTCCACATACTCTGAGTACATTCAGCAAGCTCGTGTAAAGTTTGCCGAAGATTTACAATCTGGTAGCCCCGACAGGATAGAAGTCATTGACGACGAAACCATCAAGAAGTTGTCTGCTGCCTCAGCAGAGGGACACTTGAGTGAGAGATCATGCGTTTCAGTTCTTTCTGCGTCTCACATCCTGAAGAGGAGTCCATCCGATGTGTTCCTCGCTTCCGCATTTATATTACACAGCGTTTTGCTGAACCAAATTCCTCTTGCAAAGCGCCGATTTCCATCTATCGATTTTGACGAAGACTTCGAGCAACAAATTACTAATTTCTTGTCCTTATATGCAGAGGCAGCCCAAGTTATTCTAGACAATCCAACATGGAGCGAATTTGTGCAAGCGAATGCTCTTACAAGAGATACTCATGATCTTGTTGATGGGAGATTATTACGCGTCGTCATACAAGCCCTATGCGACGAATCCTCAGACCCTTTCCCCCAAGCAGTTCACGAGGAGTGGCTGGTGCTTTGCAATCTGACCAAAGAGCTTTCGAATCAAGAGCTTTCCTTGAAAGGGAGCCCTGATTTAGACTTTGTTGAAATCGCTGCAACCGAAGATACTGACTCAAGCTCAGAGGATCTTACAGTTTTACCCTTCACTAACGCTGTGTTCAACAAGCACTTGCAGTGCATCCATGTCAAGACAGACGCATCTTTGTCTACACAATTTGGCACAATGAAGCTGTACAGAGAAACAAGTCATTGGCATAATCACAAAAAGCCAATCGTCACAAAAGCTCTTCCAGCACAGAAAGTCTCTAAATGGCGGTAAGTAACGTTACCTTGAGCTGATATTTGATATATCATGTGCATGATTGAGTACGTGCTAAACTGTCTGCAGCAATCCTCTTCGTACCAATCAATTTTATATGAGCGAAATGACTGCCTATGCCGCAAGTTTAACTGGAGCAAAGGGAAAAGCACTCGAACCGGAAACTATCGTGGTGGGGCCCAAGCAACTGGCGAAAGTTGTTGAGGAGAAACCATCAAAGGCAAGTAAAGTCGAAAAGCCAGCGCCTAAATCGAAGAAAGAAGCCGCAAGTGATGTATGCATTCATTACACTTGGTGAATTATATTAAGCTGACAATCGCTTTCAGAATAAGAAACCTGGATCCAATGCTAAGAAGGGTACCAAAAAGGGTGGTGGTCTTTCAGCTGCTGACCAGATCCGCGCTGCAAACCTGGAAAAGAAAGGCGACACTGAGACCGATAAAGCTTTCCTTGCATGGTCTATGATTATGAAGGATCTTGATTTGTCCTCCAACGATGAAAATCGCTACCTCCGTGCAAAGCAATATCTTAACAATCTTGATGGTGCCAGAACAAAAATTCTTGAGGGAGATATTAACACGTACATACTCCAATGTCTATTGTCTTGGTGGGCCGGGTATTGTAAGGAGAATAAGAAAATGAATGGCTACCATGTAGTTGCATTGATTTGGACAACTGTGAGATTTATATGTACAACTAGTGCACCAATCACAAAAGAGATCGTGCAGCACGTCGAGAAGATTTGCAAATTACTTGGCATCTCGGACGCTTTCTCTCCGCCGAAAGTTCTCGGGGTTGATCGCAAGCTATCTTTTACCTTCAAGTACCCGCCTCCAGCTTTGTCCTTGAAGATTGGCCTTTCCCAATCAGAATTCCAGCTCGAACACTGTGGTCCGTACATGGACAGGATGCTTGATGCAAAGCCAGATGCTCGTGTTTCTAGCTTCATTCCGGATGGTTGGCAGAGAGATGTGCTCAATCAATTGGATGCCGATAAGAGTATATTTGTGGTGGCTCCCACCTCTGCTGGTAAAACATTCATTAGTTTCTATGCTATGGAGCAGATTCTACGTGCTGATAATGATGGAGTTCTGGTTTATGTCGCACCAACAAAGGCACTTGTCAATCAAATCGCAGCTGAAGTTCAAGGTAAGAATAATCTATTTTTTGCCTTTCCTCCTGACTCTTTCACTGAGGAGCAAACATTCCCTTGCTTTGCACCAAAAATATAAAACAAACGAATTCCTCTCATCAAAACGCTTACCAAGGTTATAACTAACAATACTATTTTTCTAGGTCGATTCTCTAAGAGATTTCCCCAAGCAGGCAAAGGAGTGTGGGCTATTCATACGAGAGATTATCGTGTGAACAATCCTACAGGTTGTCAAATACTCGTCACTGTGCCTCATATTCTTCAGATTATGCTTCTATCGCCAACGAATGCGAAGTCATGGGCCCCACGAGTAAAGCGTATCATTTTTGATGAGATTCATTCTATCGGCCAGTCTGAAGATGGTGTGGTATGGGAACAGCTCTTGTTATTAGCACCATGTCCTATTATTGCCCTTTCCGCTACTGTGGGAAACCCTGAGCAGTTTGCGGATTGGCTTGGAGAAACTCAAAAAGCAAATGGTTCTGAATTGAAGATGATCAAGCATTCAACGAGATATTCCGACTTACGAAAGTTTATGTACGAACCACCTCAGACGTTTCATTTCGAGGGTCTCGGAGACTCATTCGGCCTTGGTCTAGGTTTGGATGGGTTACAAGGATTTCAAACTTTCCATCCGGTTTCGTCTTTGGTTGATCCTTCGAGGGGAATGCCCGAAGATCTTGCACTCGAGCCTCGAGATTGCTTATCGTTATGGAAAGCTATGATCAAACATCAGAGCAAGGAATACAATGTTCCCGAATCACTCAACCCAGAACAGGCATTACCACCTTGCATTCGAAAAGCGGATATATTTGCTTGGGAAAAGAGCCTTAAGAAAGTACTGATTCAATGGATGGTGGAATGTCGACCGCAATTTGCCAATGTGGTAAAGGAATTGACTCCCGAGAAGACTGAGATCGATGATGATATCTCAATCGCCAGCTCCTCTGGTTTATCGACTGAGATCATTGACCCATTAGATCTTCAAGCTACAACCCTGCCATTATTGTACCAGTTGCATAAGCGTCGTGCCCTGCCAGCTATACTGTTTAACTATGACCGTTCTGCTTGTGAGAGCATTGCAAACACTCTGTTGAACCAATTAACTCAAGCTGAAGAACAATGGAAGAAAGGATCAGCCTGGAAAAAGTTAATGGACGGCTATGAAAAGTACCAAGAAATGAAGGTGAAAAAAGCTCGTAAACCGGCTAAACCATCCAAGAAAACGAACCAAGACGATGAAGGTGGATCAAAGATGGACCGCATGCGTGAGGATGCAACAGATGGATCTTCCTTCTATGATCTTTTCGATCCGACCGCTCCGCAAGTCGATTTCTCATTTGCTGATCCAAAGCGTTTGCAAAAAGAAGAACTTGATGGATTCATTCGACAGCTTCGTCGTAAGGAGATTAGGGAGGACTTAATTGACTTGCTGAAAAGGGGAATAGGTGTTCATCATGCTGGTATGAACCGAAAATACCGTCAATGTGTAGAGATGCTATTCCGTAAAGGCTTCCTGAGAGTCGTCATTGCAACAGGAACACTTAGTTTGGGTATTAACATGCCCTGTGCAACCGTAAGTCCCTACTTTTTCCCCCGATCTCAGATCCTAATTCCACATTCCCTCATATCTGCTCCTTTTACTTCCCGATACAGCTTCTCTTTTCTCTTACCCTTTCCCCTAAATCTCTTTCTGGTAGGCAAAACTAACCAATCTTGCAGGTGGTCTTTAGTGGGGACTCGGTTTTCTTGACTGCCTTGAATTTCCGTCAAGCTGCAGGTCGTTCAGGTCGTCGTGGTTTTGATCTTCTCGGGAACGTTGTATTTCAAGGTATCTCTCGAGAACGAGCAAGCCGACTTCTCAGTTCTCGACTCCCTGAACTTACTGGTCACTTTCCAATCACGACAACATTGGTATTGCGATTATTCACACTTTTGAATGATTCTAAGAACTCGCCATATGCTGTTAGAGCTATTAACTCTCTTCTTTCTCAGCCTAGACTGTATCTTGGTGGTCAAAGTTTTAAAGAGCAAGTCCTTCACCACTTAAGATTTTCCATAGAGTACTTGCGGCGCAATGCACTCCTTGGACCTGGGGGTGAACCTGTCAACTTCACTAGTTGTGTTTCGCATCTCTACTTTACTGAAAATTCGAGTTTTGCATTCCATGGTAAGTTGACCTCTATCTGTATGGTAAAAAATGTATTTCATGAGCTAATGGGCGCCAGCACTTCTCAATGGAAAGTACTTCCACAAGCTCTGTGCAGATATCGATACCAACTCCGAAGATGTGCTGCGTACAATGATTCTAGTATTGAGCCATCTTTTCGGTAGGCGAGTTATCAGAGAAGTTGACGATCCTGAAGAGGCAGAAAAGATCCACCGCTCACCATCGAACGTGTATCTTGAGCCCATGCCAGAAGACGCAGCTAATATACTTCGTGGGCATAACAAGAGCACTTTGGAGTTATTTTCTACGTACGTGAAGACATTCGCTGAGCAACACATTACCGAAGATGAACACAATTTGCCATTCACCAAAAGCCCAGTCGGTCCAAATGAAGCAAGCAAGACCAATGGTAACACAAGCTCGGTCATTGAGTCTCTTCCTTCATTGCCCCGTCCGCAAGCAAGATCACCATTTGTAGCGCTATCTGGGCTAGGTGACTCCTTCACTACCATAGAAGATCTCTGCAGCTCCACCCGTGAAGGCGTTTTTCTTGAAGCGGCTGTGATCCCCCATCTCGAGCTTCACCCCGACGAAACGAGATCACCTTTAAATTCATACCTCCTCGATTTCTACAAGCATGGTTCTTTGCAACCTCTTGAGGAAGCTAATGGTATCCGCAAATCAGACGTTTGGTTTGTACTTAACGACTTCTCTATGGTTCTAGCTACAATCGCCACTTCCCTTGCCTTACATCTCGGCCTAGGCCAAGATACCGATGCAGGACTTCTCGATGTAATGGGAGCAGGAGATTCCGTTGAGAACGAGAATGATGAGAAAATGGCTGAAGATTTAGTTCCGCAAAATGTTTCTACACCATCTACTGAACTTCAGCAAGCTCAACCAGTACGTCGAAAGAAGGTAGTCGATGATTGGGATGCTGGCGAGGATAGATTGGCTGCCGAGGAAGATTATTTGGAGAAGGAAAAGGAGAGTGGTGCGGGAGCGACGGAAGATGAAGAGTATCAAAAGTTGATGACTGTTTATCGGGCATTTAGAAGGTTGAAGACAGAATTTGATGAGAAGTTTAGAGCTATCTGGGCTTAGATGGGATATCTATGGATGGTAGAGTGGGTAAAGTTGTTACGATCGTGACGAGAATGGCGTTTTTGATTCAAATTTTCTATCGATTTGGATAGAATGAAAAAAAAATTAAATGGAGAATAGATGGAAAAATTTCATGGTAGATAAAAAGCTAGTACTCTGTAATGGATTTGCTGAGTGAAAGTTGCTGTGGTATGTTATATGTATTTGTGAGATCTTATATTCGCCTACTTTTCCACCGGAATATTATCTCTTTACAGAGGATCAGATATCAAAAGTAATTTCATACCTTGTATGTCAGAAGAATTTCATAATATTTAATCTCGAATCTATTTATCCATTGAGAATATAAGTTTGATTGCTGGAATAGTATTTATTTATTGTATATATATTTTGTATTTTGATCTATTATCATCTTATAAAAAATATAAATATAAACTATACTCGTATATAATTCTATAAAAGTTTTTTTTTTATAGAAAATCTCTTCTTACGCCGAGTTGTTACGAGGGTTGCCGTCTAGATCATGTGGAAGTGCTCTAGGCTCTCGAGGTGGTTTATAACTAGGCGTCAAGCAGGAACTTAAAGTAATGACAATAATGATATGCAATTTGTAACTAATAGTAGAGTATACTAAATGATTGATCTTGAGCACGAAGCTCTATATAAATGAAATCCATCTTGATTATATAGGCCTTCATGCCTATGGCTAGTCAGGACCGCGCAGCGGTCCATAACGTGACTTAATCACGTTACCTTAGTTTAGTCATGTGACGCGGCGTAGAAGATAGCCGTCGTAACAACCGACAGATCGAGATCGGCTTTACAATGATCGATTTGTCGGGCTTATAATCATCAGTTTTTTTAAGAAGATACAAAGATCTATATAATCAAGATGGATTTTCTTTGTATAGAGCTTTATGCTCAAGATTAATCATTTAGTATACTCTATTATTAGTTACAAATTGTATTATTGTTATTACTTTAAGTCCTTGTTGACATTTAGTTATAAATCATCTCGAGAGCCTAGAGCACTTCCACATGATCTAGACGGCAAACCTCGTAACATATATAAATCCTATACAAATTGAAAATCTTAATTTCAATCTTTAATTTCTCAATTAATAAAATCGCGAAAAATCTGAAATTTTCAAAATATATTATTATATAAATAAAAAATTCATAGTTGAAATTTCAAAAAATTATATTCATAAATAAGAAAATTATAAAAGTCGATTTTCATCATTTTTGGTGAAGGAAAGTGGCCGGAATTAGGGGTGGCCGGAAAGTAGGGTACTAGACTTACTCCTTTTTCATGAATTCTATAACCTTATCATATTCTCAAGTATAAAACAAAATGACTATCGCACCAATTTGGAAATTCAGGACACAACTTACAAGGGCTTCTTGCCCGCCCCGCTTGGGAGAAAGCACGTTGTGATAGACAGATATATCCACAGACTCACAGTTCACCACATCATTCGACATGTGAAATTAAAGTTTCTAAAATTATCTAATACATTCTCTATCTAGCATGTCAATTCTGTTTCAATAAGTAACTAGTGATTTAAGCACACTATCTATCTGTCTCCTGCGGAGTCTGCATTCACAAAAACCATATAATCAACTCGACTTACAAATTACCAGAGAAAAAAAAGGTCCATCAAAATAATCCTGTAATCATTAATAACTTACACAGCAACTTGAACAACAAAAGACTTGTCTCAGAACAGGGTTAACTGTGCATTATTTGGAAATCTCCTGTGATTGATATCTAGATAGTTTTCTCTCACTGAATGTGTTTTAGATGACAGCTACAAGTATAAGTAAGACCTTACGAATGACTCAAAGATGTATGCATAACGCCTACCTTTCTCAGGGATAAATTGATAAAGCTTGCAAGTATGAGGAGAAGGAGGCAGAAAAGGATGTTCATTGCGTGAGGGAGTGAGTTTTGAGGGGTGAGAACGATTAGACTGAGTAGAACGACTTGATGGGGAAGAATGGAAGGCGAATGGGAAAGTAATAATTAAAGCCCAAGATAATTATGAGGGTAAACTAAAACCTCTCGTTTTGCGTCCGGAATTTATGTATGCATCCACGTCGTAATTGATAGACGCCTTGCTAGATGTCATCCCAAAATTCCTGCTCAGAACGTTTATTCGGTATTATCATTAACAGCATAGTTTCGTATAACCCGAGAAAATAACCAGTGAGCATGAATAACACCTTGTCCTCTCAATTAGGCCATTTCATGACGCTTAGTCGAAGAGATCATGGAACTTTCTAGTAACTTATGTGAGATCGGTGGTGGATATTAATCAAATATTGGGTTTCTTGAGACCAGAAAGAGCATCAGATTGAATTGATTGATTCTCTAGCTAAGCAGTTAAGCTGCGAGTATATATTCAAAAAAAAAAAAAAGGAATAAGGTTAGGTATTCAGCCTTCGGAATTAAAGTGCTTTGAAATCAAAATATTGAAAGCAAACAAACAGTATACCAAAAAGGAAAGAATGAATTAAAAGTTGAGTTTTGTTTGCTCCTTATATACATCATGCAATATATATGCATATGCTGCCAAGATCCCAGGAGGTCAACATCAAATGTATGAATTGGTTCGATTCCAATCCACGGAGATGTCATTAAAGAACTCTACGTCATTATTGACTCAAATAAAATGAAAATGCTCTTGACATCAGCTCTCATCTCCTCTAGGTCATTGGAGGTTGTTGTAAAGCTGTCGATATAAGGTAACATAGTTGGAGATGGTAATAGTTATTGTTGTGTTGGATTCTTGAAGAGTAATGAATGGTTGATAGTGCGATATTTAGAAGGTGGGAGTTGGAAAGGTGTATCTGGGCTTGCTCGAATGGAATTGAGATACTCGGTGGTAATAGGAGCTGAGTTGCTTTAGTTCGACATTGCTTTAGAATGTGGAATGAATGTAAATAGCGATTGTAATTTGTATTGTGTAAATGTGTGGTGAAATGTTGTTGATTTGAGTAGTTTCCTTGTGAGAATGGGTTAATGGGATAACGGATGGAAGTGATGGAAGTGAGAAAACAATAATTAGTGCGAAGAATTCATCCATTGAATACCTTTTCTTTGACTCATCTCATGTAGCTATCCACCACAGAGAATATGAGTAGACTCTATCATGATAATGCTGCTTCATCATTTCATGATAATTAAGCCCATAGTAGATAGAAGTATGTATCCTGTTCAAGTCATTGCAATGAACCTGCAGATGGATTAGGCGCCCATCTCTCATCATCCATCAACGTAGAGGTCGAAGGTGATGGACAGAAGGCAACGATAATCTATACATAGATTATGATAGATAGTAACCTCTATATTTTTGCATTCATCATACTATACTTATGCCCACCCACTGAAGTGTTTCTCCATCTCACTACACCAAAACTCCTGCTTTTCCATCTAATCAGACCCAAACTCTCGGGTCGTCCGCATTAGTCCAGCTCTTCGCAATTGACGAACTCCTATTTACATCTAAAAAGAGTCAACAAGCAAAAAAAGTAGCGGGACACATTCGATACACATATTATGACTCTTTTCAAAATATCTAGTTGAATGAAAGAATATCAATAACCATATTGTGATGACAATTTTCCCAGACGTACCCCATCATTAACAGCCTTGCATGAGCTTTCGATTGACCATTTATCTCAGTAGAGGCAGGCCATCGAGGACTACCACGATTTTTTCCCTTTTCCTTACTACTTACTTCATACGTAGATAACAGAAGGGATATCATGAGTCATTCATTCCCTTGAGTATCCGTGTCAAGAATATCTCCGGGGATGAGAACGACAACTTCCTCAAAACCGCGTACCATTCCAAAGATCACCGCGCTAGAATCATATCGACCGACTATGGTAAGCAATGATGGCATTCCCGCCTTGAGCTTTTTTCTTTCTTACACGCACGATCCTCGAGCTCCTCGAGCCCTACGGAACTACCTTTCCTTGATACAAGCTTAGCCCCCTCTTATTTCCCCAAGTATTAACTCCATCCATCACCCCTATGACGTGACCGAGCCAACTAAAACTCGAGTAAATTAACTACCGAAGTAAGTACATACATACATACACTTACTTGTTTGTACGTACCCCCACCATATTAACAAAAGCTAGCAGAATAAACTTCCATCCATCTTCATTAAATAACCCAGCATCAAACCTGTTTATTATTATGTTTCCGATCTTCAAACAAGAGATCTTCATGGTGAAATTTAATCAATGCTCAAGAAGAGTCCTCATCGATATCTTTCTTGTTCGTTTGATTTCCATCCGATGATCATGATGATGATTTATGATTTTCTCATTCGGGGAGAAACCCCTCCCCCCAACACTTCGAAAACAGAGGGACGATGATGGATGGATCTCTTTCTTTATTAATCAGTAAATTAAGTACTACTACTGGGTAGATATCAAAAGAAAATTATTAAAAGGACTTTTGATTCATCTATCCATCCATACATATACTTACTCTCTCTGTCTGTCTGTATAGATAGATAATAGGTAAACAGTTGTTTTGAATAAATTATTAGACGTTGGAATTCATATACCTAATAAATAGTATAATAAGTAAATATCAATCAGAGCAATAAATATTTATGAATTTGGAGTTCTACTGTGTTTGTTTTCTCTCTGTCTTCATCTCAGTCAATAAGCCCCGCATCACACACACACACACACACACATCCCCCCCCAACCCCAACAACCAACCAAAATCCAAAAAAAACCAACACCCCAGCCTCTCTCTCTCTCTCGCTTAATTAACCCCACACCACCACCCACCAATCCCCTCCCTCCCACCTCCAAAACCACCAAAAAAAATCGCAAAAAGAAATACAGGACACGATGGAGTCAAACCATCCTGATCTTCAATCCAAACTCCTCAAAGTCTGGCGGTGCTGGGAATCGAACCCAGATTGAAACGGAATCATTCGTGAGAAATCCAATTAAAGATAAACCACAACGTCACGTGCTACCATTACACCACACCACCTGTTTTTATTGATGTGGTTAGTCACTTATTGTGGAATATATATGTAGTGTGCTGGTGGGGTGCTGGGTGTGGGTACGTACGATGCTAGTGAATTAATTGAGGGGTGGAGATGATGATGCATGCGTTTGTTGTGTTATTGAATAAAAGAAAATTTGAACTTATATATATACCTAAGTATGTATATTTAAAGATATAGTATTTTATTATTGAGTTATTTTAATTTCTCTATCTTTAATAGTATGGCATCCATCTCATTGTTAAGAATAAATTCAATGCGCAAGTTTCTCAATAATTCGATATTTATAACAATACAAAGAAAATGAGTCTACCAAATCACATCTATCACTCAGTAATCTCAATACTCAATAAATATTTATACGAGGGCAAGCTGTCATATCTCAAAAATTTCGATAACGAATGTAATTAATTAATATTCCAACGCCATCAAAACATCCCATAAAGTTCTATGGATATATGTATATACACAATGAAGAACGAGTAAAAAAACATAGCTCTTGACCACCGGTGATGTCAAGCACTGGGTATATTACAAAAAAGAAACCTTTGTTTCCGCTTCAAAATTCAGCGCGTTACAAGCTCATTTCATGCCATATTTTCTCCACTCGTACTCCTCGAAGCAACATTCTCTTCATGCACCACTGATCCATTGCCACTTCCAATTTCCTTCGTTCCTCCCGCTCCTCCCGCTCCATTAACTTGTGAGAGCGAAAACGCCTTCTCCCGACCAACTGACAGATCTCCACGCTTTCCAAACTGTAGCTGCAGACGGTTCGCAGCTTTAACAGTACCGAGCCAAGTCTTTGATTCGAGAAATATCGAATCAATTTCCTCCAAGTTTCTATATGCAGTCTCTGGATAAAATAGTAAGATAACTGGCATCATGAAAAAGTTGATGACTGCAAAAATAATGTAGGTTTTGTAACCAATCGAATTGAATGCAACAGGGGTGATCATCACAACCATGAAATTGAAAATCCAGTTGGCCGATGTAGAGAGGCCATTTGCCGGTGCACGGATTTTGAGAGGAACAATTTCAGCTGGGTATAACCAAGGGACTGCGAGCCATCCACCTGCAAAGAAAGTGTTGAAGACGAAGAGGAACACGGCCGAGACAACACCAGGCTTTGAACCGCCAACGCTGTTTTCGGAAAGGTAATTCATGATCGCGAGAATGACCATACTTGCTACCATGCCCACTGAGCCCCATAACATGGATTTACGACGACCTAGTTTTTCAATTGTGAAGGGAGCAATGAAGGAAGCAATGAAGTATGCCGATCCGTTTGCTGCTGCTAGAATACGGGAAGTTCGGCCATCGAGACCGATATACTTTTCGAAAATCGTAGCCGCATAGTAGGTTATGAGATTAATACCAGAGATTTGTTGAAATACTTGAATAGTATATGCGAGCACAACACGATGGAAGTTACGCTCTGGGCCCATGGTAAATAGATCACGGTAGCCGGAATTGGCTGCTTCGGCCACTTGATCTTTGATCATACTGAAAGTTTTGCAAACACCTTCATTATCTTCAGGAAGATCTGCAAGTGCTGAGAGGACTTTTTTAGCCTCAGCTTCTTGATTCCTCAAAACAAGCCAACTAAAAATTTTGTCAGATTGAATTCAGTTGGACAATGGAAGAAAGTAATTACCGAGGGGATTCTGGAAGCTGAAGAATAAACATAAGTATTAGAACCGCCGGCAAAATTTGAAAAGCAATTGGGAACCTCCAAGATACTGAATTTTGCTCCACAAAAGATAATCCGAAATCAAGCCAATATGACAAGGCAATACCACCTGTAATCATGGCACCTTGGAACATGACCATTCTTCCTCTCGCATGAGACTCGGATGTTTCAGAAGCCCATGTAGGAACTGTACTTGTATTCATGCCATTTCCCACACCAGTAATAACACGTCCAGCAATCAGTTGGCCGAGACTAAAAGCACATGTCTGAAGGACAGCTCCAACGATCATGATTGCAGAGCCAAGGAATATCATGCGACGTCGGCCGAGAACATCTCCAATGAAGATGGTGACAATAGCTCCAAGGAAACAACCAAGATTGTAGCTCGATACTGATATGCCTTGAATGGTGGATGTGTAATTGGACGTATCGCGAAGAGTATCGATTTCTGGAAATGTTGAGACGAAAGATGGAAGAGTTAACAATCCTCCCCTAAAAAAAATATGAGCTCAGTCCTATAACGGTTCCGGGCGAACCCAGATCGTTTTATAGTCCGGACTAACAGACTAGATGTGAGCTTTCGATATTTGAAAAGTTGAAAATCTTTCCAGATGATTAACATTCAATTATTTCGAATACTCCCATGAATCAGAAAGTCTCTCATTGTCAGACTAGTCCGGACCATTAGATACTGCGGGTTGAATTGCGGTATACAGATGAGGTTATTTTGGGAACACTTACATGACACCCTGGTCGTAACCAAAAAGACTATGAAGGAGTTAGCTGTGGATACTGGTTACATGATTCATGCCGGAAAAACATCGGAAAAGTGAAGTCTTCAGCAAGGAAAAAAGGTGGTTCATTCAACCCCACACCCCACCTCCACCTTCTCAAATGTCGTACCATGACAACATGGGTACACAATCTGCCACACCCCAGAAAATGTGAAATGAAAGGAACACTCACGCGAAATCCAGTCCAGAAATCACTGTAATGGCGACGTTCAGCTTTTGGCCTCTGAAGCCGAAATAATCTCCTGAACCAAACATGGTTATGTTTCTCCGTTGTTTAAACGTGTATGTCTATACCGGTGTAAAGATATAAAAAAGTTGGGGGACTTCTGAAAGATACTTCTCAATCATCCACCACTTTACCCTCACAATACGTCTGTACACGAAAATGAGAAGAAGTAAGGTAGCACAAACGTAAACCAAACGAGAATTAGAAAACAAACAGGAGATTGTCCACCCTTATATACATATGCAGGTGGAACTTGATCAGAAGAAAACTCTGTTGCAGTAAACATTTCGGGAAGGTGTACGCAGATCCCTCTTACCTCCTCCATATCATAATATGAAGTAGTATTAGGTAAGTAAGCATTACGGCATATAAGCAGAAAAAGTCAATGGAAAGTTAACCTACTATCCGTGCAATTTGAATCTGGCACTTGCCATTCCAAGGTCACACCTGCCTTCTCTTGGCTACAGTCACAAATACCTGGGGACCCCACCAATGCCACATGTCACGCAGAACTTGAATTTGAGTAGCGCAACCCCGCAGAGTTATCTAACAACTACCGCCCAAATCTACTCACAGAATATTACATAAGCGCCAGATTTTCCGGGCCAAAGCAAAAGTGGATAAGGAGGTTATCCGCTAGAAACATTCTTCCACATCTATAGGTATTGCTTGATGGATTATTCTAGAAATTCAGTGTTTTAGGTGAATCTAGATAGAATATTAAGTATCTAGTGCTTGGAGAATTTAGACTTAATCAACTCCCGATGCCGGTTTGTGTACAAGCCCCGATCAAAGCAAGACTGGGAGGTAGCCCACGTGCTGCTTGACTGTGGTTGAAAAGAAAAGTTTGCTCCTAAGCCAGGGGAATTTCCCTTAATGACATAACTAGCGGGGGCAACCTTTATATAGGTATCCGTCAAAGCCAAACGCCGAGCAATGGTCCAGTCGTTGCGCTTATATAAAAGAGGGTAGCCGGAGCGGATAGGAAAAAGTTGGAAAGCTGGGCGCTGATATGCCGTAGGTTTCCGGGGGTGGGGGCATTTTCTTTATTTTTATATCATGGTTTTGACCTCCGCAATCAATCTAGTTGATCTGCGAAAGAACTCTATCGCAAAGCAAGTCCTCTATGTTCCCATTTCCACTTGTGTCTGATTCATTCTAGGGGACGCAGCGACAAAAAAAGCTCAGGCTCGCCCGTAAAGAAAAAGGAGAGGTAGCTAGCTTAGAATGGCGATCCCATTGTTATGATGGCATTGTAGAGCGTATTCCAGAAAATTTTTTTTCAATGTCAACTCCATCCCCCATCCTCTGAGCTTTCGGAGCGCTCCGTTGTTACATTTTGTGCTTACTGGTGAGGACGAGTTGCTATAGGCTCGCGTATACAAGTGTGGTTCCCTTGGCCCGCTCCGCCAAATCACCAATTGAATGAAGCTTCTCTCATGTGCTGCAACCTTGTTGTTGTTGGCGAAGATCACGTTTGATGCGACTCTTTGAATATTATAGGTAAGGTATTGTGGATACATCGCAACATCGGCAGAAACTATTTGTCAGGACCTTGGACAGGAGGAGAGATAATTTCCAATCAATGCTTGCTCTTATCATGTTTGTCTGATGGCCTGATCTGTAAAGGAATTTTCTCAGCAGCGCCCTTTTTATTTGGAGAGAAGTTGCGTCGTAGTGAATGTTTTGTAGTCACAATATACTCCACTGGAAAGTCGCTAATTGTTACGTAGTAACAGTCAACTTGTCCATATGAGCTCAGACCCCGTGGAAAAGCAAACCGATTCACATACAAAATTGTATGGTAATCGGTTCGTAGAGTCTCCCCACCTTCAGCAAGCACAGACATATGTTCTGATTGAAATCACGTGATGGATCTAAGAGATCTAGAGGATCTAGGGGATCTAGATAATTAAACTCTAGATCCAGTAGATCCAAGGGATCCAAAAGAATACAGTAGAATATGAAGTTCTATATAAGGGATAGGTTTTCATTTGTAGAGCTTCGTGCTCAAGATCAATCATTTAGTATACTCTACTATTAGTTACGAATTGCATATCATTATTGTCATTACTTAAGTCCCTGCTTGACGCCTAGTTATAAACCATCTCGAGAGCCTAGAGCACTTCCATGTGATCTAGACGGCAAACCTCGTAACACGGCTATCTTCTATGCCGCGTCACATGACTAAACCAAGGTAACGTGATTAAAGTCACGTTATGGACCGCTGAGGAACGCTGGCTGTCTAGGACCGCGCAGCGGTCCTGATTAGCCATAGGCATGAAGGTCTATATAACCAAGATGGATTTCCTTTGTATAGAGCTTCGTGCTCAAGATCAATCATTTAGTATACTCTACTATTAGTTACGAATTGCATTATTGTCATTACTTTAAGTCCCTGCTTGACATTTAGTTATAAACTACCTCGAGAGCCTAGAGCACTTCCACGTGATCTAGACGGCAAACCTCGTAACATTCAGTTATATTACTACAACTTTGAATTCTGTTGAATAATGTAGATCAAGGTATATTATAGTAATTAATAGCCTTTCGAATCGTTAATATTTTGTTCAATTCGATAACCTCAATAGCCAGGATTATTCATGCTTCTTTTGAATGAATTTCTATTAATAACTATTGAATAAACGCGTATTGAAGTGAGAGAGTAAAGGATATTGAAAAAGTGTCCGACCCACTGATAAACCACGTTATAGAATAGAGATAAATAAAAGCTTGGTCCTGAAGAGTATACTAACCGCTTACTTCGGTAGATTCTGGGTCTTAGATGCTGTGCATATACCAAAGGAGCAGGTAGTAGTGTTGAAGTTCGATGTGAGGGGTGGAACCCGTGATGTCTGGCTCAGGCAGAGCCTTCGCTTACCGTTACTAATCACGTGACTCACGCATATAATTGAGAACCGAAAGCGGAAATCTCTTTTCTCTCTTCATAGAATCGTCTATAGTTTAATCTGAACCTACGTTTCCAAGACTCTTGAACGTAGACTCTCACATTCGATCACCGAGTAGGCATTTACCAAAAAGCCACTGATTGGCAATTGATGTAGCAGTAATTCTCTTGCGTCGCATCTATGAAATTACAGACATGCATAGTTACCTGAATACGAGTTTGAAATAGAGCGATAAAACGAAAGACACGGGGCTGTCCAGCAATAAAATCTACAAGAGTGTGTGAACTTCTCTAAGTGAATATGCAGCGCCTCCTCAAAGAAGGTCGGGGAAACTTCCTCTTGCACTTAACATAAGCTATCGGGGAGATTTTTCTCCGTATATAGGCACCATTTTAGTGAGCTGGGCCTCTCTCGTGCTCCTGTGCTACCGTGTGTAAGCCGTGAAATGCATGGGTGGGCCCTCCAACTCTTCAACCGAAAACCTAAGCAGGGGGTGGCATATGCTCCGAATAAGGTCTCGTATGGCCAATCGATAGTGAATATTCCCTTCAATCCATCCATCGAGTAAGTATTAATCATTATAACTCACCCATAGCTATCCCAACCCGACGGATGCCCTAGCTACCGGGTGGGTAGGCTCGCAGCCTACTGGTGCGTAAGTACGGGATACAGCGATCCGCGCCACCAACATTAAAAAACTGCTGGAAATGATCATTTTGGCAGTACATCCCAACCGAGCCTCTTTCATACGTGAATATGAGATACGACGCTCCGCGCCATCAACATTGCAGAAATATTGTATACAACTCCTTGATAATCTAAATCGGAGGGTCAAAATAGAGGAGTTGAAGTTGATAACTCGAAGGTGCAGGGAAGCGAAGGCTAATTGTTGACCTCCTGGGATCTTGGCAGCATATGCATATATATTGCATGATGCATATAAGGAGCAAACAAAACTCAACTTTTAATTCATTCTTTCCTTTTTGGTATACTGTTTGTTTGCTTTCAATATTTTGATTTCAAAGCACTTTAATTCCGAAGGCCGAATACCTAACCCTATTCCTTCATTTTTTGAATATATACTCGCAGCTTAACTGCTTAGCTAGAGAATCAATCAATTCAATCTGATGCTCTTTCTGGTCTCAATAAACCCAATACAATCCCATCTATTTACATACAGTCTCTCAGCCGTTCAGCACAGTGCCCTCCTCTATCCTACCTGTGTAAGCCCACCTGTTCAAGAAGCTCAATTAAAAGCAACTATAACAACCGTGCAGCACTCTAAGGAGCGATTTCGACGACAACCCGTTTTTCTTTTTCAAGATCTAAAGCTCTTAAGATTAAAACTATACAGCTAAGGTATTTAAATTGGCAGGCGATGTGAACACAGACCAACCTACTAAGGAAAAGTGACAGAACATCGAGCATAAGCGACAAGCTACCCAGATCTTCTCCGAGATGTCACAGCAGACATTAAGACACCTGCTAGGACGACAATCTGAAAGCTTCAATTTGCTCGAAGTCGCATTCTTGACAGCGGCGCTCGAATCTGCATTATACTACGAAACGCGGATGCGTTCTGCTCCAGCCTTCGATAACAAGTTTAATCTACTGTCACACGCGATCCAGCTGGCAAAGTCCGACGGACTCTTCCTCGAGTTTGGAGTTGGAGCTGGCGAAACCATTAATCATATCGCAATGCAGATCGACAAAGACAGGATAGTTTTTGGCTTCGATTCATTCACGGGCCTACCCGAGACTTGGCGCACTGGTTTCGTCGAGGGAAAGTTTGCGCAGAGCACACTTCCAGCCGTGCCTTACCATGTGACGCTGATTAAGGGTATCTTTGACGACACTCTACCTGCATTTTTAGAGACGAATCTGGGTCCGGTCGCGTTCCTACATGTCGATTGCGACCTGTATTCGTCGACAAAGTCCTTGTTGAAACAACTTGCTCCTCGTATTTGTGAAGGTACTATTATTGTATTCGATGAGTATTTCAACTTTCCTGGTTGGCAGCAAGATGAGTATAAGGCTTTTCAAGAACTTGTTGCAGACTGTGGCCTAATCTATGATTATATCGGCTTCGTGCCAAGCCATCAGCAGGCTGCGGTCTGCATCACGAAAAAACAAAATTCATGAGATTAGTACTACTGGCGTTCATGGTGGTTTAAAGTTTAATTTCACGTTATAATATTAATTACATTGCGCTAAATAATCACTATAGAATATCGTTTCGTTGTGGCTTGTACAACTTCCCCATCCATTACTCCTTCCAGGAAACAGTCTCCAACCAGGTGATATGTTCTAAGATGTGAATCGTTTCTAGAGACTTTTCGTAATATGAAAGGGAGTTTAGAGCCGATTAGAATCCACACTTCATCGTTACTCTTAACTTTTAGGTAGCAAAGTCCGATCCTTCCACGGCTTGTGATATAGAGGGAACGCCCGCTGCTTGCCATATGCATTGTTTCTCTATACCCCTCTGGTAACGACCACATGTTCCCATCCATGAAATATTGCCACTCTTCTTGGCTAGGAAGATCATTTTCTTTGGTTCGCCTCCACCCACGATTCGGTCCATAGAGGGGCACACCATCATCTGTCATCGATGCACACATGACATGAGACAGAGCTATACGAACAATATCTTCCTTCGATGTACCCAAAGCTGTTTCACATAAAGATCTCCACTGCCTGAGGGTGCTTTTTAAACGTTGCGGCGAGATGTAAGCAGATTCCAAGTTGGGGCTGACAGAAATAACAGTATCCGCTTGCACGCCTGTAACAAAGCATCTTTTTGGATGCTGGTATCTAGGATATCCATTTTCCCCATTTGAAGGATCGAAAAGAGATGATAACAATATTCTGCGGAGTATTTGCTCAATTATTCCAACTGGTATAGCTTCAGCAAAATCAGGAACCCAGGATGGAAGGCCAGATTTGCCTGAGCCAAAGATCGGTCCTATCATACATCGATAGTCGTTTCCCATCTCTTCTAGCATAAGCTTAAACGCTTGTATATACGAGTGTGCTATCGCGGTGGTATAATCCGGTTTGTAAGATCTTATCACAGATCTTTTAACGAGAGGGAGGAGCGAGTATATCTTATCTCGAGGCTCACTGCAGAGTCGATAGGAAAAAGTTAAAGCAACTTCGTAAAAAGGACGATGATTGTAATCCGGAAAGACTTGTGGCTGCCCCTTAGTCGAAAGAGGATTATTATCCGCCAAGTGGGCTTGTCGAAATCTCTCGATCCATGCAATCTGACCCATAAAAAGGTCAATAGTCCTTTTTATTGAGGCTGGAAGTACTTTAGGAGCTTCTTTACAGCATTGATCTCCGTTGAAAAGATGCCGAAGTCGATTTCTTCGAGCTATTATCAATGTGTCGAAAGTTGACCTCCAATTTCCAAAGCATAGGGCTGAGTTGCCTGGCAAAAAAGCCTCCTGAATGGTCCAAATTCGGGTCCACCAGGGGCTTTTGGCGATTAAAAGAAAGCTCTCCCAGAGAGCAGTAAAATCGTCGTCCGCTTGAAATGAAATCGATCCTGACTCAGTTCGAAGAAATTTGAAAACATCAGAGTAGTGTTTATTATCCGCAAAGTGTTGAATGAACCGAAAAGGATTGCATATAATAGAGTAAGGAGATAGCGACGCCCCAAGCCAGATATATACTGTCGAGCACCTCGAATAGATCTCCCCCATCAATGCTACCTGGTCTGATTTCTCGTTCAAGTCGTTTTGATTGATACATATTGCGTCAACCCAGAGGACTAATGTTTCTTCCTTATGCCTAAGGTGGCGAAGGCAACTTAATAGATTCACAGTGATCGGCAACTCTCCTTTGTTGGTATTTACAGCCTCAGTAGCGATATCTGTTCCCCAGACATAAGATACGCAGTTGTAACCATGAGCGTTGGCATCATTCAAGTTCTTGACATCAAGTCTGATGTAAAGCTGTTGGTGGTCTGTTCCAGGGTATAAATGCATCAGCCTGATATCCTGCGTCGCATTATTGAGGGGGTGATCCTCGTATAGTCCCGAACTATTGTAAGCTATCATATATTAGGATTTTCTCGATGTTGATTGAAATTAGCTATTTGAGAGATGTTGAGTTATTAATGTTCTTTTAACAGGATTGCCTATTTACCAAAATAGAATTCTTCTTATTTTGCTTTATCTATTTACAACTGGATAATTTCAATGCATCGCCAAGTTTTAAGCGCTAGGTTTAAGCTCCAAGAATAATGGTGGGCTACTTGGATTTGCTATTGGTTCGTATTACTGCATGTTTCCAAGAAAGCATATAGACTGGGCGTAAGAGAAGTCATATTTTTGTTCAAAGCCTCACGAAGCATACCCCGGGCAGCCTATTCATTGATGCATATACGAGATATATTAGGAAGCGAAGTAGGATGAGGCTGTGATTTCTAAAATCTTATATCGATTCGACAACAAATCAGGAGCACGTTAGCTTACTTTGAAGATAGACAAAGGATACCGGTTACTGGCTAATAGTCGAAATAAGAATACAGAAGCTGGTAGATGAGCGGCAGTTGAGCAGCTAGGCTGCGACGTCAACTCAGTGGGCCGATGGATACTCAGTGGGTCAAGAGCACCCGTAGGTGGGCTAAATGTTCTGAATAATTCACCTACTATCTATTGGGTACCTAGTTGGAATGTGCTACTTCTATTTAGTCGGTGTACATGTATATGACAGTGTATATGACAGTGTATATGACAAGCTGTACAGTGCCAGGCTGTACAGGCACCTCTAAGCACTGTATAGCCTTGTGCGGTTACCTGTAGATGAGTTGAAAAGTCCGAAAACCCACCTATGGGTATTTACGCCGTAGCCTATGCAGAACTATCGATCGTGTTTTACCCAATCAGAAAACAATTGCTGTCTTCGGTCTTTCGTATATGCAGCAAACCAACCGATAATATGCTAGGCGTTCGTAGAAACCTTGGTTATAAAGGGAGCTTTATATCCAATGTGGTTTCACAAAAGGAGCAAAGCTGCATAGCCGAGTCTCAATCACTTAGCCTAAAATCACTTCTCCTGCCTAATCTAACTGGCAGAAGCTCCCTTTTTCTATCTAATCTAATGCTCTTCTGTAATTCGCCTTTTTCTCGAAATAGTCCTAGTACGCAGAGCCTCATCGATGTAACTTTTTCTTCAACACTTCTAAGAAGCGTTTATATAAGTAGATGTTTATAGAAAGAGTAGTAGATTGTCGACTATCATTTTTTCAATACCAGATCAATAAGAAACGTAAAATGGCAAACAACATAAGTCGAAACTTCGAAATTGTCGTTGCTTATTACAACGAGGATCTATCATGGCTTCAGAACTATATTACAGACTGTAAAATCTATGCGAAAGGGTTTGTTCCTACTTTGAGCAACAATCTGCGCTATGAGAAACTTCCAAACATCGGCAGAGAGGGGCATACTTATCTTCATCATATCACTACTTGTTATGATCAACTTGCCGATGTAACTCTTTTCGCCCAAGGACGCATCGATGACCATGTCGCTGGTTCAATTGACGAAATAAAAGCCGTATCTCTAAATATGGACCAGTCTCAAGTTCTCACCTTTCCATCGACGGATACAGTTTCAACTGAATTCATTTGCTTCGATGAATGGGACGGTATTCAGTGGCAATCCCATCCGAGTCTAGATAAATGGGCAGCTATGGATATGAAACCAGCTGAAAAGACTCCTGCTATGTACTTCGCTCAAATTTTCGGCCATGGAGATGTTCCACTTTGTATTGGATATACATCAGGCGCCGTGTTTACTGTTTCGCGACAACTTATTCAGTCTTATCTTATTGAGTTTTATGAGAAATTGCTTGATACAATGTTCTTGGGTTGTATGAAGCATATAAATCCAGAAACTGGATTCTATATGGAGAGATTCTGGCTTGCTATGTGGGAGCCTAAGGAGTATATTTGCTGGAGCAAAGCGGATATTTCAAAATTGGAGAGGAACTCACGGGGACAACTTGCAAAAGGTAGATGGCAGCCAATTCCTATGTTATAGCGTACATAGGACATGTGACCGTGGGGACCTTAGGCTCAGAGATTGGAAGGCCAATAACAGTAGAACCCCACATTCAGGGTCACATGACCCAGAGGAGCGGTTTGATTCTGGATACTCCCAGGGCTCCTGGAGCAGACGGATCCTAAGGGCTCCTTGGGCTCCTGAGAACGAAGGTCTATATATACAGTATGTATTTCCTTAGTATATAGGGCTTCGTGCTCAATTCACAATTACTACTTGTTACTTACCATTGCCTTACTGCGATCGATTCCCTGTGTGACTGTTATCAACAATAAACCTACGATAATACTATCCAGTCCCGCGACTAGTTAGTATTCGAGATCCTGACCACTTCCACGTGACTCAGAAGACAAGCATTCGTAACACTAGTCGCGCTACTCCCTGACCTTCCTCGGAGACTGGTTCTCGAGTACGCCCAACTGAATTCTAGACTACCGTCGACCCAGGAGGTTTTGTTGTAGCGTTTCAAATTTCATATCTCTTTGGAAATATAAAACCACAATGGAAAACCGATACGATATCTCAATGGGCCCCTAGGAAACTCTATTCATTCGTACTACCATCTGTATTGTAGTGGAAGGATTCGAGGCTATTGGTGTTGCTAGGATAGTTTATTACATTGTAGTAAGATAGAGGAGGATAATGTGCAAAGTAACATCGATCATTATAGTCGAAGGCTGATACCATGCACGGTTTGTACATGATTCTTGAAATGCTGTAAATGTTGGAGAACAAGCCCTTCAGATTGGCAAACAGGATGAGTACAGGAGATTCTCTGGGATTTCGGAACCTCTTTCAAATGGCTATCCACATGGTTCATCATTTTATGCGGGGTAGCGTAAGTCCGTGTCCGATACTCATATGTACTTCGATCGTCTCCGATACAGATAATATATTGGGTCTTTTTACAAATAAGGGGAAAAGGGTCTTCGTATAATGATTGATCCTTAGGAGACTTATCCTTGGGAGACTCGGAAGACGCTCGACTCGAGCGATTGCTATGCGGAACTTCTTGTTCTTATCGATAGGAGAATGCGATCATTAAGTCAATAGCACAGATCCGGCGGCTGACGATATCGCTTGGGCTCAGGTCCCTCGAGAGATCACAAAGCACCTCCTGGAGTCGAGTTCGTTCGGGAAGCTGGTGATGGACGATAGGTTCAACATATTCGTTTGCAAGGACCTTTTTGAGTTGCCTCTCTAATTCTTCATCATGGATACAATCGAAATAATCTCGCCGGAACTCGATCTTGATAGCTCGATCGCGTTGTTTCTGTAACGAATCAATCTGCCGTCGAAGTTGTTCACATTCTTTGCGGATAGCAGGCGGGGCTCAACGGTAGGATCCATATTGTCTTTTGTATTCCTCACGTTCTCTTGTAAGTTCTATGATCTTTGGATCCGGAGGGAAAGCCTTCAAAACCTCTTCCGGTATATTGATCGGGGTACGCGGGTCGCACATAAGACTTATGTGGGTAAAGGCACGAAGAAATCCGATGTTTGTTGGCTGGTCTAACACCACATCTTGGACGATAAACCGGACCTTTTCGTTAATATAGGACCCGTAAAAGACTCCTGTCTGAGGGTTATGCCTCATCACCTGGTCACGTACAGCGGTTGAAGCTGCCCTTAGAGGATGTCAGCAAGAATCCAATATATATACGGGAATCTCGTATCGTCTACAGCATTCCCAGTGCCTCGACGGAAACAGTAGCTAGTGAGCTTCTGTGCAAATCCAGCAGTCCAGCCGAGACGGTCAAGATAATAGGCAAAGGTCGAGTAACGGAGAGCCTTGTATGCTGATGTTGATAGACCATCAAATGTCCATACCGCCTGCCGAAAGATCGGTGTCTTAAGTTTCTCCGGTTTCCAGTGTATTAGAACTGCTTTGGTAGGGTCTTGTAGATTGCTGACAAAAAAGGGTTCGACGTGAGTAAATCCGTCTACCTTGATAGCATTATCCCTGATGGCAATGGCTGAGATATAGCTAACAGAACAAAGAATTGGCAAAGTTTCTTCGTGAAAAAGGAAGGTCGTCCTACGAACATTATGTCAGCACGATCAAAACACTTCGACTCAGGAACATACGGTTTGGGTTTCCTGTCAGCTCCTTTATGATGAGCAAGAGTGATCTCCATTCCAAGGAGGTCGTGTTCTCCAGGGGTAGGATTTCGGACAATCCAAAGACGGATATCTTCATAACAGAAAGCTTTGTATTCTTGTGTAAGAACCTCCTCATCATCTTTATCATTGCAATCGGAGACTTTTGGATCGATCCAAGGCTCTGGATTCTCATATGTAGGATCATCATCTTTCGTCTCATCCAAGCCTTCATATTCCTCATCCCAATTGTCATCTTCATATATTTGATCGCGATCGATAGCACTTTTCACCTTGCCTGCATCAACCAGCTCGGCAGGTCGACAGCCAGTATAGATAAGGAGGAGCATGATTGTCGCAAGTGCCAAACGCTGATCTTCGGTTGGAAATATAGATGTGTCCCGGGCCCAGTGATGGGTAAGGAGGAGGATAAGGTCGTCCGCTCCCAGTACTGGCTTTGCTGTCTTTTCTCGTCTTAAAGTGAACTCCTTGGCCAAGATCGTATTGAGATACTGCAGTTGTGTGATCAGCAATCTGTCTCGGGGAAATAGCGACAAGGTATATTATCATACCTTGAAAACTTCTTTCGCATCATTCGTATCCATATGCCGTCCGTTGATTCGGTTGTAGAGCTGTTTGAACTGAAGCAGATACTGATGTACAGAACTGAATGTGCGCACCCTATAATTCTCACAGATATACCGGAGAAACATCATAGTAATCCCTTTGTTGCATTTTTGAATAGCTGCCCGCCAGTATTGCTCGTTTCGGAATTCGCAGAACCTGATATTATATAAGCTCTGCAAGGTGAAGATCAAGGTAGGCGATTGTTTTCTTACTTTTTCCATTTGCGGCATATACCAGTGATGTTTTCCTTCGTGGCATCTTGCATCTTTTGATGCAAGGGGACCGTTTCCATTCAGCTTTTGAATATTGATTTCGTAGTCCTCTGGTGTAAGCTTGGTTTTTTTAGGCCGTTGCTGAAGATTATTACGTCGTAGAAGGAATTGCTGGAGATTAATATTCTTGGGGGCATCGTCACAAAGGGGGCGCTTTTTCGAAGTATTAGCCATAATCAATAGTTGAAGAAGATTTGAAAGGGAGAGGAAAAAGGTAAATTGAAAAATATTCGAATATGAATGAAGAAGGTATATTGCTAGATAAGATGATGAAAAGGTATTGAGAAAAAGAGAGATGGGAAGGCCATAGTTTAAATAACTTGAGTACAGCCATTTTTGGCTCTCTCTTACTTAGAATGGTGATGTTGGAAACGGGAAACAGGAAGGGATAGATGAGGGCCATGAATTTTGGTGGGGTAGAGTTCGCGCTGATGTATGTGAACGATGTCGTTAGCGCGTGCTGAGGCTGCGTAAATGTTACGAGGTTTGCCGTCTAGATCACGTGGAAGTGCTCTAGGCTCTCGAGATGGTTTATAACTAGGCGTCAAGCAGGGACTTAAGTAATGACAATAATGATATGCAATTCGTAACTAATAGTAGGATATACTAAATGATTGATCTTGAGCACGAAGCTCTATACAAAGGAAATCCATCTTGGTTATATAGACCTTCATGCTAATCGTCCCCTTGGTCCCCTCGGTCCCTTCGATCAAGAGACCGAGGGGATCGAAGGGACCATGTGATTACATAATTGGTCACATGATACGAGATCCGAAGCCGTCGTAACAAGCCGTCGTAACAGTAAAACAGCGACGAAGCTCGCTGAATATAGCGGCCGAAACACCTCGATGTGACGCCTCACACCTCCGGGTCACGTGGCATGCCCCGTTTGTATTTAATCACAGGAAAACTCTCTACTCTTGTTAGACAAATCCTCCAACAGGTTGTTGTAGCGGAGTGGTTAGATAGAACGTTTCAACATGCCTCTTTCTCACTTCGCACTTTAACCCTTCGCCACATTTTTCGATCGATTTAATTCGTCATTATGTTCCCGATATCAGACTTAATCCGGACGTCGAGACGTGAAGACTACTCGCTCACTATCCGCGTTCCCTTACTGAGCTAGGCTGTTTCTGGATTAGGGGTTAAGGGGAGGAATTTGATTGAAGGATTGAAGGAATTGGATTGTGGCACAAATCTACAATTTGGTATTGGAACTGAGACACCGCGGGATCAGGGACCCGGGCTAGTGGAAAAAACTAGACTTTATCATTCAATTGAGATATACTCTCTTTACGAAGGCAATCATGTAAACCCTGCCCTAGTACTTGTACTTAACTCCACTAGCTTAGCTAGATAACAACCCGGGGGTCTCCCCTGGGCGTCATTTGTCCAAATCTGGAATGTATGGCAACAGGTAGCACGTGCAAGCACGTGAGGCCTGCGGCCTATGACGATAAAAATATCATCATCATCTCTACTCTTGTTTTCCTTCTTCTTTTCTCCTTAGCTTAGTATTTTCTAATACAAGATACTTTACCCAGTATTCTTGAGTGTGACACTCGAACTCGCTTTATTATATAAAATTATTTTATATTATTTATATCTCTTTAATAAAAAAAAGAAAAAGAGATGAGACGGGTAAGATAAATAATAAAATAAAATAATTTATCACTTTTATATTAAATGTTACGCCGAGTAACAGGAAACTCTCACGTGCAATCAATATCACGTGATTGGCTCAGCAAGGATCAGTGAGCTCAGTACTGAACCGCATTGCTCCTACTAAGTAACCATCGGCACAAAGGTCTATATAATCTAGATGGATTTCCTTTGTATAGAGCTTCATACTCAAGATCAATCATTTAGTATACTCTACTATTAATTACGAATTGCATATCATCATTATCATTACTTTAAGTCCCTGCTTGACGCCTAGTTATAAACCACCTCGAGAGTCTAGAGCACTTCCACGTGATCTAGACGGCAAACCTCGTAACATTAAAAAATATATATTTCTATAAATATTCACTATCTAACACCAGTATCTCTAATAAAAGTACCTAGATTAATATAACTATAACCTCTAATACGATTCAAAAGTTTATATAAACCGAATACCTTGATCTGCCCTCAAGTGTTACGTAGTAACAGTCAACCTGTCCATATGAGCTTAGACCCCGTGGAAAAGCAAACCGATTCGCATACAATTTTGTATGGTAATCGGTTCGTAGAGTCTCCCCACCTTCAGCAAGCACAGACATATAGTCTGATCCAAGTCACGTGATGGACCCTGCATATTCAGGGATACGAATCGTAGGTCCATACGAATCGTAGGTCCATACGAATCGAAGGTCCACAAACTCTCAGGACCCAAGAGATCCAATGGAGGACGAAGGTCTATATAATCAGGATGGTTTCCTTTGTGTAGAGCTTCGTGCTCAAGATCAATCATTTAGTATACTCTACTATTAGTTACGAATTGCATATCATTATTGTCATTACTTAAGTCCCTGCTTGACGCCTAGTTATAAACCACCTCGAGAGCCTGGAGCACTTCCACGTGATCTAGACGGCAAACCTCGTAACATCAAGCGGCTAATACTCGAGATTGGCTTATATAGATACCTAGGTACCTATAGCTAATGTGTGTAATCCTTTTGGAATTATCGATCTTTGTAGAATTCTACGGAACAATTGAACCCTGGTTTCTAAGCAGTTCATGGCAATTGCGTCATAATCTCGTGTTTATATAAACTTATCTACTGCTTGTTTGATGTGTGTGAAATATAGATTGATGATGACATTCGGTACCTAGATATATCATGTGAAATTTTCAAACGACTATGACTTCTTCACTCTCATTCATAAGAAAACCGAAAAAGATAGATATCAACTAGACATTCTTATTGTGAAAAAGTTCTATTCTCTCGCTTGTTTCCTTGATTTGATATACTTGTAACCATAATAGTACAATTTCTCCTAACTCCAGTATTTTTCCACAGAGCTACGCTGTTCAACAATTTGCATTGTATCAATAGCTTTGATAACACTACCAGAATACCATCTAGCAACACATCAATCTAGTCCATGTTATCCTTCTACCATCCCTTGAACAGGAATTGTTTATCCATAGATATATACCCTCAGAAGGTACGTGCCAGTAATTCAGCCCTGAACGCCAAAGTCCATATCATCTTCCATCCTCAATTCTCTCCTTCTATACCATTATCCCACTATCTCCTCTCATCATGATTTCCCCCTGGTGGAGGCATACCAGGGAATCCTTGTCCGGGAGGCGGCATTCCTGGAAAACCTCCTGGTGGAGGAATTGGAAATTGGAAATTAGGTGGTAAGCCGCCAGGAGGAGGAAATGGCATTCCAGCAGGCATACCCGGGAAGGGTGGCATAGGTGGCGCACCAGGTTGTCCAGGTAGAGGAGGCATAGGAAAACCTCTTGCGCCTGGTGGAGGGAATGGCATACCACCTGGACCGGAAGCTGGAGGAAAAGGTGGAGGAACGCCTCCGGGAAAGTTGGCTGGGGGAAACGGTGGGAAGGGTGTTGCAGCTGCAGGGTTGTGGAGCATAGGGTTCGAAGAGGATTGACCTTCGGCGGCGTAGGAGGATGTTATAGAATCGATTACGGATTGGGCTTTTTCGTGGCCGATTTCTGGAGTTGGGTGACGGGTTAGTTTGTTGATAGTTTGAATATGGAATATTGGGCAAGAAAAACATACGTTGATAATAATCGACGACATTGCGCAAATGATTACGTCCACTGTTATGAGCTTTGCGCACACTCATTGAGTCATGAGTCAGGTAGACATCACAGTAATCACCTTTGAAGGTGCGTTAGCAAGCTGTTCGCATTGAAGCTCGAATGTCGCATCTATCGCGACGCGTTGATTTTGTACTTACAGAAGACTGTGAAAATAGTTAGCATATATTCCAGAGTCGCGACAAATTAAAAACTTACATTTTGGCATATTTGCAGTAATAAGATATCTCGATCTGTTGAAATTGTCGTTGAAATTGAAGCTCAAAAATCCCCGAATGTAAATCTAGAAGTTTAAGCTTCATCTGCACGTGATCCCCAATTCAACTCATCCCTGTACCCCAAACCTTACACGTCGTCTAAATATTTGGGTTGCCGCGATCTGGTTCTTAAGTTTCGAGAGCTACATCTACACATATTTTCCGAAGCTCCTTGTTATCCACACCATCAATTCGGTTCCTGCATATCATGGCTTACACAAGGTCGTTTCTGCAAACGCTTTGCAGTTTCTTTTTAGTACTAGCTGTTGCGGAAGCACTGAAATTCGATATCGATGCCTATCACAAAGGGGACAAGAAGGGAGAGAGATGTATTAGGAATTTCGTGGCGAAAGATACTTTGGTGGTAGTTACGGCTACAATTGATGGTCACAAGGGGGATGGTATGCAAGTCGATATGCATGTATGTTTTGTCTGGATTGCTTGAAGGAAGTTAGGATGCATGCTGATGTGAACTATAGATTAAAGATGCTGTCGGAAATGAGTATGGGAAACCAAAGGACATTGTAGGCGAGAAGAGAATGGCCTTCACATCTCACGCCGATGCATCATTCGACGTATGCTTCTATAATTATTTTACAGCCAGTTCGTTGCCCTCTCTCCCTTCATTTTCATTCTAGCTAGTACTAACTCACATCTAGCAAGCCGTATTCACAACCCTCGCCGCCACGTTGAACTCGATATTGATATTGGAGCTGATGCCAAAGATTGGTCTGCTGTTCAAGCTACAGAGAAACTTAAGCCAGTCGAGACTGAATTACGGCGCATCGAAGAAATGGTCGCGGAAATTGTTGCGGAAATGGATTACCTTAGGCAAAGAGAACAAAAGTTGAGAGATACAAATGAGAGTACAAATAACAGAGTTAAATGGTTTGCGTTTGGAACTATGGGAATGTTGGTCTCATTGGGGGCTTGGCAGGTGATATATTTGAGGGCGTACTTCAGGTATGTTTTTGAAATCGTTAAGAAGAGGGTACTTAATGCTAACTTATGGGGAATAGATCAAAGCATCTTATTTAAATATAAGTATGTTGATCGACATGAGGATAATGGGTTGCGGGGAGGATTTCTACAGCGAATAAGACTTTGTTTTACTAGAGTGTGAAGACATTTGTATAATGGAATATGATATAAAAGCTATAACAATTTTGGCATGAAGGAGCTGTCATTGATTATTGATTTTATCGTGTCGGTTTGTGTCCGTTTTTGAAGAAAGTACTCGGAAGTCGGGCCTTCATATTCGTGCATAGTAAAATTCAAATGCCAAATTTTGGATACTGCAAGGGGCATTTGCCGCATTGGCTGCAAATGCAGCGGTCTTTGAAATCATATTCAACAAGATTCGTTTCATTATATATACAGTCTGGTCGCTTGTGATAGACGATGAAATGTCTATCAAAGAGTAGTTGAGTCCCGAGGGAAAAGGAATTAGGGCTCCTCCCAGTCATCCACTTTTTGTTCTATTCGACATACTTTCTCAATTCCTGACGAAACTTACCTCTCGCTGCGGGTCAAGTTTATTGAATCCTATCTCCGGTCATAATCCTCTCATTCTCTCTCCCAGCTATTACAGTGCTCAAGTGTCACCATTGTATCGTGTCTCGCATTATGCGAAATATGCTACATCCCACAACAGATGATCAAATGTTATGAAATGCTTTAAATCTCCACGGAACAGTTTTCCTGATTGAACTTCAACTATTTTGTGTGCTGTAGTAATGACATATTCTTTCTCTCTGGGGGAGATTCTACTAGATATAGTACCGCTAGAATGCGTTTAGAAAATGAAGCTGGATTCTCTGAAACTGGGATTGCAACGCGTACCTCGATGTTTGACTTGCAAATGACCATAGGCATAGATGGGGCTGCGCATGACATACAGCGGTAGGCGACGAATTGATGATGTCATATGAATGTTTGCATGCTAGCAGAGTTATGTGAGGTTACCTGGCTTGCATAAGTCCTTCGTGCAGTATATCCTACTGATTGGTACAGTGGTCACTATATTTGGTGGCTGAACTCTAAAAAGGTTGTTGACCTCAGCTACAGCAGCATATATGTCAATCTTCTGAGTACATATACAATAGAAGGATGTGAGTTGTGGACCAGAGGCATCAATTATGTTCTATCATTCTTCTTTCGACGGAATTTCAATCTTAGCATGGGTATTATCGTGATCTTTTCCGAGACAAATTCACTGGCAGATTGATCCACTCGAGCTCCATGTTGTATTGATACTGATACCTCTCATGACGGTCTACTTGGGAAAGAAAAATTAATAAACTCTGCTCGCATAGGTCTATCCATTCCCTCCCTTGTTCCAATTGCACAAAAAGAAATACAAGAGCAAATATCAATTCTCCACTAGCTCTCATCTCCAGTCTCCCGTATCACCCAAGGCCCTGTCGATTCCACATAGATATTCCACTAATCGCTTCTCTCTCAAGCTCATTTATGCAATATTTATATAACCTTCCATCGCAACATCCAAAAAGGTCATCTCCTTTTCCTTCCAAGCTGGCTTCCGATATCTGTCCTTTCTCCTTATTCCCCACTCCTTTGCTTCTTTGCTTTGCGTAGAGTATTCTCAGGTGACTATTCTAGATGCCAGCTCTCCAATTTACCGATCATTGCTTCTATTGATTGCTTTCTGTACATAAGTAAATACCGTTAACGTGTATTGGAATGTCGTCATAACGGCATGCATTTTTGTTACGCAAGCTGACCATCGCTGATATCTATAGGCCTACGATTACTTATGTATCTCAATTGTGATAAGGTCAGAAAGACTTACATGGCTTGCGAATAAGCCCATAGTGGTGTGATTAGTGGAATGAAAAGGAGTAGGATTCCACTTATTGTTGGTGTGGCAGTTGGTAATGTCATTGTGCTGGTTCTGGCATAAGCATCGTATCGGGGGTTTGGTAGATGCAACTCAGGAGAGATGACACTTGGTACAGACAGACCATATCTGAACATGTGCCTAAAGGAAGTTAGTGACGAACAAGCAAGACGGAATACAGACGATGCTGGATAGATATTCCAGATTGTTCGATTACACAGAGTTGAGAGCTAGATTAATGTCTAGATAGATATAGATGGTAAAGTGCCGTGTATGAATAAACTCTCAATGTTAATGAAAATGGGCCAGAGCGGAGACTCGGAGGTGAATTCTCGGTATACATTGATCGTATTAGAGTCGCAGGTTGGAAGTAGAAAGTAATTAACTGAATAAATATCCAAATTCAATGTTTTAATGCCACTAGGACTTGACGATTCTTTCTGTCCTAAATTTCTTGCTTGACTCTGCTTTGAGTTCGAATTTATGTATTCGCGTTTCCAGGATTCGTGTTTTGGTGTTCATACCCCAATTCGCATGCATTTATTTACATACACTTTCAAGAAAACCACCCTCACCACCCTCCCCCCGCCAAAGAGGACAGCTGAGAACAACACTCTACCGCACCAGAATTAGAACATTTCTGTGCCATAACTCGAATGTTCCAATAATCTTTAAATTCATTACATTTCGTACAGTTATTCTAACCCAGCAAAGTTTGTGCGGGGGGGCGTTTGTTGAGAGGGGTGGGGGGGTCAAAAATGAAAAGATTCCACTTCGAATACTTCATATTTCCATGCGACGTCCATTCCTTTTTCCAATTACACTGACAGAACTAGACAGAACCGCGCCTCAATTTCCTAACAATATATGCTGTATATTCACTTCTCAAAATTTCTGAGCTTTCTTCGACTAGGATTGCCAATGTGTTGCTCGAAACTTCCTGGAACTTCTGAATTACACAAAAATGGCTCGAAATTTTTTTTCTTTCTCTTTTGGTGATGTCCTGTATTTCTGCGTGAAGCTAAAATTTGGTTAATTGAATTGTAATAATCTAATATTCGAATGGAACAATACTTGAATATGTTCTTACATCTGAATTTTGGGAGAGTTTCTCTCGATATTACACTCCCCTATCCTCGGCAAAATTAACCGAACACTTACTTCGCCTACGTATACTGCATTTTCACAGATAACCTAGCAGGCCGGTGTAGATGAGCATGCAAATCATCTTTGGAATGAAGTGTATCCTGGGCTTCATTTACATCACAGTAGAGAGATGGTGTTTCACAATAATATATTCTTGTCCCTTGGCAATATTCAAGTGGCGTGCATCTTATGTCTTCATGGATAACGGGTAACATTCTGTGCAGTGTGAAAATTATTCACTAAGGATTGAATGAGAAAAATCTAGGAAGATATACCTATCACTTATTTTACTGCAATGTTCAAGTATCGTTCATTCCACATCTTCGCGGATATCAACATTATCATCATAATAAGAATCCCGTAAGAACCCAGAAATAAGAGCATCTAATGATAACATAGATATAAAACCGGAAACTATACGTATAGCCATGAACAACTACCAACCAAAGTATATCAAGATGAATAGTTTTGGAAGTAAAATTGACGCAAGTAGGGATTGTGATGGAACGAGCAGGACGCAAGAAGCTTGACAACAAATAAAATCGAGACCATAGATATGAAGACTGTGAAGTTATCAGGCTACCATCTTAAGAACCTGGATCATGATCATTAAAATAATAAAGGTTTGGCACTTGTATCCAAATCAATCTAAAATGAAAAGTGTGTGTGAGAAATGTATTGCTATTACGAATGGGGAGGGTGTCACGGTTCATTAATTCACGTGACCTCGAGGACCTTGAGGACCTTTTGGACCTTAGGGTCCTAGAGGTCCTCAAAAGATGATATAGGGTATATAAACATTCATTTAGTCTCGTAGTTAAGGAGCTTCGTGCTCAACTTAGTTATCAATTAGTTTACCTACATTCTACTTGATCTAGTAATGACTTCACTTCCAAGTGAAGACCAGTGATAAAGCCTTAACCCACAACTACCAACCAGACGAAACCTTAGGCAGCCGCTGCCTTCAGTACGGCATCGTTACAGTTTGCCGTCTAGATCACGTGGAAGTGCTCTAGGCTCTCGAGGTGGTTTATAACTAGGCGTCAAGCAGGGACTTAAAGTAATGACAATAATGATATGCAATTCGTAACTAATAGTAGAGTATACTAAATGATTGATCTTGAGCACGAAGCTCTATACAAAGGGAATCCATCTTGGTTATACAGATATTCATGCTCCCTTGGATCCTTTTGGATCCTAAGCTCCAAAGGCTCCATTGGATCCTTTTGGATCCTCAAGCTCCAAAAGCTCCAAGTCACGTGCTTTCTGACAGTGCGTGCACATACGATCTTAAGGTGGCCCAGATCACATATTAATTCGATGAAATCTGATCGCTTTTGCACAAGGCCCAAGCTCTCCTAATTAGTCAGTTGTTACTATCGTAACAGACTGGTCATAATTCAAGAATTTGTTAAAATAATGTAATAGATGCTAGTTGATTAGATTCTTAATAGTTTCGATCGATTCCTTCAATTATTATTGAATAATATGGTTTTAAAGTGATAAATCGAGGAAAAAGTGTCCGACCCACTGATAAACCACGTTATAAAAATAATCTAATTAGAAATAGGAATGGATCTTATTTAAGAGTAGTAAGCTTTTCTTTTATTGTCTTTTAGATGATTGATCTTTTTCTAAAAATAGTCTTTCTCCAAGAATTAGTCTTTCTTTAGGGACTAGTCTCTTTCTGCGTACTAGTCTCTCTCCGCATATTAGCCTTTTCAAAATATATCCGCTTTCTATATACTAGTCTCCCTCCATGTACTAGTCTCCCTCTGTGTATTATTCTCTCTTCATGTCCTAGTCTTTTCAAAAATATATCGCTTTCTGTATACTAGTCTCCCTTCATGTACTAGTCTCCCTTCGTGTACTAGTCTCCCTTCGTGTACTAGTCTCCCTCCGGGTATTATTCTCCCTCCGTATCCTAGTCTTTTCAAAAATATATCCACTTTCTGTATACTAGTCTCTCTCTATATCCTAGTCTCTCTCTATATACTGGTCTTTCTTAAAGATTAGTCTTTCTTGGAGAACTAATATTTTCTTGAGGACTGGTCTTCCTGGAGGACTAATCTTTCTTCCAGAACTACTCTTTCTTTTAAGAATGATCTTTCTTGAGGGACAAGTCTTTTCTGGAGAACTGATCTTTTCTTGACTTCTTCATCGTGCGATACAGTTCTACTATCTTCCTTGGTATGAAATGACCTATGCTTACACAGCGCCTACAACCCACTAATAGAACGATAGTGCCAAAAATAGTATATGTTGGGTCTTTTCGATGAAATGTACCAAGTAAGGAAGGACACCCCTCTGAGTGTGCATTCTAGATGCGGACGCTAGCGGAGTCAAACTGAAGCTGTTTAAAATATCGATTAAACTTGCTAAATGAGGCAGTTTTATTATGTAATTCAACGAGCATGTAACTAGAGTCGGAAAAACGGTTCACTGCCTGCTTATGGCTGTCGACTGTGCGTAAGATACACCTATTCAAGACTTCATCTTCAGCACAGTGGTAGTATGAATCCTTGGTGTATTATACAAGAAGATATCCCTGGTATCATTGTATCGTACAGTTTTCTCCAGACCCTTTGTGCCCAAAAAGAAAAAGATCCAAATTCGCTTTACCTCCCCAAGAAATGCCTCCTAATGCTAACACCCCAGTTGCTTCGTCTATACATTTACCTATTCCTTATTCTGAATAGAGCGAATTGCATTATCGAATACCTTGATCATCCTATCGTACATTATATCGCTGTCGTGGAACGTTCCTGTAAATATGTCCCCATCCCTAATTGGAAAGAGAATAGATCGGGGCTCGCGAGCCAACGGCTTGAGGTTCTCGAACTTCGGCGCAAACTCCGCGATAATGTTCTCAAATCGATTTTTGCCCATATCCCCCACTTTATTCCGAGCAATTTCTGTATATGTTCCAGTATACCAACCCCGTAGTAGATTGGTCTTCGGTCTCATCAGCTTATTGAGTTTTGGCCTACCGGTACCTTCGTAGCCATATCGGACGCATATCCATAAGAAAACGTAAAAAAATGACTCGAGGTCGTGCCGATACGTGTGACCTTTGCCTTCAAGAACCTCGATCGCCATAAACTGCATTGTGCCAGTCCGGTGACGAGCCCCACTCGGCATACTGTCCAGCTCCTTTGCCAAGTCCAAGTCAATTAGTCTTCCTTTCGGGTCACCTTCAGCAGGGAGCTCGGTGATGATGTTATTTTCGGAGATATCCCGATGAAGAATCTTTCCATCCTCTAGTAGCGACCTATGACCTCGGATAGCATCGCGTAGCACCTCTAAAAGCTCTCTAACTGATTGATATTCGCGGAGAGATCGTCCAGCCGGTGAAGTTACCAAGCAGTAGTTCACTCGGTTGCTGTACGTCTCACATTCATAGTCTGTGAAACTGTCGACTCCGGCTTCTTGAATACAGTCGACGTTATTCCGCTGCCACTCATTCCGGCAGTCGGCCAAACTGTCGACCACCGTTTCTTGAATACTGAGAGCGCCGATTGTGTCTAGCTCGCCTTCTTGAGCACGCACATTTGTCCCGCTAGCATAACTACCGTCGTATTTAGATCTCTTCAGTCTGCTCCCCCGATCAAGTCTTTCATTCCTTTTTCTTTCCTGTCCAGAGGAAGATGTACTTACACCAATTCCTATGCCTATCACGCGACTCGCACTACTCCCTGATCTTCCTCTGAGACTTGTCTTAGAGTACGCCCGACTGGATTCCGGACTACCGTCGACCCAAGAGGCTTTGCTCGATAGCTTTCGTGGCCTTCCGAATTTCATATCTCGTCGGAAATGCGAAATAGTATCCGGGTCGCTGTTAATAACAATCTGCTCATGATTGAACCATGTAGCAATGCCCGTAACTCCCTCTCTTTGGCCAACTTCAACAGTTCTCCCTCCCGCTGCCTTTTATCAGACGGCCAAGCAAACTTGACCACATACTCCTATTCCGTGGAGTCGCTCCTCCTTCCTCGATAACATGTTGTTCCACGGCACACTATCGCTTTTGTCGAGGCGATTGGCTTGTCCTCCAAAGAAATTTTCACATCTTGTGCCACAATGTACTTGCTGTTGCCATCGTGCTTAACAAATGTATTCAACCCCAACTCGGCGTCCGTCATCAATGCATACCCAGCAATAACCCTAATAAATCGCTCAGGCTCTTTGTGTGCATCGAACTTCTCGGAGTTGTACAAGCCAGATCTGTCGAACACCCAGAGTCGCATCATGCTTCCGCAGATCGTAAAACCAGGGACGAATCGCCGCTCCGGTTGACTTCCGAACACCTCACGCGCATACCCTGCCAACTGTACCAATGTTTTTGTAGAGCCATCATCATCGGGATTCTGTTTATGTTCCCCAATGACAAGTACATTTGACCAGTCGTGCTCGCCATGGAGTAGGACAGCGTCGGCAGGAGTGAGAAAAATGTCAAGCTTGCGATCAGCCTCCGAGCCCCTCAACACTTTGTTCGCTGATGTGTAATACCTGCGGCCAAGTCCGCTGAGAATAGTGTCCTGGAATTTCATGAACCACTTAAAAAATGGACCTTGAAGTGAAGGCTCTGGCCACCCGCTCCAACGGCTTTCTGCATATTGGGCCCTCGACTTTCCGTAGATATCCCTCGTATTCTTTGTCCAGGACTTCCCTTTAAAGTATTGTTCGTAGAAACCTCCGATATCATAATAGACTCGCCCGGTAAGCTCCTCGAGTATTCGCTGATCAACTTCGTCGTATGTCTGTTCAACCCCCCTCTGAGAAGCCGAGCTGGATCGAAGCGACGTGTCGAAAACGGCTTTCTCGAAGGCAATCGGTGGCGTTACTCGTTTCGGGCTAGTGGTTAAGATCAGGTTGAACACGGTATACTATATCTCCATGTCAGGTGTGTTGTTAATAACCAGCTCCATTAAAGGGATTGTTGACTTGATGTCGAAATCTCTGGAGGCAACTTTAGATCCAAGGCTGAATAAATCTGCACGTAGACGAGTTTTGCGATCGATCGGCGAACATAGGATATGAGCGGCCGGGAAGGTCTGCAAGGCCACAATAAGATCAAGGACCAGGTCTTATATACATATTAGCAAGATAATTATTTGCTGGATAATGATGCTAACCCGAGGCAGATTCTGCGGAAAGGATGTCCTCAATAGCACGAGATGATTCAAACTGGCGACGGAAAGCAACTAATCCTTCTTTGATAGGATGGCTATTGATTATCTCTGCTTCTTCGGTAGCGTCCATAATAGAGTAGGTATATCATAAAGCCTAGTAGAAATGACAGAAGGAGGGCGGCGCGATCTCAAAGCGTAAAGGGAGAATTGAAGACGCGATGAGAAAGGGCGAGGAAATGAATTGATTGATTGATTGATTGATTGGTTGATTCAATTTACCCGGGTAACGCCCGTTCTAGTAGCCTCAAGGCTGTTATGCAGGCTTATATAAGACTTGATCTTCCGCCACACTAGGTGCAGGAATTAACTGCGCAGAGGCCATCAATATTAAACTCAGTGTATTTACAGGATGGTTGGCGGGTGCGATATGATTACGTAAGAAATGCCGATGAGGCGAAGTCAAAAAGGGTCCAGCGCCGGAATAACCTGTCCTTAAATTTAGCTTTCTTTCGAGTTGGGCCATTCCTATACCCCGTTGCTGCTGAAAGGACAGCTTGCATAGTATTGGAAGATTCAACGACACCTAGATCTACGCGCGTTGATTCGAAGAGCTGACGAAAAGCGCAGAGCCTGTCCTTGACGGGATTACTGCTGATAATGTCTAGATTGGAGGTATTGGCCATTAGAAAATGGACCTTAGCCAAGGTGGAGGATATAAAGAGGATATAGAGGCCGACCCTTATGTGCGAGAGTAGAAATTGGGACCTACCGTGGGATGCGATGTTTACTGCAACTAGCTGGTTGGTGGTGTGTTTAGGTAAGGTATCGGAGCTTAGAAATTCCGCTTCTAAATTTAACTTCACGTGATATATGGTAAACTTCTTTCGATAGATTTCTACTGGTAGAAATCTAGTGCTACAAGCCTTCCGGAAACCGGACCATTGGAACAAACTTTGTACCAGTAGAAATCTTTTAGTGCAAATTACTTACGAAATCTGGGAAAACTAGCAAATCTGGGGTAATTTAGTTTGATAGAATTATATCAGTAGAAATCTTCTAGTTGAAGTCTTCTAGTTGTACTTCATAGTGGTGTCGAAACACGGAATTCGTATATTGCGTCGTAGCTCGAGGGGAAAGGGTAGAGAAAATGCGAGTGCGGGGTACGGTTTCTCGATCCCGGGGTTTGATTAATGGCGGCTCGGTAGAATTCTATTTTGAGCAAGGCCTATCATGTGATATTTGCTGGCAGTGGTTCGTAGGATCTCCCCACCCTTAGCAAGCTTGGACATATGGTCTGATCCAAGTCACGTGATGGACCCTGCATATTCAGGGATACGAATCGAAGGTCCATACGAATCGAAGGTCCACAAACTCTCAGGATCCAAGAGATCCAATGGAGGACGAAGGTCTATATAATCAGGATGGTTTCCGTTGTGTAAAGCTTCGTGCTCAAGATCAATCATTTAGTATACTCTACTATTAGTTACGAATTGCATATCATTATTGTCATTACCTTAAGTCCCTGCTTGACGCCTAGTTATAAACCACCTCGAGAGCCTAGAGCACTTCCACGTGATCTAGACGGCAAACCTCGTAACATGGTCTGAGGATCAGATCCGAACAAGTATTATGTATCAATGGTTATCGGTAAAGTAAGATCATTGGAGGGATAAATATGACTTCTTTTTGCCTAGCCATTGCGGCTAGGCCATTCATTTGGGTATATATAGAGTAGCAATCCCCATCTACAGGTGCTCTTCACCTGTAGATTAAGTTAAATACGATTGCTGGTCTATAAACACCCTTTTGGTCACAATTATGGTAGTATTATAGATGTCGGTGATTTAGCTGCCGAATACAAGGGGAATGTGATTTAACCGCGGTTTATAGGGGGTTCCTTATCGTCCGCGATAAGGAACCTAGGAATCCTAGGACAAGTGTCCTGGGATAATAATCCTAGGACAAACGATTAGGCAATTACAATGGTACAGGACAAGTGTCCTAGGACCCAGAATGGGTTATGATAGTATTTGTTTTAGGATAAAATGTCCTAGGATGATAATTGTCCCAAGAGACGAAATCATCCTAGGATTAGTGTCCTAAGGCAAATAAGGATTACGTGATGGATAGACTGGGTAGACCAGTCTATCCAGGCTATCCAATAGTTATTCAGAAGTATATAGTCAAAGTAGTTTCATAATATAGGAGCTTTGTGCTCAACTTAGTTATCAATTAGTTTACCTACATTCTACTTGATCTAGTAACGACTTCACTTCCAAGTGAATACCAGTGATAAAGCCTTAACCCACAACTACCAACCAGACGAAACCTCAGGCAGCCGCTGCCTCCAGTACAGTATCGTTACAATTATTATATTAATTAAGAATCTATCTGCTATTGTAATAAGATTAAAGAGATTAAAAGGGTAAAAAGTTAATATAAAACTACTAAATAATGAATAGTATTGTTTAAGGATAAATATAATTGTAAGGAAGAGAATAAATTAGTTGTAATTAAGGCGTTCTTTTAACATTAATATATTTATGATTTTTATCTTGGTGAAATGCTAAATAGATGAGTTATTGTGTTGCATCAAAGTTTGAAGTAGTTCTATTTTCCTTTCTTTCTTTTAAAGATAGTTGCTTAGTTGAAGAGATGAATGGATGTAGGAATAATGCAATGCAATATAATACAATACAATCTTTCCATCTCCCCAATTCGCTCTCTGCAGTGGTTTCGAGGTGACTCATCTTTTGCTGCTTTGTAGAGGTCCGTCCAGCTCTGGCTTATAAACGGTTTCATCTTGTAGCTTGCACTGTGTATATATAGGTAAGAAATCAGTTATTTTTATACCTCAATCAAGCTATCGAATAGAAGTCTTTGATTTCCTCTGGTATTTGAATATAATTCTGTGGCTGATGAATGCAGCGTATCAAAATTCTAGATGGCTGAAGCTGCGGCAATAATAGGGGGTCAAATAGTGAATGACTTTGCTATACGACTTATCTCGTACATCATGTGGATAGAAGAGAAAAGAAAGGAGAGGTGGATTGGAATGGAAACGAAGGGAAATATGGTAGGGTGAAGATCAAATGACTAGTTCATGAGATATAGAGAGTTGGTATCGGTACAAATGAAAAAGAAAATCGGACAGTAGCAGCTAATTTCTGGATGAAGGGGAATGTATAGCGAAGCTACAACTCCCTGAGTGGTTGCTAGCAGGAGACGAGAGCGATGCGGCAGGAAATGATGGTTGTCTTTTTTTTTTTTTCGAAGCCTATCTAAAAAATGCGTTACCATGCTAGGAAAGAATTGTTGATTTTGGAGTATTCAAAATGGTTGATGGACTTGTCATTCCTCATTCTCATCATGTAGTTCATTTCATCACTATCTGATTAAAGATGTATGACAAAATCGACGCGGAACAATTTACCGAGTGGAATCCTGCATATGACAGCGGGTACTTGAATAGATCGTCGTATTAGAATCTAATCATGGGAGGGAGACCACATGCAAGACATTCCGAGGGCGGAGATCGAATGGGGAATAAAAATTGCATTTGGTAAAACATGCCATTTGTAACCCGACAATAACCGGTCCACTCAGATATGTTCTTCGGAAATGTTGTTCGGAAAGGTTATTTATGTGACATTTTGTTTCACAAGTTGGAGACGGTGTAGATACTTTGAATCCCATAAGGTAATACGAGATCGTATGAGAAGTCCGTGAACAGAGAAAATGTATGGAGCCGTGAGCCCTGAGTCGTGAGCCCTGAGTCGTGGAACACGATATGTCGCATCCGAGTTTCTAGAAATTCTCTGGGGTAGTATCACCATACTGGGGCGGAAGGCATTGGTAAAATAAGCAGAGACTTTGATTCTAGAAAGACGGTATCGCCGTATTTTGAGAAACAACACCAAGGGACATTCAGGGAGACTTCCACTGAGGTTGGGTACTGAAGGTCTTGGTACCTACGTAAATAGGTACAAAAAAGTGTTCAGAATAGCAAACCGACTGTTTCCGATGGAAATATGGTGATGAATGAAAGCAAATATCAAAACAAAGGAATGTATCGCGAGGACACCCGAAAAGAACGACTTCGTCTGTTTAGTCGGTGTCAGAAAGGGGCTTGGCCCCCAACAGAATGAATTGAATGCAGTTGTGCAATGTAAAGCTTACAGAATAATGAGTATAAGGAGACGGCGGTATGAGTGTGTTGTTCATGTACATTGCCAAGACGCTCATGAAATACGAATAGTATCATTTGATGAGCATCGATTTAGAAAGATATTTTGTAGATCGATGTGAGAAGCAATCATTGAATCAGTCGATGAAGAAATAAAAAGAATCAAAATGGATAATCTCTCAACATGGGATAAATCTAGAGCCGGATCAAGATCACATGACACGACCCGACAAATTGTATTTACATGTAATTGGCTTCAATTCATCCAACCATAAACTCATAAATCATAGGCGAGATCGGACGGCAGCATGGAATTATTAGATGGGATGCTTACGAAGTGATCTTAATCAACCCAATCAAAACGCAGAGTTTCTTATCAGAATCCATGACTTCTTTACTCATAGATCGCGGCCGAGCCAGACATCCCTTTACTCTGAACCGAATCATATCTTCCCAACGTCAAAATACCTTCATCCTCTATCCCGTAAGAAGCATTCTATTTGTAAAGGTTACGCATAGATTCGGCCATTTCCACTCTTTGTTTGATGCTGAGAAGTTTAGATACCTGGTACTTTGGTAGCATGAGTCCTCTGTAGAATGTTTTGTATCAGATAGAGAAAAGCTTAAATTGATAAACCGGGGGAGTTTAGAAAGCCTTTTACGTTAATATTGATTGGCTATGGATAGAGGTGAGACAATGTGGTGAGAGGCGCATTGTTTGTGTGGGGGACCTTTTTACGGAGTAATAATGTGTTCGATAGAGACCAGACGTTTTGCCACATCTGCAATATCTGGGTTTATATAGACCCTAGTTGCGTTCTTTCCATGCCGTACAACGAGATATTTGAGACAGTTTTCTATTCAAGAGGCTGAAGAAAATCCTAACATATTTATCCATGTTAACGGTAAGATGGCTGAATATGGCTGAAAAAAATCTCTCGTTTTGATGCGTCTCTCGCGTGGGATTGATCCGAATGAGTCAAATATGATAATTATGATAGTTAATTCACTCGGTCAGATATCAGCTTTTTTGCTCAATGAATGATCCAATGATAGAACCACAGTTTTCTGTAAATTTAATACAATTTTACGGACAAATTTGTCCAAATACTTCTATTTTCCGTCCGGGTTATGTAACTATACTCGTACTAGTAGAGAATCTGACCAAGTATATGTGCATTACCCCTGGATGTGACGACGCGGAATAAAAATGCGAGGAAAGAGAACGAACGTCAAAGGAAGAAAGTCTCGAGCAGTCAAAGGAGTATCACTAGGTAGCATTTCTGCATGTGGTTTCCCCTTCTAGAGTTTTAGATGGAAAAGCCTTATATTGATTAGATGCCAAGATCATTGCTACATATCCTTTTACATATATAACTCTTCATGACAGGGAAAGTCCAAGGATTTATCTTTTGGTAGAGTAATATATGCCTCAAAAGTTGTGTGCTTCAAAAGGTTTGTACATGGTATCCAGTATTCTTTCTAATGTAGGTATTATCCCCAAGTCAGAGTGTCCCGTTGCTGAAGGGATATATACCATAGCTTGGGCAAAGGCTTAAAGTTGGTTGGGTTATAATAGGAAAGTCCGGATATTGGGCAAATGGGCAAATGACATGACTGAATGAGTTTGGAACAGAGAACAAAGAAGGTTGATATCAAAAATGGATAGGAGTACAATCTCCTCGACAACAGAAAAGCCAACCTATCATCATTGAGGAATATTGGATTTCTTTCAACTTTCTGCCATCAAATATATTCCTAAAAGACCCGTTATTTGGGTATTTAGTATTAAAATGCTGTGTATCTTGGATTATTTCTAATCTTCAAAACATTCACCATTCACCATTTGCCTCTGCCTCTCTCTATCTCTTAATAAGTTTCCATTCAAAAAATCATCAAATCCAAAGCCCCTCCATGATGTTAATCTTGCTCCGCCTACAGAATCAACAAAAGTTACATTTAATCAATTGATTCACTTAGCATCCATTACCCACTACCCACCCACCACAATTACCCACTTCCATAATTAATTTTGATCCCTGCAAATTTGGCGGCGTCTCGAAAAAGGCGTATGGGCGGGCGTACAAGCCGATTCCCCACTTCTTATCTACGTCTTACGCTGACAATAATCGTAGCGTTAGATTCATTCCAAAAAATCTACTAATAAATAAACACGCACAACCTTTCCACTTCCTCTTTCAATCTTCTCTTTTCTTCCCCAAATCCCCACACTCTCAGGACTTTGGACTTTTAAGTCTGCTACATATTTCTTCAAGTTTATACTCTTCTTTATTTGCTTTTCAGCATTCACTTCCTTCTTTTTATTTCTCTCCTCGATATTCTCATAATAAATCCGCAATTATGGCTTCCTCAACAACCGTTTCCTATACGGCGAACGTGAGTAATTTTCTTGTTTCTCTCCAATTCGATGCCCCGCTATCGGCGTAACAAAAATACTGACTTTTGGTTTTTTTATTTATAGCTCATGAAGTACATGGCGCTCGACCAGAAGGGATCTGCTATGGCAGAGTAAGCTAATTAATGGAATATTGTTTTCCCCTCTTTCAAAATCTAATCCTTTACAAAGGTACATCTGGATCGATGCGAATGGTGGCACTCGTTCCAAGTCAAAGGTAAGAAAATATTCAACAAATCAACAACGTCAAGGCTTTGCGCCGCAACTCAATCCTGCCCTCCCATTCAAAAAAAATTCACAATTACCTCGAATGAGTCATACTAATATTAATTCCTATTTACAGACTCTTACCAAGATTCCAGAGGGTGGTCAATTCACTCTTGATGATCTCCCAGAATGGAACTTCGACGGTAGCTCGACGGGTCAAGCCCCCGGTGAAAACTCCGACGTTTACCTTCGCCCCATCGCAATCTTCCCAGATCCATTCCGTGGTGCCCCAAACATCTTGGTCTTGACTGAATGTTGGGATGCCGATGGAACCCCAAACAAGTTCAACTACCGTCATGAAGCTGCTAAACTCATGGAGGCACACAAGGCTCATGAGCCATGGTTCGGTTTGGAGCAAGAATATACTCTCCTTGATATGTCCGATAGACCATATGGATGGCCAGTAAATGGTTTCCCAGGTCCACAAGGCCCATACTACTGTGGTGTTGGTACTGGCAAGGTTTTCTGCAGAGATATTGTTGAGGCTCACTACAAGGCTTGTTTGAATGCTGGTATTAAGATCTCCGGTACCAATGCCGAAGTTATGCCAGCTCAATGGGAGTTCCAAGTTGGTCCTTGCGACGGTATCGAAAGTGGGTACTCCCTTGTTTTTATTATCAATATGAATCATGTCTGACTCTTATTTTTAGTGGGTGATCACCTCTGGTTGGCTCGTTTCCTCCTCAACCGTGTCGCCGAAGAATTCGGTGCCAAGATCTCTTTCCACCCCAAGCCAATCCCAGGTGACTGGAATGGTGCTGGTCTTCACTCCAACTTCTCAAGTGCTGAGATGCGTGTAGAGGGAGGCATGAAGCACATTGAGGCTGCTATCAAGAAGCTCGAGGGTCGTCACAAGGAACACATTGCAGTTTACGGAGATGACAATGCCATGCGTCTTACCGGTAGACATGAAACTGGTTCTATCGATAGTTTCACTTATGGTGTTGCTAACCGTGGTGCATCCATTCGTATTCCAAGAGAGTGTGGCGCCAAGGGTTACGGATACTTTGAGGATAGAAGACCCGCTTCAAATGCTGATCCATATCAAATTACTGGTATTATGATGGAGACTGTAAGTTATTTCGTAATCAAGTGGCAAATCGACTTGGCTAACCAGATTTTAGATTTTCGGTGGACTCGATGGTAACTGAGGTGAAGAAATAGATTATTTTCACATGTCTGGGGTGGGAGAAAGTGGATAATGGCTTGGCGATGAGGTCTATTTTCGTTCAAGCGTTTTGAGGGTTAAAATGCTTCTCGTTGAATTTTTCAACATAGCATAGTTGCATTGTAGATAAGTGACCTTTTTTTTGTCTATCTGAATAAAACATGATATCCAAATGCTATTCGTGTCTTTAGCGCTTTCCATACTTTTGATACTTTTTACCATCCTGGCCTGTGCCCATCATATCTATCCACCCTGTCTTCCTTAAAAGCTGGGGATATTCTAATCTAATAGTAGTAAGTAGTGTTACCCCACATCTTTCTCCGGATTCTCCCCTCCCCAGATATTCAAAATCCTTATTATAGTATAGCGTAGTATAGCGCAGCCAGCTAGTTTAGCATTGGAGAAGAGAGCCTTGTGATAAATCGTAATACATAATATACATAATATACACCTGGAGCACGTCATTGATTTGTGCATGACATCGTCTCTTTTCTCTTCACCTTCCTTCTTTCACTAGGTTCTTCCTCTGTCCCCTCTCCTCTTCTCCACCTCCATCTCCTACATTAACCACTCTTCCCCGCATCCAAAATTTTCTTCTCCTCCTCGCGCAAAGCCTCTACCAATTTCCCTCTCAGAAAATCCGTTAATCCGAAGACTCCCTCGCGTGTGACGATACGGTAGGTTCCTGAGTCTTGCCAATTTCCAGGATATTTTCCTTCGTCGCCCGCAACGAAGTTTCCAGTCGCGTCCACTTCGAGAGATCCGAATATGTCTTCTGGGTAGGCTATTCGGCCGTAATCGGGGGGTGAGCGCGTGTCGGAAAGGTGGATGTAGCCGCTGTGGCCGCTGGAGCCGGCGCCGCCTGTGAGGAGGGGGGAAGGGGTGTTAGTTGGGTTTTGGTTGGGATGAGGGGGACGGGAGATTGTCTTTGGGAAAGGGAAAGGGAAAGAAATCATACCTTGACTAGCGCTAGGCGGCGCGCCTGAATCCTTCCCCCGTGCACTTTTTGTAGATTGGCGATAGCTAGATGGAGGACTGAGAGAGAAATGGGTAGATGTGGTTGCGAATGCGGCGGCTTGTGATTGTAGTTGTGGATCGAGATGGGCGTATTTGGAGAGGATGGTGGAGACGAAAGGGAGAAAGGATGGATTGGGTGTGAAGGTCGAGGGGGCTATGGGGGTGGTTGGCGGGGAAGTGAGGGTTCCGAAGGAGAGGGAGGCTGTAGGTGGGTTGGTGGGGAGCAGGCTTAGTGTGCTGGTTTGTGGGTTGTTGGGCGTGGGGGTGGGGTGGATGTACTAGTGATGAAGAGGAAGGGGTTAGCTTTTGAGGTGGTGGTGGATGTGGAGGGGGAGGGCGAGGGGAAAAGGGAGGGAGGAATGTTGTAGGAAAGAGGGGTAACGAACTATATGCGGATTCTCCTTTAATGTTGAAACTGCACGTCGTATAATAGTCTGCGGAGATTTATTCGATCGATTTATGCTACGCAATGTATGCGATAAGGTGGCAGATCTGGAGAGTAACATTTTTGAGAGCTGAAAGATAAGAAAGGTGTTTGTTGTGGTATGTATGCGTGCGAGCACATATGTACTAGGTAGGTAGGTAACTAATTTTTTGATAAGATATCGGCTTGGAGGCTCGATTAGGAAATTAGCTTGATGGTGGAATGATGGGTATTAGTCAGCGGCAGGGCTGTGCGGTATTCTCTGGGCATATGACATGATGGATGTGAGAAAACGCGGATTAAAATGGAATACCGGTACTTTTATTAGAGTTTGATTGTTAATGCTTTGAAAGGTGGAAGTTAGTGATGAGTAAAATGGTAGGAGTTGATGATGGTTTTGGTTATTGGTATATTGGATCGGTTGCTACTATGCACTCTATTGGGTTCAAAGTTGCTATTCAAGCAAGTAACAAGTAGTAGAAATATCCATATGAATATTGATATGGACAAGCATAAGATCTTACAGTATATGTGCCTAGTACTAACACCATTATAACGGTATGTATTAAAGTCCGGTATACGCCGATACTAGATCTTTCCAAAGTATTCAAATAAGTCTTATGAATTCACTCAGTAGCCTTCCCTCTCTATAATTTCGCGAAGTCTCAATCATGTTCGTTGTAGGATCTATGTGGAAGTCTGGAAGGTCTCTGGATGAGTACTAACGCATAAGTACCTAGGCTTTAGAAGAATATATAATCAGCAATGGTAGGGGGCCAAGCGTAGATCTCTAATCCTGATACATACAAACCTAATTCGTGTCTTGTGAGTGATATAATTGAGTTTACTTGCTTCAGCTATCCAGCTATCCCATGATAACTTGGCACTATTAATAGGTTGGGAGCGTCTCGTGAATTGGGTCTCAATTACCTAGGGACATCTAGTGGAATCTAGAATCTGGAATCCAGAATCTTGAGAAATCATCATATGAATGTTTGTAGAGGATAGAAGATTTTGGATTGATACTAGGTATACTATCCTCTCAATATTATTTCCACTTATGTCATGTAATAAGTTCGGATGGAATCAAAAATCTGAAGAATAAACAAGTTTTACAATACTGCTGCACATGTAAATATTTATATTTCTCTCCCCTTGCACTAAAGCCTCAATGTTACACTACTCTCAATCCCCTTCAACTTCCCCAGATATCGCTAAGGTTGACTATCTACCTACCTAGAGCTTCACGCATCGGCCACCTCTGATGTTGAAGAGCAGCTGGAACCACAAATCAACTTTTCCTTTAAAAGATTATCAAAAAGTTTAATTCTCCACGGAAGAGTCTTTCAAATCATTCACTAAATTTGATACCCTTAAAAATCTTTCTGATTCCTCATTTCTGAGTCTTCAATTATTACTCACGATAAGTGATTCACATTCGATTCAAAGCTTCTATCTCCCTACAGAAAGCCACCAAAAACCATCCTTGGTGGGGTTAAAGCAACGACAACGGAACCATTACCCCGAGTCAACATACAACTATTCAACATCATTGAAATACTTCACAACTCAACGCCATGAATCGTTATGATGACGGCGAGCTAGAAATATCTCTGGCACCTTCCGCAAATCATCGTGCACAGCATAGATCCTCGGAAGCCAGTTCCAACCCCCGTCGGGATTCACAAAATGGAGGGAATAGGAGGATGGAATCTGCTCCGCAGAAGAAAACTGAGCAGCGTGTGGGCGCATACTCGGTCGTTCGTACACTCGGAGAGGGTTCTTTTGGAAAGGTGAAATTGGCCGTTCATCGCGTTACACAGCAACAGGTTGCGCTGAAGATTATTGCGAGGAGGAAGTTGATTAGTCGTGATATGGCTGGGAGAGTCGAGAGAGAGATCGAATATCTTCAACTTTTGAGACATCCGCATATTATCAAATTGTGAGAATGCTCCTTTCTTAAGTTTATCTATTTAGTATCTAACTCTGTATTACTAGATATACAGTCATTAAGACGCCTCACGAGATTATTATGGTTCTTGAATATGCCGGGAACGAATTATTCGATTACATTGTACAACATGGAAAGATGAGAGAAGATGAAGCGAGACGGTTTTTTCAACAGATAATTTGCGCAGTCGAATATTGTCATAGACATAAGATCGTACATCGAGATTTGAAACCCGAGAATCTTCTCCTCGATGAGAATCTCAATGTCAAAATTGCCGATTTCGGACTTAGTAATATCATGACGGATGGAAATTTCCTCAAGACAAGTTGCGGAAGTCCGAATTATGCCGCACCAGAGGTCATCAACGGAAAGTTATACGCTGGTCCGGAGGTCGACGTTTGGAGTTGCGGTGTCATATTGTATGTTTTACTTGTGGGGAGATTACCTTTCGATGATGAACATATTCCTTCTCTCTTTGCAAAAATTGCTAGGGGTCAATATAATGTCCCTAGTTATATGGGTCGTGAAGCTGCTGCTTTGATCAAGAAGATGTTAGCAGTCAATCCGGTCTATAGAGCTACTATCGCGGAAATCCGAGATGATCCATGGTTTACCACAAATTTACCTGCTTATTTGCAACCTCCGGTGGAAGAATTTATTGATACCGGAGTTGATCCGGCGAAAGCTATTAACCCTCGAGCGATAGCGCCTCATGCTAGTCCGGCCATTCAAGAGAAATTGCATGTGCAAGTTACTGAAAAGATCAGTAAGACTATGGGTTATGGTATTAAGGATGTTCAAGAGGCTTTGGCTGCAGAAGAACCTTCGGCCATTAAAGATGCATATCTTATTGTTCGAGAGAATAAGTTGATGCAAGCTAATCGTAGGTGTTCCATTTCTTTCATGATTCTCAATATGGATTTAAATTAATAGTTACAGCAAATCTCACGGATGATAAAAATCAACTCCTTTTTCAAATTCCTTCGCCTCCAACTTATGACTCAACAATTCCTCCATCAATGCCTGATTCTCCTTCACCTCTTGTCAAGGAGCGACCTGGTAATATTCCACCAACAGCTCCACCATTTCAACCTCGACCAAGCCCCCTTCTCGATGCCGTATCACCTAGATCTAGTAGTTCAATTGGAACTGATAGATCATTTGTTCGACCATATGTGAGCAAAATAGGAATATTACCAAGCAGTATTCCACAGTACCACAAAGAGTTTATGGAAACACATAAATCTGGTCATCAGGAGAGTACTCTATCAAACTCTCATTCAGAAACAATCGAACCTTCACCTCAGACTGAAGCGGAAAAAGCCGAGACAGTTCGACGATTAAATCCACATTCTAGGAGTTTAGCTAAACTTGATGAAGGCAAGAAACCAGCGGGTATGACTCCAGTTCCTGTTAAAAAGGCAAAACCTACCAAGTGGCAATTTGGAATCCGTTCACGAAATCAACCTCTTGAAGCAATTGGATGCATTTATAGAGCTCTTCAAAAGCTTGGTGCTGAATGGTTAGTGGGAGATGAATGGACACCTGGTCAAAGTGAAAATAATGGGAACAAAAGGAATGATGATAATGATGATAACGATGATCCAAATGGGAGTGGTGCTTCTTTGCATCGCGAAACTTCTATGAATGACAACTCGAAGAAAAATAGATTTAGTGGTATTGATAAGAAAGGCAACTATAAGTTACCGGAAGATCCATGGGTCTTACATGTCCGTTGGAAGAAAACTGGTAAGTGATCTCATGGCCACATTGAGAATTCCTTTTAACCTTGAACAGATATTCGGCGTCATTCCATCGCCTCCTTTAAATAGTTCAACATCTAGTCCCGCACATCCATCCTCAATGCCCAAAGATGAAGGATTAGATTCTATCGACGGAGGAGTCATCATGCATCTCGACATTCAACTCTACGAAATGGAACCAGGTGTATATCTTGTGGATTTCAAATGCGCAGGCTATGAAACTGCAGATGGTATGATGTGTGAGGAAAAAGATGTTACGAGTCCTTTTCCTTTCTTGGATTTGGCTAGTAAATTAATCATTCAATTGGCAGAAGCTGATTAATTTTTTTAACCCTTTTTTCTCGGTAATTATTTAAATGGTTGTTGAGTTACCTATATTCGTTTGGTTGTGTGGTTTGATGACACCTGGACGTTTTTTTTTTTTTTTTTTTTTTTTCCTTTTCTCTTTCGTGAAAGATAAGATTTGATTCGATTCGATTTGATAATTATTGATGAACAATGGAAAATTTTTCTATGATTATATTTTTTTTTATATCTTGTTGTAAGGTACAGCGGAGTGAGGTTAGGATGGGAATGGGAATGGTATGGGAATGGGAAAGGGGGAGGGAATGCAGGTGGGAATGGGATGGGCGATTCGGGTTTGAAAGGATGGATGCATGGATGGATGGATGGAATATAGGATGGTAATCTATCTTAGCAATTCAGTGTTTTTTTATATTTTATATATTTTGCTATGGATTATGCTACTAGTATTACTATTGTGTTGATGTTGATTTGGATTTGTTTTGAATTTGAATGGATGGTGGGTTAGTGGATTGATGATGAAGTGTGATTATTTACATAAAGTGAAATAAGATTTACAATAAACTAACTAAATAAATAAATATATGGAAACATATAAATATATAAAATAATATAATAGATTATAAGAATAACTAATTCTATTCTCTTTACATAGATAATCGTATAGGATTCTTAATATTATTTATTTTAATACTATATGTGACCAAAAGGGTGTTTATAGACCAGCAATTGTATTTAACTTAGAATGTACAGGTGAAGAGCACCTGTAGATGGGGATAGCTACTCTATATATACACAAATGAATGGCCTAGCCGCAATGGCTAGGCAAAAAGAAGTCGTATTTATTCCTCCAATGATCTTACTTTACCGATAACCATTGATACCTAGTACTTGTCCGGATCTGATCCTCAGGTCACCTAAATCGCATACTAATCTCGAGTAATCGTATCATGTGTGGACATGGTTAATGTACCTGAGGTTTCTTATATAATAAAGGTGGGAGGAAAGCAGGGATTTCCGTCACATTACCCCCTCCTTTGAAAAAGCGAGTCCTCGCGCTTTTCATCATAGGTCTGTCACCCGTTTCATCGTCGTAGTTGTCGTCTCCAGCGTCATATCGTTCAATCCATCGAGGCAAGGCCTTGGGTGGTCCAGCCTTATTGGGGTTGGCAATGTGGAATTCCTTAAGTTTATGTGGAGAGTATTTGAGATCATCTGCTGGATACCAAGTAGGGTCAAGCGGATGATCTTTCCAGGAAACTTGATACATAATGTTCTTGTACCTGAGTTTCGAAGCTAAGATCTCCTCCACCTCCCATTCTTCCTCTCCAGTGACATTAATTGGAGGAGCGGGGGGATTAACTTGGCCGGGAAGTGGGTCTTCCGCTGCCAATCGGAGCTTTTCGGGAGGAAATACGTCGAATATGCGCATAGAGGCAGGCAGGGCAAGGCGGTATGATTCACCAATCTGTTCAACAATCTTGAAGGGCCCGGAATTGGGGAAATCCAACTTCCGAGAGGGGCGCTGGGTCTTGTAATATCGGGAGTCCAACCACACTGTATCTCCTACCCTAAAGTCGGGAGTACGGCGGTGTTTATTGTGCTGTTTAGCCATCCGATCTTGAGCGCGCTGAATTTGCTGTCGGGCGAAATCCCAAGCATTATGGGCACGCGTAGCGAATTCGTGGGCTTGTTCAACGTTAATTTTGTCTGTAGGATTGGAATTATGTTCTTTCCAATCCCAATCGATGCGAGGCTTGTATCCATAGAGCACTTCAAAGGGGGTCATCTTGCTGAGGGTATCATGAGGCAGAGTGAGCTGAGCGTAATCCATCAATGGGAGCAACTTTGACCAGTTATCTTGATAATAATTCACGAATGGGCGAAGACGTCGTTGCAAGTATTGATTGTAGATCTCCGTTTGCCCATCAGTAGCGGGATGGTCAGTAGAAGAATGTACTAGCTTGATTTTCAAGATAGAGGAGAGCTCATGCCAGAATTGACTGACGAATTGGGTACCTCTGTCGGATAAGATTGAGGAAGGAGGACCGTAGTAACGATAAACATGATATATGAATAGCTCGGCGAATTCTTTCTCTGAGCACTCCTTAGTACAAGGAATAGAGATAGCTTGCTTGCTGAGCCTATCGATAACAACCAGAATATTGTCATACCCATACTTGTCTTTATTGAAGCTACAGAAGTCCATTGTGATATGTTCCCAAGGGCGTTGAGGAATACTAAGGGGCTTCAAGAGTCCAGGCTTTTTATCCCGCGGGACTTTGGAACGTCGGCATAGATCACAATTCCTGACGTATCTAGCAACATCGTCTCGAAATCCTTTCCAATAATAATGCTCGGAAATGAGTAATGAGGTTTTCTCAGCATTTGGGTGGGCAGTGGTAGGTTGAGCATGGACTTCGCGGATGAGATAGGTGTGTAGATTGTCAGTAGAGGGGATAACTACTCTTCCCTTATGAAGGAGTAAACCATTCTCAATAGTGAGTGGGGATCTTCGATTGGGGTCCTCAGAGGCACGAATAGCTTCTCTGCGCATAGCGGTGAGGCTAGTTGAATTGCGGTTAGCTTCTAAGATTCTGTCGATTACTGTGAAGAATGGCTTGGCTCGTTCGAGAGGTGCCAGAATAGGAGCTTCCTTCGCCTGGCGGAGGATTTTGGGATCTAGTTGATCAGGTCTAAACAACTGTTGAGCGCGTTGTTCCTTCTTTTGGTGATTGGTGGCTTGGATATCATCCTCACGGCGGGAAAGCGCATCAGCCAGAGGGTTTTCTTTGCCAGGGCGGTACATGATGAGGAAATTGAAGTCGGCAAGGAGTTCGGCAACACGAGCTTGTCGGCTATTCAATTGTTTGGAGGTCATAAAGTACTCCAAAGCTTTATGATCAGTATAGACCTTTACCTGAAAAGGGGATCCTATGAGTTCGGCTCTCCAATGACCAAAAGACTTTGCGATAGCGGTAAGTTCTTTATCATGGACAGGATAATTAAGTTCTGCAGGAAGCATGGTCTTCGAGAAATAGGCTACGGGGAACCAGTGATCATCATGCTTTTGTGATAGAACAGCGGCGATTACTCCATCGGAAGCATCGGTTTCGAGCATGCTTTCAAGCTTGTAATCGTAATGTCGGAGTATGGGAGCAGTGGTGAGGAGACCTCGTAAAGTATTGAAGGCTTCTTTGCATTCCTGATTGAAAGAAAAAGGGACATTTGTCTTGGTTAGATGGGTCAAGGGTGAAGCTATTACTCCATAGCTAGGAATGAATCTTCGATAGAAATTGCAGAATCCTAAGAAGGATTGTACACCTTTCAGAGTGGAAGGATATTGCCATTCCTTCACGATAGCAACCTTATCAGGATCAACTTCAATACCGGTAGTAGAGATGATGAACCCCAAGTACTTAGTCTTGGTGACATCGAATTCGGATTTCTTGAGGTCTGCCTGAAGGCCAGCATCTCGAAGTCGTTGCAGAACCTTACGGACATGAGTATCATGTTCCGAGGGATCCTCAGAATAGATGAGAATATCGTCGAGATATGCTGTACAGAAATCATCGAGGTAATCGAAAAGAATATCATTCATATAGCGTTGGTAGGTGGCAGGACCATTGGTAAGACCAAATGGTAGAACTTTGCATTTGTATGCTCCGTATCGAGTACGAAAGGTAGTATACTCTTCCGATGCTGGATCCATACGGATGCGGTGGAAAGCTTGGCGAATATCAAGCTTGGTGTAAATTTTGGCACCTTGGAGGCGCGCCAGGGTCTCGTCGATCAAAGGGAGAGGATAACGATCCTTGCGAGTGAGAGCATTGAGCTTGCGGTAGTCGATACAAAATCTTAAACTTCCATTAGATTTCTTAACGAAGAGGACAGGAGCAGCGAAGGGAGCTTGGCTTGGCTCGATGAATCCTTTAGACAGATTATCGGTCAGATATCTTTTGACAACCTCTAATTCCTCAATAGACATTTTGTATAGTGGAGAATAGGTTAAAGATTCCTCAGCTCTATCTTCCAATTTGATCGAATGATCGTAAGAGCGATGAGGTGGTAGGATATCCGACTCTTGTTTGCTGAAAACATCTTCGAATTCGTGATATTTATCAGGAAGCGGAGGTTCATCGGGTTCTAACATAGCTAGGAGGGCTAAGGCTTTCGTGCTACGTTCTTTGGAAGAGCGTTTAAGGGCTTGTTCAAAGGTAGCAAGTTCATTATGGCGATCTTGTTCCTCATAGCGTTGATCGAGGAGGGTCTCAACCTCATGATAGGTACATGTAAATAACTGATCCTTTTCTGTAGATTTTAAAAGATATCGATTAAAGATATGTGCATCGATTGCAGCGATATCCAATATTGAAGGGGTATCCCATGATGAAATAGGGTAAGTTAAACGTGGTTTCCGAGGATAAGGTTGAGTGGGCTTAGGCGGAGTCTCAGGGCTTTTCAACAGTTTATTCATTCGAACAATATCTCTATTTAAAGACTTCTCGTGGGTATTCCCTCGCTTTGATGAAATGGTTGGGGCCAATGTTTCTAAAGCAATGGTATCATTGTGATCTGGTTGGCTCAGCTGGGGATCAATCAATGGAGTGGGTTCAGTTGGATCGGATCGTTCGATTTGGTCGATTTGGTCGAAAGATTCAACCAAATTGATCTTTGGAGCTGCGATATCCTTTCCAAACTTCCGATCCCTTCGATCGGCATCGTATTGGTGATAACGATTGATAGTTTTCTGGATAGGGAGAGAGTTTCGAGGAATAGTGATATATCGCGAAAAAGAAACTGAAGGGGGGGGTGCTTTCAGGCCACCTGAATTGTCGTCGGCGACAGTTCAACCAGATGTCATGGTAAGCTAACCATTGGCGTCCGAGAATAATACGATGACTTCCAAGTGGAAGTATCAAAAAAGGGGTCTTGCGTTGTATACGCATAATCTATATGTAAATCAAAATAACTAACAAAAGAAATATCATATTTCCCAATAGCGCCATCGTATCCTTTAACAGATAGAGGCTCGGGAAGCTTGCACGTTCTTGCTTTTGAGAGGAGATCCAGATGTTTAACCGTAGCTGGATCCATGAAAGCATAACCATTTGCTCCAGAATCGATCAGGGCATCGAATTTTACTGCGATCCCATCACGTACCAACATGATAGGTACTGTGATATGGGGACCTCCAAGAAGGGTGCGTAAATCGAGTCCTGACATATCCTTTATGAATCCCATAAGCGAGACAGTGCTTATGGTTGACCTTTTTTTGATCGAGGGAGATCTTCCTCGGAGCTTGTGAATGTATCCAATGCATCTTCATATTTCTCACTATAGTCCTCATGGGCATCGAGAAGGGCGACCTCATCGACTTCGTTGAAGCTTACTACATTGGTCTCGCGAGAGGCAGAAGGTTGTCGATTGGATTGGATATTAGGGGTGTTGAATGTGCCGTGCTTAGGCAGGACAGCATTCGGAGGGATATTTCCTCGGGCGGCCGATGAAGCAGGAGGCGAACGGACAAATCCGGAGGTTCTGGATTGTTGTTGATCGGAGCGGAGTGTGGTTCCAGGGTTCTGAGTGCCAAGAGTTGGGGCTTTGGCCCTCTGATAATTGGGCCGGGCATCAAGTCGTTGTTGTGCGATATCAGAGTTCTGCAGGGCTCTAGCATATTCTCCGACTGTGCGTGCTTGATGGAATTCTTGTTTGTTGTCGTGTACTAAACGATATTGGGTCTTATCAAAGAGATCGTTCTTCAATCGTTCATCGTCAGTAATGGCGGCACGAGTAGCAACATCTCGAAATCTACTATAGAACTCCCAAAAGTGTTCTTTTGAAGACATACGCAAAGCGTTGTATTCAATATTGGCGGTAGCAACCTCAGCGGGGTCTGTAAGGATAGCGACGACATGATCCACTAGTGCATATGCATCGTAATCATCATCCAAGTAAATACCTTCGAGCAGGGTCATGGCTCGATCTTCGGTCTGATTGAATACCCATGTACGGCGTGCGTTCTCTGATCGGAAATCATGGTGGTAATCGAGAAGGTGGCCTAGGATCATCTTCTCCCAAGCACGTATACGGATATTAGGAGCCTTCCCATCCGAGAGTTTAGATGAAAGATTGGGAATGCGTCTCTCTGGATAATATGAGGCAGGGGGATTTAGCAATGATTGTTGTCGTACAGCTTGAACCTGGGGGGTCTCTCTTCCTGGACCACCGGAGAAATCAACTTTCCGTTTTGATAACAAGGGAATTGATATGGGGCGGCGGGGATCGGGTGCAGGCGTTTTTTCAATTGAGGGAAGGGCCTGGTTCTCGGGGTAATCCGGGTCGTGCCCTGCACTCGCGGGAGTGGGGTGGAAGGGGCTGTGTTTCCTAGCGCGTGGTCCTGTTTCTTCGGGAGGAACGATTGGTGGAAATGGTCCTTTTGCTATTCGTAATCGGTCCGCTTCATCTCGTGGACGTAATTCGTTTTGGAGCTCCAATATCTGATTGCGTAGCTCGAGTTGCATTGAGGCATCTGAGGGGATGGGCTGGGAAGCTTCCGTAGCAGAATATTGAGGTAAGGGATGTGGTCCTGGTAATTCGGAATCATCAGGGTCTTCGTCGGATAAGGATGGTGGTTCTTGCTCTTCTAGTTGTGGAGGAGATCGTGGTAGTGCTCCAGAACGAACGAAAGGATCTGTTAAGGTAGGAACTTTCTCTTTCCTTTCCGGCTTCGTGTATTCACTCCAGAGGTAATTGGGGAGTTGCATTGAGGCATCCTTCGGAGGGGCCATCTTGTTATGTAGCAAGTGGTTTCCGATTTTGTCGTTTTTATTTTTTTTAAGGGGTTGGGAGAGCCTTACGTCGAGAGAGTGCGTCTCACGGAATTGGGGCCTTCAAAAGGTTCTTTTTTGCTTCACCTCCGGGTAGGTGTAGAACGTCTTTTGGAATTAATTTGAGAGGGTGGTTTGAATGTTTATTAACGACTGATCCCTCAGTCGAATCGAATATAATAATGACCTGTAGATAATGTGACCAAAAGGGTGTTTATAGACCAGCAATTGTATTTAACTTAGAATCTACAGGTGAAGAGCACCTGTAGATGGGGATAGCTACTCTATATATACACAAATGAATGGCCTAGCCGCAATGGCTAGGCAAAAAGAAGTCGTATTTATTCCTCCAATGATCTTACTTTACCGATAACCATTGATACCTAGTACTTGTCCGGATCTGATCCTCAGGTCACCTAAATCGCATACTAATCTCGAGTAATCGTATCATGTGTGGACATGGTTAATGTACCTGAGGTTTCTTATATAATAAAGGTGGGAGGAAAGCAGGGATTTCCGTCACACTATATTAAATAAATAAATAAATAAGTTTAGATACTTAATTAAATATTTATTTATATAATAGAATATCTAGGTATATAGATGAAAAATTAATATTCTTTTGTTTAATGCTCGCTTAGGTTAAGGATTGACTTTAGTATGATTTTATATTGTGAGATTACTAGAAGAAGGGTGTTACGAGGTTTGCCGTCTAGATCACGTGGAAGTGCTCTAGGCTCTCGAGGTGGTTTATAACTAGGCGTCAAGCAGGGACTTAAGTAATGACAATAATGATATGCAATTCGTAACTAATAGTAGAGTATACTAAATGATTGATCTTGAGCACGAAGCTCTATACAAAGGAAATCCATCTGGATTATATAGACCTTCATGCCTATGGCTAGTCAGGACCGCTGCGCGGTCCTAGACAGCCAGCGTTCCTCAGCGGTCCATAACGTGACTTTAATCACGTTACCTTGGTTTAGTCATGTGACGCGGCATAGAAGATAGCCGTTGTAACAAAGAAGGGATTGAAATGACCGGATAAATAGAATGAATCAAATAAATCAGTAGAATAGAATAGATAGATAGATAGATAGATGGCATCTCGCTCTCGCTCTCGCTGAGTATCATACAATTATACACGGTATATTCTCTTTTTTCCTCTCTTTTTTCCCTCTCCCCTCCTCATCCTCATCATCCAACTCACCTCCCAAATAACCCCACCAACCCCCAAGCCCCCCTACAACCTCCCCCTGACCCACTCAACCCAAATTCCCAAATCCTCACAAACCTCCAACATCCTCCCCAAATCATCTCTCGTAAAAACCCTCTCCTTTCTCTTCCCTACCACATCATCCCCTTCCGAAGTTACCCCACGTAAAACATTCTCATCCACCACCACCACGCCTCCATTCCCTTGAATTTCAAAAACCACATTCGCGCTTCTTTTCTTAAAGTCAAATACCACTTGAACTCTAGGGATTGGAGTTAATGTTAATGAAACATCTAGATGTTTTGATTTATCCTTTTTTTCTTTCTCCTGTTTTGGTATTGAAGTTAATGTTGGCGTTGCAGTAAGACCCTTCATAAAATCCTCAAATTCCCGTTTTTTAGTTGGAGGACTGATGGTTTCCGGTTCTAGAGACTTGGAGACTGCATCAACTTTAGATGAATCTCTCTCCTTTGATTTTAATTTCGAATTTTCTTCCGCCGCAAAACTTTTCCTCAAAATCGTGCTCAAAAAAGCAAACTGTCTCAAACATGGCAACATTTCCACCAATTGTCTTGGATGACTAAATGACACCTCCTCTACCTGCCTTCCATAATCAATCTTCTCAATAAACAACGTGTTACTATGTTTCTCTATCCTCTTCTTCCCTTCTCGATCCCAAACAGGGACATTCCTCTGAATGTTAATAGTTCTGGCTTGTGTTTCGCTAGTCTTCAATGCTTCCTCCGCACTTAACGGAAACATAAGTCCATCAAACGTTGTGATTTCTGAAAAATCAAAGGGTGTTTGGGTTGATTGATATATCTGCATTGCGATTGCGTAAGGTACTATAATTGGCGGATCAAATTTCGCAACAAAAATTGCTTCTGGGAATTTTTGTGCTCCAACATCCAAGCCATCCGCCTTATTATCAGAATTTGTCGGTAAAAGAGTATTGTCAGGTTCCAACCAATCTAAAATTGGTCCTTGGCGCAATTGTGCTGCCTGGAATAACTCGTCGACTGCTGGATCTGATTTCTGAATATCGTCTGATATCCATTTATCAGATACACGTAGAGGGGTATATACACCCACTACCAATGAAGGTAACGGTGCGACTTCGACTAATAACGACCATGTCTTCCTGTTCTTTTCCCTTCCCTTTGTTGGAATTCGTCGTTTTTCTTGCCAATAATCCAGACTTAATCCTAACCTTTTCCTTGAATGCATAACTGGTATGCCACTCCTGATACACATCGCCGCCCTCACAATTTCCTCATCCCCCATTCCTAGCATATCATTCTCCCTCAACCTGCTCAACTCCCAATTATATAGCTTATGCAAACTGCAATATATCCCCGCAACCGCCTCATGACAATTAAGTCCAGGTATAACGCTTAATTTATCCAACATAGTTAACCTCTCCAAATTTGCCGCGAATCGATCTAGTATCTTCGTCAACGGACTCTCTCCAGCTTCGAATTGTAAATCTTTCAATAAAATATCTGAGGCTGTCTTCTCATGCTTTGTTACTGATTCTGGTGCATCGGGAAACGATAGCGAAACTTTCTGTACGATATTATTTGCGAAATCGATATCGAGTGCGAGAGCATTCCCTGCTATAATAAGTGTTCGCCCATTGCTCGCGCCGCCCATTGAATCCTCCCATAAACATTCTAATCCTACTCTTCGTGCTAATCTTTCGAGCCCAGCTTCACTAAGTCGTCCTTTATTTGGCTATTCAACCACATTAGTATTGCCAATCCATACCACCACAAATAATATGTCTCTCCCCCGCTCCCATTCCTACCCCTTCAACCTGATCAAACTCACCTTCAAAATCTCAATACACGCCATCAACCTCCTCCTTTTCTCCTCCTCATCCTTTCCCGGGCCTCCACCCAACCCTCCAATCCCATGTAAATCAATTCCCAAATCCCCTACCACATCCGCACCCATCCCCAACGCCAATGCTGCAGAAGGACTATCAAATCCCACCATCCCCATATTATATCCTTGATTTGACATTGAAGTTCCTGCTGGACTAGATTTCTTGATTTGAGAAGGAGATGGGACAACAGAACGCGGTCCATGAGGAGAGAATGCTAGATGAGATGTAGAAAATGGAGTTGAAACGGGTGGTGTAGCTGCCACACCGGGATATTTTCCTGGTGTTGGAGTCGCCATTTTCGTGGTAATTTATAGATTTTATGTGGATTGATTTTCGAGTTGAGGAACAAGTTGTCGTGGTGGAAATGGTAGGTAGAAAGACGGTAGCAAATACTGCAGCCTCAGAGTTGTTGCCTTTGTGCGGTTGTAATTATGGCGATTAAATTTACATAGCCACCGTCGCAAACGGGAGTCCAAAGTTTTATGTGCGATTTTACGACATCAACGGCGGTGGTAAATGTAGAGTGCTGAGATCTTACAATTGCAAAAGCGATTATGTTTCTGAACAAAAGATAGGATAGATGATTGTTATCGGATGGTGCGGGCCTGTCGGCCGCAATGACCGCTTCCCTTTTTCAATGATTGGCTTGAGTAAGGTTGTGGAAAATGCATAGTTCTACAGCCTTCGAATCACACAAATTATCATACAGGTATCAACACAAAAGTTGAATTATTGAAAGATCTTACAATTGAAAGTCAGACAAGGGCTAAAATTCAAGACTAATACAACAAATAATCGTATACAAGTGCTCTCTGCTTCTCTGCTCTGCGTACAGTATGGCCGCTATCTTAAAATAACACTAAACACTACTGCCATCAAAAAAGGATAATATACTATGTTAATCAATACTTCCGCTTTTCTTTATTCATTATTCATTACCCACTCTCAATCATTAAACAAGCTTCGAAGCTTCAAAGCCCAGCGGCACCCCTTGGTGCACGAGGCTTAATAGCAGAAGGATTTGCAAATGCCTTTTTCTCCTTTTCTTGCAACAATAGACGTTCAAGCTCCTCTTGAATCTCCGCGGCACTCTTCACAGCAGCCGGGGCGGGCAAAGGCGGATTGGTGCATATCGTACCAGTCAACGGGTACTTTTCGTAAAACCGAGCAAGAAGTGGCGCTGCTAGACGAAGGTCCATAGCTTTGGCCGTTCTTCCTTCATCATCCTCATTTAAGGGCTGCTTCAGTGTCGTTTTGACTGGCACTTTACGACCAACATGTGCTTCGCGTGGAATAGAGAGACCTGGAGGTGGTAGTACGAGCTTTTTTGGTTGGGTCTTGATCCAAACCGGTTCTGCTGCCATAAGTGGCTTCGGGTAAAACATTGGTAACATTTCATTGGAGGTTGGGTTAATCTCTTCCTTCCAAAACGGACTTGGCCGTTCATACTGAGTACGTGTAATATGAGCTCTTTCAGACGTAAAGTCTTCGAAGCATGCTGCCTCAGGGTTGAGACTGTTGCTGGAACCCCTCTTCTTTCTCGGGCTGCGCTTAGTGTCGTGAGCAATCTTCAAATTCTCGATAGACTTGAAACCATCGTCACCACCATCGTCAAGTCTTTTCAAAACCTTCAAAAGCTTATGAAGAACTTCCCGGTCACCCTTTTCCCACGTAGCAAGGGACCTAATACAATCCTCAAGTAAATCTCCCGCTTTCTTGCCGTCCGGGCTTTCAGTTGTTTCTTCGTTTGACAGTTCTCGCGTTGCGACGTGGACATAATCTTTTGGATTAACAGTATATTTGTCGATAGACTTGATCAGCTTGAGAGGTTCCTCAGCAACGGCTTCTGCAGAAGGACCCGACATCTTGGATATGTCTTCACTCATGTTGACTTTGTCTTTTCCTTCTCTAATGGGAGGCTGTGTCATTTCTGGTTCCGAAGCACCACCTAAACGATTCTTGACAGCTTGCCTAGGAGCTCTCGGCGTTGTCTCCTCCTGAATGCTGAGAGGCTCGATTGGAAGTTTCTGAGCAGATTTAGGACTGTCGCTCAAAGAATCCACATAGTAGCCAATGATTCTCTTGGTAGGAGTGTAATCATCTTTCGTCAAGAATTTTGATCCTGTTTCAACCTTGTATGACTGAGGGCTATCTTTTCTTTTTGGCTCTTTGATCACTGAATCAACACCTCTGTACGTCTGAATCTGAGGGATATTCGACTGCGGACTAGCTTTTTGAGTTGAGATTCCAGTATTTCTCCGAAACTTTTGGGGCGAGTTGCTGTTCGCAGGAGGTGCTCGCGTAAACTCTCTGTTTAATCTAAATTCTTCACATGGCTGAGTTCGACCGAAGAGATACTGGGGTCTGCGATGATGCATTGGCCCGAGTTGCTTCAAGGCTCTTCCACATGAGATAATTGAAGGATCAACCGCCATTGGTTTGTTAATGTATTCTGGATCCGGACAATCTCGGAGAAGACCGGAACGAGCAAGCTGTTCTCGAATATTGGCCTCAAGGCCTCTGTCAATCGGAGGACAAATTGAAATATCAGATCCCACGCTGGTGCCGCTTGAACTGAGGTGCAAAGCATCTCGTGGGTAGTGCGAATGTTGAGTGTAATGTGTTTGGCGTCCAAATTTCTCAGGTTGTGTATTCGGTCTTAAAGTTTGCTGCATCATAGTGCGTAAAGCAACTCGGGGGGAAACTCTCCCGGTATTCTCGTCTCGACGTTCCTCGAGAACAGGGGCGCACTCAGCATATATTCCATCGCCATTTTCAGGACCCCGGTTACCTTGGACATCTATGTTATGATGATGAGTCCTCGTGTTGACTGTCTGTAATGCTACATGACCAGCAGCCATATTCATGTTCAGCGGAACGTTATATGTCATTGGCAACTGATGTTGGAAGGTTGCATATGGTAGAGTGCCAGGGACCACATTGTGGAAAGAACCATGATAAGGTTGTTGAATGTACGCCATTTGCAACGGTATATTTGTTGTATTGTTGCCATTTGGAAATGGTTGCTCCTCTCTTTGTTGCCTTAATACCAACCTTGGAGGATCACCTTCTCCAGCCGGTGCGTTTCTAAGCACCAGCCGTGGCTTTCTTTGCTCATAATGAACCATTATTCCTCCTACCAACTTTTTCCTTCTCTGCAAAATTTGTCTGAATTGTATGCTTTCAATATCAGGTCAGTAGACTTCAAACGGACTTCTGCGCACGAGCCGTAGTAACACCTCCGCCGTACAAATAGTGCCACGCACGATCGCGGGAAGGCGTATTCCAGAAGAATTACCCTCCGGAAAGGTTCTTGTCCTCTGAAGGGTATTTTACTTGCCAATTCTCCGAGGAGACTTCAAAGGCCTTTGTCGAAAGATTTCCGTAGTGTCTGTCTCGCCCAAGAATTAGTCACAAAAGCCATAAAAGCTCCACCCGAACTATACCAAACATACCGCACAACCAAGGAACTCACCAGAATAAGATTCCGAGCTATCATTCAGATCCTTCTGAGTCCAATAAGCTTTTTGGGCCTGTGTCAAAGGTTCCAAATATAGCGGAGGGGCAGTAGTCGAGTTGACAGAATCTGATTCAGAAACGGGCTTGAGATCAGAATGAGTCTTGATGTCTTTGAGAATTCCTCTCTTAAGTACTTCAAGAACTTCGCTTTATCTGTTAAGCGCTCCTCTTGCTAAAAAGAAAGAGGACGGGAGGAGTAGAAAACGTGGTATGCCAAGTCTCAATGCTTGACACCAACCTTCATGGACAAGCAACACTCAAAGCGTATGAAGACTGGGGATGAAAAGGAAGCAGTGCGTCGAAGAGCAAGGATAGTTGATGTTTAATCTAGAAAACCAAAAATTTTTTGGGTGTGTGTCTGGTAGTTGTGGTAGGTTGAGAGAGCAAAATTTGTAGCGATGTTGCTGTGTGCCTGTTTGTTGGGTGGTAATTGGAAGAACATTAAGACAGGAAGATTTTTTTTGTTTGGTTCAATACATTAGCATAGCATTGGAAGGAGCAGTTTGGTTCATATCGATGTGAAAGCGGAAGTCATAGATATTGAGAAGTTGTTCGGCCGTGGCCGAACTTGGAAGGAAGGGGTGTGAGTTGTTGCGCTGAATCGCGTATGAAGTTTCCCATATCTATTATTTTCATTAAAATATATCAATATTCCTAACTGGGTAAACGATGGAGTTTCAGCACGATGAGTAGTATTGAATTTGCCGTTGCAAATATGGAAAGGAAGTAATAAGTCACGCCATTACCACGCATACTGCTGCCACTCCAGAAGTTCTCCTCCCACAATACACCTCGGTCGCCTGGTATGGAAAATAGCCTACAAAATAAAGTTTTGATATATATCTATTCTTCCTTTGCATATTTCACTGCTCCGTGATATAAATTCTTCAAAAATAAATCTGATCCACCAAACGTGACCAAAATTTCTCCAGATGTTGTATGTGGATATAAAAGAAGTAAAATTGACCACTTCTAAGAATTGTCTGTCAAAACCTACAGGATTGTAGCAAAATATCTCCTCGAGGCCTGAACTATAAATTTCCAAAGGTTTAAAGTTGGAATGAGAATATCTGGAGTTTTGTTGTATATCTCGTCAAATTCCTGATCCCTTTCTTTCAACAACATATTGATTACATTTTGTATCTGATAACCCGGATACTATATTAAAATTGTATAGCAAGTCTTAAAGAAAGGAACATATAATTATCACAGCAATCTAGTTTGGGTATATTAAGATTTTATATTAGAAGGAAATTTCCAAATGAAGTAACATGACTTTGACGTTCCTGGAGAATGATAGGGATCTTAGAACTCTTACATCCATTACGGCATCGCATGTTTAATCTACTCTCATGACTGGGACTTCGTGAAAGCTTTATAAAGTATCGTTTATTGTATTGTAAAGGCCATGGTAGCCGACAACTGAATAGAATTATTCTTTGGAGAGTAATCCATAGTATTGATGTGAAGATTATAAGTCTTATAAGAACGTTGGAGCTTAGAGGTTGAAGTTAAAGGTCTAATTTTATAAAAAGAAAAAATTATCAAATTAGTAATATTATAATCTATATATATGTTACGAGGTTTGCCGTCTAGATCACGTGGAAGTGCTCTAGGCTCTCGAGGTGGTTTATAACTAGGCGTCAAGCAGGGACTTAAAGTAATGACAATAATGCAACTCGTAACTAATAGTAGAGTATACTAAATGATTGATCTTGAGCACGAAGCTCTATACAAAGGAAATCCATCTTGATTATATAGACCTTCGTGTTCTAGCTGATCAGTAGGATCAGTATGGCTCAGTACTGAGCTTGCTGATCCTCACTGAGTCAGTCACATGATATTGGTAACACGTGAGCGTCTTCTTGTTACCCGGCGTAACAATATACTACAATAATGTTAAAAGGAATAGAAGTTACCGGTACTAATCACGTGTCGTGATTAGTAATACGGTTACCTAAACAGGCTAGATTAGACGAACCATAAGCAGGCATATTGGTCCCCTCCGAGGATACCAAGAGGAGATTAATATGCCTACAGACGTAGTAATATAGTCAATATAGAGGCCTCTTCCACCCAATCTTTTAATAAATAAGTATTTTAAATTCTTATTATACAAGGGAATCTTAATTAACAAATTTACTTTCAATTTATCAAATTTTCAATTATTCAACTTTTTGAAAATTTAAATAATTTAAAAAGAAAACACACTCTTTTGATTTTAATAAAATAAGATAAAATTTAAATAATAAATTTAAAAATAATAATATTTAAAATAATTATAATATAACTTTATAAATTAATATTAATAAAAAGAAAGAGGATAAGAAACGAGAATGAGACCGAAGAAAAAAGAATATTAGAAAATTATATTTTAATTATCAAACTTGTTGAAACTGAGTTGTTTGGAAGTAGTAGTATTATTAGATGTAGGTTAAACTAAGGATCTAAGTTACAGTAATGGTAGAATTGAAGATATTCCCAATTATGGTCCGTGCACCATAATGGTCATATGACCTCAATTCTAGGCCCATAATGACCTTAATTTCAACAAAACTGAAATTATATTAAAATTTACTATATAATTCAAATAAATTATAGTTAAAAAACAATGTACTAATAGTTCCTCTATTAATAAATTACTAATCATACCTCATAAAATATGTTAATCCTTAATCGATGAATTACTGATATTTTGGCTTCCCTAGAGCAATCATCGCATGTATTGTAACGATAATGACGGACTCTTAGCCTCGAAAATGGCTCTCCGTTCGTGCGATCTCTGAAACTGCGATCATAATCACGTGCACACCCACAACTTTTCTGAAACTACCACGCGGGACAGACACCTTTGGAATGGTATTTGGGAAATGTTCGATGTTTCGATATTACTATCTCCACATCTTCAAGATGTTATGAACTTCTGTCGTGTGCTTGTCTACCCTAACACTTATATAAATATCTAATAGTCAGCACGGGCATCATCCATCTACGACCGCGGGGTAGCAATATGGCAAACATAATCTTGCGCAGACGATTAGCACTTCTCTTTACAATTTCCATCTTCACCATTTCCCTCCTCTATTTCTGGCGAGTGCAATATTCACCTCAAACAGGAGAGGAAAGATTACGACCAAAGCCGGTGATTCCGGAAAAGCCTGATACTATCAAAGAACCAACCAATGAGGATGATGCAAAATTTGAACACTCAACAAGCTCCATTGCCCAAACTTCAAGCACATCAATCAATTTCATAACACAAACCTCCAATATGCCTACAACTACACCTTCCGACTTTTCTACAAAACCCAATGTTACAACTCCCCAAGGAACATTCATCGGAAAACAAACTTCCAAATACCCACAAATCCTCGAAGAATTCCTCGGAATCCCGTACGCATTACCACCAACAGGAGACCGCAGATTTCGACCTCCTGTTCCCGTGAATGTCTCAAATGAAACTTTCGATGTCACGAAACCTGCTCCAAGATGTATATCTGGTCCAGATAATGAACCTCAAAGTGAGGATTGTCTTCATCTGAATATCTATCGTCCGAAGGAGACGAATTCATCACATGAGAAATTACCAGTTTTGATTCATGTTCATGGTGGAGCATTTAATTTTGGTTATGCGGATGATAGGGAGATTCAATCTCTTGTGGGTTGGTCTAAGCAACCTTTGATTGCCATCACGTTTGAGTATAGAGTGGGAGCTTTGGGATTTTTACCTTCAAAGTTGATGGCTGAAGAAGGGGCTTTGAATTTGGGTTTGAAGGATCAAAAGTTGTTGTTTGAATGGGTGCAGAAATATGTTTCAAGCTTCGGTGGTGACCCGGATAATGTTACGGTGATGGGTCCGTCAGCTGGAGCTCATTCTGTAAGTTGACTTTGATTGTGACAATCGTGATTAGCACTAGCAGCAATATACTCTCATCTAGGTCTTTCAATAGTTTGAAATTCAGTCTGATGATGAGGTATCCCAAATTCCCGAGGGAATTTGATGCGTTGTATTGTTGATATGGTCTATTTGATATTTGGAATCCATTATCAAGTTTCCACCTAAAATTCCGCAAATTTTCACGCTGGAAAGCGTTCAAATTTTGCACTGTAGTACAGACCATTGAAACCTCAGTTCATGAATAACCAACTCTTGTGTATTCTAATGATGTTACAGATCGGTCATCACATAATGTACAATGATGGCTCCCCTCTACCCTTTGCTAAAGCAATCATCGAATCAGGAGGACCAACAGCCCGAGCCGTCTATGCTTATGACAACCCACTTCACGAGACTCAATTCTCAGAATTTCTCAAAAAGCTTGATATCCCTAGCACACCTCGCAGCGAAATTCTCCCAAAACTTCGCAGTCTCCCTGTTAAATCTATAAAAGCTGCTTCAGAGCAAATCTTTGAATATTACAACCCATCTCTTCGTTGGCCCTTCCAACCCTGCGTCGATGGACCTGGTCCAAACAGTATTATTCCAATACCACCAATTCAAGCATTTTTAAACAACACATACCATCACATTCCTATCATCACCGGTTATAACACCAACGAAGGGTCATTATTCGTCCCTAAAGCACCTAATAACGGAGAATCCTTCATCGACTTCTTTTATGTTCTCCTACCCACTCTTTCAACAGAAGACCTCTCACTTCTCGACTCACTCTACCCCAATCCCGAAACCAATCCCAACTCTCCATACGCCTTCAACAACACCGCTTTCGGCGTAGGAAATCAATATCGACGACTCGATAAAGCATACGGAGATTTCGCATACATAAGTCCCGTACGCCAAACCGCCTATTTCGCTTCCGGCGAACATCCTTACGAGCAATCATCCTCAAATTCTCCCTCAAATGCAACCCAACAAAAACAAGCACCAGTATATCTATACCAATACGCTGTAAACGGCAGTATCCTCCACGGCGCCACTCACGGAGACCAATCCCCCTTTCCAGTCTTCTCCTCCGACGTCACACACGTATCACCCACAATTAAAGAAATCGCAGGCTTAATGCATGCCTATTGGACATCCTTTATTATTTCCCCAACAGGAAATCCAAATGCAATTCCAGGTAGACATCCTACTCGATTGATATGGTCGGAATATAAAAGTGAGAAAGACAAAAGACATAAAATTGTTTTTGGATTGGGAAATAATGAGATTGCGAGGGGAAAGGAGAAGGAAAAAGGGGTGGTGGTGCAGTTGGTGGAGGATAGGGTGGATGATGGGGAGAGAGATGCTTGTGCTTTTTGGTGGGAGAGGGTGCGGTTGTGGGAGGGTTAGGTCGTTTTGGTGTTGTGGGTTGGAATATGGTGGTTTAGTTTGGTGTGGTGGTGTGGGGTGTGGAATTTTGTATACTATTATATTATTTTATATTATATAAATTGAAATTAAAAAAGTACATCTAGATTTCTATAAATAGTAATAATAAGATAATGTGAATTAATATTATAATTTTTAATATTGAAACTTTTAATATTATATTAATATATTTAAAACAAAATAATAAATATCACTTTTTATAACGTAACTTATGGTGAACCGGGTCATATGGGGAACCGGGTCACAAAATTCAATTCTCTCTATGTGATCTTGTTCTACGAGCTACACATTCATCCAATTCCAACTCTAAATCACTTGAACTACTCTCTGGCTCTTCTTCTTCAGTCTCCTCTTCTAATTCTTCAATTGGACGTTTACGTGGTCGCCCTCGTGGCTTTTTCTCCTTCGGTTTTTCCTCCGCCTCACGTACCATTTTCAGTACTTCCTCACTACTAAAGACAAATTGACCTTGTAATTTGACTCTTTTGCCTTTAGTTCTCTTCTTTCGAGTCTCAATTACTTCCTGAGCATCAGCGAGCTGTTTCCGAAGTAGGGCTATCTCAGCTGTTGGTACGAGAAGGATACGGAAGACGTAGCACCCACGGATTACGTAGGTCCTGTATGTCTAATTGTATTCTGTCTAAAGAGCTAGCTACATATTGAAAGTAGTAAGTCTTATATAGACTTACTAAAAGAGCTAGTCTCTTTCGCGTTCGCTTAGTTCTTTATTACAGTAGTAATTGAATTGAAGTCATTCACTTCGTTCACACATCAGCATTTTGAGATTCTACAAGCCTAGTCATTCTCTTGGCATATCGACGAGTTGGTGATGCAAGAGAATCATTATCTGCTAGAGCTTTATTAAAGATTTGATTTGCTTGCCTTAGCTTTGTCCCATTTGGAGGAGAGCTCCTGAGTATAGATAAGTCTAGATCTTGATTGGACATTCTCATTTGTAGAGTAGAAGATTGTTGGGAGGAGTTAAATGGTAATATATCGAGTACTTTTCGTGGGGCAAAAGGTACTAAACCAGCTCCTCTCCAACTAGCTTTAATATTAGAAGAATTCAGTGCTTTTTTTCTAATATTTTGAAAGAGTTCTACCCATTCAGCTCTTTGAATTCGCTTTACACCAGCTCGAGAATATCGATCGACCTCTAAAGTATGATATCGTTTCATTGGCCTATACACTATAATATCAAGTGGTTGAAGCAAGTGGGAGCAATGAGGAGGTAATATAAGTAAATCGATTTCCTTCTTTATACAGAAAGCAATAAAGCTGCCTGTAATATGACTTGAATGGCCATCCATGATCAAAAGTCGAGGTCGGTCACCTGACACTTTCTTGGATTCTGGTTCGAAAACCCTTTTTAACCATTCTAATCCATGACTATTTGAGGTCCATCCATTCGTACTCGTAGAAAACTGCCAGCTTTGAGGCGTGTCCTTTGGAATCCATGCAGAATTCGTATTCTGAGCCTTGAAAATGATTATAGGTGATAGAGCCTTTCCAGCTGCATTGACACATTCAAATGCAGTTATCCATTCTTGCTTGCCAGCTGTAACTTTCCAATTCGATTTCTGAGTAGAATCGATTATAATACACGTACTTTGAGTACTTCCAACTCCAAATCCGGTTTCGTCCATATTATATATATTATCTAATTCATACTTTCGTTCAATGAGACATATACGAAACACATCAAACCAAGCCTAAATATTCTTCAAAGTTGTTACTTTAGTCTGATTAGACTTTAATTGATATGAATAGCATATTTTAAGTTCTGGATGTCGTTTTTGGAATCTATAGATCCATTCGTAGCCTATAGGTGGAATTTCTGTTGAGGTAGGAATTCGAGATGATGCGACCTGAACGCATCGAAGACGAATTTCGTCGGTTATTTCCTTCACCAATATAGGTGTAGCAGGGAATCCAGTAATAATAAATCGTGAAATCCATCGTACAAGAGTATTTTCTTCTGTGTTTGAAAGAATTTGAGCCATTTCGTGGGATTGAGTACGTGATTTCCTTCCAGCGACCCTAGCTATGAGAGTTGACTTAGGAACTTCAAAATACTCTGCAGCCTTTCTAATTGATTTAAAGTCCTTCAATTGAAGTGCAATAATAGCATTCTGTATCTTCTCTTCAATTTGAGAAGGCGTAAGAGGTGATTCGGTATGCATAGCAAAATTTGTTGGGGTTTGAAGTCAGTGATGGGCTAAATGTGACCCGGTTCCCCATATGACCCGGTTCACCATAAGTTACGTTATATAAAAATATTAATAATTGTTAAAGTGAATGGTTCCTGCGTAGCACGTGCACAGGGCACTAGTCCTATTAGGACTAGATTGAGAAGCTCTCTGTAAGAGAGCTTCGCACTTCCGTAGAACTTAGAAGAGAGATTAACCTAATAGACCAATATTACCTCAGTTCTGCCCTATCAGCTTCCCACTATTCCCTGTGTGAGGTCTGTTACGAGGTTTGCCGTCTAGATCACGTGGAAGTGCTCTAGGCTCTCGAGGTGGTTTATAACTAGGCGTCAAGTAGGGACTTAAGTAATGACAATAATGAAATGCAATTCGTAACTAATAGTAGGATATACTAAATGATTGATCTTGAGCACGAAGCTCTATACAAAGGAAATCCATCTTGATTATATAGTCCTTCATGCTTCCATGATTACTAGTGATCCTTCATGATCATTAGTGATCATCTATATCGTGATCCTTAGTGATCCTTAATGATCACCAGTGATCACCTATACCGTGATCCTTAGTGATCCTTAATGATCACTATTGATCATTTGTGATCACGTGCCTTGGTAGTTGTGTAGCCCGTCGTAACAAGGTCATTCCTTTTAACAATAATATCTATTTTAAAATAAATAACAATAAGATAGTATTAATTATATTTTTAATACTAAAAAAAATCAAAACCAAAAAAAAGTTTAAAATTAAATTATTAGATTTAAAAAAATATTCTTCAAGTAGATTGATTTATTAATTAATACAAAATATATATATTATAATATTTATTCTTTTTTGAATTTATTTAATACCTAATATATATAGTAAAAATAATATACTATAATATCATATCTTTATCTCCCTCTCTATCCCCATCTCTATCACCATCACCATCACCATCACCATCCCAACCTCACTTCCTTCCAATCCGCTCCTTATAAACTGGTTGGTATTCCTAACATCTAGCTAGCTACCTATTCATACAAAAACCAAATCCAGAAGCGATACAAACGAGGAGAAGAAAAAGAAAAGAAAAGAAAATTGAAAACCGATATTGTATCATTTGCCTCCAAGTTTTCAAATTGGCAGAATAAAGCAAACTGCGCCGAAACTCCTAATAATGAATGCCGCTTAACGAATCTAGTTAATAGATCTGGAACTTTTGGATGTGTAAAGTTACTAGCGGTTTCGTCTAATGTGGCTTGTTGCGTATGATGGGTTTGAACGAAAGTTTGTGGAAGATATGCTTTGTGATGCGTGGGAGTAGGTGATGATGTTAGCATTGAGGGTACATGGTACGTTATACGCCATGTTATACCATGTGCCGAATGCTGTCTAGGTGCTCAGAGATCCAAATTAACGCTCTTTTCAAGTGCTAATGTGAAATGGATATGGATAATTATGAGGATATCGATATCAGTCGTCATAGTTGAAGATAAAAACGTACGCCGAGTGGAAGGATGGAACTCGCTCGAAAGGTTCATCGTCATCCGTGAAGACTGATATTACTTGAAAATGTCGTATTATCCATCGGCACCGTTTATCGTATCCGGGTTTCCACTTCCATTTTCACTTCTTATCATAATTCATCTCCAATCATCTGGCACATTTCCAACACCCTCCTACTAAACCCGTCTCAGCCACATTCCACTATCACCACATTCCTACCCTCCCCCATGTTATCCCTATCCAATCACCACCCCCACCCCTCTCCATTCCCCAAACCCCTAACGACTTTCCCCAAAAACCCCACTAGGCGCCGCCCTCTTACTCTTCATCCCCCTCACCGTCCCCTGAATAGTACCTAACCCAATACTTCCCACCAGCGGCGTAGGCCCAATAGCCCAAGTTCCCAAAGCCGTCGTAGCAAACGTCTGCGTGTATATCGGTATATATGAGACGGTTGTCGTACCATCTGTTGTGTAAAGTGATGGCGCTCCTGGTGTGGTCGTCGCCATCTGTGTGGCTACTGATGTGACGACTATTCCACCTAAACCTGCTTGTGCGTATGTGAGGGTTGGGAGGAGGGCGAGGAGAGATAGTGTGGAGAGGGAGGTGAAATGCATCGTGATGATTGATTGTTGTCGCGAATTGGAGTGAGGTTCTGCGAGAGTGGATTCTCTCAAGTTGGTAAGGTCGTGATGAGTTTCAATTCGGATGGCTATCGTAAGTGACGTATTGTCGTGATGGTTGAATATTTTCAATCGTCTTTCGTTTTGGTATTCGTTGTCTAGTCAATAATTTCGTCGGTTGGTTGGGGAACTTCGTAATCTCTTTGTGAATTCTTACGTCGCAAAATGGTTATGAAGATCAATTTGCTATTCTTGGAAGTAACTAAAGTGAAAGGGGTAAAAGTGGATACACAGCCACTTTTGTGCATTTGCCATGTGGCTTGACTGCTTGCTTGCGTGGCTTTTCATCATGTGCCAATTTGTGTTTGTTGAAATGCTTATGTAAGGACCGTCGATGCCTTCATAAGTTCACTCTGGGCTACAGTACTCTATCTATCGTAAAGGATCAAAAAAGTTTGTGCTAAGATTAATGTCTCATGTTGACATGGTACAGGATTGTAGATCGTGTAGATCTTAACGGTCCAGAATTGCGCTGTCGAATAACTGGCCGATAAATGATTCTGGTGAGCATGCATACGAGAGGAGGTGGGTGTTACATGGCGAAGTTGGGGCTTCAAGATGAAAGCAGTTTCTTGAATATCTAGCCAATGAATGAACTCTAGAAAACTGTTTGTTTATTTTGCTGAGAATAAGTTTTCAACAACCACAAGCCTATGTATTATTCTCATTTCTGTTTGATATCACTCTAGCTGAATATCAAATCGGCCACTCCGTATTTTGTCTTCAAACAATTGACAATACGGAGTACACGCACCCATCAAGGCTATCCCAAGTTACCCACATGACTCAAAAATATCTTATCCGCTTAGACCTTCTACACCTTCTATACATATTTCTAGAAGGTTTATCCAGATTTAATTACGTGATAGGCAATGATAGGCAGCCCGCAGTTGAGAGCTTGGGGCAAATACTGCTCTAATTCGATTTACTTTTAATGAGAGCCTTGATAGGAGGTCGCGAGGTCGCAAGGTAGCAAAAGGCCCCATTGAATGTCATCATCGTCATCTTTTTTCACAAACACACAAGGGTTTGCATTTGCGTTTTGCAGTTGCAGTTGCGTTTTTATACCTGCTCTGTTCGGAATATTTGCCTTCAGCCCTGTGCCTTTCTCTTTATTATTTTAACGTTTAAGACATTTCATGTAGGGGCCGGAGGAGAGTACCTAGCCTGTTGAAGAAATGTAGCAGCTAAATGAAAAAGAGGGAAGCGTCACTTCCGTGGTCTCAACCTTCATATCCGAAAGAAACCGAATTATTTTCACTTCATTTTAAAAGTAGTCGTCCAATCATAATTGGATTGTTTTTAACCCTATAAACTGACGCTGGCCTCCTTGACTTTTAATCAATCGATCTACCTGGGAGTAACTGGTTCAAGAAGAAGCTGTCTCTTTTCGAAACGCCCGTCTACTCATCTACCCATCTACCCTTCTACTCATAACTTTGCCGCTCAAACCTAAAGATCAAAGCGCCTACGAGTTGTTTACTTTTTCGTACCCAATCATGCATTCTTACCCAATAAATCCCTAGGTATAGAATGGTTTCAGTTGAACATACAGTGTACAGTGTACATTGCCTAGAACAGCTTCTCCGCTGACTCCGATCTTTTATACGTAGACTTGCATACGTAGTAATTGGTGTGCATGTATGTATGTATGTCTTAAGACCACTTCGACTCTTTTTGCTCGTCTTTCGTTCGCGCTTGTTCAGATCAGACCTCCAGCCTACATACATAATTACTACCTAGTAATAGTACTTTAATCTCAATAGCACTAGCGTTACAAATGGTGAATAAGTACTACCTAGGTATGACGGGTGAAAAAGGAGCGAGCACAAAATATGATGAAGACTTGAACTAATTAGATAAAGAGCCAATTAGGTAAGCCAGAATTCTCATTTCCGAATTTCCCAGCTTAAGACAAAGTTCCAAATTCATATTCCGAGCTAGAAAAAACAAACAAAACTTTCCAGATTGCTGGGTAGGGTTCTCCTTGGGGCATCATTATACCTCTGTAGAAAAAGTACCAAAGCGTTCACTTTCACCAATCATCAACCAGCTATGCTTCATTTTGCCACCATTTCAGTCCCCACGATGCAGTGCAGCCCATCCATAACCCTTGTAGCTTTTAATCCTTGACCACCAAAACCCAGATCCAAACTTCTTAGGGGGAAACCAGTCTAGTACAACTAATTAGGTTAAGGCTGAGTGAAATACCTTCTATTCGCCCAAACCAAGAGTTTTGGTGGCCACAAGTCGAAGCCTTCTACTTTCTAGCTGGAACCTTTAGAGAGACAAGTTCGATCCTTTTAAAAGGTCCGGCCGATTCTCCTAATGCTTGAACGGCACTTGATATCTTCTTTTGAGAATATAAGAGCCTTTCTATCCCCTCGTTAAATTAATTGAAGCTTATCACTACCTCCTTCACTATCAATCGATTGTTATCTGAATACTTCGATAAATCAATTAACCAACACAAGCTTACTCGAGTAAAATATTAGTCACTGCCTTCGATTTTCATCACGATTCATTCCTACCATTACTAGTTATCATATTCTTTAACCCCACGATTCATGATCTCGTTCTGTTGTTGAAGTCGATATAATTCAACCATTGATGGACTTATAGTTGCGACATTTCTCCTCTTTTTAATATTAACTTGATAACTCTATCATTTACTCTTTACATCTTCAATATGTTCGAGAACTTTACTTTCGGCGCTGCTCCAACCAATCCTTATCAATACGATGATGATGTACAACTATCACCAAGAGACGACTCATATCCTATCCCATTATCACCGTCCTCCGATTCATATCCTTTCTTCGATGACTATAAACCATCCACACCACTCGATGATATCATTAGTCAATTTCATCACCAATCACTTTCCTACGAAGAAGCAAGAACTATCCAATCTCGACACTACGCATCCTCACCAACACCTTCCCTATCCGGAGAGTCAGAAATCTCTTCTTCATCAGACACCACACAATCCGTACCAACTACACCCACTTCTCCCTACAGAGCAGGTGTCCTAGCATGTCGAAGACTCCAACGTCAACTTAACGTCCAACTCCAATGTTCCACCTCTCACATTCGCGATATTAGTTCTCTAGTCGAAGATATGCTTACCAATAATTCTCAATGCAATTTATATCCCTCTCCTTCCAAAACTTCTCTACTAGCTTCTTCACCTATTTCTACTACGATGGTATTAGATGATTCTTGTACAAGAAATGAGTGGAATGATATGGAAAGTGAAAAAAAGAGGAGAAATTGGTGGAATGTTGTGGTGGATGATGTGGATGAGGGGTATATGGATGGAGAAACTTGGGATAGGGAGGATGCTGATGCTGGTTTATCGCTTAGGAGAGCGAGTACGCCGGTGGGAGTTAGGAAGGTGGGGGGGAGGTGTAGGAAGAGTTTGGAATGTGGGGGTGGTGTTAGGGTTAAGGTTGCTAGGGGGCAGAGAGTGAGAGTGAGGATGGGGGAGGGGAAGGTGGGGAGAGTTTGAGTAGTGGGGTTTTGTATCTTGGGTTGGGTTTTGTGTTTTTTTTCGGTGGCCGGGGAAAGGGGGATGTTGTGTGTTTGGGATGGGATGGATGTAATGTTTCTCTCGAGATTACTTCAACTATTAGGTTGGCAAAATTGGCGTTTTGGGAACAGAATGGATGGATGGATGGATGGATGGTTGGTTGGTTAGATGGATGGATAAATGAATGAATATACGGATGAGCCCCACGGCTACTTATTTATACTCATACTGGGAATTGGGATTGGAATTGGATGGGATGGGATGACTTCTTACATATATACCTTTACTTAACTTATATACTCAGCTATTTATTTATTTATTTATTTATTAGCTTGAGTTTCTCTTCTTCAAATGCTTTCTTTAAAATTTAAATTTAAAATATATATATATACCTTGGGATTATTGAAGATAGTTTAAACAAAAGAGATTTTATAGATGTATAGATATAGAATATAAAATATAAAATGAATGAATGAATAAATGTTCTTGGATTTTTGATTATTTTTATTTATAAGAGGATCTTAGATCTTGATATTATTGATAGATAATTAGTATTGGTTGAATGAATAGATGAGTGAATGAGTAGATGAAATTCTTACCTTATAAGATTAAACAAATAGGTACTTTATGTACTTTGTGTAAATGAGAAATTTCAAATTTATAGGATTTATTTTATTTTATTTGGTTATGATTATGGATTAGGAGGGGTGATGGGGATGAATAGAGATTTGGGATTGGTGGATTACTGGATGGGTTTTTGAAGATATGTTAAGGTATTATGGTAGGTGGTAGGGGATTTGGGATTTGGGATTTGGGAATGAGGATTAGAGATTGCGGAATGGGGAATGTATTGGTTATTGTTTATAATTAATAGGTAGGTAATTTATAATATGATGTGATGTGATGTGATGTTTGAACAAAAATCATCATTTTTAATACCAATAGCAAATACAGAAATCCCATAAGTATAATTCAATGAAATTGTTAAAAGGAATGACCTTACACAGGGAATAGTGGGAAGCTGATAGGGCAAAACTGAGGCTATATTGGTCTTGTATATTAATCCTCTTTTTCTAAGTTCTATCGAAGTGCGAAGCTCTCTGTCACAAACCACGTATAATATTATCCTAGGATGAGAATCGTCCCAGTATTAGTGTCCTGAGGCCAATAGGAGATCACGTGACGTGATAGTTTTGCTAGCCTTCAGAGAAACGTTTAGTATATAGTTAGAATAGTTTCATAGTTTAAGAGCTTCGTGCTCAACTTAGTTATCAATTAGTTTACCTACATTCTACTTGATCTAGTAACGACTTCACTTCCAAGTGAATACCAATGATAAAGCCTTAACCCATAACTACCAACCAGACGAAACCTCAGGCAGCCGCTGCCTCTAGTACAGTATCGTTACATATTCCCTGTGTAAGGTCATTCCTTTTAACATAATACTTTATAAAATAATCTAAGTAAATCTAAATATTTAATATAAATTTTAATTATATAGTATTATAATTTGAATTTATAATTATTTTCTGAAATTATTGATAGGTTATTTCAATGATTTTAATAAGGATTGAAAAAGTGCTTATGGAATTTCTGCATCCACTACTGACTGCACTTATAACTTGCACACTCCCTCCACCCGGCCACCGTAATCCCAACCTGCACATCCACATGCACATCCACATGCACATCCACTCCACCTCAATTCATTCCACCTTATCAAAATTTCCCCATCCCCTCCCATCTCAACCCCTCCTCCAATTCAGCATCCACAACTCTCCCACCCTCCCAATATACCATCTAGTGATCTAATGCCAATACAATAGCAAAGAAAGCTCCCAACCGAACTTTCCATCACATCACACTCCTAAAATGGCATCTTCATTACGCGCCGCTAGTTCCAATGTCGCAAATCGTACAGTTCATGTTAAAATCTTTCCTTCTGCGAGAACATTTGCGGAGAGGAGGGAGGTTTTGAGGGTTTTGGAGAGGTTTGGTGAGGTGTGTATGTTTAGGTGTTTGAAGGTATGTTTTCGGGATTTTTTAGATTATATATACATACTAACCCAATAAAAAGCACCACCCCATATCCCCCATCCAAAACGCATTCATCTCAATCTTCGCCTCCGCAACCGCAGCCCAAGAAATCATAAACGCAAGTCCAGTCCGCTATCGTTTAACCGTCGAACGCAATCCCTCTCTCCCTAACGATGTAAATCCATCCCCAGCACCGACCAGTAACTCGAAACCAATCGAAAAAATCTTTTCTCTTTCTCTCAATATCTCCCGGTATACGCATGATCAGTATATTTCTCATCCGCTTACGAATCCTCTTTATGGTCCTTTTAAACCAATTGATCATAAGAGATCGGGGATAGCGGCGCATTTGGGGAAGAGTATTGAGGGGAGGTTGTGGAGTAAGGGGTTGGTGGATTGGGAGAGTGATAATGGGAGGAGGAGTGGATGGAATGAAGAAGAGGGGGAAGGGGCTGCGAGGGCGCAGAGGAATGATAGGGCTAGTTCGAGTGTGCCGTTGAGATTGGTGGAGAGGGATTTGGAGGTTAGGAGGGAGGGGAGACCGAGGGTTATGGAGGGGTTGGTGGGGTTGATTGGGAAGGAAAAGGGGGAGGGGAGTGTGTGAGATTTTGGTGGAGGGGATAGAGGAAAGGAAAGAAATGGGTTTTGGGGCTAAATATGAGCATGTGGTTATGTGTCTGGGATGCAAACTACATCTTGCATCTGCTCTGCATCAGGAAGAAAGTCCTTCCTATCAAAGTTACATATATGCCAAAAAGGAGAATCATCTGGATAAAAAATCAAGTGCTGAGTTTTATCCAAGCTATAGATTCATCTATTCATCCAATTCATTATCTACTTGATTATTAATACATGAATGAATCATTGAAGAGAGATGTCATCGACTTAGAAGTGATATTTTAATTGTCTTTTATTAGGGAATAATGTTAAAAGGAATGACCTTACACAGGGAATAGTGGGAAGCTGATAGGGCAGAACTGAGGCTATATTGGTCTTGTATATAAATCACTCATTATCTAAGTTCTACGGAAGTGCGAAGCTCTCCAACAGAGAGCTTCTCAATCTAGTCCTAATAGGACTAGTGCCCTGCGCACGTGCTACGCAGGAACCATTCACTTTAACAATATACTTGTTTTATTTTATTATTTAAATCTTTAATAATGTTTTGAAATATTTTATTTTAAAATATTCAATGAATTAACAATTATTTTAATTTTTACTAAATTATCAATTTTTTATACAATAAAAACAAGTACGGAGGTTTGGGCTGTTGTTTACCGCGGTTCCCTTATCGATAAGGAATCCTAGGACAAGTGTCCTAGGATAAAATGTGTCCCAGGATAATAACTATCCTAGGACAAAACGATTAGGCAACCATGAAGGCATAGGACTAGTGTCCTAGAACGTTATGCGTTTTAGGATAAAGTGTCCTAGGATAATATTTGTTCCAGGACAATTATCCTAGGAGCTATATTATCCCAAAATAAGAATCATCTTAGGATTAGTGTTCTAAAACCAATAAGAGATCATATAATATGATAGCTCTACTAGTCAATTAGCAGAGCTAGCATTTAGGGAAACGATGAATTTATAATCAGGATAGTTTTATAGTTTAAAAGCTTGGTGCTCAATTTAGTTATCAATTAGTTTATCTATATTCTATTTGATCTAATAACGAATTCACTTCCAAGTGAATATCAGTGATAAAGCCTTAACCCACAACTACCAACCAGATGAAACCTTAGGCAGCCGCTGCCTCCAGTACAGTATCGTTACACTAGTAACGAATTCACTTCCAAGTGAATACTGGTAATAAAGCCTTAACCTACAACTACCAACCAGACGAAACCTCAGGCAAACGCTGCCTCTAGTACAGTATCGTTACACCAATATAGCCTCAGATCTGCCCTATTGTTACGACGGATCTCATATACCTAACATCACGTGATTAGCATCATGTGATATGAGGATTCCAGTAGGCTCAGCTGTCCCAGTACAACTGGGACAACTGGGAGCACTGGGACGCATGCCACGATGGTCTATATAATCAAGATGGATTTCCTTTGTATAGAGCTTCGTGCTCAAGATCAATCATTTAGTATACTCTACTATTAGTTACGAATTGCATATCATTATTGTCATTACTTTAAGTCCCTGCTTGACGCCTAGTTATAAACCTACTTCGAGAGCCTAGAGCACTTCCACGTGATCTAGACGGCAAACCTCGTAACATTTTGGATTCTGAATAAAAAATTATAATTTTTTCGATAATAATTATATTTTATTTTATTAAAAAATGATAATTGATAAAAAATCTCGATTTTCTTTTTTATATTTAAAACATTTTTGTGACGCCTCACACCTCCGGGTCACGTGGCATGCCACGTTTGTATTTAATCACAGGAAAACTCGCTACTCTTGTTTTCCTTCTTCTTTTCTCCTTAGCTTAGTATTTTCTAATACAAGATACTCTACTTAGTATTCTTGAGTGTGACAATTTTAACAAATATTTATTTTTTAAATACAATTTCAATCTCTTATTCTAAATGAAAAAAATACAATGTTTATTAAAAGATTGGGTGGAAGAGGCCTCTATATTGGCTATATTACTACGTGTGTAGGCATATTAAGATCTCCTCTTGGTATCCTCGGAGGGGACCAATATGCCTGCTTATGGTTCGTCTAATCTAGCCTGTTTAGGTAACCGTATTACTAATCACGACACGTGATTAGTACCGGTAACTTCTATTCCTTTTAACATAATCTTATATTAAACACATACCGAAACGTATAAAGTATATCTATCAATGGGTGGAAATGTCACACTCAAGAATACTGGGTAAAGTATCTTGTATTAGAAAATATTAAGCTAAGGAGAAAAGAAGAAAGAAAACAAGAGAAGAGATTGATTGATTGATTGATTGATTGTGTTTATCGTCATAGGCCGTAGGCCCACGCGCCTTGGCGCGTGATAACCTTAGCCATCTATTCCAGTTTTGGACAAATGACGCTCAGAGGAGAAGCCTCTGAGTGGTTTACTAGCTAGCTAGGGGGAGTATTTATATACAATTTAAAGGGGGCTAGGGCAGGGTTTACATGATTGCCTTCGCAGGGGGGGTTTGGGCCGGTAGGCCTTTTGGGGTTGTAATTGTGGTCATCCTCGTTCACTAGATCACTGGCTCTTGATCTCTCTCCCTTCCCCTTATACTATTAAAACATTGTACTCGAAAACCCTTCATCCCTGATCCCCTTCCCGATACCATCAATCCAATTACTCCTTATATACCAGAACGTACTGTAATCGCCCACCGTCAGGATTGCCTCGTCCTCATTCTGATCATCCTGCCAATAGAAAGCTTATGAAGGAGCATTAATCCTCATATAGCGTAACTATAGCATACACAGGTAGTGGTTTGTACGGGTGTCCCGATTCCGTAAGTAGCATACCTCCGCTGAATGAGAGCAGAGTAAGTTTCGTCATCAGCTTAGGTCCTTCAACAGTACTCCTCCGGTGTTCCCGTATAGAAGGTATATAAATTGTTGTCGTTTCAGTTGTATCGATCATGGAAGGTATACAGTATATAACATATACACGTCAAAGATATCGAGTTGTACTATATGTTCCAGAGGAGTCTCACTTTTAAGAAGTGAGATGATTTCGTGGCGTATTGTCGTAGATGATGATGTTGTCCTCTGTTTCGTAATAAAGGTAGTATTGTAGAGAGCGCATTTCGATAATGCAACTGTCAAAAAACCGCAAACGGGTAAAAACGTCGTGATCGGGCGCCTCTTCCTCTTCCAATTACCACGACTCCATCAAATAACTCAAACTTAGCTCTGCAGACTCTCATAAGAGAGCTGGAGGTTCGTAGGATGCACCGCGTACAGGTGTTGAGTCTTCGCATCCCAACAAGAGAAGAGAGTTTTCCTGTGATTAAATACAAACGGGGCATGCCACGTGACCCGGAGGTGTGAGGCGTCACAGGAAATATAAAAACTATGCCCAGTACATGATCACCTATCAAGAACAACGAGAACAAGCTTTGATCTGGTTCAGGGAATAATACAGAGTAGGCCTTCTTCTCATAGTATTTTGATGCTTGCTCATTTCATTAGTTTGATTTGGCCTTTAAGCGGCGAAGCGTGGGTGGACCCTCGGGAGGTTCGGGTAAGGATGAGGCTTTGGGGTCCCCAAGCAAATCTTAGTGCTTATCGACATTGTAACCTCATGACGTACATTCATTGTAGTTGATGTTGACCAGCTGATAAGTTTATCGAATTCTGGCCGATGGTTAATTGAGGGGGAATTCTTACTTGCCATTGCATGTGGCACAATCCTATCAATATCAGACTCTAGTTGCTGTCTCGGTGTGGATGTTTCTTCGTTCTTCAAAGTACCACGCTGTTATCTATATATCATTTATACTCATCAAACAATGCTGCGGCTAAAGTTCATCCCTAATACTGTATGAGGAAAGTTCATGTGCCATTTTGAGCGGAACGGTCCTGGGTTTGGAGTCTAGATGCTACCTTGGTGTGGATGTTTCTTAGTTCTTCAATTCTTCGCCGTAGACATACTTATCTTGCGTGATATTCCTTATCTTTGCGTGAGGTTGAGCTTGCTGTTCAGCTGTTCGTAATTACCAGTCTTTCATGTGGAGAGATCCCTCTATGTCGCTGAGTGGAGCAATTATCATCTAGATTGTTCATACTTCCGATACATTGCTATATCTTGCTTCTTCAACTTGCTGCTTCGTAAGTACACGTTATCTTTTGTCGCTCAATTCGATGAAGATTTCCCTGTTTAACAATGTGTGTACGGACTAGGTTCGCGTGCTTTTGGAGGCTGGGAGAACTTGCCTAGGTCTTCAATATACGACGCCCTAGGCATGATTTATCAGTACCATAGTAATTCAAAATGTAGCGGCAAAGTAGAGAACCATTTTTCAACATGAATATCAGTTAGATGGATTTTTAAGATTTCGTCCGGAAGTTTAACACGGGCAATACGGAACGGAATGCTTTTCAATGAATACCCTATTTATTATCTTCGAACTTTTATGTTTAATCTGTCAGCCGACTCTTTGTATCTTTGTACTGCTTTTGTACATATTTTATCTTGAGCGACGTTACTTCATTGCAGATTTTAAAGGCTGGAGCTGCGAGCTTGCCTATCAGAAAGATTACCAGGGTTTGACCATTACACAATGTGTTGGGTTCATAGTCACGAGGATATGATCGCTCTAGTACTGGCGACGTTGTAGGAAGATAGTACGCTATTCATGCAAGAGATCAGATTGAAGGAAATCATCATATCACGAAGCAAGGTACTGGATTTAACATGTTGAGATGGATAAGTTATTGATTCTCCGATTGGCGAAATGTCAAAATAAAACGAATGTGGAAGTATATCATCGGTCGTTGCAACTCCACTGCTCCACTGTTCCTCTTAGACCCCACTACCAGACTGAAGGTTTACCATAGGCCATTGCTCCATATACATTGACCCCAGCTTCATCTCTCTTCCATACCGAAGTTTGATTTTAGACCGCTGCTCCGTCCGTATCAGCTTCAGCATCTCTCCTACCAGGCTGGACGGGGATAGACTGTTGCTTCATCTGCATCGGCTTCTTCTTTCTTATAGATCCGATGATTATAAAATACCACTTCATCCGCATCGACTTCAGCATCGCTTTTATCCCAGCCTGAAGGTGGATAAGGTGTATAAGCAATTGCCTCATCCGCATCGACTGCAGCATCTCTTTTATCCCAGCCTGAAGGTGGATAAGGTGTATAAGCAATTGCTTCATCTGCATCTGTATCTCCCACTGATCTAACAATGGCGGCATTGACTTATTTTTAGTTGTCAGTTTGGAGTCCATTTCTCTTGCACAATAATGGTAGTCGAAAATTATATCCTAAAACGTACCTGCAACAGCTGGGATGGCCATGGCAACAATGTGCGACACAAGGATCGCCTGAAGGATGTAGGACTTGAACATTATGTGTAAGTGATGTGCGAGAAATATCAAATTCTTGGAGGCTTCGGTGTATGTGGTTGGATTGACTGAAGAATTATGGCCATGGAGGCAACGCTGTCCTTTTGTATATTTTGAATCAGCTTCATACCTTCCACCCCTGCTTGATTTGCTCTGAGGTCATACTCATTCACATCGGAAGATAAGATGTGTTGCACAACAACCTGGTTCGGCAGATATTGAACTGATCGACGCGAAGACTCCCTCAGAGATCCCATCGGGCCAATTGTGTAATTTTCGGCATGTAGAACGCAGCTACTGGCTCGTATAACCGTTTTGGTCTTGGTGAGGCGAGCGATTTTGAGTAGCTGGGAGCGAATCGTAGGTTTCACGCGCTAACTTCCTCTTAATGATGCGACTTGCCATTGTCGTGTAGCAATTGTGATATGAAGAAAAGCGGTATTTTCTGTTGCTGTGATGTAGTATTCGACATATGCGGCAGGTGTTTTTGCTCGTGTCAGGCTACATGCATGTGTGTATCTCTTTGTTTACTTTTCCGTATGCTCATTTAGTGATTGAACTTGACCTCGCCTCACCCGTGCATAAATTGCGCGCAAAGATGGAGAGCAGCTGAGATACTGTTTGCATGGTCAAGTTCAACGTTGATAACATATGCACATATCCTAAAAGAAAGCAACCTCGGGATGACCCTTTCTAACTTTCATGTTCTAACTGATCGATGTTCTGCCCAACTATATCGGTTCTTAGGGTCTTTTTCTTACGAGCAAAAGGAATGTAGTGATGTCTCTGATTGTGGTTCCTGGCTTCCTGGCGCTGGGGGTCTTAGGTATGCCAATTACGTGACGGAAAACACGCTTTATTGGTTAAAGGAAAGCTGCAGTAAGAAAAAGACGAAAGCTGAAGCTTCACTCTCCTGCAACCATTTCAGATTTCAAATGCACTATGTCTAGAACTAGCTTATTCCCCGCATATACCCTCACGCATCTTCGCCAATGGCCATGGAGAAGGGAACTCCTCATGACATAGGGTCAGGCCTTTCAAGTAGATCAACACGAAACAAATCAAATTCTCTCTCCTCAGCCCAAGCATCAATATTATCCCAGTTTACACACTCATGGTCGCTGAAATCTTTGTTAGTTGGTCGCAAACTCTTGCTCTGCCCTATGACCTCGTTTCCACGCGTTCCATTTACCCACTTGTATGTAATGAGTGAAAGATCGGGCTTGCACATCAGATTCTCTCGGATGTATTCGATACAGTGATCTAAGAATGAACTCTGAGCTTTAATCAATGTACAAGGGAACACTCATTTCATACCTGCATGTTCAGATTCTAGGGACAGTCGATCTTCAGAAGCAGTACTGTAATAGTGGTCACGGTAAACCCATTGTCTTAATTTCTTCTAAAAGATTGTCAGTAGAATTCCTCAGGGAAAGAATACCAGCATACATACCAAACAGTGAAGGGCATGAAAAACTGTCAATTGAGCAATGACACCAGATCCATCTTTCAAATGTATGACGGGCATGTTCTCATCGAAATCGCTCAATGGTACTTGTAAATTGTCATCTGCTCGATCTCAGTATCTCGAACCTAGAATTGTTTGAAGAGAATTAAGGCGGCATAATTACATCGTAAAAGATTATGCCATGCATTTTCGAGCTCAGGTCGGGGCTCGCCGACGAAAGGATTTCCTAGAATTTTCGTCTCGAACTTGCGTACTTCCCAAGTTACAGCAGAGCGAGCCGATACTATACAGTCACATTTGTGAGCAAGAAAGTTTGCAATGGAGTTTAACAAGTTTCTTACGGTGTATGAGCTCTTCTGGCGGCTGCAAATGAATCGCATTCCGCGAAAACTTGAGGATTACCAAGGAGAACAAGGCCGTATAGTTGAAAATTAAAAATATATGAATCCAAGGCCAAAGTGATTTTCGTGAAAAACAAGTGCTAGAACGTGAATATTGGTTGTGTTTATGCTTCAATGCCCGTTTTCCTGATTCTGTCGATTCTTGATCTAGAAAAGGCTCCGTCGAAGCTAATTCCTCGCAATCTTTCATGTTACCTGACATGATGAATTGATCTGAACTGAACATAATAGATATTGAGGAATTAAAGGAAGAAAGATTCTTTGAGTTCATCCAAGTTCCACATGTAAGCAGTGTACGAGAGTTAAGGAAGGGCTCGGATGGAGCCTTCCGACGAGAAGAGAGAAGTGAAGACACGAGGCAGAGGTCGGAATAATTCACCATCGATATTATGAGAGTCATTGTCACAGATTACGGTTACATCAAAGTGGTATCCTTGCTCTGATATCTTTACCGTAGGAATTGGCGATTAAAGCGCATATGCGGGTTGATATGAATCTGCATGCTTATCCGGTTCAGTGTGTCTAATAGTCTCTCTGTACTCCGTCCGGACGGCTAGTCTGTAATTTTATTGGACTAGATGAACTATCCAAAAAGTACTAATATAAAAAGTTCGGATTAGATAGTCTAATAATTATCAAAAATTTTCAACTGTAATTCAGATTTTTGAACTGAATAACGACAACATATAACCAAAGTATTATTTAACATAATATAATACTATTAATTTTGTATAATATCATCTAAAAACATTGTATTGTGTAATTTTATCATAGAAACTTTTGATAATTTGATATGATTGATCAAATCTAAAAGACTAGTTCATCTATATTAGAATCTGATTTGTTGAAAGACTTCAATATTAAGAATAGACTGTTTAATTCATCAATGGACTAAAAGTGAACTATTTAATTCAAAACATCTAATCCGTCATACAGTCCAGACTATTGGATACACTGATCCGGTTCGAAGATGTAAAGCCCAACAACAAACATTTTTTTAATTCGGACGCAAGACTTTTCACACTGAGTACATCATTTCTCTTTCGATTATCAATCTTGGTGCTGCTGAGGAAAAATGACTCATGTGTATTAGCCCCCAACGTTCTTTCTCTTGATATTATGCACAATGGAAAGCAAGCAATACGTGACACTGAATGAGTTAGAGTCACTCGAAAAAGGATCTAGTTCTTGGAAAGCCATCCTCAGTCTTACCATTTTAATAAATATAGCCGCCTCATATGGTTTTCAAGTCATCTCTGCATAGTCTCGTGGTTTTTTCGAACACTTTCTTGGTTGTGAAATAACCCCACAGCAGTTCCAAACTAGTAGTTGGACCACAGTTCTGTATCTTCTCATTGTCACTGCTTTCAAAGTCCCAAAATTTTCAATACATCACTGACATACAAATAGCCGGCGAGTAAAGCAGACTTCACAGCTACAAGCACTATTTTGGACTATATAACAAAGAAAATACAATAGTACGCAAGCAGATACTGTTGGGTTTCTTAAGACCAGAAAGAGTATCAGATTGAATTGACTTATTCTCTAGCTAAGCAGTTAAGCTGCGAGCATATATTCAAAAAAATGAAGGAATAGGTTGGGTATTCGGCCTTCGGAATTAAAGTGCTTTGAAATCAAAATATTGAAAGCAAACAAACAGTATACCAAAAAGGAAAGAATGAATTAAAAGTTGAGTTTTGTTTGCTCCTTATATGCATATGCACTATATATGCATATGCTGCCAAGATCCCAGGAGGTCAACAGATACTCTTTAGAAAGATCTCCGTGCAGTTTTTGGAGTCATTGCTCTTGATTACACTTGGACTGCCGACCATGGGCTGCTAAAATCGCAAAACTTTAAGAGTGATCAGAGGAAAGGCTTATACATGATTGATGCTTTTCATCAGATGCACTGTCTTGTATATTCACCGTGTTCTTTTCAAATTCCTCATGAGACCATTCATAGAATCTATAGCAGCTGACAGGAGAAAATGATGCGATTGCTTAAGACTTCAATACAGGAATTAGTTGCAGGAGCTCTATGCTTGGCAGATGATACACCACTTTTACCATGAGTGACTTTAGACCAAGGGATGGCCAAATTCGCAGGTGTAGAGGTTGGAAAGTCCTCAGCAGTTAGGCTGCCGAATGAATTCCGTTCTCGAATCATCCTCATTGCAAAGACTTAACAAGAAGCATAGTCTTTCTTTTTTGAAAACCGAATGCACTGCTTTGATCTATCTGGAATAAATGAAAGGAATTGTAATTTCATGACTGCGGAGAGTCAGACCCGGCCATTTTAAGATAGGAAAGTGCCTAAAAGTCTTGGTGACCTTTATTGCTGCAGCAACAGCGGATTACCAAGCCTGTTACCACAACGGCGGTTCTAACGATGGATCCGCAGCTCGCGACAAATAGGAAAGTATATGATAGGATAGATCGACTACCATTGCTGCTTTAATTTCCGTGAATTGTTTTCCCGGGAAACAGGTAACCAATCGGCATGTTACCAACTGTTGGTTGGTACTTCTCTAGCTTTTCATATAAGTGGCATTAAGTTTGTGATAAATTCCACGATCTGACGTACTCCGAATTGTAGAACAATGGACCTTAACATGCTTTCATACGTTGGATCACGCGAGAGATCTGTGGCTGATTGGGAAGGAATCTTCAAGGAAGCCGATGAACGGTTGAAATTTGAAAAATTCGCGAGCTTGGCTAATGGTGCGAATTGTTTGATGGAAGTACTTTAGACTGGAGAATAAAGGTATGGAGAAGCTTCTGCAATTTCCATACCACTCTTGTGCGTTTTTGCTGGACCTAACTACAGTCCATCTTGCAGAGCTATTTGCTGGCTCAATGTCTTGATTATGTGTGCTCAGACATGAATATATGCATGGTATTGCGAAAACGTGACTCAAATGAGATCTTCAAGATCATATTGCGAGGTGCAATGTAGTAGCTTTGTGTCTGATTTAGTCACACCTCGCGCCACAGGGAAAGAATCTTCGTTTGAGAAATTATTGCTTGATGTGATTTACGTGAACATGATCCGGCGTGCAAATACATAAAGTAGCAGGCCGAAACTAGAAGGCTTCTTTGGTATAGTTGGATCCCTAAATGCAACTATGCAGATTTTGCATCAAGAGATATTCCAGGACTTGAAGTGTTCATCCCAGGCCTTTGGCAAGATCCAATTCCACAAAACAAAATATCAAACGCGGTGATCCGGGATTAAAACACAACTCCGGAATGACTCGTTGCATACATTTTGTACACCAGTGTTCTAGACCAACAGACACGATGAGTTCAATGAAGAGAAATATTTTACGCCAGTGTCCTATCTACCTACTTATCCACATTGCATGATTAGCTAAGCAGTGGTTTTACTCACCGCCTGCTCATTGGTAGATCAACCTTAAGTTATGGAAGGTGATCCTAAGATCTTAAGATCTTACAATTATTACACCTGCAAGCCAAACCTAGGGAAGTGACATTCCATTGCTATCTATTCTTATTTTATTTTCTATTCTGGAGTTACCTCTTTCCAAAGTGCTACCACAGACCTAGTATTATTAAAGCGATAGTGCCCTATCTATCAGCTTTGATATAGCCAGGCCGAAAACATCATTGGAATCATACATGTCCGTCGATTCGAGCAAAATTTGATGATTTAAATTTGTATTAAAATTCTTAGAGAGAGAAAACTAAGATCTTTGTATTCGGAAAATATATGTTCCCCCATTATATTTCCGGCTTCGTTCGTTTCAACTCTCCAAGGAAGTTATCACCCATCTGTTTGCATCTCCAGGCTTTGCCATGTAAGATATTATTGATAATGTCTGGAGCAAGAAATGCGGCTCTAGTGAACCGAAAACTGCAGTGCTATCTGTATCTGTCGATTCCTTGCGAAGGAGTTGAAAGGGAAAAGCTTAAGCAACGCTGCGGGATTGACTTTGCATTTCTGGCCAAAACCGTGACAACTCCCCTTGTTATATTCCGCACATCCAAGGTAGAAGATTTTCAATAACCGTTGGAGGGAAATCCGGCATTGGAGTGTACTCAGTGATAAATTTTAGCGGATACAATATCATCCCCGCTGACCGACACAAGTGCTTTGATATTTGCGAGGAATTGACGTCCAATTCTGATGTCTTCAGAAGTCCACTTGACAAGCCCGAGTACCTTTCTTCTATTGGACTGTTACTTGCGGAGGTAGTCCTCGCCCACAAAACCATCTGGATCTGACATTGAACGTTTTTAATGCCTTTGATATGTTCTTTGCTCCGAAGACGATCTTTTTGAAGGATTGTCCGATGACTGGCGAATGGCCGGTGGATGAACCACGGATCAATGGGTGACGGAAAACCGATTTTACATCGGAAGACGAGAATCTGGACTCAAAAAAAGGATAGATACCACAACTTACCATGATCGAAATCTGGTGGCTGTAGTAAAAGACACTTATTTGGACACATCTGCTATTGCTCCCAGTTTCACGACGGCTGCTGAAACGCTAGCATTGGATAGGCAGAACATTGAGCGCAGAGCAACAAAATGCCGCCGAGGTTGAATTTACCAAAAGATTTTGGATAAAATCCTAAGGGGTAAGAAGATAGGTCGCTGATCACAACATCATGATTGTTTTCTGATAGGCTTAAAAGCAAAAGAGTAAGAGAATATCGCACTCACAAAAAAGAACACGGGTTCATCTTTCCACGAGAGTACAAGAGAAGATATGTTTCTTCTTCCTACGCTTGATGATTTCATTTAAATCACGCAGGATGCTTTAATCCATAATATCAGAGCACTAACAAACACGTTTCATGCTTCAAGGGACATTTTTGGCATCCGTCAATTAGTGGAACGTTGAATGTACCGTCACGCAACTTCCTCCCATCACTTTAACATCATATTAATTCCAACAAGAGAATACCCATAATTAGATCTTTCATTTCAATTTGTTTCTGCGACTACTTCAATCTCCACTTTTGCGGCTTCCTTAGCCAACCTCACAACCTGTACACAAGTGCTCACTGGATATGGTTCCTTGACCCATTCCCCCCATATCCTATCTATCGTTCTTAATATATATGCTGGTTAGCAGAAAGTTCCTTCAACCTCTTCACCTTCCGTCCATTGTTCATACAACCACGACCACTTCCAAAATACTGCTCTTCCTTCAATTAAAGTCAGAATTAAACTTACTTCAAATCTCCCATATCAACCAAAAATACTCTCCTCTGAACCAACTTGTTCAAACCGCTCCCGCTCGCTTCCAAAACAGCTTTCAAATTCCTCATAATCTGCGTAGTTTGCGCTGCTATCCCTCCAGATATTATTCGTCCATCGCCGGGTAAATCACCCATAAATCCACTGAGATATACTGTGGATTTATTCGACGGAATAGTGTTACTATGGGAATAGTTTCCAATCACGGGAGCAATGGTTGGGATTGTGACGGCGGTACGAGAGGGCGCGAGTTCGTGACGTTTGCTGGATTTGTATGAACTGCTTGTTGATGACATTGTGTTTGCGATTGCTATTGCGGTGATTTTTATTTGTTTCGGGGGTTTTGTAGTTATTTTTCCAAACTTTGGATTGAGGTTGAAGGCAAGAAGGTGTTGAGAATTCTTGTAAGTTCCAGACTTGAATTCGCTGACGTCACCTTCGTGATTGGCTGGTTGAATGGCTTCTTCACACCAGTCAATGCTGGTAATTTCAGCCACTGATACCGGATTTCTTACCCAAGATGCATGAATATACATGGATGCTTTTCTATTCATTAACGTTCTTGATTTTCTTATTTTGAGTATATCCTGTTGTTGGTACAGAAGTTGGTATATCCGCGCAAGTGCCGGGGAAAATCTGACAACCGTTAGGACAAAATTGGAAGATTCAATCGGTTTTATCAGGAAAACCCAAATGATAAGTTAATCATTTTGGAACAAATAATGGAACGCAGCCTTCATCATTCAATATCTGAGTTGTTGGCAGCAAAACTAAGGGTTTTGTTTACAAACGTGACAATGCTGTAACCCTATCATCCTTGTATCCAGGTTGAGTTCTTGCCAGCGATGAGTCGCGATGAAGAAGAGTTTGACAGCAGATATTTCGAGGTACCTCTTTGAAATCAGCCGTACTTCTTCTTCACACCAGGATAGGCTTCAGCAACTCTCTCCGTCCTGAAATTCATCCTCAAGTCTCTCACATTTACTTTATTCCATCAGAAACCAACGAGAGAAGTAGATTCCGGCTGTTGAAAATTGCTAGGAATGACACTATAATGGTGATAAGTTCATTGAGCCATTTATCTTTGATATACTACTTGTTGTATTATTACTACTACTACAATTCTCTTCACAAATGTATTGTTGATGGTTCAAATTTAGGAGAAGAGTCTGACATTGATGACGGTGAGTATCTCACAAGCCTCGAGGAGATTTCACCTTGGCCATTCGAGGAATTCGAGTTATCTATCCGGAAATGGCACTAGTGACTAATTCTCTATTTCTTAATCGCTTCTTCCAATTCTTGGTCACTATGCCTTTATCCTTTAATACCAAGAATTTTTAAGAGTATCAACAACTTGCAACAATTAGTGCAATATCTTTTGGATTATAATGATGGATTCTTGATTTAGTTAGGGCTTTGGAGTAGTGATGAAAAATGTAGTTTGGTGATAGTAACAATATTTTGGAATAGGGAAACTGGAGAAAGAGCTGGAATTGATTTGTGGTGAGCACTGAGTTCAAATTGACAGCCATCAACTTTCGAGCGTCATGGAGTTTTAGTTTTCATTGAAATTTTGTGTGTTCGGGACTTTGTCAGATTGTTTGAGCATGGAGTATACTTTCTTTTAATTAAAAGGGCACTCCAGCTGGGAGCTAAGTAGTAGGCGAGGAAGAGCTCTAACCTACTCTGGCGCGTGCTAATATTAGACAATCAATTCTGTTTATGAGGGGTTCTCTAGGTTAAAAGGTGTCTGTAGCGACATGCTTAATTAAATCATCCATTACCTAGCTAGCCTCAAGTCATGGTGAAACATCACTGGAGTAGTCGAAAATTCAGACGTAGGGATCCTCTATTGCTGGATTTTTGACAAAGTCGGCGTAGAAGAGTTAAATGGAATGTACTCAGCTGTCACGCAGCCTGCTGTACAATCTCTATCAAGACCTAATAATATCAGATTATCATTTTTAGGGCTGAGTAAGATTACGTTATAAGTCTCTGCATCAATCTATATGACTTTATCCATGACTTCCGTCTGCAGTTTCTTGAAGTTGCGAAAGCTATTGATATCTCAACAATTTAGTTGTAGTGCCGGGAAGCTTCTTGAGTTCTTAGTTCTACCGTGATATGGAAATATGCGCATTTTACGTCATGAATATAGATATATTTTCAATGGTATTAAAGGAACTCAAACTACATATCGAATCTTGGTAGATTTCTACTATTTATCCTTCGTATACATTCGTTCGATATGGAGAATATTATAGAGATGCTAGAGCTAGGATTGCCAATACATCATTTGTGAAGCTAATACTGGGTAAGGAAGAACTGGTTAAGACATTCTTCCACTCTGATGCGTACAGCTCGAGTCTTGGCGTTAAAATTGATAGAAATAAGGAAGAAAATAGGCTAATTAGGCAGGTTTGAAATAGTAATGACTAATTTTTACGCCCAATTATCACTAGTGTAAAAGCCACTTGGGCCGATGGATCTGTCAGGGTGACTAGGACAGTTGGCAAAGAACAGTTCTGTCCTTCGTAAGAAAAGACGCCAAATTTGAATAAAAATGAAGTCCCAGTAGGGTAGATAGCTGTTTTTACCTGGAATATTATGGGACCATTTTTGGATCAAAAAATAACTATTGGAAACTACGGAAGAATTTGAGCACATTCAAGGCCGTGCTAAAAGTTCCCTTGCAGTACATCTTGTTTGAGTATCGACTACTTTTCCATAGGAAAACTCTCGGCCATGTAGTCTTTTCTAGCTAGAGAAAAACAGAACTAGATATTACTATCTTCTTCTCCCATGCACAGTGATTAGGGTTTATTTGTTTCGAGTATGCTGTATCAAGAGCTTGGTTTCAAACCAACTCGGATTTCATGCACATTCTCAAATTCTATTCGACGGTTTTCAGATAGCTGCCTATTGTTCCAGAAGATGCTCCATTACAAGGTGCGAGACAATCGTGATTGGTTATATAACACTTCGAGAAATATTCTCAAGACTTGGACTCTCAACTTTGAGTACTTGAGATTTTCGGAATATTTAAGTACAAATCGCCGCGAGTCATCGTTCTGTTGGGTCATGACGGCTAAACCGGCTTCAGATAGATCACCATCCATCGTAGTTCATCTTATACGCCACGCTTCTGTATCTACTCCATATGTTTTTCTCATGAAAGGTTTAGCATGGCTGACTTTTGAATAGTCAAATTACCAAGAAGGTGGAGTCGACTTTGGGTTATCTTCCAGAGGAGAACGCCAATGCGACGAGCTCTACGAAAACGTGCGGAAACACGCAGGGTATATTACACATATCTTCTCTTCGCCCATGAAACGATGCGTAGAAACTGCACGAAAGGGACTACTTGAAGCGACAGGAAGAGGCGTCAGAATTCAAATTATGCCCACACTTGCTGGAAGAAATAGTGGCATACCCTGGACTTTACGGGAAGAAAATCAGGAACAGGATATCAGTGGTCCTTGGGTCGGTGAGGTGGCAGATCCTAGGTCAAAGACCAAGGATGCTGATTTTGTCATAGGGTGGTTGAACGGGAAGGATTTATCTTTACAGGAGGCTCAAAAAGTGCTGGAGGTTGTGGTAGTAAGCCAAATGCAATTATTGCAAGAACTTTTATGGAGAATCAAAGGAGGTAAGTCACTGATGTCTAGATTTGAACTCGTGGACCCGCGCGCTCAAAATTTGCAGGGAGGCATGGCTGGTCTAATGCAACTATTTTCACCTATTCGTTGAATGACAAGGGGAAATGGACTCATTCTCAGCACCCGAAAAATATTGATAGTCTGAGAGTGCTCCAACAAGTTTGGAGAAGAGAAATTGGAGACGCGGCTGTTAAGAAGCAAAAGAAGGAAGAGATAATCAAGAAACAGAAGGAAGTATCAGCCAAGAAGAAATAAGAAGAATCTATCCAAGCCGGAAAAGCAAAATTAGACAAACAGAAACAGAACTTGCTAGAGGCGCAGGTACGTTATTCATGTTTTACCAGTCTGCGGGTTTTGCTCAAGCAGAAGATCGATACTAACTTCCTAGGATTCTATACTTGTGGTTGATCGCGAAACCAATGAAATTGTTACATTCGGGGAATTCCAGAAATTTCTCAAAGAACGACATGCCAAAGAGTTCCAAGAAACCGAGAACCCTGTCGCAAAAAGAAGAAGACGACGATAACATTTATGAGGTCGGCCGTGGAACCATCCTCTATACGACTAGCACCACTATTGTGGAAGCCAATGCTTAAATACTTTTGCATCACTTGAGCAAGTTTTTGAGCTGAAAGTAGGAGACAATACGATATCGCTATCGAGATCCAGGCGCATCTACTGAATCGAATCTTCTTTCTTTGGCATGGAAAAGCTGGAAAGAGATACAGCACTTGTCTAATACTGCTGTTGCAATGAACGATGCACGCGGTGGCGCTCGGAAGGGCTAGGTGTTTCTGATTACTGTCTGCAACATGATAGTTCTGATATATTCCTTGAAAATCATATAAAAACTATTCAAGATACCAATCGCGATTTAAAATAAATTATCTACATATTTTAGCAAAGTCTGTTGTCGTAGATGTTGGCGTACTGAATTTTTAGTCGGCAATCTCATCTTGACGTCTTGCCACCGAACGCTAAAACCAAGCCCCAAAAGCACTAATTTATTGATTAATTTTAAGCGCTTACAGTGCTTAAGAAATTCACCATGAAGCTTGTTGTAACTACAAAATGTTTCAATAGAGTTATTATCTGGTGTACGCGCGTCGATACTACTGTGTCAATTCCTGTAGAAAAAGCCCTTATGAAATATATTTAGACACATATCAACAAGTGTAATCGGAGTAGATGGTATGTAGCTTATGGGACAAAATAGAATGAATGGACTGCGCCGTTGAAAAGCGTAGGATTGGGATCTTATGCCACGAAAGTGCTTTGGGGGCTGTGTTTGATACTTTAGGATTTCTTGGGGGCTGATTCGAGCCTGTGTAATTTCCTAATGAGTGAATGTAAGCACTATTTCGTGGGAGCGGCTATACGTAGAGTTTCGTATGGGTGAGATTTGTTAGTATATTTGCTGTCTTTTGAAATCAGAACAATTTCTCTCTTCTCTTTTTCTTCCTGAACTTTCCTTTGACTTCTAGTTCTATTGCATTTTCGTAAGTTTATTCGAGGTTTTGAAAAATCACCGTTCAGCATGAATACCAACGCTCGTCGACGAGGTGCAAAGGTCGCTCCATCCCACTATCCACGCGTAGCATTCCATGGGTTACGTTTTGCACAATTAATTTCAGCCGCGATTGTGGGAGGAATTATGGCATATTTTATGTATTACCTGCGTATGTATATGCATCAATTTTCAGATCGAGATGGAGAGACGTTAGATAAATGCATGCTGACAAGCGTTTAGGTGCTGAGCGATTCCCCATCCCATGGACTTTCATTGTGCTACTTTCGATATCGCTCGCAACGGTCGCAGTCCTGACGCTTACGATCATTCTCTACAATTTCACATATTTGTCGCCCAAATTCAATTGTTTGCTTAATGGTACGGCGTCGATTTTTTGGATGTTGGGTTTTGCATTGTTGAGTTGGAGTCTCAGTAATACATTGCGGAAGAGTTGTGATGTGCAGACTTGGAGAAGCAGCACAGCAGTCGGTGTCTGTAGGGAATATAAGAGTCTATGGACATTTACGTTGATTGGTATGTTATCTACGTTGGCCGCGCTGGGTTTGGATATTTGGACACATGTGAAGACTATAGAAAGAGGGATCTATGTCATGCCTGAGGATGATAAGAATGCGGCGATATTGAAGGAGATGAATGGTGGAAACAGTAAGGCTAAAGGATATGAACCCAGTCGCGGAGGAGCTTTCGAGGAGGAACTCGATATTGCTTACCATAATCGTTATGGCGATGATGCGTTGGAAAGCGTGGGCTATCATGACAGAGTACTTGACAAATAGCTGTGGAGGTGAGATTAGGCTGTAACGGGGATGGCCAAGTTAGGAAAGAGGGTGAACCTAATACAGATTGCTTCATGAATATTAAATCACATACCCCAGAAATACTTTCATGTTGGTGAGATTGCGTGACCTATTGGATGGGGTTCCTCGTAAAATCGGGTTGAATAGTTTGTTGTCGAGTAGTGCGGCTCTCAGGAACATGGGGAACAATTAAATTTCATGGCGATACAGCCGGTTGCCTCCTTCTAACTCTCTCAGAACAATCTTAGCACCTGGGGCACATCCAAGACCATCCACGCATCACACTTCCAAAGGGAGCATGAAGGTCTTATGTCGAACCGCCTGACTCATGAAATGACTTCCCCAAGGGTGATAATGATGCTTACTGGTAGAACGTCGGCCAATGAATTTCACTCACACGGGCTAGAACCCTAGTCGCTCCGGAAAGCTTGCATTTTTCGAAATGTAACGTTTGATTGCCTAACATATGTAAGTAATCCAATTGAACTTTGAAGAGAACAGATAGGTATTACGAGAATATCAATCTATTCGATTTTAATGTTGTGCTATGAGTCCATATACCTACCTACTGAAGATACCGTGTTATGACGATTCAGACATCCTAAATAGAGCATCGCAAATGAGGGTTGTTTTAACAATTACAATTTATTATTTTTCATTGAACATTCTACTCTTTTCAATAAAATAAACTGTTATTTTAAGAGCCCAACTATATTTTAACTGTTTTTATTATATTCTACATAGCTTTTTATAATATAATCTTTTTTAAAATTTATTAAAAATTTAAATTTTCAAAAGATATTAGAATATTGTATATAATTTACATTAAAAATACAATAAATAATAAAGATTTTTATTATAGTTAATATTTAAATAATCAATCATATAAAAGTAAATATAACATTAGATTAAAGATTTTTTTAATATTGATTTTTTTATTGTTTTATATAAATCTTTTTTTGATAGTTGTTTTAAATCTATTTTTGATTGAATTTTTTTTTCATTTAGATTTATAAAATATAGATTATTTAATAGATTCTGTTTTTCAATTCTTATATTTGTTTTAAAGAAATAAAGGATTATTTATAGGTTATGATTGCCGAAACGGTCCCGAATTACGAACGCCGAGATATTACCGGACAGGCACAGGATTTTGAGATCACCCAAGCATCATCAAATATTCATTGATACAAAGCTTGTTTTGTGAGAAAACGTCAATATTTTTTACTGATTTCACGGACGAGCAGTAGGAGGAACCGGTACGCTAACGGCGCTAGATTTCGCTCTTCAAGATCTACGATTAATCAACATGAGACCAACAAATGTGGACAATTGACTGGAATCTGCATTCTGCAAACGAGATCCATACATTGGAAAGATACATTGGTGAGATTATTACCCGATCTGCAACGCGATGTTATGGAGGCAGCCATCATACCAATATACGGCTCAAAACCATGAGGCAGGTCACATTGGGCGGGAAAACTTTGGCAATAAAAGGATAAGACTACCGGCCGAACCTTCCGCACTCCTCATAGGGCTGTCAGCTAGGGATCATAGAGATTGTGGTCGCTAGCAATAGTTATTCTCTTGCGATTGGGCCATTTGGTCAATGAGGGGTAGTATCCTGCAGGGACCGACATCCAAACTTATAATTTCTGAAGAACGGATAAAAAATTAAGAAGGCTAAATAATTGGGCCGTCTTATATGACTAAAATTTTGTAAGCCATGGCCGAATTCAAGCTTTCCATTCGGGTGAGTCGATTCGAAGCGCGGGTACCAGGCATCATGACCAAGTTAGTACTACGTTGTGCCTAGACAGTCTGCATCGCTTTTATTCTGACATTCTGATGACAGTTCTAACGCTTCTTGATGGCACATGGATTGGGGCCTGGAAGCCTTAAGAAGATATAGTGGTCAGCATTACCTACATATCCATGGAAGCTTCGCAAAGTGACGAATTAAAGAGACGAAAACAAGTATGCAATAATGTTACCACGCCGTTTTTTGCGCTATAATTGATCTTATCGGACACCATACTTACTTCAATCTTGACCACTACAAGCTTTTATGCTGGGTTTCAGACATTATTACTAAAATCAGGCGGATTCTATCGGCGACCACACACAAACCAAGTCAACTTCTTCGACAAATCTCGTTGACCAAGTTTCCATGTCCAACTACTCCTCATCATCAGGTCCGGGGACTGCAAAGTCATCGAAGGGAGCTAAATTAAAATCACCACATCGATATAGAATATGTGGGACTCCTGTTCGAACAGGTTGCCGAACTTGCAAGTAAGTGAATTTCTTGAAGTCATTCTGGATATTTTACTCAGTCTGATTATAGGATTCGTCGAGTCAAATGTGGAGAGGAGAAGCCCTTTTGTAAGCGATGCACTTCTACCGGACGACGCTGTGATGGGTATGAAATAATTACAGACCCGAAAAAACGAAACAGCACAAAGAAGCAAAACTCTATTATAGAATTATCAACGGTTGTGCAGTCTAATGCTCTCCAGGATTCACTAGAGCCAATTATTCTGGACTTTTTTCGTGCCTATACCGTGGCTGAGTTCGCCGGAGACTTTTCCACTGAGTTCTGGGAGAGAAGGATATTTCAAGCTGCTACAGTCGAACCATCAATCCGTCATTGTATTCTCGCGTTAGGCGCAATTCACAAAAACTACATCGAAACCTACCAGCAAGCTCAACCGGCCGAAACCCCAACACCAACTCAAGCTTTCGCCTTCCGCCAGTACACCAAAGCAATTCGTATATTGCGTGAATCCATTGTCCGCAAGCCCCACTTATTAGAAGTGACATTGATTTCCTGCATCCTATTCATATGTTTCGATTGCCTCATAGGCGACCAAGCGGCAGGACTAGTCCATCTCAAATCCGGGCTCAAGATCCTCGACGACATAAACGCCATCAACGCTCCCTCATCAATCGCCGCACAGTGCGCACGGGATTATTCCCCACTGCTATTAGTATTGGGAGGACAAATCGCCGCATTTATCAACCCCAAAGCTGGAGTCGACCGAGGAGCCTTCTGGGCAGCGATGAAACGAGCCGGTTGCTCAACTTCATCATTTAATCCTTTTCAATCTCTCGAAGAAGCTCGCTATTCATTACGGACTCTTGGTGCAGATATACTGTACGCGCGCCATACAAACTGGAAGTACGTTACCGAAGAGATGGTCATTAGCGGATTCGGTCCCATGGCACAAAGCCATTACGAAGCCTTAGAAAATTGGTCCAATCGACTCAACGCATTTATTGAAAAAACTTCAGAAATTCCAAAAATCACAAGCCCCTTCGCTAAAAGACCAATACGCATCCGTGGCGTGTCAATCCTCAAAGCCCACCATCTTCTCTTCTCTATGAACGCTGCCGAATCGCACACACCAGCGTCCAAATTCAAGGAAATGCTCGATTTATCCGAGGAGATAATTAGTGAAGATAAAGCGTATTGGAACTACCGATCTATGCCAAGATTTATGGCCGATACTGGACTTATTGTTCCACTAGTGTATACAGCTGTCCGCAGTAAAGATATTGAACACAAAAAGAGAGCGATTGAGATTTTGGCGCAGGTACCAGGCAGAGAGGGATTGTGGGATACGCAGTGTGCGATTGATATTATAGAGGGGGAGTTTGCGGGTAAGATTCCGAGGCTGAAGATTCCTTATTTTCATGATTGAGGCGAGGAAGGTGAGCACGGGCTGTGTATTTTGTGTACGTCATAAAGTAGGTCACTGTTTCTCATATGATAGGGGTGGGTGGATCGCCCGACAAATGGTGCCCCTCTATCACTTTCATCTTCATGGCGATCCTCGTGATCATCTCATCTTAGATGCATGTATTTATGTTGATGTAAAAATAAATGAAAGGATCCGATATTGTATTTCTGAGCTTTTTAATAGTTCTTCTTCAGCGCTGTAAGAGAACAACATTAACACATTTTGAATTTGACCTGAAACTCAAATGCCAACCTTTTTTTTTCATGTCTCTTGAGGAGACTTCCTCACATATTACGATACTTCTAAACATCACACATGCGGTTCAATTCTTAACTATCACGCCAAGCCCTCGTATCCCAAAATTTCAGCCAAGCAATACGCCGCAACAGCCCCATGGCCCCCAACATCAAATCTTCCCCAAATCGTGTTAAAGATTCAAGGGGTAAACCAGTGTGTCCAGTAGTCCGAAGAAACTTCAAGTATTTTGCCCAAAAAGAAAATGAAATTATCTAATCCGTCCATTTCGGATTAGATATGTTCAATGTATTATATTTTCTGAAAAAAAAATACTAATTTTGGTTTTGAAAAATCAATTTTTGGATAATATAATTATAGTGATATATATAGCATAATCAATCTGGATATTTATTCAGTCCAGACTAAATCTTTAAAAACCTTAGATTAGCTGAATTATTGGATACACCGGGGTAAACAAAAAAGTGAATGAAAATATTTGTATAAATTTAGACACTACACAATAACCTTGGATGTTCCAACATAGATTTAGCAGTGAAATGATCTCTTGGGCTGAATTAGATAACGGACACAAAGGAGAGGGCTTTTGGGGAAGTGTTTCGGAAAACTTTCCACAATCGTAAGAATACTTGGATTTATCAAAACATCAAATGTAGTTTTGCATAGAGTAGCGAGGATTTTCACCGTGTCTCTAGCGAGAATGTAGGTCGGTACTACATGATGACATCTGGGAATCCTGATCTACCGTCTTTCGCGGGCTTGCGCTTGCAAGCTTATTGGATTAGTATCCAATTATCAATTGTAAGTGTACACTACGTCATTTGGTTTGCGAGTTGTTTGATGACAGCCGTTAGAGTAATAGTAATGTAACATGGATACTTGCATTTTGTAAGATCAAAAAGCTATCATTTTTTTTAACGATATCCTGGCTGTCCCGCATCTATCAAATTCTTTCGATTGAACCAGTTGGTCTTAAGGGCAGTTTCGTGGAACTACACTTCACAGCATCCTTTTATAACGTGTCTTGGCTTGATAAGTTGCAGATGGGAAGTTCCAACAATAGCGAAATGCGAAGTTGGGTTCGATGCGCAGAATTTCTCACGCGCAGAATTGAAGTTGTGTGCGCAAAAATGGAGAGAGAGGTGGGAGGATTCGATGATTTCTTGTTCTGTTATCATGCATGCTGACCGCCGAGATTTCTTTTTGTCTGAGAATTGCCAAGTCTATTTCATCATAGTGTTTATTTATCCTCAGCCCTATTTTACTTGAACAAGTACAGTATGGCCTATGTTTTTAAAGATCTAGAAGTGCGATTCAAATCCAGACTCAAAGTTGAAGCTATAGAACCACGCGCATGTCGAGATGGCAGCCAGGTTTTCGAGGTTATTTGATGATTGGGATCAGGATTATGGGGATATTAGTATGTTAGAGTTTGGGTAAGAGACGCTTAAAATCTATCTGATGTTTGCTTTCGCTAGCTTCGGTCGTGGATTCGGTTGGAGTATTTAGAACGACTGAGGGACTAAATCCATTTTGAATACTGGGCTTTTTCAAACATTTAAAGCTTACGTTTAGTCTAGTTTGGACTATTGTGAACCCTGCTTCCGGCGCATTCACTGAGGGGAATGGATTCTTATCCGATGAAAGTTTTTGAAAGCTTGTTTACTAATACTTGATTGCCATATTCACAGCTCTAATACTAACGATTCACCGCGTGAATATCATTCTTCGCATATTGGGACAGAATATACATCCTCCACAGCAGATCTTTCCGAAAGACCAGAGTCTATCCTCGATCGATCGGAAGCAACGATTGATTTTACGTCTTGTGATAATGGCATATCATCCCGATACTTAATGGAAGATGGAGGTAGTTATGCCGCTGGTTTGAACCCACTGCTTTCCTCTGCCCACAATTTTCAAGCTCTGAGAGATGTTAGCCGGCATATTCTCGCAGATGATTCACCCAGTGAACCACGTCTACGGAATGGTAAAGCTGCGACCTCAAACATGAAAATGATATGGATGAGGTCGACAGCATTTACAAAACCTCGCCCTTCGCCTAAGTTTGATGGGCGTTTTGCACAGGGAGAAGGTGGGTGGTGGAAGAAACAAATGCTGGTGGATCGTACTTTGCGATCAATGGCGGGGTTCACGTTTCTTTGTGCGATTATAATTTTCATCATTATGATTGTATATTTACCAGCTTTTTATAGGCGGTTGAATAAACATAGTACTAGTGTTGGTGGAAAGGATGGAGAAAGTTGTGAGCATATCGAGAGCAAGAATACTGTGAGTGGATTTTTGTGCAAATGTTCCTGGGGAATTTGCTGATGGTATGCATTTAAAGGCTATTCATATTTTCATTAATATTGCAGCAACGATGATCTTGGGTTGTTCAAACACTTATCAACAATTGATAACCGCTCCGTTAGTTGAGGAAATTCCATGGATTCTGGCTCAGTACGGTGACGCGAAGATCGGTCTCAATTCACCGTTGAATATCAATGTTAAAAAGTCGGGAAAGGTAAAAGCTTGGGGATCATGGTTATTGCTTATAAGCACTTCAATTGTATGCTTCGCTGGATCTCAGATGAAGGAATAATTTCATTGATAATTTCGCAGCCAGTCCATTTCCTCGCAAACTCGGTCATTGGTTCCTCGTTCTATATCGAGATGCCAACGAATGTAACTTATAATTATCACGACTTCAATCTCACCTCCACTCAGATTATCTATGAGCACGAACCAGTTATCTTCGTGACATGCCACGATTCTGCATGTGTAAGTTACATGACTTTTGAAGCTCGTTAGAAGTTTTGCAATGATTTATATCCACAGCCAAGATTCCCCAGATTTTCAAGTGCGAAGGATAAAACTAACGGAACTGATATAAATATAATAGTGGACTTCTTTTAGAGCCGGGATCTACGTTTTGCCTAACATGATGTCTGATTTAAGTGGTCAATACGAAGTTGAAATGCCCGGGAAATCTCGTAAGTATCCTCGACATCTACAACTCATATTTAATACATATAGCTGACTTAAATAGCATCCTTCAAAACCGTTTCTGTTAACTACAATCAAAATTGTACAGCATATAAAGGGACAGCATCTGTCTATGAAGCTTTGAAAGAGTTCGATACAGGCACTGGCGAATATAGAATAGGAAATTGTGACCTAATATATGGTGCTTATTGCAAATTGGAGGAGCCAGGGACAAAGAAATGTCGATTGAATGTTCGAATGCAGTCTTGTTTTAGTATGTGCTATCATCAAAAATCTATGAAGCTAGACACTCACAATTACTAGCGCTCTTCGGATGCCTCCTGATCAAGGCGATCTACATGATTGGCATAAACTATCGAGCAAGGCACAGAGTCAAAAATAATTGTTTGACATACGGTGACGTTATAGTTGCTTCTGTCATAAACTCCAATATGAAGATTCATAATGAATGTTTACTCAATTCCGGAGATGGCTATCGACACAAGGTGACACATCGCTGCCATAAACATTGCAAAGATCCAGTTTCTTCGTCTAGTGGTGACGATATAGGTCATTGTCAGGTAAGGTGATATTATCGACGTCTTTTGTACTCAACTAACCTCATCTTTGCCTAGAAATGCAAGAAATTTAACGAATTTGACAAAGCCGCCGGTGAGTTTTTCCAACTTCTACCTTTCCTAAACTTTAAGTCTCATGTGCCCGCTGCCTCTAGATCTGCCACATCCAACCATGGCAATAAAATATAAACGCTCACTCCTCTCAAGTCTCGGTTCTACCGCCATAACTCAAATGTTGATCCTAATGTTCTGTTCCTTCGCTATGGTTGGCGTCTCCATAAGGCTCGCTACCCTATTTGCTAAGCGGGCATCACAGTACCACGAATACTGCAGGTATGAAAATGAAGATGATCGCGGGTACTTTCAGATTTGCGGCACATCTCTCTCGCAAGTTCTCAAAGAAAACTACGGTACCTGGGGAGGTTCCTCTTCTAGTGCTACTTTAACATCACTCCCACCTGATAAAGTTAGTAGTGAATTACTCGCTTTCGCTATCTCCAACGGCGCGCAGTTCCTATTTAGTTTACTTTATTTGCTGCTCATTTATAATGTAACCCTCATATATATGGAACGAGAATGGGGTACCTTCGAGCTCCAGCGCAAAAAGCCTAGGGCAACGATCGTATCGTAAGTTCTCTTCAAGTTTTCTGTTTCACTCACTCAGTTTGTTCTCTTCACTCTGTCTGCATCTTCTACTTTCATTCCCCAACTAGAGTATCAAGTTGTCCGGTCTAGCATACGAGATGTAAGCTTTCAATGTCTGGAAATTATTCAATAGTCGAAATGAAATTCAATACTTCACAAATTTTAACATGAATTGAAGTCGGTTATTGAAATCTGCAATTTTGGGATTACATTCATGGCAACCCTATCTCAACACAGCCTTCAATTCCTTATTTTCCTTAATCTCCACCAAAATCTTTCCTTGATACGCATTACTGACACCACGATCTTGCAGCGGGACCACGTTTGAACAATCTTATTTTCTCCAACTACCTCCCAAGATTCTCCTTCCTCTCATGACCTTTGCAGCAGCCATGCATTGGCTCCTTGGCCAATCAATCTCAACCGTCGAATCCATCTACACGGATCCATTGCACGGAGTAGAGCACTCGATATATCATGTCACATATGCGGCATATCCGATTTTCTTGAGTTCGTTATTGATGGTAGGACAGACGGCTGTTTGTTGGTGGGCTTTTACGTACAGGAGAGAGGGCTTTATTCCCCAAATGTATGGCAGTATTAGGACTTGCTGTGCTAGTACGAGCGAACTTGAGGATTTTAGGGATGGAGGAATCCAGTGGGGTGATTGTGAGTTTACTTCTCTCTTAGTTTATTTGTGATCGTTGGCTAATATTTCTGGTACTGTAGTGGGTATGGGTGAGAGTTTTAGACATGCAGGTTTTTCGAATGCTGGCAAGTATTCTCCATTTTCTATTACACTCTTTCCTTTCTCCCCCTAATTCTCCGCTTGTCTATGCTTTTTCTTTCGCTCCTATCAGTTCACACATAACTAATCACCATGAGCCTAAAAATAGAACCAGGAAAAATTATACCAGCAGAAATATACTGCGGTCGTGGTTAATTTATCAAGCTACATAGATTTCATTTCTATCATTGAGCTCTAAATATACGAAGTAACAAGTTTGGCACGATGTAATCTGGAGTATGTATAAATGACATGGCTACACTGACCTTTTGGTCAGTGGATATTAGTGCAATATTATGATTCCCTCTTGTGAGATGTGTAAAATTGGGAACGATAAGGATCAATAATAGTACTGTGTGTTGAAGGTTCAAACATGCAAGGAGTCTCATTTTCGCACTTTAACTATGAAATTTTGTCTCTGCTTGTTATTTACTGCAAAATTCACTAAGATTTGTTAAACGGGTCCAAAATGTGCTTACTTCGCAAGAAGACCATAGTCCAACATGCATTGCCAGAAATAATTGAAGTTGCACTAGTCGAACACGGACACATCACACATGACTATTAGCTATTTCTAAACTATACTTGAGATTCCGCCTCAAAGCCTCTTCACATCAATCTTCCTCAATTGGTCTTGGACGCTACTTCTTCATATATCATCCATTTGCTTTCTCCACTGGCGCTTGTGGTAAAGGTCCTACTGATGACGGTTCTGCTGGCCATTCTAATCTAAAGATTCGAGCCTTAATACTTATTCATTCTACATCAAGAGCAAGCAAACAACTTACCGTCGAAAAATATAATAGCACAGCATTATGCTGCTCCATATATGACAATCGAGCAGTGACTTTGCACTTTCTTCGTCAGGATCCGTCCATTTATGTATCAAGAGTAAGATAAGGTGAGAGACTGCGATAAGGTACAGTGGAGGTCGCTCCATCTTGCGAAAGATGGATTCTCTGTTATGATATTAGTTCACGTAGATCTTTGCCTAGCGGGGATATAGAGAAGATTGCCTGAAGATAAAAACTCACGACATAATGTTACTGTGTGGCTGAGACTGGTCTACTGAGAAAATGGCAGTAGAAACGTGCAAAGTAAGGATTATATATACATGGCAGCCATACCGCGTCGATACGCTGAGCAGCTGGGCTTTATTCGGGTTGGGCTAATCAATCACCTGAGATGGGGTTAGAAGCCCCAATTGATTTAGTGTACAAAGCTAATGTAAGGAACCTTGCTTGTGTTTCTCATAATTTGCCAGTTTGCGAGCAGAGATCAACAAACACTTTCACTGATTAGCCTGCGCTTACAACTACAGCATTAGAAATTTAGAATGGATCTACCGGAGCCACAATTCTCCACCATATCGGATGATTGCCGGTTTTAGTTGCCGTAGTTCCATTTCCTTGTACTTCTCCTGTCTTACAGTATGGAACCCTGGAGGTAAAAATAAAGTTAATCCTCTCATCGTCATTTTGTGTACCCGTTCGGCAAGAAATATAACACTCCACTTAGTGGGATGCTAAATCCCTTTGTAATAGCTTACCGTCTTGTGTTACACACTTAAGTAGAATGTGCTATACTTTCCATTAAAATGTGCTTGCATACCTGCAAAGCGCACAATTTGAACCAGAAGCATACTGCATTCCACTAATGTACGGGCCTCTAATAGCCCTATCAAATCCCTTCTTGAGGTATGTGCTTTCAAGTCGAGCGTGGTACCCTGTGTAGCCCGAAAGTACAGATCCCCTTTCTAACAGGATACTTTTTTGTATGAAAAGGGGAATAGATCCTATTTATCTATACTCAGTACGACAAGATTATAGAGTAGATTACATTAAGTTGAGTATAGGTGAGCATTTCGTTGATATCATACTGAAATTGCCCGGAAATAAAGTGCCACAATAGGATGTCATACCGTATGAACTTGGTGATTTTTGTTTAGGCCTCATCCGTTGATATCAAGCTGGGGATGCTGAATAATACAATCAAGAAAGTAGATAATGTTGAAGAGTTTTCTCGTCCACTTTTGCTGAATATCCGTCAACTTTTCAGAAATCCGACCACAAGTCAGGCAAGCTAGAAGTAAATAAGGCTAGACTCAGATATCGTTTATCAAGCTTGTACAAGTTGAGTGGATTTTATTTGTCAAATTAGCGCAAATTATCCTAGCTTAGGAAGGAGTTTTGTACTTTCTGGTTATACGAGTACCGACGAGTCGGTAACCAATAGAAACTCAACCCAATAGATGAGATGTGGAGTCTCCCGTTTCCATAATTTTCGGCCCATCCCAAAATAAGTGGAGCTTATACTGGAGTATGGGGTGGAGGATGCTCGTATAATATCACCAATGATAGGGGATAGCGCTCTACCAAATATTCTCTTATATCCGCACTGCCAGAAAGTATAAGGAAATCCACTCAATTATGGCTCACATTCTCTTTTTACTTATATAGCCACAAATTATATCATACTCCATTGTTAAGTAAGTATCTACTAAAAAAAAAGGTAAGGTATAGAAGGAAAATTGAAATGGTGAAACATACCAAAACTACACGCTGACGGCCAGGAAAAGGGTAGCACCTTCCTATAAAGGCGTTAATTTGGCGAGGGGAAAGCCAACATAGGATCAATGGAATCGCTTATTCCCTATGATTCCGCTTTATTAATTGAGGATTTGCACAGAAAAACAAGGAAACTATCCGCTTGTATGCAATCTACTTCAAAAGCTTTACTATATCTAGCCCAGACCTAGTGGATCTTTAGATATCTCAAGTAGCCCTACCAAAAAATTCAAAGCCTGTAAAGGGATATGTTCCATACTTTTTGCCACAAGAGTCCCTCCCTGTAATGAGTTGATGGAACCTGCGTTCACTTATGTAGAGAGTCGAAATCGCGCTTATGGCGCCAGAAAAAAAATGAAGATTGTGCGGACGAGTAACAAAGTAGCTAGTAACTGCCTGATAAAACCCGTAATAAAAAACAAATTGCAACTTTAATAGACTGACTCAACTTATGTGAGAGTAATTATGTCAGAGGTATTATATCTGCTTAAATAAGAAATTCACAGCTCAATGATTATGACTATGATCCTTAAGTCCAATATATCTAATGAAGAAAACATGTTATTCCTTTTGCACTCTACTATATCTTGTGGTGCATATGTATAGACTTTTGTAATTGCATACTTTTTGGTCACACAAGTGTTCGTGCATGCCAAACAGTATATGACACTTCATCCAGTATTCTTTGGAGACAGCCATCCTACGGTATAATTGAAGTGGAGTTTAAAATGCTTTTTGACCGCAGAAGTAGCGGTGGAAATAGTCTCAGTATGTCTCAAATTTGGTAGTACAGACGATACCATTCTCTCGGGCCCGGCTTCACCAAGTGGAGGGACAACGGATATTAGCATGGGAAGCTTGGAGGCTAGAGATATGTTTTTCAAATGTTTGTTTCATCTCCAAACCATTGGAACTATTCCAAAACTCCGCATCTAAATCCATAAGTCAACCATAATGGCCTGTAAGGTGCGAAGATTGAAGCTGTTCCCATCCACCACTCTTTCTTGCCACTCCAACCGCGGAACCTTTAATGGATATCCGATCAATGGATAGCCATTTCAGGAAAACCCGTGGGCCAGGTAGGCAGCTATTGCCAGCCGGAGCTACTGTCAACAGCAATGCGAGGCAGTGAATCATAGGAGGGACTTCAATAATGGAGGCAAACATGTTAAAAAGGCTTTGCAAGAATCTACTGTTTTTTGAGGGGTTAGGAAGATGATAAGTAAAGTAAAAGTTGGATTTTGGCAAGTGAGGAGCAGCTAAGCCTGCGTTTCAACCAATCAATCTGCTTTGCCTGATTCCTTAGGGACGAAAAAACCTTTCAATAATAAACGAGATCTTGATCAGATAGTGAATGTAGAAAACTAGCATCGAAGACTTTATTTCACTGAGCCATGGGCTACATTCTCTAACTATGGATATTGGAAATTATGTGAAGAGATCGAATTAGTTCTCAGCACTCCACACGTAAAGGGCCTCAAAATAATACTGTTAGGCGAAGAAAGCTGTATTAAAAGTATCCTGTGAAGTTCCTTGCCGTGTCAGCGTCGATTGGGATTGATTCCCTAATCTCGGTACTGATGCCTAATCTGGAGAGACGAGATATGAAGTATGGATGTTGGTCAGATCCATGAATGAGTCTAGCGGATCTGGGAGAGCAAATTTTGCCAGAACTTCCGAATTCAGATGGCCGAAGAAAAGCCAACATAGTGACTAGTTACAGGTGCTTAGCTACTCACTGAAACCATGACTGTCATTTGGTATAAATACTTGTCCTTTGCCGATGGGTTTTTAAATTCACCACATCTCCCTCATCACACTTTCACCAGCTCCCTCACCACACTTTCACCATCTTGCATTCTCGCAGCAAATCACATACACCTTCTTTATCTTTAGCCCAGCATGCGCTTCGCAGTCACAACAATTCTCATGATGCACTGCGTCACATCAGGCCTGTCGCTTGCAGTTGACACCACTTCAACCATCGAGGGGAAGCCAATGCCCGACAAATGGATCAAATATGATTTGGAGGTGCCCTTCAACACGGCAGTTACTGACGTTTCTCTCGCCCCTCGCACAGACGTCACCGTCTGTCAAGCAATCCAAACTGTTTCAGTACGTACCATAATTCCTTTCCCTTTCTCTATTGTTAGGATATTCTCCCAGGCATTAAGGATTCCTACTTTCTCTGATCAAAATGAGGCTGACTTTATCAAAGGCTTGCTTGAACATAGCCAATATACTCATTTCTTGGGCCAAGTCCACAGGGGCTCTTATTAAGTCTTTATCAGACTCAGGCAGCTGCGCCACATCTTCTGGATCGTGTAAGTTATCTCTTGATTAAAAAGTGATTTTCGAAGCTCTACGCTAACATAAACTCAGTGAATGGTATTTCATTTGTGTATTACACAAGTGGAAGAAACTGCGACACAACTGCCCAAGAGGACACTATCCAGGGAGCTATAAAGCAGCATTTGGAGAACGTCGATCAAGGCTCCCTGTGCGGAACTCAATGTCTCAACCTTAGCCACGGTGGCACCTGGGAGGGCTATCTCCTTATTGGACCAGCAGACAGCTTCAACAGTGGCGCATACTGCGGGTCGTCACTCGCTTGGTCACAGTGCACGTCCGGAGGCAAAAATAACCTATGAGGATATACCTGCGCTTAGTCACGCATTTAGTGGAATTTGATGGAATTGTGTTGGCTCTAACCAGCGTTTGCGGTGCTATTCTTTTTCTATTGAGGTAATGTCACAAACAACAGTGGGCGGATGTATTTGGGTGGTGATGAAAATGGAGTGTTTCCAGAGCTTTTGTGATTGGGAAGTTAAAGCTGCGCAAGTTTAGTTCTGTTTTAGTCTGAGAGGATGATCTTTTGAAAAGGGGGCTTGTTGTCAGAAGGTGCTGTTTAAAGCAACACTTTGAGTAAATACGGGTAGATAGCAAGTAGCAGCAATTCAACATCGTGATGCTATTTGAACTCAACTCCCAAGAGATGTTGACAACAAAATTTGATTTTAAGGATTGTTCATATAAACTAATTTTAAAAAAAGGCTCGAAAAAAAACGGCTTAGTGCTTGCTTAGCACTCAGTCATCATTTAAGGCTTACATGGGCAGATATGCGAAACTATATCTTCAGCCGAAATCTATTAATTTCTAAGTCTAGTACCCTACTTTTGGGCCACCCCTAATATGTGCCACTTTTCTCCACTAAAACTGATAAAAATCGACCTTTTTAACTTTCTTATTTATAAATTTAACTTCTTGAAATTTTCAATATAGATTTGTTATTTTATAATAAAAAATCCTGAAATTTCAGATTTTTTGTGATTTTATTGATTGAGATCTTGAAAGTTAAAATTTTGTGTTACGACGGGCTACACAACTACCAAGGCACGTGATCACAAGTGATCAGTAGTGATCATTAAGGATCACTAAGGATCACAGTATAGGTGATCACTGGTGATCATGAAGGATCACCAATGATCATACAAGCATGAAGGACTATATAATCAAGATGGATTTCCTTTGTATAGAGCTTCGTGCTCAAGATCAAGATCAATCATTTAGTATACTCTACTGTTAGTTACGAATTGCATATCATCATTGTCATTACTTTAAGTCCCTGCTTGACGCCTAGTTATAAACCACCTCGAGAGCCTAGAGCACTTCCACGTGATCCAGACGGCAAACCTCGTAACATATCTATATATTTATTTTTTGAACCTTTTTATATATTTTATATGATTTTTAACTAGATCTTTAAATCTTCAAAGTAACTTTATTTTCATTAGTTGGAATTAAATATCCCAATTGATTATCACACAATTCGAATCAATTATAATATTGATTTGTGACAAGTCCTTGATCTCTCATTCCCTTCGAGACGATACCCGCGTGTCATATCAGAATGAAATGTCGAGCAAAGTCTAGTCATATGACATGGCACTAAGCCAAGCGGGGAAGGTCAGTGTGTGAACGAAGTGAATGACTTCAATTCAATTACTACTGTAATAAAGAACTAGGCGAACGCGAAAGAGACTAGCTCTTTTAGTAAGTCTATATAAGACTTACTACTTTCAATATGTAGCTAGCTCTATAGACAGAATACAATTAGACATACAGGACCTACGTAATCCGTGGGTGCTACGTCTTCCGTATCCTTCTCGTACCAACAGTCAGAGTAGCTTTAGATAAACTGCTCCCATTTCCATTCATCTCTCAAATCAAATTGCGTCTCCAATATTCAACTTCCTAAAGCAGTGACATAATACATATTACTGTTTCGTTCTGGGTCATGTGCTTGACATATTCATCCAGTAGCAGGTCGATCTGTAAGACAAATGCGCGCAATCATGCTACACAATATAACCAACTGTTTGTTCAAAAAGCGGGATTTGTAGTCGACGTGGTTCATTTGCTAAATTTCAGACTTCTGCCCTTTCCGTATAGAGTGGAGTTTATAGTGGAGTTTACAGTGGAATGCATGTTTGAATGAGCAATTTTCAGCTTTTACATTTACAGAGACTATTCACGAATCATACTCGTGGAAATGTTACTTCCAGATGATCAGCCAATTAGATTTTTGAGGTGCTCATAAGTCTATCGCACTCTAAGCGACCGAGTAAATCTATCTAATCCCCAAAAGAAAACATCAGTCCTGACCCACAACGGAGTCCTCGTCTCACCAAGTGACCTAACAAGTTAAGCTTTCGTGCAAATCATCGAAGAAGCTTATCAGAGCTAGGATCATTTAGACACGCACCCTCACCTAACATACTAGAATCTACTATTCCGAGCCCACCAACTACAATTCCTTCGAGTCCCATGGTACACGCTTAGCAGACATTCAAAGTTCAACACGATTAATCGACATGGTAGTTGGTTTTGGACCACTTGCTGGAATGGAAGAGAAATTCGGACCAAGTTTTCGACCATTTGCTGGAGGGGAGTGGAATTTCGAACCACCTTCTTGGAAGGAAGAGAGCTCTGAACCACAATACATCGTACTGTTAAAACCGTCCGTTGGGCCAATGAGAAGATGACCAGTCCAAGAAACCGAGTAACTAAGGTCGAGACACTGGGTGCAGGAGATCTTGTTCGCCGTGTTTTGGGTACTTAAGTGATGTTGGATGGCTGCTTGGACAGTTTTCGCTTCGCAGTTGTAACAATCTGCTCCAGGAGTGTATATCCAGGAAACATCTTCCACTGAGTTATTGATATCAGCAAAAAAACCCTTTAATATTGACTCCTTCCTGAAGGGCGAAGATTAGAGATTTGGACTCTGTGCGTCAATTTCGGAGCCCTGCTGAGAAAGAAACGACGGGTTTAATAGAAGAGAATAGCTTACATGAGCCATAAGACTTGCGACAGCGACGTTTGGCTACTATAGTATCAACCGACTGCATCAAGATTTGGATGCAGACAAGAACGGCACTGATAATGAGTGTCCAGATTAAACTAATTTTAGCCATTGTAGAAGGAGAAGAATAAGTTAAAACACCAGAGGTATTGTTGATAAGAATCTCTCCAGCATTTCGAAGGAAGTACGGACTTTTATACACGATAGTAGGCTATGCTTTCAGCGAGCAGCATATGGAACTAGTCCGTATTGCTGGCTTTTTCTCGGTAATTTTGCGTAAAGATCCTCTTCACGGGTAGAACGGGTTGGATTATTAGTACATGAGGTATTCCCATTGGCTTGTTGAGAGTCGATGCTAGGATTTAAACATGCAGCGTCAATTAAAGTTTCATCAAGCCTTGCAGATATCCTCATGATGAAGAATGAGGTCAGATAGAGAGTTAGGCACCTAGTTACAACAATTTGAAATCGATGATTTTGGAAAATCTTAGCGGACCAGCCTCATAAAACGGACGGCGTAATTTCGCACCAAAGTGTCTCAATGTAGAGGAGGTAGGAAGTACTCTTTTACAAATTTTTCAAAATCTAAACATGAGATTTAACTGTTGACTCTAAAGTAGAATATTGCAGAATATTATGAGGCTTAGCTTTTGATTCGACTCTATTGTACGAAGTACTGACCAGGGTGTTGCGATTTACTTCGTCCATTGTGCATCCGTTGTCAATACTGCCCCATTTTCAGCCGAACACCCGAAACATCTCCACTAGGTACCCGACCCGCCAATTTGGTACGCATTCTAACTGGTGAAATGTTTCCTTTTAGAAACCTTTTTGTGGCAACATTAGGTAAAAGCAAAATGTCATTCATGAAGAATCTAGATAATTAAACTCTAGATCCAATAGATCCAAGGGATCCAAAAGAATACAGTAGAATATGAAGTTCTATATAAAGGGATAGGTTTTCATTTGTAGAGCTTCGTGCTCAAGATCAATCATTTAGTATATCCTACTATTAGTTACGAATTGCATATCATTATTGTCATTACTTAAGTCCCTGCTTGACGCCTAGTTATAAACCACCTCGAGAGCCTAGAGAACTTCCACGTGATCTAGACGGCAAACCTCGTAACATGATATGCAATTCGTAACTAATAGTAGAGTATACTAAATGATTGATCTTGAGCACGAAGCTCTATACAAAGGAAATCCATCTTGATTATATAGTCCTTCATGCCTATGGCTAGTCAGGACCGCGCAGCGGTCCATAACGTGACTTAATCACGCTACCTTGGTTTAGTCATGTGACGCGGCGTAGAAGATAGCCGTCGTAACATGGGGGTCGGTGGACGGCGCCGGGAACCTTTCAATTGTACTACTTAATATAGTACTTCGTCCCAATGTCCTACTTTCAGATGAGTTCCTTGCGGCTCCTGTGCCCATCCTCTGGCCACCTTCAACCATTGTGTTGTGGTTGGCTTCGGCAGGCTGACGAGGACTAAATCATATAGGTATCTACCTAGGTACCGAGTGTCAAATAAATCTCAGATACACTACTCGTGCTGTAAGAAAGTATAAGGCCACTCACTCAATATGGCACATATTTCCTTTCGTTCCTTGCTTCATGAAACTGCGACACGTGCCTAGTGCGGAGAGCCTCACTCCGGTATCTGGACCAGATCATGTTGTCATACTGCTTGCCTAGAAGCTCTGGCTTGAACCAGTCAGGGTTAAGGAAATAGCCTAATGTGTTCTTTTTGGGTTTTTTATTAAAATAGCAGTATCTGGACGAATCAAGAGTGAGAATTAGATGCATATCAAAGGACACCTTGATTATGACCCTAAAGACCCTTGAAAGTGCTACGTCATTTAGTGATTAAGGGTCGCTTATCTATACTGTACAGCCTTACAGGGGCACTTGTAAGCGTGGCATGCCAAGTCGAAAATTTGGGGAATGACATGTGATAGGGAATTTCTTTTATCTGAATGATTGTGTGACAATTGGTGAGGATAGCTGTTGGATAAAATAATTGAAATGAAGGTATACTTTACATATACCAAAGGAGTTCTCTCTGAGAGATAATATAATAGATTTGATGGTACGAAAAAAACAAAGTTCAAACCTATGCACGACCCGAAAAATAAGCTTCCGCTGGCTTGTTATCCCCGGTACCGCTAAAATAGTATGACATAATTGGTGTCGGGTGTCAAATTCCACAAATTCAGACGACACAGTAATCTATACGTCTGTACAGAATTAAACTTTATCAAAAAATTACGATGCTTCAAACATTTTCCATATTCACTTCAATAACCTCGCTTCAATCGATTTTCACTCTTATCCCTTGGTCTAGAATACATCACCGACGCGAAGCTATGACGATGCACCAACCAAAACCACTCAGCCCCTGTTGACCCTGGAAAACTTTATTTTTCCTGTTTGTTGAAATTTGATTTTTTTCCAAGATGCTTCAAATCAGGATATGCGGCGAACGCATGTACCACTCACTACTGTATATGTCACTTTTCCTTAGGGGTTGACAAGAATTTGCTTTATTATTAAAGCTTGAAGGATTCCTCTTTCCGATTCTGTATTATATACTCCAATTGACATTTTACAGTTAATTTAAAGACTTGAATGTCAAGTTGATATCCGACTTGTTTACCTAGTACTTCTATAGTCCATCTGTTCACAGAAGCATTCAAATACTTCTCAATCAATAATACCACAAACACTACAAACTTCAATACCAACTCCCCATCTCATCAAAATGGGGGCGACAGGTTTCCTTCATCATATTGGCACATTTCTGCTCTTCGCATCTGCTATCCTTCTCCTCATTACAACTATCTCCGCACCTGTTATCAATGATATCGGAATCATGAAAGTTAAATTGACAAATGGAACGGCATCACACCATTCCGTTGTCTCATTTGGTACATTCGGATATTGTGTCTTGGATGTCGATTCGTAAGTTCTTTCTATCTTTCCATCTATCTTTAATTTCTATTCTCCATCTCCCATCTCACTTGATGACGCGAGATGATTGATTTAACACCCCAAACATGAACAGAATTAAATAAATATACTAACAAATCAACACAGAGACGGTAATGACTACTGCACCAAAAAACATATCGGCTACAACCCCGCTTCCACAATGTCCCAAATCGAATCCACCCACTTCAGCCACGCCTCCGAAGATACATCCAAAGCCCTAACCCGGGTCATGATCCTCCACCCCATCGCCTGCGGCATAATGTTCATTGCATTTCTCCTCGCTCTCGGCGCCGGATTCATCGGATCATTCCTCGCTGCGCTCGTCTCTAGCATCGCATTTATCATCTCAGTCGTAGCCATGGCATGCGATTTCGTGCTCTTTGGAATCGTCAAAAATCATGTAAATGGTGATAAGAGCGGTAGTCATGCGTATTTTAGCGTGGGCATTTGGTGTATTTTGGCGGCGATGATTGCGGGGTTTTTGGGTGCGATAGTAGTGTTTATTACGTGTTTGAGTAAGAGGATGCACAAGAAGAGGAGTAGAGGGGTGGAGGAGAAGGGTTATGTGGGGGGTGTGAAACCTGCTAGGAGACATTTTTGGCAGAGGAGGGGTTGATGGTAGCTGGGGGTTTTGGTTTTGGTGTTGATGAGGATGGGATGTGGTGGGTGGATGGATGGATGGATGCTGAGTTTGTTGGTGAAGGTGGGAAGAGAGGAAGGAAAGGAAGAAAACTTATGATGATACGACCGCAACGATATTTTGCTTTACTACTTGTACTTTGTTTTGAGCGAGAGATACCAATCATACTTTACTACACAGTACCGCAGAGAACGCTCTAATGTATTCTAGTCTATATTCTACATACCTAGTACCTACATATTTTTCTTAATAGCGATATCGATCGCAATAATAATGAATTGTTTATACGAATACAAGTCTGATATTGAGATTGATTTTGACTTTGCATCGATATCGTACTTTGATTGTTCATCTAAACATCGTAATTTTATTACTATATTACTTAATTATCTCTTTATCCTTATATACCTTAAAAGGGCTTGTGGGTATTTTATCACAATACCCTTATTTTTTATAGACTCTAATATAATGAAGTATAAAATACTTTGGATTGTTAATTTCCAATAGAGTAAATGTTACGAGGGTAGCCGTCTAGATCACGTGGAAGTGCTCTAGGCTCTCGAAGTGTTTTATAACTAGGCGTCAAGCAGGGACTTAAGTAATGACAATGATGAGATGCAATTCGTAACTAATAGTAGAGTACACTAAATGATTGATCTTAAGCACGAAGCTCTATACAAAGGAAATCCATCACGATTATATAGACCTTCGTACTCTGAAAGTTCGATCGACTCTTGAAGGGCCGGTCGATCCTCAGGGCCGATCGATTCCCTCAAAGTCGGTCGGCTTTCGGATCAGGTGACGCTTATCACATGAACCTGTTAACTAATTGGTCACCTGATGCTGGTTATGTTACGCCGTCGTAACACTACTCGGTATTTAATTATTGATAAATTAAATATTGTATTTATCTATTGATATGTGAAAGTATAGATGTATAGATGTATAGATTTCTTGTAAGGTAGTGGTGGGGAAAGTTGAAGGTTTTATTATTATTGGTGATTTGTAGGAAGAGGTACAGTATTTGGATGAGATTTTGGAGAGTCGAATTGGAATTGGAATTGTGTCATGATAAGAGTTCTCTGTAAGAGGCTTTGTGTTTGTTGTTGTTTAAGTTATAACGTGTTTATAGTGAAAGTATTGGTTCTTGTTTTATTCTATCATTTCATTAGAAAGAAAAACAATTTCTACCACCAACATATGAGATCTTACATAATGGAATAGAGTGGCTTTATAATATATGAAAGTCTACACCGGGATGAAGAATGTTTTATAATTTCGAAAACCAAGCTTTTTAGCGAAGCTCAATATGCAATCTGACAAAATATCCACAATGCTTAATTTGATGACTGAAACATCAAAGTTAGTACCGAGTACAGAATCCTTCGTTTATAATGAGCCCAGAAATTTGGGCTGTGTGAATCCACAAAATTATAGCCCTACGAATTGGTACTCTCAAATAGGTTAAGTATACTCCATTGTTACTCCAATATCTTAACGTGCACTGCCACTTGAAAACAATGCACTGACCAGATAGATACACATAATCTATCGCTAATCCATCAGCAGCGGAATTAAAACCTCATCTTTACTAGATGAGGTTCGCGAGAAGTTGAGACCTGTACATGTAGTTACAGCTGCTTATCTCCTTCTAATATCCTGTGAAAGGATGCAAATAGGTGAGACGACATGAGATTGTATATAATAAGAGGTAGAGTTGGGCCAAGTATTTTTTCATTCTTCAAAATCATTGTCATCATCGTTTGACACTTTATCAATCAATATAATCCTCTCATTTCATCAACACAACTTTCATTACAATCATGGGCATTTTAGTCAAACTCATCGGTTCAGGAGTCGGTCTTGTATCAGAAACAATTCATCATCATCGAAATAAGTCCTCATCAAACCTTCAAGCTTCTTCAAACAATGGTGAAAGCAGTCGAGCAGGTGCTCAATTAAGTCACACTTACAACGATGCACCTCCTGAATATGTTGAAGTATCCCCCGAGGAAGCCAATAAAATGATAACCAAAGGCCAAGCTGTGCCCATAAACGAGAAAGAAAAATGCGAAATCGAAAAGGAACTTGAGGATGAGGACTCCTCGGATACAGAATCTGAGGAAGGGGATGAGGAAGCTTGGGCTTTAGACGAAGCGGCAAATACATCCAATCCGGCTACTTCATCAGAAGAAACTTCTCAAGATGCCGATGAACTTACCGATGTATTTATACGAAATCATCCACCTCCAGCATATAGTGCTGCAAAGCCAAAATTACCTTGTCCGGTTATCCTCCCACAGCGCAGACCAAGAGATAAGAAGCGAGGATTTATTAGAGCATATGCACCCGTTTTGGAAGATTGTGGAATCGACCAATCTACCTTTCTAGATTTCTTAAAAACTTTCTACCATGCGAGTAAATCTTCTCCATGGTTAAATGTTATCAATGCAGCGGCTGGAATTGTAGGTTTTGTACCTGGTCCCATTACAATGGGTGTATCAATCGCGACCCAATTTGCTGTCGGTGTAGCTATGGAACTTCAAGCACGATCAAGGTCTGTTTCCATAATTTCAATATTAGTTGGTCATGAGCTAATAAATATTCCCCAGGACGAATACTTTTCTCGATAGAATGAATAATGAATTCTTCATGCCTCGTGGTCTTTACTGCTTAATACTTACCTACAAGCCCGAATCATCAGCAACCCATGCTTCGGTTGATATTAATAAAGCCATTTCCTCATCTCTTGACGACACAACTACAGGATTCAAAAAAACATTAAAGAATATTAAACTTTCAAGTGGAACTACATACGGAGAACTCGAAATGCCAGAAGCAGCGCCATTAATTTTTCCAGCATTGGATCAAATGCAAATTTCCGAGAGTGAAGGAAATGAAAATGCCCCCAAAAGCAACAAATTCAAAGACAGTGGAAAATTCGTCACCGATTACTTTGATCGTCGAGCTCAAGCCAAATACGTTAGTACCTCACTCCTCTCCTCCCCTTCACCAACCATCCTAACCCACCAAAAACCCAGGCAATACAAAACCCCAACAGCACCCTCGCAACACCTAAACCACAATTCCTCTCCCGCTACTCAGACCCAAGTCACCCAGCCAACAGCGGCTCGCTCATCTCTCTCATAACTGGGGGCCATATAAATCCGCAAGCGAGAAGAATAGAACGAAGAGTAGCTAGAGGAGAAAGAAGACAGAATAAAAGAATTAGATCCGCGTATCGGAGAGGTGAGGTTATTACCCCTGAGACAGGTCTTAGGAGGAGGAGGAAGGGGGGGCTGGTGAAGAGGATTTTGCAGAAAGTTAGTTGGTTTTTTTTTGGTTTTTTTTTCTTGCTGGAAATATAATGTGCGTGGTGTGGTAATATAGTGCTGATTGTGATTAGGATGTTCTGTATCTAATGATTGTGAGTTATGATTCAGAGAGTGCGGAGTATCAGGCTGGGTCGAGGAGTGTTGGGGAGGAGAAGGGGATGTGATATTGTTGACCTCCTGGGATCTTGGCAGCATATGCATATATATTGCATGATGCATATAAGGAGCAAATAAAACTCAACTTTTAATTCATTCTTTCCTTTTTGGTATACTGTTTGTTTGCTTTCAATATTTTGATTTCAAAGCACTTTAATTCCGAAGGCCGAATACCTAACCCTATTCCTTCATTTTTTGAATATATACTCGCAGCTTAACTGCTTAGCTAGAGAATCAATCAATTCAATCTGATGCTCTTTCTGGTCTCAAGAAACCCAATATATAATTAGAGCATTCGCATTTTAATAATAATATCCTTTTATCCAAGAGTCTGGGTATAAATATCTTCTTCCATTGACATAGTGAGCCAACCCTGCAGATTTACTCTCACTAACGTCTATTTGCAGCATATATTGGATTTATTTCTGAGTTTTTATAATGATAAGCCCTGGTGTTCCGCATTCTTATGTGGATATCACTTTCACTAATATAGCCATGGCGATCCGCTCTCTTAACGGATGACCCTTGTTTGTAAGATAGTAACTGTCCTAGTCACTATCTATATTTTCTTTTGTAGATTTAGTATCGCTTAAAGAATGCTTGAGGAGAGTTATTCCTCGAAACACTAAACTGGAATTATTCCAGCTCCTAATTTCATCAACCAGAATCATTTACAGCATTAGTCAGATGATTTTGAACATCTTACTGTCCGGTCATTATATATGTGATGATGGAACCATATAATCTACTATATTAACAGTGCAGCTTCACTTTTTAATAAGCACAGGTGCAAAGTTTTAAGGCCAATAAAACAACGCGGAACTGTTTGCTGTACTTTCGGTGCCAAAGCGGATCGGGGAGAAAGAAGAAGGAGGAAAATGCCTTGTGTGATGAATAGAATATGGAGAAGTTACTGAATCTTCAAAACTATCTTCCCAAGAGGGAATCTGGCTTTGAATTTCCCTTTACATTTGAAATTTGACATGAATTGCTGCAAAGCGTCGTTCGCGTATCTGCTAATACACACATATAGATTTGTATAAAACACCAATTCAGACCAGAAACTGCCCTTCATTTAAGCCCTCCTTAGTTTTCAGCCCCTTGAACACATAAAATAATGAATTGGGCCAAGGGTGGGCGTCCAATCTCCCTTCTTATGAACATTGTCAATTATTTCTGAAGGTCAATCTCTTAATAGCCGAATCATTTCGAGTTACGGAAACATCTAGTTTTATGTTCACAAGAAATCAGGAACCCAAAAGCTCAACCATAAAGAAGATAAATGTCAATATTTAGTAGGACACTTAAAAATTGTGTAAAATCAATATTCTGTTTAACTTTTAGCAATAGATAAAATAAGGCTTTTCTTGTTGACTTATAGACTTCCATAAGACTTTTGCTATAATTCACGTGGTTGATCTGGCAAATATCCTCGCCTCGAGAAGATTCAGCAGGGCCCTGAGGTTCTCTTCGAAGTCAAGTACGGGACATCCCAAACTGAAATATCAAAGACTCCAAATACCCGTGAAGCTACACATTTATTCCTATGCAGGAAACAATGAGCTGACAGAGATTCGTTCATCTTGGGAAAAAGTACCGTGAAAGTTTACCTTTTAAGAACTTCAGCTAAATAATAAATCTTGGTAGTATAACAAGCCTATATGATTTAAAGAAGGAGATTTATTACCCAAAACAAGGACATCAGTTACTAGTAGGCTACCTCACTAGGCAATACCTCATGTCATCACATACAGTATGTCTGGTAGCTCACAACCTTTGATCAAAAGTTTCTATACCTATTCTAATGATAAATTTCTTGCATATATAGTAGCCACGACTGGAGAAAAGTGGAAGATCATTTGTATCTTACCTATAACTAATAATAATATAATTTAATTACTCGAATTAAGATAAAGGTTAAGACAAAATATGCTTATAATAAATTCTATCGTTTTATTAATTTGAAAAATAATTAATATAATATTAATTATTTAAAATTGTTAAAAATATTTAAAAAAAATAATTAATACATTAAATTATAATAAAACAAATAATATCAAAACAAATTGTATTTATTATTTATCGATTGGGAAAGGATCAAATTGTAGATATGATATCTATAATTTCCAAAGATAATTGGAAGAAGAGATAGTAATGCAAGTCAATGATTCTTCGGGCCCTACTAATAGTGAGGACTATACATAGACGTATTATCTTTTCATCGTCGAACAAAAATAAAGTATGTGTGTGAACGAAGTGAATGACTTCAATTCAATTACTACTGTAATAAAGAACTAGGCGAACGCGAAAGAGACTAGCTCTTTTAGTAAGTCTATATAAGACTTACTACTTTCAATATGTAGCTAGCTCTTTAGACAGAATACAATTAGACATACAGGACCTACGTAATCCGTGGGTGCTACGTCTTCCGTATCCTTCTCGTACCAACAGTATGAAAGGAAATGAATATAATCATATGAATAACATACTAGCCTACAGTAACAAATAACACATCTCCCCCACCAACACTCCACAACACAAAAGCAGGCATATAAATATACTAACAGCAAAAAAACTCGTACAAGCCATGGCTACTACAACATTCGATACTTTTACTGTAACTGGAGAAAAAATGCTTCTCGATGTGGTTTGGGATACATATAACAAAACACTACAAGAATAAAGTGTTACGAGGTTTGCCGTCTAGATCACGTGGAAGTGCTCCAGGCTCTCGAGGTGGTTTATAACTAGGCGTCAAGCAGGGACTTAAAGTAATGACAATAATGCAACTCGTAACTAATAGTAGAGTATACTAAATGATTGATCTTGAGCACGAAGCTCTATACAAAGGAAATCCATCTTGATTATATAGTCCTTCATGCTTCTATGATTACTGGTGATCCTTCATGATCACCAGTGATCACCTATACCGTGATCCTTAATGATCACTACTGATCATTTGTGATCACGTGTCTTGGTAGTTGTGTAGCCCGTCGTAACATAAAGTCAATATTTTGAATCATTATTATTATAATATCCTCGATCGCTTAATCGAGAAAATCAATTCTCAAAATATATTATATGAATTTGATCAAAATCAAAAATCTATATTATTTTTTTAAAAAAAAAATAATATAAAAAAATATAAATTTGTTATATATTAAATAATTTAAAAAGATTTTATTGAATTAAAAAATAATATTACAATAATAATATTTTTGAATTGATTAAAAAAATAATTATAATATTCAAAATCTTTTTATTAAAATATTTAAGATTAATTAATTAAGAATTAAAAAGAAAGATTTATATTTGAATAAAAAAATAGTAAGATTATAAAATATAATTAATTATCGAGGTAAAGTTTGAAGAAATTTTAGAAAGCTGTAAGCTATATATATTATTCAAGAGGGTCTAATCATCAATACGAAGGTTAAAGGTATTGAAAGCGAGAGTATGACTAAAACAGAATTCAACTGGGTTGGCGCTTCCATACAGATTGTATTGCACTAAAGGACAGCATGCGCCACGGCAATATTGATAAAACCTCTGATGATTTGAATCGTCTTGTGAGTTAAATAAACCATTTGGGCCGTACAACACATTCCGAGCCGGTTTCTTTTGACTCTGTGGTTGAAGCCATCTGGCCTGGTACTCGCGTGGTAAAGATTCAGTATGCAAGTCAAATCACCGATCTACTCCCAACATTGATAAAGCTCAATGACAAGACATTTGGAGCCACTAGTCAAAGTTATCAGGGAACTTTACCGAAGATTGCACAAAGAGTAATACAACCTTATCTATCAGCCAGCTTTAAACAACGCAATTACGCAGTTAATCAGTAGTAATAACACAGACATTTATCAGTACGACTCTCAAACTGCTGACCGGTTGCAGTTTAAAAGACTTCTAATTACTTAACACATGATTTACAATATTCAATCTCCGACAGCGTTCTCAAGAAAGCATCCACATTACCGGAGGCAGGGTATTTCTACTCAATATACTTATTCGATGGCTAGCAAGTTACAACAGTACACAGATGCGAATGGAAAAGAAACATGAGACTCATTGTGCTGCGTTTGGAATATTTAAGCAAGTGATAGAAATACTGTGTCTATTTAGGACGCCCATCTATGGCTACAACAATGCAAGCTGAGTGATTCAAAGCCATGCGGAGGATGAGGTAACTAGCAAACCGACAGATGACGATGTTTATGAGGAAATCAAGCGATTTGTATATGAAGGAGAATCAAGTCTGCTATATCAATTTAGCTAGACATACAATGGAATTAATCTTGTGGACTCGTGTCGCCAGGAAGAAAGCGAGGGTTCCTGCGCTGCGAAGTGAGACTTTCGGATATGATGCCCAATCAATGTCAAGGGCGCTGGCCCTGCGCCGATCAACAAGGAAATCTTCTTCGATCTCAGCGTTTTGTCTTTGGTGATCATGATATCATTGTTAAATCTACTACGATGTTTTAAGATAGTAGTTCAAGTACTTCTGTTAGTTCTGATAACACACAGGATTATACTCAACTCACCCAGATTAGTCATACACATCAAGACTATTCCTCCGAGTTTGTCCTGGAGTATGATGAGAGCGGCTGCTTAAGGCGCAGTGAATAAGGTAGGCTGCAATAAGATGACATGAATCGTTTAGCTGAGGTGCGAGATGTCAACGGTAATATTCTTGCAGAATACCTATATGATGCATGCGGAAATCCGGCTTATCAGGAAGTACCCAGCCATCAGGACACAAGCTTCTTCTATCGGGGATCGCTTATAGCTGTGAAGAAAGGAGAGCAAAAACTCAGCTATTTGGCTAATGGATTCGAGTATAGGGGAGAAACAATTCCTCAAGAAGATGGTAGTACCGCTCTGGGCTTCCAGTTGCCAACAGTATGTTCTCGCCACATTGGATTCTCAGAGTGATATTAATCAGAATCAGATCAGCAGTATACACTGTATGGATACTCTGGTTCCGGAACTGGGTCTTCCCTTCGCTCTATGAGCTTGATGGGCAGTAGCAGGATCCTATTACAGGGTGGTATCATCTAGATAATAGCTACCGAGTCTATAATCCCCAGCTGAGGCGATTGCATACGTCTGATCATTGGGGAGAGATCAATGCTTATGTGAACGATTTAGGAGATACGATTAATCGACTCGATCCGAATATCCATTTCGGTCTCTTTGGCATGAAATTTGAATGGAAAAATCTTATCATGGTAGTGGTTGGAATTGCCGTTTGTATGCGCGTTGATATCTTCACTGGTGGTACAAGCTTAGCCATACAGGCGGCGTGGCTATTGCAACAGGTGCTGTCGTCGACGTGGCATCCTGTATAAATGGAAGTCTGGCTGAAGGTCAAGAAACAACTGTTAAAAGCGTTGGTGTAGATGCTCTTGGTGCGCTGATAGACGGAATAGGCGGCGAATATGACGGACAAGCACTTAGGCAACAGTTCAAAGCTACCAAGACTTTGCCTGTGGTCCCAAAAGGACAGTAGGTCGGCAGCCTCATACACTTTCACAGATAAGCGGTTAGTGGTGCTGATAATAAGAGTGTTTTAGCAATTGCTAGCTGTGAAGAGCGGGTTGAGAGCTTCTCCTCGAGGATTCATCCCTGGAAAAGTGGGATCACGAGGTGACACCCCTTCTCGCCCCTGATTCTTAGGATGAAAACAAGTAACCCCACGGACGGTCTACGAGTTTATCATCCAATAGCAGTGATGGTAACCTCTTAACTAACCCGCTAAGGTGTTCCGGGTCTACCCGAATTGGAAGTCACCCTTTTTATCTTGATAGGGGATCGCTCCTTATAGCGAGAGATATCATACGACCTCTCATAAAAGATGGTAATCGTTCGTACCGCCTTTTCGGCAGCATTTATGAGCAAACATGGTGGCGAGATTAGCACTGGTTAATCTGCTCTTGCGTGAAACTAGGTTTACTTATGGCCCACTGAAGAATATGCAACCTGAGGAAGATTCTTGGACTAAATTTCTGCTGGTATCAACCCGGTAGTGTCGAAAGTATAAAGTACTAGTCTATTAGTTATTGATGATCATTCTACGTTGATGCTATTGTGCATTGAAGGCTCGAACTAACTCTTCCAACTCTAAACGAGTCGTGATTGGCTCGCCATTAAATCTTGTCTTGCTCCTTAACTCCCCTATCATACATGGAAATTGCCTGTTCCCCAACATTGGCACTCCTATTGTTCTGTTGGGTGAATAGAGGTCAGATGTGTAGTTTAGGTCAATTTCCAATTTCATATTCCCCTAATTTCCTGGAATGACGGGGAAGAGGTTGTTACCTCATTCATTGAGAAATCCTCTCCAAAATGAGAATACCCATTCCAGAAATCATATCATTGATAAGTAGAGTCGACTCATCTAAATGCGTAACAACATCTCAAGAGGCGTGACCAAGAGTGATAAAAATTGAGCCCAGTGCGCTCCAAAGTCAAGCCATCGTTATGAATAGTGTTATTTGCAAAGTCTCCGTAGATAAGCCATTCATGCGGGACGACAGTTTGCGGTCTAGAGTTGTTGCCCCTCAGTTCTTTAGCCCCTGAGGAAATAAGGTTTCGGGGGATGCACGTTTCCTCAGGGTACTGCGGAGGATGCCACGAGTATGGATGTGACTAAAGAGCCTTACAGGGTATAAGCACTATAAAGGCCTATAGTTTAATACCTGGATCACTTTACCAAAACTAAGCGAGCTTAAAAAATTAGCCCACAATGAATTTCATTTAACTCAAATACTAAAGTTATACTTTTGAGCCTCATTAAACGTTAGCTTTCAGAAGTCAATCTGATAGATTGAAATACATACATAGTATGCATACCTGTAAGGTCTCATAGTCGCATCCATCCATACTGGTGGCATCCCTTCTTGAATATTTGGCGGACGCTCGTTAGGGAATTCGAAACTGAATATCTCGTAATACTGGTGCGGCTATAAATTACAGCAACTCCTTAATAAGAAGTTGCTATGCCATTTGTAGTTTACCATCTTGTGGTATGTGCTCGAAGTGGAGTGTGCGATACTTTCTGGACGCACCAGTGTATGGTTTGGGAGCTCAGGCGCCGGTGTTTTGGCAGAGTGGCAGTTACAGTGGATGGTGGGGGCAACAGTGCGGAGAGATATAGCTTAGCACTAACCCCACGAGCTCGGAGACTCCATTATTTACGCTCATCTGAGAAATTGTATTGGTTTGACTTTGCGAGGATTTATATTCTATTCTACTTGGCGTGATAGGTAGGGATGAGCGCTGGATTCACAAATGCGGAAAGTACCTCGTGATTTAACCCTTTTCCACAAATCCTTGTCGCTTTCCCAAAAGCCATACATCTGTGTCTTTCCCAAAGTTGCATAGATCTAACAAATTCCAGTCAATTACTCGAGTAGGTAGGAACTCTCCCTTATCTAGAACAATGAAAATACGAAATGACACTAACATTGATTTGGACACCAAAAAAGCTAACTATTTTACCGACCCCTTCATTCTCGCTTTGCTCAGGACGAACCTCAATGATTTCCAAAATTCCCAAAGTTCTAACCTGCGTCCACTGCCTCGGTCTGACCGAAATTAAAATAAGGTTTTATTTACTGCACGTGAAGAACTCTTCTAGAAGGAATTTGAGGCAAGCTAGAAGCCACTACAGTGACTGGCGTCGCACTATGAACTTGGTCGTCTTTTCTGCGTCGGTGTTTAAGGATCTCGACCAAGTGAAAAAGGCCCTTCAAGCTCATTCTCTTATCTATCTCCGCAATGCAATGTTTTATGCGGAGTAGGGAGCTGAGCTGAATAACTTTCCGACGAATCAATACACAGAAATTAAATGCACTATTACAAATGTAGTCTAGCTTACTAACCTACAGAAGCTGATTTCGGGTTCAACCCCGGACATATCTTTCACTAATAGGCCGCCTTGACAAACGAGCCTAGGGCATCCCAAGTATATTTTTACCACGCACAATTGCAATGAGATTGCTACATCTCCCTTTCCAATCTTATCTGCTATCTTCAGAGCTATCTTGGCTGGCCATTGTTATCGTCCCAGAAACATGCCATCGCCATCCTATTGGACATTGATGCACGTACTACTGGGATCATGTCTTGATACCTATCGATAAACGCGATACATAGGGTTTAGTCTTATCTTAGCTGAAATTGAAGTCGGGCTTTCTGTGGGTATCACTATTGACCTACATACGGGTTGTAGGCAAAGTTAGGTAAGCTTCACCACTCACCACAAGTGTTGGCTTCTTTCAATTATTCGCCGGCAAAGGGTCGTATCACTTGCAAGGGAGGGCATTATCCCCCGCCTAGCCTTGTAATTACCCATATCATTTACGAAGCACAAGTGGCTGATAGATGATGCATGTGTGCATGCCATTAGTGTGGTATACACCAGAATGGTAGGTGCGACGATAGATACTCAGCTTAGATGGTCCCGTGTATAAGTACTCGATGTTACGCAGGGTCAAGGAATTCCTCTATCATCCTCAAAACGTCTTTTCTTGTTCTTATCCTGTGCTTTGCGCTCACCTCTCGTATTTCGATATCACACTCGTGGAGAGTGGATCGAATTCGACCCCGCCTTCTGTTCCTCTCTTTCCTCCTTTTACCTATTGTGTTATCGGGAGCAATCCAAATTTCCAAAGGGTAGTTTAGAATTCCTTTCAGAAATAAAGATGGCTTTCGACGATAAGGAGAAGTACACGGCTGATGTGTCGCCGCCATCTCTAACTACCGATGGTGACATCGAGGTCGGTCAGACGGGACAATTGAAGAGACAATTAAAGGGCAGACATATGCAAATGATCGCGATTGGTGGTTCCATCGGAGCTGGTCTATTCGTCGGCTCAGGCTCTGCACTTTATTCTGGTGGTCCGGCTTCATTGGTTATTGACTTTATCATCATCGGTATCATGTTGTTGCTTACTGTTAATGCTTTAGGAGAACTTGCTGGTAAGATTATCACGTTCCTATTTCATCCCTGCTATTTACCCATGGAAAAAAGCTCAAGCTAATGATACGTGATACAGCTCTATATCCTGTCGAAGGTTCCTTCTACAATTACTCTGTCCGCTTTATTGATCCTGGTTGGGGTTTTGCTATGGGGTGGAACTATGCTATCAATTGGCTCATCGTTCTTCCCTTTGAGTTAACGGCTGCCGGTATTACAATTGGATTTTGGACCGATCCGGATAATTCTGGTAATCCATCAGTGAATGTTGGAGTCTGGATTACTATTTTCCTCGTCATGGTTACTGTTATCAATCTCTTCGGTGTCAAAGGATATGGAGAAGTCGAATTTGTTCTCGGTTTAATCAAAGTAGTAGCTGTCATCGGCTTCATCATTCTCGGTATAATCATCGATTGTGGTGGTGTCCCTACTGATAGCCGTGGCTACATTGGCGCCAAATATTGGTCAAACCCTGGCGCTTTCCGCAATGGATTCAAAGGTTTCTGTTCAGTCTTTGTGACAGCATCCTTCGCGTTCGGTGGAACTGAACTTGTAGGACTAGCTGCAGCAGAAGCCGACAACCCGAGGAAATCAATTCCTAAAGCCACCAAACAAGTCTTCTGGCGTATCTCTCTCTTCTACATCATTTCGCTCTTCCTCTTAGGCCTCATCGTCCCCTCCAACAACGATATTCTATCAAAAGCTTCCGGAGGTCACACAGCCTATTCCCCCTTTGTCCTCTCCTTCCGTCTTGCAGGAATCAAAGTCCTACCCTCTATCTTCAATGCCGTCATCACTCTCTCCGTCATCTCAGTCGCCAACTCCTGCACTTTCGCCTCGACACGTACCATCCAAGCTCTTTGCGCTAAAGGCATGGGTCCATCCTGGGGTGCAAAGGTCGATAAAAGTGGCCGCCCATACATTGCCATCGCCATTTCCCTCGCTTTCGGTTTCCTCGCCTACATAAATCTTGCTCCTCAAGGCTCCACTATCTTCACGTGGCTCCTTTCTCTCTCCGGTCTCTCCAATTTCTTCACCTGGGGCTCTATCTGCTTTGCTCATATCCGTTTCCGCAAAGTGTGGGCCATGAATGGTCGCACCAAAGACGATCTTCCCTTCGCAGCTATGTTCGGAACAATCGGATCATGGATTGGTCTTCTTCTTGTCTGCCTTTGTCTTGTTGCTCAATTCTACGTCGCTCTCTTCCCCATTGGTGGAAAACCAGATGCACAAGCTTTCTTTGAAGCTTATCTAGCTGCTCCAATTGTTATTCTCTTCTTCGTTGGGTACAAACTGTACTATAAACAATGGTCGGTTGGTGTTGATCTCGACCAAATCAATGTTGACGAGGGCAGAAGGGAAATGGATTTGGTAGCATTTAGAGAGGAGCTAGATGAGGAGAGAAGAGTCAAGGCTGCTTGGCCTTGGTGGAAGAGACAGTGGGACTTCTGGATGTAGATTTCCTATTATGATATGGGAGTTTGCGCGTTTGGTTCGGTGTGGATATTTGGATACTATATTATCTATTTGGTATTGGGTGCAATGAAACGATTCTTGGATCTGGGGACTAGGGGAAAAGTTCTATTGGTTTTCATGGATTTCTGATTCCCTTATACATACCTGACATGAAGACTTTTGATTGCATTTATGTTTTATTATTATACCTTTTGTACTAGTTATACTATTAAAAAATATCAATATATCAATATAACAATATAACAATAACAGAATATAATCCAAATCTAAGCCAAACTCCAAGTCCGACAACTGAGAAACCAAGAAGTCAAATAATGATTAATACTCTGGTCGAATGTTTCAAAAAACTTGAGATCGATAGATAGATATGTTGATAGATATCTAATCGTTATCCAAATACCCACATAGTTATTCATCTAAATCTCGAGTGTAATCTACATAATCAACTATTAACAATGAATATAAATATAAATAACGACTGATATAAAACGAGATAAAACTCATAGGGTGGAATGAATAGCACATTTATATTGTAAGACTTATATTAGAGATTTAGAGACTACGCCCTAGTTATAGAATTTCTTTTTCTCCGTCTTTATTACACACTCTTGTACGAGAAGAACCTCGGTATGGGTTTCACAATCTCAACGTTCAAAATATCCTCTCATCTATCGATGTATATTCCCTCCACCAGGCAAGTCCTCATCATTTACTATTTTTCTATACTGCATGCAATAATAGTCACGCGTCTCCTAAATTTCGTTTTAACAGCAAAGAACACAAAACAAAAATCTCCAAAATCAAAAAATAACCCACTCCCCCTAACTCTCCCAAATCCGTACTTTATCAAACACAATTTCCAATATCGTTTTCATCAAAGATAGATAGATTACCGAGCTTGATCAGTAATCAGGAGAAAGCACCCCGCTCGGTGTAATATCTACCCGCCCCCTGGTAATCATCGATTCACTAATAAGGTTACTAGGTATGTATAGAATGTTTATTCTATGAGATTTTGCTAGGTAAGATCTTACATAAAAAAATGGGTTTTGGGGGGGAATGTTTGTGTGTACAGACAAATTTTTGATAGTGATTCATTTGATTGGTTGGGAGCTTTTGTTTGTAATGATATTATAATGAATCAATATAAGATTACTATTTAACTTGATTAGATTATAGTAAGAAAGATATCTGACTAGGTACCTACAGTGATCTATTATTACCTAGGAACGGTTAATAAATAGCATTGCCGGTGATCCGGAGTTGACGGGGAAATAATGTATATATCTCTATTGAAGTGATTTAAAGATGTGATATAATGATTACTGATCAATTAATATTATAGCCTCATGTTCTCTGGACGCACATCTTTTTATTTCCCAGTATCCTCTGTAAGCTTAAAATATTGTATATCAGATAGATACCAGAGTAACAAACATTATCTTTTTATTCAGCGGCTGGATTATAATTTAAGTGATATATAGATAGTCCGGAATCACAGTACGACTTCGAAATATAGTACATATAATTTTGGCAATAGCCATCACGCAATATGCCAATCCCACTCCCATCCCCATTGCATACTTCTCCTAGTTGCTATGATCTGACTGCAAATACTCACCCATTTAAGCCACACTAATCTCCAATTCTCCCTCCATCCCCATCATTCCATTTCCATCATCTAATTCTCCCTCAGCACCTTCACCACTACTATCACCATCACACTACCCCTTACCATCTGTCCTCCCCCTCTTAGAACCCAACCCCAAACTTCTCAATCCCAATCCCACCTATTCTCCTATTTCTCCTCACTTAATCGCCCTCCACACTTCACATTCCACTCACACTCAACCCCGTTACATCCGTCCCCAGAAGATATAAAATCTTTGACCTTTTTCAATTCTTCCATCCCCTATCTTTCGCAGATACATGTATATTATACCCCTTAAACCCAAGACAGCTATTCAAAGTTTTAATATTGTAGATTTCTGAGATGAAAGTGAGAGTAACAATAAGAATGAGAGTGAGAATGAGTTTGTGGTATATTCTGTGTCCGTTTTGAGGCTACTTAATGCTCATCTGCAAATGATAATACTTCCATCAAGAATAATTAAGAATAATTGAAACCCATTAATTGCGTATAAACAGACTAACGAAATGTTCCTTCACCAACATTTCCAAATCCTCCCCTCCTCCCCTCCTCCCCTCCTCGCGTACAACAAAACCCCGTACCCAACACCCAACAATCCCCGCACACCACAATAAACTCTTCAACCAACCTCTCCCCAATCCTACTTCCCGCTTCCCACTTCCCCCTTTCCAACTTTTCTCTCACCACACCAAAACTAAAACATAAACTTAAATTTCCTCCTCACTGCATCCATAAAACCACACCACTTACAAAAGCCACCCCTTTCACCTAGACAAACTCATCAAAATCCATCAGTAATTTGCATCTCGGATCTCCCTTCCCTCCATCTCCATCTCCATACCTTAAAACCAATCCTAGAGAAATCAGATTCATCATTCATAGCATATCAACAAACCCATTGATCAATACTTATCACCTAGCACCTAGCACCTATCACTTCAAAACACCACCATCACCCAAGCAGAAGCGCTCTCGAGCTCACCAACACCCAACAGCAACTAAACCATTGCGCTATATTTCCTTCAGAGTATCTCCATCCCCAATATCCCCAATATTCACAGTACAGTTGTATAAAACCGTTTGAATTGCGCAGACAAGGGGTATCTTATCATTACAGCCTTGGGCTTATTATCTTAACCATAGAGGTTCCAGGTAATTGTAGAAAATGAGAATCAGGATTGGGAATAGAAGTGAAAATGATACTATCAAAACACAGCGAAGAAGATGGGATAAACAAATTTGAAATTTGGGAAGATAGATTTAGTATTAGAGGTGTAGACGCTGGGTGGGACTGAATAATCATATATATATATAGGTACCTCTATCAAATTCGTAGTCAAGATTTATAATTCTCGTTCATTTACCATGGTAGTAACTAATGCACTTACAAAATCATTTTTAAATCCCTTTAATTGAAATGAGAAAGAATCAAAGAGTGAAAAATGAAAAATGAAAGAAAAAAGAAAAAAGAAAAAAGAAAAAAGAAAAAAGAAAAAAGAAAAAAGAAAAAAGAAAAAAGAAAAAAGAAAAAAGAAAAGTCAAATAGGAGATATAGAAAAGTATATGAATTCATAACCGGCTTGGAAATTAAAGGGGAAAAAGAAAGTTTTATAACCTGTGAAGATGCCGAAGGACCAAGTCGTTAAAAAAGAGATGATTGTCCATTATACAAAATAATCATCTCCAATAACCATTCCCAGAGTTCTTTTCACATCGCACCTCACCACCAACTAAAGCAAAATAGAACACAACTCTCAAATCTAAAAGAAAAGAAGCATTTTTCATTTCATATTCCTAGGTAACGAATAATTCCATCCAACCAATTCCATCCATACCTTTGCCCATGCCTGCATAGATCCTAAATAGGAAAATATCCTCGGGATATTGTTCCTAAAGACCATCCATGCATCCGTGCATCCACCCATAAATTAGATAAAAAGAGCAATTTCGCCATTCACCAAGTATACGAAAATAAACAATTGCGCTCGTGATGAAGGAGAGCGAGACTTGGAGCCAGAACAACACAATGCTAACACACGATGCTAACCAAACAAAAGCAACCACCCAAAACTTTGATCTGATATCAGACGACGATAACGTAGAAAACTATCCCAAGAACGCGTAATTTGAAAAATGACCCTTTTGTTTCTTGCTTGTCTCAATTACTCTCATATCTCGGACAATTCACCATGGTAAGTTCCTCAACCGTCAATGACCATACTATCACCTGTCAAGCCCATTAGGCTCTCAAGCCCATCTTTGGAGTTATCCATTTCCTTCTTTCCACCATCCGAATAATAGCCGCTTGCATTTCCATTACCAGTTATCACACCGCTACCTTCTCGCTCTGTACCGCATAACCTGTATTCATTAGATCCATCTCCCTTGGGTTCAATAATGGCTTCATCAAGTGCCCATCTCGCCAAATGCTTATCAACGCCCAACCTATTTGCTTCCCCTTTCTCCATATGCCTACCTACATGCTCAGTCCAGTCATCCCAACTTCCCGCGCCCTCAAATACATTTGAGCAATCTGGTTTCGGGCATGCGGACCTTTGAGGTGGCTGTCTTCTGGTTACTAAACACGAAGCTTGCATTTCCTTAACATGAGTTTCCCACTCAAGTTGCAGTTTTGAGTCGCCTTTGGCAAGAGCTTTCTTGATTGCAAAAGGTGCATGCATACGTCGGAGATGTTGAGTAAAGAGATCTTTGCGGTTGAATTCATTGCCTTTGCCTTCAACAGTGCTTTGAGGACAAGAAGAGCAGCGATAATATGTCAAGCAAAGATGTTGAGAAGCGATGTGACGTTTCCATTCATTTTTAGAACCAAAAGTGCTTGCACATCCGGCAAAGGAGAAAGCGCATGGGAATGGTCTTGTGTGTGCTGCAGCAATATGCTTTCGCAAGGAAGAGGAATCTTTGAACGGTGCATGACTGCACATTGAACATCGGGTATCTTGCTTAGGGCCTTGCTTTTGTGACGACCTCCGGGGCTTAGGTCTGGAAGCAGGTGAAATAATTTCCGAGTTGTACATTTGATCCTCTCCGCCAGATTCACCTTGCTCCTGTGATGATGCTGATTCTTCTCGACCACTTCTGAGACCTGGAGAATCTTCAGCTGTTATGTGAGAGTGATTTCTGTCATTTGGAGTTAGATGATCATGACTGACATGTCGTACATGACTTAAAGCCTTAAGTTGTTCAGCTGCCTCATGCATCTCGACAGATGTTTCGACGTCATCTGTATGCTCTGGGAGATTTGGTATACTAGTATCAGGATATAATACTTGAGGAATTGATTGAGGTGTGGAATTGATCGGATCTTGTCTTAAAGGTTCCTGTCGAGAAGGAGTTTGTTGAATAATTTCTTGTTGTCTAGCTGGCTCTAGTTGAACTGATTCATGTCTGGTCATTAGAGGTGTAGATGCAGCAGCCTCACGAGCTTCAAGTAGGATTTTACCATCTTCCAATTCCTTGGAAGTTGCTGCTTTGTTGACAGGGGAAATTGCTCCAATCAAATGTTGATAATCCGTCGTCATGTTGTGGGAATTTATGTAGCCCAAGAACAAACAAATTCCTTCTGCAGCTAGAACGTTCCACACTGCAATGGGCATAGAAACAAGGAGAATGGTAGGCGGTCCGTGAAACATGCCTTCAACAGCAATTTTTGATGCTGCCAAGGGAGTATTGTGAAGCCACTGCTTAAAAGATGCCATATCTTGACTGGGTTCTCCAACAAAAGTTGTACAGACCAATGCTCTAACTTCCTCAAAAGTCAGGTCAGAATTTGAGTTGGCCTTGATTGGCTCATCGGTGTTTGATCCTTGAGCATTATTTTCTGGGGAACCTGTTGCAGACCCCATTGACGTACTTGGTCTTGGAGCCTGACTTAGGGGGGAAAGTGAAATGCTTTGCAATGATCCAGGGGTTAAGGAGAAAGATACTGGCATCCGTTCGTTAGTGGAAGCTGCCTTTCCTGCTCCATTTGTAAGTCCTGTGTGTGCCAGAAATCCATTGTGCTTTTGTGAAATGATTTCCTCATGGAGTCGTTGCGTACTGAAAGGACGGCCAGTACCAAGTTTATTAAGAGCTTCCGACAAGTGAAATGTAAATGATCGTGTTCCTGGTTCACGTGTAGCCTGATCTGGACTGTATGCAGCAATTCCCTGCTTAATGCCTTGGCTTCCTGCAACGGATGAATCCGTAGTAGCGCATGAGTCCAGTAAAAGTAAAACATCAGGTTGGGCGTCCTCAAGTAGATATTTGATACCTTCCCATTTAAATTTTGGTGCCTCTTCGTGCGAATTGCTATTGCGCATCAGCGATAAGTCACAAGGCTCGATAAGCTCTAAATCTTACCAGGCCCAATATAATTGATGATCCGAACCCACAAAGCCATAACCTGCATAGTAGACAATTAAAAGATTATTAGGCGCAGTTAACTCAATATGATGTGCAAGTTGCTTGACAAGCTTAATGTTAGGATTTGGGCCATTAGGAATGTTCCAGGACTCGGTATGAAAATTGAAGCGTTCTTGGAAAACCTTCTGCAGGACCAAAAGATCTTGCTCGACATTCAAATCTTCCTCCCATCTCAACAGAAGTACTGTAACGCCCTTGTATGGAGATCGATTTGCTTGCGCATAGATAAGCATGGCTGCATCTTGTAAGTGACGGGCGAAAGACTCGAAGTCACTCCGCTCGTTCGAAGGTGCGGGCTCTTGTAGATTCGGCATAGCTTTATAATCGTATTTAGCTTGGGATGACTGGATTGCCCGTTAGTAGGATATATCAGATACATTGTGATGAATTGTTCACTTGTTCTTGAGTAGATTGCTCGGCAACTTTGGGTGCGAGACGTCGTTTTTTGCTAGAAGGCTCCATCTGATCGTCGCACAATGCGATATCGACTGCTTTCAAAGATACGGTAACAGGCGATAGACTAGGAGCAAAGCCTTTTCTGATTATCTCAAAGTCAGGATGATTGATTGGGAGATTTTGAGATGTATTGATGGAAGATGTTATTGTGTAAGGCTTCGTAGCCTGACAAGGCTCTTTTCGAGGCTGAAGGTCTTTAATTTTGCCGAGCACTAGGTAATTCTGGGTAAATTTGAAAAGCGGCAAGGGAAGAGCAAGTGAATCAAGCACGTGATATTCATTAAAATCAGGGCAAATTAAATTACAAGGTCAATTTGGGAAATGAGTACGTTAACAATCTTAACAATTTACACAGTCATAAAACAACGCTTATTTTTCTTTACTTTATCAATCCTCTGTTCCTATGATATTATTGCTGTTGAGGGGATTGGTTGGGTGCCCATGGAAATTTCACCTAATCAAACATATGCATAAAAATTAACAGCCAATCATTTGATGTTAAGGTTATTTTCAAAGTAAGATATATTAGTAATGCTATCTATCTGTCAATATTCTCTTCGCGGCGCCATACCTTGGAGAATGTCCTGTTGCCAACGGTCTACTCGTCGTCCACCGCAATAATCCAAGATTTCGTTGTTCTACGAGGTATTTTACATCTTTTAGGTTGGTGGAACGTTCTGCGTGGCTTGCTGTGTACCAGCAGCGTTATGAGGTTTGTGTAACAACCCAGAAATGTGTAGAGAATCGATTGAAAAGCAACGAAAGTTCCATTATACTAGTATTAGCTTTCTTATTCTCGAAGACCCGTGATCCTCGAAATGAAAAGGGAAAGGAAACCATCGTAGACGGGATATTTTCCCGGTAGCATCACAATTTACCTGCCAATGATAGTAACGCCCAAAGCCATGCACCAAACTCCGGAATTGTGTAGTTTGCCGGAAAAATACCGAAATTTCCAATTCCATTGGTATTATCGTCACTGCTACTATGGGTCATCTAGCATGGTAGTCATGCATCTTGATGGCCCATACCGGGAGCGCCTCACTCAAGCTGAACTCTTCTGCATCATAACCAGCCGCTATTACGGTAGGAAGAAGTACATTTTCGAGTTGATGAGCAGCACCTCTTCGATTGGGTTTCCAAGCAGTGATTTTCCTAATAGTCTCTCTGAGGTAATCCGAGTAGAATGTGCTAATATACAAGTCTGATTTGCGACATTGTTGAGACGGGAACCACAGCTCTCTCTTTGTGGGATCGTTTGGGAATGATTCGACGTTAAAGTGTGAGAATGCTCCTTGCCAATGTATTCCTTGAATGCTCACGTTTGTGGGCTTGCAAAGATTGTATATAGAAGCCCCAAGTGAATAGAGATCGCTTTCGTGAGTATGATATTGGTTTGGAGGAAAGTTTGGAAGCTGACGCTTGGTCATTGCAGGAGGATTCCAGAGGAGTTCAGGAGCCCAGAAGGAGGATGTCCCGCATGCTCCGGATCCCTGCTGATGATCATCAGTGGCCAAACCAAAATCACTTATAACCAGATAGGGATATTTGGAAGTATTCTCCGATCTCGACCGCATGAGAATATTATCAGGTTTCATATCGCGATGTAAAATTGGTTTCCAGCCCTTCTCTGGTCCAGAACCCCTATGCTTGTCGTTGGTTATGAATGACTTCCCACCCCAAAGATAGGAAAGAGCATCGCAAAGCCCAATAATAGCATGCCAAACAAAGCGCTCAGGCACGCGTGCCTCGTCTCTTGTTCCCAAACGTTGAGCATAACATTTTATGAGGTCATCCAGAGATCCTAAATTACAAAACTCGAGGTATAAGGATGCGTTTGTTGGATGTACCATATCCGGGGCTATGAAGGCATTGATATAACCTGCGAGACCACCATGTTTCACTCTATGAGTAATCAGAATTTCGACTACGCCAACTCCAAGTTTTCCTTTCCAAGTTTGCAATGCATCTTTCTTAAATCTCTTTTCAACATAGAGCGCGCCGGTCGCCTTCAGCCGCACAACGTGCACACCACCATTCATACCGCCTAGCCCGCCGTCCCCGCCGTCGATAGTATGCACGATCTTATACTGATTTCGTATATCCACATTCTGGATATGAGAGTGTCGTGACTTTTCGAGAGTTCCTATGGAATTCTTTGTTAAAGTTGCGGACTCTCGAACCACTCTCGAGACACTGAGAAGTTTTGAGTTCATCAAGTCTTCATCAAACCGTGGATCTTTCTTTGACCTTTCTTTTGTATGCGTGTTGTAATAATATTCGCAAGGATTTGGGAGAGACCTATCGACCTTCAGGTGCCAAGGCTTCGGAATCAAACCTAACATAGGATGAACATAAGTCGTCTGTTTCTCAGGACCACGGAAATAAACTCGATCATTATCATCAAGAAACGCTTGCCACCCATTAGGTACATTTGTCATTTCTGGGATGAGTGGGTTTATCATCTTGCTAGGTAGCCTTGAGCAAAAAAAAAGAAAAGATTCGATATGCGAATATTTATGTCCGAGAATACAAAAGTTGTTAGGCGATATGTTGGGGATTTGAAGAGAGGTACGGAGTAACGAACAGAAAATAGAGAAGATATACTGTGATAATTTCCAAAGTTGTGGATGTATATTGTAAAGATTCATGTGTGAATCATACTTCTAGAATTCAACATGTGAATCTGGGCTCTATGCTAGTCATTAACATAAAGCGAAGCAGATATGAATTAACAGAGTCTAAAATCAGCTCACTTTTTCCATCAATATTCTGCGAATAAAAGATGTCGGTCGATGAGAATAAATATACTTTCGAGCTTTGCAAACGTAGAGGGATTAAGGCCAAGCTGCATCCCATCGTTACTGACTTCAAGCTGTTGAGGGCCATGACAGTAAAGAAAAATACCGAAGCACGAAGTAAAGCAACGAGGCAAAAGGCCAGAGAAGTTCCCTTGAAAAGTTTGGGTGATGAATATATTCAGCAACAAGCTTTACACCCTAATCAAAATTATACATACGAACAGTTGCTACAGAGCTATCGAAACTTCTTCATGACTGGGCCATTGATGAGGTGCCTAGAGGGCGACGAGAATATCGACGAAAAACTGGTTGGTGCAGTCACTTCAATTTCCTTTTGTGCGACAGCTATATTTGGGCAACCCTGATCAACTTCAATATTCATGATCTAGGGAAACGAACTTCTGACGAGATTACGGGAGGAAGTGCGGAGAATGCCACCAAGTAAACCAGCCCGACCGGGTAAACGAATAACTTTTGACGACTACCGCGGAGAACTTCAAAGCAGAGCATTTTGGGATAATGTTAGACTGCAGCTCCAAACTGACGAGGATGATAACATTAATGATAGCAAATCAAAATACCCCTTCGAAGAGTCTACGGATAGAAAAATAGCGGTCCATGTGAAAGCAAAAGCCCGAGGACTTCGATCTTTGAAATTGGTAACGAAGATATATGGACGTCGTGATGATATGAGATTTAGTAAATGGCAAGGAGCATTAGGAACAGGAAGTCTTCATGGAATTAGTTTTCGCTACAACAAATTGGTGTCACGACCCCACGAATTTTAGCTTCAAACGACCTCGGCAAGTTCCGACATATTCGAGTCAATTCAACACGTATCTTTCGCAATACATACCATCTTCACATTAATTCTCCAAACCACAATTACACAATCATGGATCCATTTTCAGCAGAGGGCGAGCTCCTCAACTTGCACAACTATTTCCACCAGGGACAATACCAAGAAGCCATTGATTTCGATACCAGTGCCCTTTCACCGGAGAATGCACTTCCAGCGCGCGTTATTTCACTAAGAGCTCAAATCGCACTTGGACAAGCTGAGGATGTTCTCGCAGATGTACAAGGGGAAGATAATGCAGAATTGAAGGCCGTAGGAGCTTTGGCTGTATTTGCATCCGGGGATGAAGAGAAAGCTGTCGCGATGGTATCTAAGCTAGCAGAGGACTCAAGCGACAATGCGACGGTGCAGGTATTGGGTGGAACAGTGCTACAAGCTGCAGGAAAGAGTGAGGAAGCTTTACAATTGTTGGCATTGCACCAGGGTAACCGTAAGTTATCTATCCTTGGATCGTTTTGTAGCAGCGGACGTAAACTAACTATGGGAATAGTTGAGGCCGTGGCTCTCATTGTTCAAATCCAGTTGGAACAAAACCGTACCGATTTAGCTATCAAAGAAGTTCAGCAAGCTAGAAGATGGGCTCAAGACAGTCTGTTGGTTAACTTGGCCGAGTCTTGGGTGGGACTTCGAGTTGTAGGGTCTCTCGAGTCCAGTCTACAAATATCATTTAACTAATATATCCAGGGCGGTGAGAAATACCAACAAGCATTTTATGTTTTCGAAGAACTCGCACAAGCTCCATCAACATCGTCAACTCGAAGTCTTGTCGCACAAGCTATCGCGGAAATACATCTAGGCAGATTAGAGGAAGCAGAAGCAGCATTAGAACAAGCTTTCAGCAAGGACCCAGAAAATGCCGAAGTTCTCACGAACAAGGTCGTTCTGAACACTATCTCAGGGAAGGATTCCAGTGATTTGTTTAGGTATGTTTGTTTTCCTCGCAAATGCCGTTCTTATTTCAATGAATTCGTGGAATGCGAAAGTTCGAAGTGTTCTCGAACTTTCAGAAGTACTATTTTAGAGAATGGTTGGAGTAGTGATTTCCACATTCAGCAAATACTTGTTCAACATGGTAGTCTCACTTTTTCTAACAATCGTCATCTAGTTCGTTAAAAAGTACCTCACCAGAACATACATTCCTGAAAGATTTGGAGGAAAAGAGTTCACTGTTCGATAAAGCAGCTACAAAGTACTCTGCAAAGGTCGCAGCCGCATAATATTCTTTAGCAGAAACGAAAATATATTAGGGCGTTGGGGAAATTTATATCGTTGTTTAGCGAGGGATTAGGAGAAGAGTCTCTAAGTGTTGAGAAATTAATGCGAGAGGGCATAGGAACTCGATGTATGATCGAGTGCATTTGATGGATATGGTATGCTTTCAAATGAGACTAGCAGTTTCAGAAAGACAAGTTAAAATGGTACGCAAAGATAATAGAGAAATGAAAAGAACATCCAAACACCATTTAAACTTCCCCATCTCTTTATGATTTACTAGGTAGGCTATCAGAACACAACGAAAAAGCCATCTAGATCTCCAAAAGACAACTCGATTCCAATACCTTGATAAAACACTTAAGATCCACTTTCATGGACACATTTCACCATTTCACCATCTCACTACAAATTTTTTATCCGGCGTATTTGTCTGTCTGTTTACATAATCACCATGTCTCAACTCAAACTGTCTTATTGTTTCATTTCACTCACACAATCGGAAAATCAGAAATTCTGCACTGTGACATCATGATATCGTTCGTTTTTTTTTGTTTTTTTTGTTTTTTTTTTTTTGGAAATGTTCGAAGTTTGAAACTGTGGAATTTGAAAACTGTGGAATTGGATGGGTTGATGATTGTATAGAAGGGGTATGGAGTATGTACATTGTAGAGTGTATATTCATGGCGTGCATATATGGAGGGAGGCAGTATGTATGAGGGAATATTGTGGATTGGATATTAGTGAGTGAGAAGCAGATGAGTGATCTTAGATTTTAGATATTAGAGATAAATACTGAATTGGAATAAGAGTACTCTGTACGGAGTAAATGAGATACGATACTCGAGTATGCAAAATGACGCTGTAATCCTACATGTGAATGAAATTATTTACTTGTGCTGTAGATAGGACCCTTTACTCATAAATCATCTGATTCTTTGATTAGTTGAATAACCAATTATTCAATGAACCAATTATTTAAAAACGTGTATGTAATATGTACCTAATGCCCTATGTATATTTCCAGCCGCCTGCATCAGGTTGAGAATCGGTACAGAGACAGAGTAAGCAAGCAAGGCAGCGCTTGCATCGTGGCTTGGATTCCTTCCTTCCTGTATGATACGGAGTACTCGAGTAAAATGTATAGATTAGCCTATAGGATTCTTACATATAAGCATACATACCAAATTGACTCAATACGTGGAAGAACCTCAAGTCCCTTGATAGTATTCGGAATCTTCCTATTGGAAAGTTGGACCGTTTCCTTACATTTACCTTACTCGTATACATACTCGTAAGAGTACATGAAAAGATCGAGATTTACTCAGTTTCTTACATGCTGCATCCAATTGTTCATTGTTTTCGGTTGTTGTGCTGGTGATGTACAGGGGTAAGATACATACATACATACATACATACATACATACATACATACATAAGCTTCCCTAGAAGTTGTTAGCGAAATCGAGAGTTTATGATGTCATTGTGCGTTTTTTTCTCTCTTCTTGTTTCTTGCTGAGCTGAACGAGCCAGTCCAGCCAGCTGTGAAAATAATTTACTAGGTACTGTATTTGTTTGATGATTGATAACCAATAAATCGGTATCGTGAAAAAGTTCCAGGATATTGGATCTGACATATACCCAATCACAAAAGCAGAATCTAGCACAAAAATAAAAATTTTCACATGGGAAATCTCTACTTCCTTCTGTAAGTATCTATGTATCTTCAAGAATCTTCTCCCGTTCCTTCTTACGCCGAGTTATCATGATGGATGATTGATTGATCGAATCGAATCTAATCGAGTGTCCCCACCAATAAACTTGTTCGTGCACTGCCTGCCCCTCTTTCATACATGCCCCACTACATCCAAAGTAAACAGGATCTATTCTTACAAGAGAACAAGATCGATATTGTGTCTGGACATCGATATTGGGATTTTGAGAAGCTAACTATCAAGAGATATTCTGTGTGATTGGTGGGATGGTTTGCCAAGCTTTGGCTAGATTCGAGGTTTTGCTGTGTGCGTGTGTGTGTTTTAAATTATCGTGAGAATTTGATGCACGGGTTCACCTGGGGAGATGCGTTTGCGTTTGCATTTGCATCATGTAGTATGGAGTCATTATTTCCTTTCCTCTCTTTTCAAGATGGGGTTTGAGAGTTGGCTTGTTTGAAAGTTGGGGAATAGGTAGGCACTGACTGCGTGGAGATGAGGATCAGGAAGTCTTCAGATCTGATACAGTAGTTGATGAATATAAAAATCTGGAAGCGCCCTCTCCTTTTCCTTCCGATTTATTTTTCTCTTTTGCTATATAATCATCTAAGCATCCTTCCTACTATACCAACCAACAATACCTTACTTATCCACAATCCACAATCTCAAACCCCATTATCGGCGTTTAAACTTCCAACTCCAGGATTCAAAAGACCCATATATATATATAAATCAACGTATCCCGCTCTCCGCCTTCTTCCACCCTCAAACCCAGTTTTGATACCCATTATTTCCTCACTACTCATCGATTTTAAACTCGATCGAAAATTCCATCTCGCCCCTTCCATTTCTAGTTAGAATATCTATCTCACTACTGTTTTCGATACCTACTTATTATCCTTCTTCTTCTTATTAAATCTTTTCATAATGCCTTCTGCAGTTACACCACCACCATCACTTAGTACCCAAGATTTGGCAGTTAAGAAAACAAGTTACTCTCGTACTCAAGATCCCGAAATGTTGAAGTGTAAGAGGAAGATTATTTGTTTCTCAGGTATGTGTTTTTTTATTCGCCTCCTCGCCTCTCCTTTTTCTCGATATCCATTTATATATGTATACATATATTAGATAGATACTAGAGTAAGAAAGATAATAAAAACAAACAAACTAACACAACCACCCAGATTTCGATGGCACAATCTTCATGCAAGATACGGGACACGTCCTCTTCGACGCCCACGGCTGCGGAGAAGAACGTCGTCTAATCCTCGACGAACAAATCAAAACAGGCGAACGATCCTTCCGCGACGTATCAGAAGAAATGTGGGGATCCCTCCGCGTTCCATTCGAAGATGGATTCGCAATCATGGAAAAATCCCTCGAGATTGATCCTGATTTCCAAAAATTCCATCGCTTCTGCATCGATAACAATATCCCATTTAACGTCATCAGCGCGGGATTAAAACCCGTTCTGAGAAGAGTTCTTGATAAATTCCTCGGAGAGGAAGAAAGTAAACGCATTCAAATCGTCGCAAATGAAGCCGAGATTAGCGAGGATGGAAGTCAGTGGAAACCCGTTTGGAGACATGATACTGAGCTTGGTCACGATAAAGCATTATCGATTACCGAAGCTAGAGAACATGCACAGTTGGAATGTGAAGATGGAACAATCCCCCTCATTGTCTTTATCGGGGATGGTGTATCGGATCTCCCAGCTGCGAGACAAGCTGATGTATTGTTTGCGCGGAGAGGATTGCGATTAGAGGAATACTGTCTAGAACATCGTATTCCGTATATTCCATTTGATACTTTTGCGGATATTCAAAAGGAGGTGCAGAAGATTGCTGAGGAGGATCAATTGAAGACGGGTGGTACAGGTAAACCTGTTAGGTTTAATCCGAGGGCTAATTTGTGGAGACGAGTCTCTAGTAAGAATGCTGTAAGTTTTTTCCCTTTCCTCGTATTTGAGACCTCATCTTCATCTTTCATCTTCTTCATACTAATATTCTATTTCAAGGTTCCTTCATACGTAGCAGCTACCCCTACAAAAGAAGAAAAAATGTTCTTATGGCCAGAATCTTTCTCCGAGTTGAAGGAAAATCGTCCTTCGACTATTCAAGAACAGATTGTTGCTTAAGCCTTAGGATCATGCGGGGATGGAGATTTCTTCCAGCTTTCTTTCATTTGCTCCATATTTTCTCTTGGACTGCATTTTTATTTCATGGTTTTTAAGCTGGCATGGCGTTGAGGTTAGGCATATACATAGGTAGCCGATTGGGTTTATGATTTTGAGAGATAATGTATTTAAAATTAAAATCAAAAGTTTTATAAAATTGAGGATTTTGAATGGAGAGTGAATTGTTATTGTGATTGTGGACAGATATTGATTATGGTACAAGTTGACATAAACTGCTGGAAACGCAAAATGCAATTGTTCCTTGCTTAGAATCTACTATTGACGGTCAAAAAATCGATAGCCTCAAAGGCTCATAAGGTTATATATATTTATTAATTACAAATATATAGATCGGCCTCGAGTGTTAGTCGTAATCGACTTATAATATTTACAACAAATTATAAAAATAACTATTTTATAGTTTAAAAAATATAATTTTTGAGAAATCTATAATAAATATAACAAGAGTTATGTATAGTAAAGAATTGTTACGTTGTAACATTATAACTATTATCACGTGTTATAGGATCACATGAATAGTCTTGTGAGGGAGCGAGGGAGCGAAGGAGCGAGATTCGAATCTCGCTCCCCAGCTCCATCGCTCCAATGTTGGAATACGAAGGTCTATATAATCAAGATGGATTCCCTTTGTATAGAGCTTCGTGCTCAAGATCAAGATCAATAATTTAGTATACTCTACTATTAGTTACGAATTGCATATCATCATTGTCATTACTTTAAGTCCCTGCTTGACGCCTAGTGTGACCAAAAGGGTGTTTATAGACCAGCAATTGTATTTAACTTAGAATCTACAGGTGAAGAGCACCTGTAGATGGGGATAGCTACTCTATATATACACAAATGAATGGCCTAGCCGCAATAGCTAGGCAAAAAGAAGTCATATTTATTCCTCCAATGATCTTACTTTACCGATAACCATTGATACCTAGTACTTGTCCGGATCTGATCCTCAGGTCACCTAAATCGCATACTAATCTCGAGTAATCGTATCATGTGTGGACATGGTTAATGTACCTGAGGTTTCTTATATAATAAGGGTGGGAGGAAAGCAGGGATTTCCGTCACACCTAGTTATAAACCACCTCGAGAGCCTAGAGCACTTCCACGTGATCTAGACGGCAAACCTCGTAACAATAACCTACTATAATATTTAATTTAAATAAAAGTTATGTCGACTAATAACAAATGAAATAGTTTATATTTAAAATATATTTCAATTAATTCTAGATTGTAATTACAAAAGTTCAATTTTGAAAAAAATAAATTATTGGAATATGTTTTTGTCGATCAAGTACAAACAATCACGTTTTTTTTCGGATACATGTAATGAAATCGGGTGTACCACTAAATTTTATAATTCCAATCAGATCACTCCTTATGCATGTGTCTCCATCAAATTCCTCGAAGCAACCTTTCTGCATTCCTCCAAAACCCTTAACTGATCCGCAACCTCACCCAATTTCCCAATAACCTCTTTGTTGGCCCCCACAAACCCAAAAATCACATATGGAATTCCAACATCTTCACAAAACGCCCTGACATATCTCTGCGCCTTCCTCAAATTATGTCTTGGCAGTCTCGGAAATAAATGATGCACCACCTGGAATTGCAGTCCTCCGTGCAAAAATCCATCCAAGGGGGATAATCCACGTCCATCGTGGTTCTTATCATTTTCTGAGCGAACGACTCATTGACTCCGAGATTAGAAGTCGACATGGCGAAATGGCTGAGCGTTAACTGGACGTGGAGTGGAGCGGTAACCATATGCGAGATGAGGAGGAATATAAAACGTGAAGACCAGCTTGGGATGCGCAGGTAGAGGGTTTCATAGCCAAACCAGTACCAGAAAAATATTTGGCCTGCCATCTCTAAATAGCGGTGCCACCATGCTGGGCCTTTGCGTGGTACTTGTGTGGAACTCAAGAGGTATGGCCATGCTAATACGTACAGATTGAACCTCCCCATGAGAAGAATGGGATAATAGAGAAAGTGCTGATATCTGATAAAAAATTGGGACGCAGCGTCAAATTTCATATCTCGATCATAGTAGGTTGAATACAGGGAAGAGAAAAAGCGATGGGAAATAGCGAAGAAAGGCATGTGTTCGATGTCAGGATCGTGTTCGGGGGAGTTGGTGACGATGTGATGGACATTATGATTTCGCTTCTACCAACCGATGGAAAGGCCGCCTAAGAAGTCGGCTATGAAAATCCCAATACAGGAGTCTGTGTGAAAGCCATGGGTTATGCCCATGTGTCCGGCGTCATGGGCTGTGAATAATAGTTGGTGCCAGAATAGTCCGAGGAAGAGACCAGATAGAGCATAGTATGAGAAGTGAAGAAGTATCCAGAAGAGACTAAACAGTATTATGTATCGTACGATTTCGATCGCGTAGGAGCTATAGGGGCATTGATAGAGTCCCTCAGATTCCAATTTCTTATCGAGCTGCCGATATTTGGAGATAATCTCATCTTGGGACTTTTTGTCGAGACAGGGATAGTTTGAGAGATCTGTTGATATTGCATGTGCTGTCAATGCTTCCGCAAATGTGAACTTCACTTTTTTGGTTCTAATGAGGACAAAGAATAAATTCGGGGGATGAACGACTCGTTGCCTGCACGCCGCAAACGGACTTCATTCCCTGTCCCCTCAGTATAGGACAGTGGCGATGGTGGACTCAAACTCCCTGACACGCTAAAATCTTCTTCAAACAAAGATTAGCCATCCTCGTGCTTCGACTCAAGCGTCTTGAAGACTCCCCCATGTATTGGAGGCAAGAAGTTCTCCCATCTTCTGTCTATTTCCCCTATCACAAACTTTTGCATACGCATCTGTGCTTCCTTAGAATGTAATGCTTTGATCTCACCCGTTTCGTCACGACCGACCATATGTAAGATTGATTTATCTCCGCCTGGGTGATATGGTAGCCAAGCGTCAGCCTTCACCACTTGTCCACCCAATATGATTATTTTGTGGCCATCTGCTATCAACCCCTCGATTTCTCTCCGAGTCCACATACGAGTTTTGGGCAACATTGTCGACGACTAAGAAACTTGACTGAAGATGAATGCCAGATACCGAACAAATGACAGATGATGGATGTCTGGCCTCAAACACACAATGGAAAAAGGCAATCGTGTAGAGTGTCGTATGTTGCAGTGTGATCTGCTTCTGAACTCGAGAATTAGGGCTAGGGTTTGGCAACGGGCTATTTTTTGAATGTGAAAAGTGGCAGCACTTGCGTTTATCATTGGTTTTTCTCGATGTCGGCTAGCGGTGTAATTCTCATGCAAAGTTGCGTGTTTGGACAAACCCGGAGAAGCGTAAGCCAATCTTGAGCCATTGTGCAGGGTTTGGTGAATTTTTATGCTGAAACAGTTAGTGCCCCAGCCCTTTTACAGGTGTTTCTACGTTTTCACTTTGCAGTATTCGGAAAGGTTTAAACAATGATTATTTAAGACTAGTGGTATCGATATTCTAGAGAATAATTAAGTCAGAGTGTTCTGAAAACGCATGCTTTTAGCAAGAGTATCAAAACCGCTTCTAGGAGAAATATGCAAATTTTATATTACTGATCGCTCTCTTTCACGTAGTTCATGAATTGGAGCCTGTAAAAGTATCATGGATCACCATTACATTTAGATTTACTCTTCTATGCGCGAAGCTGAGCCAGCAGAAATTCATACGTTACTATCCAGAGTGATTTCTTCAGTTACTTTCAAATCCTTGCCTTCCTACTTCGTCATTTTCAGGACTGAGTTCTTGGGTGAAAAATGATAACAAGAAACCTACAGCTCCCATACCTGTGAGCACCAAGAAGACGGCCATGAAGGAAACCCGATAAGATTCTACTACGACATCATAGGACGGAAGAGAATGGTCTATTTCGCGGAGAAAGGGGATGAAACCAACCGCTTCACGTACATCACGGAGGATAGAAAGTTCACTAGGTAGTTGTCCAAGCTTGGCGATGCGTTGTTTGAAAACACTGTGGAAGACTGTTGAGCCTATTGCAAGGCCAGTCATGCTCCCGAACATACGGAACGAAACCATGATACCGGTAGCAAGACCTGCGTCGTCGACACGCTAACTAGCATTCATGGGAAATGTGCAGATGGTGAAAAGAACGCCGAGACCAACACCGGCGAGGACTTGAGGACCGTATTTCATACCATCAGAAACACCGGGTTTCCATAGCGCAAATAGACCAACACCGACTGCTAAGCAAGGCCATGCGGCAATGACTAGTAATTTATATTTCCGTAAGACTTCTACACTGACCGCTCCAAATATACTGAATACGACGATGAAAACGCAGATTGGAAGTACCTCAATGGCAGATCGGAAGGGTGTCTCTCGGAAGGTGGCTTGGAAGGAAAGAAGCAAGTAGAGCAGGCCACCGTTCAACACAGCGCCATGAACGAACGAGCCAAAGAGAGTGAATATCGCGGTTCTGCTTTTGAAAATGCGATATAGAAACAGAGGTTGAATGGGCCGTTCTTCATAGAAACCAAAGAGAATCAGGATGAGAAGCCCTAGTATGAATGAGACGAGTGTTTCGTATGACGCCCAGGGATACAAGGAGCCTGCCCAAGACAGTGGCAATGAGAACAAAGTGCTGCCGACTACAAAAAGTACCATGCCAATCCAGTCTAAACGTGCAATCTTGCTGGCAAGCGTGGTTTCAATGGCCTTGAGTCGTAAGAAGAAGAAAAATAGCAGCAAGCCAGTCACACCAAAAGGAAGGTTGATCAAACCAATCCATCGCCAGCTTACCTTTTCAGCGAGGGCAGCGCCAATTATGGGGCGACAGATGGCGCCACCTGCCATAGGAATTGAGAATAGTCCCAAATAAAGAGGACGTTCCTTCAGACTCGTGATATCGGCTAGCACGACTTCCCCCAAAACATCAAGACCGCCGCCTCCCAGTCCCTGTAGCACACGACCCAGAATCAAAACACCCATATTATTAGCCACTGCGAAGACGATGGACCCAACGATGAAAATTATCAAGGATGCGTAGAGAGGGATCTTGCGGCCCAGAACGTCGGAGAGACTCGTTATTATAGGCATGACCGCCACCGAGACAAGTAGGAAGCAGAGACTGGCCCAGAACGCCTCGAGCGTGGTGCCATTCAAGTCGTCAGTAATTACCTGGTGAATGGTTTAGTTAAAGAAACACGCATTGCTGATGGTGTTAAGCTCACTGGTACAGCCACCGACAGGGCTGTTGCATCTAGCGAAACGAGCAATACGCAAATGTTCAGTGCCAAAAAGGTCATATGAAAGGAGAGTGGCTTCTTCACTTTCTCATTTTGTGATATCTGCTCCTGCTTTTGGCCCAGCGGCTGGCTGAAGATTAACGGCGGCTTCTTCGTAGCCTGCACCGGAGGGTAAGGCTGAAGTGTCTCTGCCAGCTCCTCCGCGGCTCGTTCGGTGACTGATGCGGGCATAGCGAGCGAGACAGATGTACTGTTCATTATTGGAAAATTGGCTGAAAACACAATTCTTAGCTAGGAGGTAAAAGTGTTAATGTGGTATAGTACCGAAGTGCAACATGAAGTGAAATCTTTTGGCACACCAGCAAGTGGCTACATGCCGTGAACTGGGCTCATCGAACTAGCATCAATTAGATCTGCGAATTAGTGCCACGGATTAAACGCACGGCTTAAGATAGTCCACAACTTTGATAACTGGATATGCGCGAAGGTGTCAGATCAGTCTTCCGGGCTCACTCACTGAAAATCAGTCAACCCATTTTTGTTGGAGATTACGTAGCATGTATCAATACCATGGGAAGCTTTACTACACTTTCAACGGGTACATTCTAACCAAGAACAACAATTGAAGAAATGCAACCACTGTATAGCGCGGAAATTTTGTCCCGAATATTTCAGCTGTTCAGGCGAGTCAACAATAGATATAGTAACGGTTGGAGTATTGCATTGGGGTTTTGATTCGCTAATGTCGTACACAAAAGCTTATTTGGTTGGGGTTATCTTTTAACCTCGTAACCGATGACCCGTAGGAAGAATGAACCGATACGGCTGCAAAAGCAAGAGACACCTTGTGCTCTTGAGTTTCTCACCACTTGTGGATTCATCACTCCACAGGGGGTAGACCCTTAGACTTTCGCAGAAGGGTCAGAATATGGGAAGCCAAGTCAGGCCAGGCCTGGCTGGTGCATCATCTGCAACAAGAGTGATTTAAAGTGGACATTAAAGCTTTTAGTAATGCCAAGTGCAGGCAAAAGTCATATTTCGGAGGTTTGGTGATGAAATTACTATGATAAAATTACTGAAATAGAGTTTGTGGTGAGTTTGCTACTGTTACTTTCCCATTATCATAACTCCCCATATTTCATATATCTTTGTAATTTCCAAATCGGGAATCTATACTCAGCATAATTGACTACTAGCAAGGGCTTAAACGAATGACGCCCCACAGGTGATGAGAAAATCTCTAATACATGCATACACATCCAACTCATGCAATGTCTCCATTAATAACTCCCTCTTCACTCAACGCATACACCTGCTGAGCCGCCCAGGGCACTTTACCCCGCCCCTTAGTCCCCATCTCAATTTCAATCATCTCCTCTGCCCACTCGCAGATTGCGGCCACCAGCTCATCGATCTGCTCCTCAGTATGGTCGACATGGATGACAATCCGTAGTCTTGCATTCCCTTTTGGAACCACTGGGAAGGTAACGGGAAAGGCAGAGTATTTTCTAGCGTCTAAGTGGAAAGTTAGCCAGAGATCGTAGCGCTCGCGAGTCCAAAGCGGTACGAGCTGCGTGTCGAATTCGCGCTCATCCCAGTCTTCTGACACGGGGATTGAAATAATTTTCCGTTCATTCGCTTCCTCCTAAACTGGATGCGAAGTTATTTTCGTGAAAAAACGCTTCACTAGATTTTGGATATTTTTCCGACCCTGGATTGTTCGTTAGTATTGGAAAAAGGCCCTGTTGGAAAGAAAACTTACTGCTTTCGTCTCGGGCTGTGGCATTAAATAATATCCCGCCCGAATAGCAGCAATCTGATGGAAAGCCGGCGCGGTGGTGAACACTGTTGAACGCGAGAAATTCACTAGTGCATTTTTAATCGTGTGTTTGCCGAGAATAACACCTTGTGCATATTGCCAGTTTTGCAGAAACTCCACGACGCGGATTTTGGAACCACCTACCTCCTATTGATCCGAACGCTTTGCTGAAGGTATGCGTTTTGATAGCAATTTCCGAGTCCAGGTCCAAGGCTTTAACATCTCCCAGTCCTATTTCGCCCACCACTCCCATACTATGCGCTTCATCAACAATGAATTGGGCGTTGCCGCCTGGAAATATCTCTTTTGCAGCCTGTACAAGCTCTTTCAAGGGAGACATGTCACCTTCCATGCTGTAGAAGCTCTCAACGACAGCGAGGACGCACTTTTTTCCCTGTTTGATGAGCGACTGCGAATCCCAGACGGAGATTTAAGTCTCTCGAAAGGCATCGACATCGTTGTGGGAGAAAGGCACTTTCGTACTAGCAAGCGAGCGTGACATGCCATCCATAATACTGGCATGGATGAGCTCATCATAGATGATTGCATCGCCTGGCCGTGGAATCCCCTCAAGAATCGCATAATTACCGTCACAGCCTGAGCCTACAATAAGCGCAGCTTCGACTCCGTGATAGGCGGCAATTTCCTGCTCCACCGCTTCGATATAGTCATAATTGCCATCCATCAAACGAGAACCAAGAACCACCAGCTCCAAGCTGTGCACCAATATTTTGAGCCAGTTCTGTTTCAAAAGCCTTGCGCAATCTTCCGCTGGCACCAAAAGAAAGCGAATCGTTGGAGCAGAAATCTGCGGTCGCTCCATCTGCCCATGTGTTTTTGATTAGAGTATGTAGTCCATGATCCTTTCTTCGGACATCAAGAGCTTCCTCTAGGTTGCGATAGAAGGTTGGCGCACTACGCATAGTATGCGCGCGGTCCTTCTGGCTGGCCATCCAACGAGTAAAAATAACGGAAGACATCGGAAGGTGTAAATAGAGTGAAGGTTGCACCGAAACCAAGAAACGATACTTCAATTCTGCACGGAACGAGCAAACTCAAAGCTGTACTTGCAATTTAATACTATTTAGGCTTCCACTAAAAAGCAGCTCTTTGGAAAACCGCGCAGTGCAAATACTTCTCAAAAAGTAGGTCCATACTGTAGACTACATACAGCTACAAGGGTCAAAAAACGGGCCCCTTGTTAAACTCAAAGTGCTTACCGCTTAGGAGACTGACTATCTACGAGGGTATCGTGAATCCCTGTGACAAACACTCGTGAAAGAGGGGAACGAACTATTGTGAATCATATGAGGATATGCTAAAGCTGTTTAGTATCTATTGAATATATGGTAGTGAGTGAGATATGCTATCGAACTATGGAATGAGTTAGCATAGCAGATTTTTTGCCATATTCGAGTAAAATAGTTTATTTAAGATCTAAAATACATTGATCATATGGTGGTTTTAAAGACTGCTCCGCTAGGGCTCTGGTCCCGACAGCTTGGAACCCAATCGGTAAATCGCAAAAATACGTGAATATTAGGTCAAGTGGGCCGCTAATCATACTATAGCCTGATACAGCGAACCAATCCACATACTTACCGGAATACGAGTGGACGGAGAATTTATGTTGATTCACTGTGAATCACCAACTGTCAGCCAACTCTTTATATGAATTGAAGATATTATCGCCATATTGGAGAACGTGGTGGTATATCGGAACAGGAGATAGATTTGGTAAGTGCTTACCTATTTTTTTGAGCACAATACGAGTGTGTAAACAGTCTCTCCACTGAGCATCGTATGAGGGATAAAGTAAATTGTTGGATCCAACATACGGAATGGGAGCACCCGTATCCACTACTCCCTAGAAGTCTCTAGTGGCAAAATAGAAGTGGCAACTTTAGACTATATAGAAATCAAATATCGTTGCATTACAAAAATGAAATTGTGAATTGATACCTAGTAAAACGCTTCGGCTACAAATGTCATGTCAAGAAGCTTGGAGGGGTGATGCAACAGCCCATCCTACTTTAAAACAACCCCAACATTGTCATTGCCAATTAAATCCTCTATCACATCTATCGGCGCTTTGTAATATTCCCGTGTTCCGGATACCAATGTCATTTCTCTTTAGCTATGGACGCACCTAGGCGCATAAATCCGCTGGTCTCCAAGTCATAAAACCTTTCGTATCCTGCCATCTCGTATTTTACTTATGCTGGAATAACATTTCATGAGTCAGGATCCCATGGGACACCTGTAGATCTTTTAGACCTCTATGAGAAACCCCTTGGTTATAAATTCCTCTGATTCTAGGGTCTCAATAGAAATTCTAGATTAATGCAGCGCTGTAATTAGGAAACTCTCATGATTCTATTAGTGCCAAATATTCAAAACTCACAATATATACTCGTATCCTATAACCTACCTAGCTTTGTATCTTGAAGATATCCACTAGATTTGAGGCACTAGATTGAATGGCCGTAAAGATCAAAATAAAGGTTGACGATATTCCGAGGTCTATATTGTATGCTGGAACCAGGCTTGATGACTGCTTCTCTGGGAGAACGCCGGCGTATTACCATACATCTTTTCGAATGAGGCGGTAAATAGTCCGTAATTGTTGCCAAACCAGGGTGGTATACAATAAGCACGTTGACCCGGATGAAAGTAAAATATACTCCCCAAAACGAGATTTCAAGACTTGTTGGTAAAATAAGGAGTGGAGATGGTCACCCAGCCGTGTGACTGTGAGATGATTCAAGTTATGCCTCCTCCGTTTCCATGTATGGCCTCTGCATACCGTGCCATGTTACTGTGGAGTATATACCGTCAATATGTCGACCTCGGTCAGGAGCTCGAATGAAACGGTATGGTGTGAGCGATAGAAACTCCGAAAAGCTCAAGATATTCAAGAAGTATATCCACGAACATGGCCCCTATCGCCCCACATATGAATGCGGAATTTGTATTAAAAGTCATTCTGTATGTATACTGTCGAAGAGATGTTGATACACCCATTCAACAGTTTGATCATTCAACAGTTGGATCAATATTGTAACCCTACGTGGAGTCCACATTGGAGTTGGGCCGATGTTTACTGTATAGCTTAGCAAAACAGATACCTTGTATCCAGTAATCCAGAGCAACTTTGTGATATTCCAAGTAGACTTTTTCAGCTCACTTAGGTGTAGTGTAATATATGGTTAGAAAGGAATACCAGGAATGAAACAGTTGGTTGATGTGCTCGGTACCTTGACGGCGCTGGATCCGCCACACTTATATTCAACAACCCTCTTCTACCTCGCAACACTCGTTTATAATCACGGAATAGCAGCGCTGGGAAAAAACCTCAAGCAGCGACAGTTGCGTGAAACATCTTCTTTCTTTGCGAGCCTTGTTGGAATCTTGCTACAGTTGTATCTGTTATCTTATCATTCCTCGGGTCTCTGTCCTAAAAAGAAGCTTACCACAATGACTGACTCAACTATTACTTGGAGCGACCCTGCAAATGGACATGCTAGTAGTGCTTCAAATGGGCATACTGTCAATAACGATGTTCCTTCAACCAACGGCAATCATGCCATGAATGGGCATAACGCCACCAACGGCCATGCTACAGCCGCCTCAACAGCTACTGGGAGCCCACCCGAGCCCATTGCCATTTGCGGTATGGCATGCCGTCTTCCAAGTAGCATAAAGACGCCACAAAAACTCTGGGAATTCCTACTCGCCGGAGGCGACGCACGCAGCAAAGTCCCGGAATCCAGATACAACATCGAAGCTTTCTATGACCCCAGCGGAAAGCCCGGTACAACAAAGACACAACATGGCTATTTCCTCGACGGAGATCTTGCTAATTTGGACACCGCATTCTTTTCTATGCCGCGAAAGGAGGTTGAACGTATTGATCCTCAACAGCGTCTAATGCTAGAAGTAGCACGGGAATGTTTTGAAGATGGCGGAGAGATCGGTCGGAGAGGGAAGAAAATTGGATGCTATGTGGGCAACTTGGGCGACGACTGGCTTGAGATGCTTGCACAAGATACCCAGAACTTCGGCATTTACCGACTTTCTGGATATGGTGACTTTGCGCTCTCTAATCGCATCTCCTATGAAATGAACCTTCAGGGTATGTCAGATAGTCTCGTGGAAGCGCGTCAAATTTAACACAATTCTAGTATGACTGTACGAACTGCATGATCATCCTCCATGGTGGCGCTACATGAAGCTTGTGTAGCAATTGATAGAGGCGATTGTGAGTCCGCCATAGTTGGTGGTACTAACATCATCCTGAGACCCAGCTGTACCACTATGATGTCTGAGCAGGGCGTTTTGTCCTCTGACGGCTCCTGTAAGACCTTCTCAGCTGCTGCTAATGGATATGCCCGTGGCGAAGCCGTAGTCGGAGTATTTGTGAAGCCGCTTGAACATGCAATTCGGGATGGAAACTCGATTCAGGCTGTGGGTACGGGCCACGGCCACCAACCATGATAGCAAAACCGCCGGATTCAGTCTACCTAGTTCTGATGCGCAGGAGACTATGATACGCAGAGCATACGAAGTGGCGGGTCTCACTCCATCGGATACTGGGTACGTTGAGTGCCACGGAACTGGTACATCAGTAGGTGACCCTATCGAAACTATGGCCGTGGCCCGCGTTTTTGGTGAAGTGGGGGTAACCATCGGGTCTACTAAGCCGAATTTCGGCCACACAGAGGGTGCGTCAGGAATCCTCTCAGTTCTCAAGACTGTTCTTGCGCTCGAGAACAAGACAATTCCTCCCAGCATCAAGTATTCCCCAAGAAATCTGAGCATCCCGTGGGAGACAGGGAAGCTCAAACTTGCTGAAAGACCACTATCTTGGCCCGAAGGACGCGTAGAGCGAGCTAGTATGAACTCATTTGGTCTAGGAGGAAGCAATGCTCATGTCATCATTGACTCCGCAGCGAGCTGTAAAATTCCTGCTCCACCCCCGGTCGAGGAGGACGTTGCCAAACTTCTCCTCTTCTCCGCAAACACCCAAAAGTCGCTCACAATACTTATCGATGATTACAAAACCTTCACTGAGGAGACTGCCCTGCATGTCGGAGACATCGCATACACGCTTGCTCGTGGCAGAGAGCATCTTCCATATCGTGCATTTGCACTCGCCAATGGAAGATTGGTAGGGATTGTTTCTCCTATCACTAAATCTAGGCCGCAGAAACCTAAGATTGCCATGGTTTTCACCGGCCAAGGCGCCCAATGGCCTCAGGTGGGCCGCGACTTGATAAAATCCAACTCAATCTTCCAGTCTAGCATTCGCTCCCTTGACAAGTATTTAGAGAAAACACTAGGAGAAGAAGCTCCAAGTTGGAGTATAGAGGAAGAGCTTCTTAAGCCAGGAAAAAAGAGCCGTGTCAGCCTGGCAGAATTTCCCCAGCTGCTATGCACTGCCATTCAGATTGCCCTTGTCGACACTTTACGGTCAATAGGGGTTGAGGCGGACGCTGTTGTTGGTCATTCCAGCGGTGAAATTGCAGGTGCTTACGCTGCAGGAGTCTTAACTGCAACGGAGGCTATCGTAGTTGCTTTTTATCGTGGTATTGCGGCCAATCAGCAAAAAAGACCCGGTGCCATGGCTGCACTCGGAATGGGTATCGCAGAAACTGCAAAGTTCTTGGTTCCCAATACAGGTATTGCATGTAATAATTCCCCACGAAGCGTCACCATCTCTGGCGATGCTGATAAGATTGAGGAGGTTATTGCCGCTGTACGCGCCGCCCACCCCAATACCCAGGCGAGAAAGCTCCAGGTAGAAAAATCTTACCATTCCTATCACATGGCTGAAATTAGTGATATCTACAGTTCTTCAATTGAGCATAAAGTGGTCGAGAAAAGTCCCAGGAAGCTATTCTTCTCCACTGTCGAGAACAAACTACTTGACAGCTCCAAAAATCTCAGCTCTCGTCACTGGCAAAATAATTTGGAATATCCTGTACTATTCAACGGAGCTGTTTCAGGCCTCCTTCGCCACTTCTCTGGTCAGGACGTTCTCCTTCTAGAAATTGGTCCTCACTCCGCATTGGCTGGCCCATTGACACAGATCATGGCGGAGACACCCAACAGCGCCAGATACATTCCGACACTTGTTCGAAATCAGAACTCTGTAGAGAGCTTCCTCACAGCTGTTGGCAAACTCTTCACCTTCCAGATCCCAATCGATTTCAAGGCACTCTTCCCTAACTGCAGCTGCTTGTCTGATTTGCCTCGATACCCTTTCAATCATGGCGAAAGTAGCCATTGGTTTGAGTCCCGCCTTAGCAAGGACTTCCGACAGAGGAAGCATCCTCACCACGATATTCTGGGTGTCAAAGTAGTGGAAAGTACCGATCTTGAACCGGCGTGGAGAAATTTGTTGTATGTTGGTTATAACACCAACTGGCTTAAGAATCACAAGGTGGGTGACGACATTGTATTTCCTTTTGCTGGCTATGTTTCCATGGCTGGTGAAGCAGTGCGTCAGATAACCAAGATTGATGAAGCTTTCCGTTTGCGACATATCTCGGTTGGTACTGCTATGCTACTTTCCGAGGAGAAGCCAACAGAGATCATCACTACCCTTCGACCGCTACGCTTGACAATATCACAAGATAGCAGCTGGTACGAGTTCAGTGTCTCGGCATACAACGGCCATCAGTGGACCAAGCATTGCAGTGGAGAAGTTAGGGCGGAAGGTGGAGCTCTACCTACTAGTACTACCACTAAGCACTTTCCTCGTATCGTTGGCTGGGAGAAATGGTTTAATGGTGTGTGTTGCGAGGGTCTGGATCTTGGCTACGATTTTCAGAATGTAGATGGCATTACCGCTTCCACGACGACTCACGAGTCAAGGGGAACTGTATCTAGCAAGAAGCACACGGCGAACCCACTTTCTAAGTACCACATACACCCAGCTGTTCTTGACAGTGCTCTGCAGCTGCTTTCTGTTGCTTCCTCAAACGGCCTCACCCGGAAGCACAAGAACTTTCTCCCAATTTTCTGTGATCAGCTCCTTGTTGCCCGCACGACCAAGGACTTCGTCATGAATGTCGGTATCAGCAACATGGGCAATGGATCTACTTCCTCAAGGGTTGGCGAGGGCGAGGGTGTTGTAAACGGAAAAGTTGTTCTCAAGTTCGAAGGTCTAAAAATCACCCCTGCAAGCATCACTGACGATTCGTTGAAAGTTGTCGACCCTCATGCTGCATCTCGTCTTACTTGGAGAGCTGATCTCGACTTTGTCGACCTGAATACTCTTTTCCAAACTTGCCCTAGTCGCCATCAACATGCTCATATTCTCGAGGAGCTTGGCAAGCTGTCTGTTCTCAAGGTGCACAAGCAACTTGCCAATGCGGATGCTCAAAGGCCTCATCTGAAGAGGTACTCCCGGTGGACCGATGCCCAAGCCAATTCATTAGGGACTTTATCTTGTGACGATGAAGCGTTGCCCCGAAAGATTCAGGAGCTTGGTGAGGGCTTGACCAACACCCCGGCCGCACCGGTAGCAGCTGTTCTGGATGCAATCATATCTAACATTAATCCGCTGTTCAGCGGCAGTGTTTCGTCTTGGGAGTCACTTGTTCCTGCTGACACTGTATTGAGTTTCTACAACTTTGTGTCTGAGTTTAACAGCTCAGCTTTTTTGAGACATTGGGACACTTTAAGCCAAACCTCCGAGTGCTGGAAATCAGTAACTGGGCAAGGTCACCATCAGCTACAGTCCTCGAATCGCTTACGCTTTCAAACGGTCGTAACCTGTGGTCACAGTACACTTTCGCCTCCAAGAACTTGGTTGCAATCGAAGAGCGTCTTACCGGCTATGTGAACCTAGAGTATGTTACGCTCGACATTAGCGAAGACCCGGCCCACCAGGGGTTCGATGGTCGTCAATACGATATTATAATCGCCAACAATGCTCTTCATACAACACCCAGCCTCGTGCAATCTCTGCGAAATATCAAGAAGTTCCTCACTCCTTCCGGCTATCTGTTCCTACAAGAACTCAATCCTGCATCCAGATGGATCAACACTATTCTTGGAACCATGCCAGCTTGGTGGCGTGGTGTTGCGGACAACCGACTTGATGAGCCGTATGTCAACGCTAGCCGGTGGCAAGATGAGCTAAAAGCAGCTGGATTTAGTGCTCCAGACGCCCTTGTCTTCGACTCTGAAGAGGCCTCTCGGATTAACATTGTCGTAGTTGCACGTCCTTGCAAGACGGCTCCCACCGAGGTTTTGAGAACTATCAGCCTACTTGTCAGGGACAAGACTAAAACTTATGAAGCAGTGGAGAGAACTCTCCATGAGCAAGGTTATGAAGTAACCAAGATCACGCTCAAGGACGTTCCGCAGCCTAACATTGATGTTATATCCATCATTGATCTCGGCGGTCCATTCTTTGCGAATATCGCTGATGAGCCGTACAATGACTTTCAGAAGTTTGTGGCCAACTTGCGGAACTCTGGTGTCTTTTGGGTCACCAGGCCCTGCCACATTCGTGTTCAGAACCCAAGCTATGCACAGGTTATCGGCCTTGCTCGTGTCATTCGATCCGAACTCTTGATTGATTTTGCAACTTGCGAAATCGATGATGTTGATACCGCATTTTCGCTCGTTGGCAAAGCATTCGAGAAGTTCCGCACTTGCGATAACGAGGACAGTCTCAGTCCCGACTTCGAGTATGCTATCGAGGGGGGTGTGATCAATATCGGCCGCTACTTTCCCTTTGTTATGATGGATGGCTTTATCCAGGAAACCGAGGGTGAGCGCATGAAAGTTGACATTGGAACTCCAGGACGGTTGAACACTCTCCACTGGATTCGCCAACCCGAACCCACTGTCCTTAAGGACCACGAACTTGAGATAGAAATGCACGCCGTTGGGGTTAACTTCAAAGATGTCTTGGTCGGAATGAATCTTATTGACTATGCTGGACGTTACCATGGGCTTGAAGGCGCTGGTGTTGTTCGCCGTGTCGGTCCCAAAGTAAAGCTTTTCAAGCAAGGAGACCGTGTTACTGCTATGGAGCACAACATTTTGTCAACATTATTGATAACCAATGAGATTATGTGCGTCAAAATTCCAGAATCTCTCAGTTTTATCGACGCCGCGACTATGTTCACGGTCTATGCCACCGTGCAGCAGTCTCTCATCACAATTGGTCAGCTTAAAAAGGGTCAGTCGCTCCTCATCCACTCTGCATGTGGTGGAGTCGGTCTTGCCGCTATTCAGATCGCCCAAATGATCGGTGCCGAAATCTATGCGACCGTTGGATCTGAACAGAAGGCGCAGTATCTCGTTAAGAACTGTAATATTCCTAGAAACAGAGTTTTTAATTCCCGTGATAACTCTTTCGTCGAAGGGGTGTACCGCGAGACTAACGGTAAGGGTGTCGACCATGTCCTCAACTCTCTCTCTGGTGAACTCCTCCATGAGACTTGGAAGTGTGTTGCGCCCTATGGCAAGCTTATAGAAATCGGCAAACGCGAGCTTCTCGGTCACGGAAGATTGGACATGGAGCCATTTGTGGCTAACCGCAGCTATACTATATAGATATTGATGCATTCTATAATATTACCCTGTCTCATTTCAAAGAGTAAGTCAAGATATCATTGTTTTGCAAGTCCCTTGTTAACATAAAGACAGAATGATGACTGAGACGCTTGATTATCTTGAGAAAGGCATGATTAAGCCCATCACTATTGCCAAGGAATTTGACGCTTCCTCAGTCGCCGAGGCTTTCAAGTACCTGCTGCCAGGCACTCATATTGGCCGTGTCGGTATTCGCATCCGCGATGTCGATGGCCGACTAACCTTGGGTGATGAGGTTTCTAACCCTCCTCAAAAGCTTCAGCTCGACCCGGAAGGTTCTTACCTCTTGGTTGGTGGCCTTGGGGGTCTAGGTCGCGCAATCTCTATCTATATGGTAGAACATGGTGCTCGCAACCTCATATATCTCAGTCGTCATGCTGGTAAAAGCGACAACGATCAAGCCTTTATCGGCGAGCTTAAGAGCATGGATGCTGATGTTGTCACTGTCTGTGGGGACATCAATGAGTTAGACGATGTCTCTCGTGCCGTCGCTGAAGCCCGTACTCCTCTCAAAGGTGTCCTCCAATTAAGCGCCGTCCAAGCCGATGAGAATTTTGCTAGGCTAACAAAGGAGCAATGGGACTACAGCTTAGGCCCAAAGGTTACGGGAACTTGGAACCTTCATCACGCGACTGTTGGTATCAAGCTTGATTTCTTCCTTCTGTTTAGCTCCATGTCCTGTGTCATTGGTCTTTCAGGCCAAGCCAACTACGCATCTGGAAACAGCTTCCTCGACGCCTTTGTTCAGTACCGGAACAATCTTGGTCTCGCCTGCTCCTCTGTTGACATCGGTCCCGTTGCCGATGTCGGTTTCCTTTCCGATAACACTTCGCTTCTCCAAACAGCCACCCTCACAGGTTTTAAGACGCTGGCCGAACAGGAAATGTTAGACTCAATTGCTTTATCAATGATGGCCAAGATTCCTGATAGCTCTAAATACACCTCAACATTTTTTGACCCCAATGTCTTTGTTTTGGGTCTTGAATCTACCATCCCATTTAACAGCCCCGCCAACCGCGCAGTTTGGAAGAAGGACCGCCGCATGGCGATCTACCACAATGACAGCGGACATACTGTTGAAGTAGTCGCATCATCTGACCAGCTCAAGAATTACATTGCGAACGCTCGTGCTGATCCTACGGTCCTGAAAACCCCCGAAGCGGCAATCTACTTCGCGAAGGAGATTGGCAAACGCTTGTTTGGTCTCCTGCTCAAGGATGATAGAGACTTGAACGCCAGTTTGGCACTCGCGGATTTGGGACTTGATTCCCTGGTCGCTATTGAATTGCGAGCATGGTGGAAACAGGCATTTGGGTTTGGTATTTCGGTGTTGGAGATGCTGGGGATGGGCAATCTGGAGGCGCTTGGGGGACATGTGTCTGAAAGGTTATCACAGATTATTGCGGAAGACAGCAAGAAGGATTGAAGTGTTTTTTGGTACTGACGTCCCGGATAGTATTGCCGACGGCAACAACTCCGCATATTATTAATCTTGTTAGTCTGTAGATTATGATACTTCTCTTTCTTGGAAATGTTGCTGACCAATTGAATTGATACAAGCATCATTGGGTCGGGTGCACGGACAAATAAACTTTTATCATGAATAGATCAAAATGCATCTAAGATAAATGATCTCTGAAAGTAATCAACTACCTAGGTACCTACACATTCTCATAAAAACAATAATCAAATAATTTCAAAGAAATCATCAATTTTAATTACCTACACAAAATAAAATACTCAACTTTTACAAAATTAATCAGTCCACAGACTCATTGAGCTAAAAGATTTACTACAGTACTATTTTCGGTTATTTCAACATTTATATAGTTCCCGGCGAAGCGGACGCCTTTGCCTAGGTATCCGTAGTTTAGTCTCGTGAATATAGTGCAGTATACGGAGTACCTAGGTAATGTAATGTAGTGGAAAGTGGAAAGGAACGATGCTTGTACTACGTACAGTAGATATTAGATGGAAAGGAAAGCTTGGATGGATATTAAATTTGAGAAAGTGCTTGGTTTGGTTTCTTTGTTAATTGTGATGGATAGATGAGGAAGGGAGGGGGAAGGGAGGGAGGTATTGTTCATATGGATGTGTGTACTAGGTATTTTCGGGAATGATATACTTTCTCGTGTAGGAATTATGTTGAAGATTTTCTGATTTTATGGCTGTAAAGATGGATGGTCGAGTAAGTATGTAAATGAGGATTTTCTTTTTTCTTTCTTGATTGGTTGATTATTTGATAGATAAATGATGAGGGATATTTGTAAATTGTACCCTATGTATGTATGTATGCATGTATGTAGTAATGAATGCAGAGGAGGGATTTATTTACTTTCCGTTTTCCGTGTACTGTACTGCACGTACGGAGGAGTATGTATGCATACAGATACAGAGTACATGCATGCAGCTGTAGCGAACCGAACGGTTTAGTTTAGGGGATGTGGATACTAAAATACGGAGAATACGGGGAATATGATTTGGATTTGATGCGTGGGTGTGTAATTATTTGCATTAGAGCTGGTTTTGATGAGATCATGAGGAGATTGATATGGGGAGATGAGGATGTGAGGATATGTGAGGATATGTGAATATGGAAATGGTTTGGCTTATGTGCTTGGTTTAAAGGGGTATATTTAATAATGGGATAAGATTTTGGGGATGGTCATAGCTACTTGGTATTTAATACCTAGTACCTAGTATTTCCTATATTAGGTTAAGCTTACCTGGGTTTGGGGTTGTTGGTTTGAAGGCTTGATATTTTGAAATTTGTGGGATGATGAGGTCAATGTTGTTGAGACCTTGGACCTTGGGATTTGAGACCTTTGGATGTGTATCATGACATGATTCCATCCAACAATCAGTCTGATACGGAATAATGGAAGGAATTTGTGGAATTTATGGAAAGGGATAGTGTCTTCTACCAGCCCTGAATATAAGAGCAGTTTTATTTCGTTGGGGTTGGTAATCTGATCTACCCGCAAACGCTGGCGGCACTTTCTGGTAGTGTAAGTAGTGTAATGACAGAACTTTAAGTTGTATATATGTATGTAATTGTTCCTGGCTAATTGATGAATACGAGCTATCTAGTAGTAGGAGTTGAATGATTGATGAGTTAGACTGATATGTGTACTCTACTCAATTATTGCTTATCAATATATTCTATAAATCAACATGAAATACTAAATCTATCGATAACCCCGTGCTTTCTACAAAAGAATTTACCCCTGGCTTGGATTCAGATTCAGATTCGTGAATTCTCCAAATTCCCCATCAAAATTCCTCCCTGTAGTCCGTCCGTACGTACATTGGTAAGGTTGATCATTCATCAGGAGTTAAAAGCCTCCATTGTCCTACATGACCCCGCCATCTCCTAATTTCTGATTTCTAATTTCCCAATTTTCGAATGTGCTTTTATATTAACTTGTTAGTTACAAGTTGTTACTACATTAACTCGCTACTACATTCTACATTAATAACTCGCTTCGGTTGATATACCAATGTTGCATTCATCCAAGTACTCAACTCATCTAAAATCTAAACTCATCAACTTCTACCACTTTTAAAAGGAGTAATAGAATTAAAAAGAACTGGAAATTATACACAGGGGAATTTCATCAAAGAAAAGAGGCGGCAAAATAATCCCTGAGTTAATCCTTTTTTTTAAATATAAATTCCAACATCATCAAAGTTCCACAGAGCCACAGACAGGAATCCACCTCATCCACTACGGAGTTACGCCAAGGTAAATATGTTTTAGTCCGTAGGGGAAATAGCCAGTAAACAAACACACAGCCTACAGCTTACCTAGTATTATTCATTATTCATATGAGAGAGATGGTGGAAGCCTTGATTCCTCCTTCAATTCTTTCCTTTTCTACCCGTGCGTGCCGTGGATGAATCGGAAGAATTTAAGAATTGGAAGGTGTGATGAGTGCCTAGGAATTTGGTTACTTTTTTTAATATACATATATACATTTATATTTATTACTTGGATTTATTTGATTGCTGTTTTTAAGCCTTTGATCCATATCTTCTCCATCCGAAAGTATACACATAGTATACATACTTACGACGATACAATCAATCCCATACAGTTACGGTGACAGTAACATCAGACCTTCAGCAACTACCTGCCACCCATAGAAGAAACTCTGAAACTTTTATTTGGATTATTTGGACGATTGGACTATTGGACTACAACCTATCTAGAGTTACACTTTTGCTACTCTCTCCCTACTCTTTTCCTACTCTGCTCCAAGCAATACAAAAGTACGAAATACACAGTACGAAAGAGAGAATTGATTTCAGGAGACAAAAAGAATCGATCGACATACATTACATACCTTCATTACATACATCTGACGTTACTTGTTACCTACTCCGTACCACCTACTGCTCTCTTAGCTACTGGTTGTTGTGTCCCTTTCTCGGTTGGGTGATTGACAAGAATCTTGGCCCCTCGTTTCTACCACCACTAACCTTGGAACTTCTTTCACCATGGTTCGAATCCCAATCCCAAAACGCCTCAAAACTTACACCTCCAAATCTGCTTCGCGGACTCCCAGCCCAACTGCAAACTCCAACAACTCCAACAATACCCATAATAATAACAATATGAAAAACAAAACTATGGCAAGGGATTCAAGTCCGGATGGGAATGGTGTCAAAGCCAATGGTTTGATATTGAAAGTGGTGGTTCTTAAGGTATGGATGATGGGGAATCCACTTTTTGTTTCCCAGTTCATGCGAGCTGGCAATCAACTCTCCAGATCTTCGAATGTTGATTCTGATGATGTGTTCAATGAATGACGATACATATACTAACAAATCATTTTTCCATAGGCTAGAAATTTGGCTGCAAAGGATAAGAGCGGGACCTCTGATCCTGTGAGTACATATCTGTTGTTTACGAGCTGAAGGGCATGCAAGCTGACATGTAGATTGTAGTATCTAGTACTCACTCTCGGAGATGAAAAGAGCACGACTCATACGATACAGAAAACTTTGAATCCAGAATGGAATGTGATTTTACAATTACCCGTCACCGGCCCAAACTCTCTACTTCTTGATTGCGTTTGTTGGGATAAGGATAGATTTGGGAAGGATTACCTGGGCGAATTCGACCTTGCACTAGAAGATATATTCTCCAACGATTCTCACGAACAAGAACCGGCATGGTACCCTCTGCGGAGCAAAAGACCTGGTGGAAAGAAGGATAGTAATGTTTCCGGCGATGTCATGCTTCAATTCACTTTATTCGATAGCACGAATCATTCTGCAACCTCTGCCCAGATTCTAGAGAAATTCAGGAGTTTGGTAGGAGTGGAGAGTCCCGGCATGGCGACACCTTTACCAGAACCAGACCCAGGCACCCCCGGCACGGAAATAACAGAGGATGATTATTTCAATGAGGGCACCGAGCCCAGCGACGAAACCGATGATCCATCCAAACCAGAGAATGTCGAAAAACGACGAAAGAGGCTGCGACTTAGGGGATTGAGGAAGAAGAAACATTTGAATGCATATGAGTTCTCCGGTGACAGCGATGTTGTTGGAATTGTGTTCTTGGAAATCGGCAAGGTTACAGATCTTCCTCCGGAACGAAATATGACAAGAACATCATTCGATATGGATCCTTTTGTCGTTGCATCTTTGGGAAAGAAAACATACAGAACAAGGGTTATTCGACACAATTTGAATCCAGTCTTCAATGAGAAGATGATCTTCCAGGTTCTCAGGCATGAGCAAACATATTCTCTTGCGTTCACAGTTATCGATAGAGACAAGTTATCTGGGAATGACTTTATTGCTTCGGCCGTTTTACCAGTTAAGGATATTACCGACACTGCTCCAGAAGCCGATCCGGAAACCGGTCTTTATGCCGTGAGAGATCCTCCTGTTGTGAGTAATTTAGCGGCACAACAACCTCATGCCAAGGGTTCCCGTTTTAAATTACCAATGTCGAGATCTACGTCCTCACAAAGTCTAAACAAGTTGGGACGTCCAATTTTGAAGAAGGAAACATCAAATCAGAGTACAAGTAATGGGGCTGTGTCCGGTAAAAATACTCCAAATCTCGCTCCTACTAGTGCTCCACCCATCAACCCAAGCAGGTCTTTCTCCAAATGATGCTATACTACCGCCTCCAGTTGTTGATACAGAAGAATCATGCGAGCAATCTGGAGATCCCGATTTACATTCATTCGAGGTTCCTTTAAAACTCAAAAATGCCGAAAAGTGAGAAGAGAAACATAGCCCAGTCTTGTATATCAACGCTAAATATGTCCCTTACCCAGCTTTACGTCAGCAATTCTGGAGAGCCATGCTCAAACAATACGATAGTGACGAGAGTGGTTCTATCAGTAAGGTGGAGCTCACAACTATGTTGGATACCCTCGGCTCGACCTTGAAAGAGTCCACTATTGATGGTTTCTTCAAGCGCTTCCAGTCGCCAAATGCGGATGGACAGTGGTCAGAGTTGACGGTTGATCAAGCTGTTATTTGCTTAGAGGATCAATTACAGCAAAAGCAGTCGCCGAAGGAGAGTCACCTCGTAGATAAGATGAAGAATTTGATGCCCGATACTCCAGCAGTCATACAAGTTACACCTGATCCTTCAGATACCACATTAAATCAATCCCAATCGGAGTATTCTGATACTCAATTTCCATCAACAAATTCTGTCGATCAGATAGGCACTCCTGGAGAAGAGGGAGAAATGTTAGACTCAGATGATCTCAACAATGAGTCTGAGGAGCACGTGGTTGAGATTAGAGAATGTCCCATTTGTCATCAACCTCGTCTTAACAAACGTTCTGATGCTGATATCATTACTCATATTGCTACCTGCGCTAGTCAAGATTGGCGTCAAGTCGATAATCTTGTCATGGCTGGATTCGTCACATCTAGTCAAGCTCAGCGTAAATGGTACTCTAAGGTCATCACAAAGATCTCTTATGGTGGTTACAAACTTGGCGCAAATTCTGCCAATATTCTTGTTCAAGATCGTATCACTGGACAAATTAATGAAGAGAGAATGAGTGTTTATGTTCGTTTGGGAATTAGACTGCTATATAAAGGATTAAAATCTAAGGAGATGGAAAAGAAGAGAAGTATGCTTGGATTTTATTACATATTTAGTGAGAAACCTAGTAGAACAATTGCTAATTTAAATCCAGTTCGCAAGCTTCTTAAAGGCTTGAGTATCAAACAGGGTATCAAGTATGATGATCCTGCTTCAGCAGCGGAAATTCAAAAGTTCATTAATTTCCATCGATTGGATATGAGTGAAGTTTTGCTTCCATTGGAGCAATTTCAGAGTTTTAATGAATTCTTTTATCGTCAACTCAAACCAGGTGCACGACCATGTTCGGCACCAGATAATCCTCGCATCATTGTTTCACCTGCTGATTGTAGATCAGTCGTCTTCAATAGAATGGATGAAGCTACCAAGATTTGGGTTAAAGGTCGCGAATTTTCCATTGATAGACTTCTCGGCAATGCATATCCAGAAGATGCAAAACGATATACGAATGGTTCTTTAGGTGTCTTTCGTCTTGCCCCGCAAGATTATCATCGTTTCCATATTCCAGTTGATGGTGTTATGGGTACTCCAAAAACCATTGAAGGAGAATATTATACTGTCAATCCTATGGCTATTCGATCTGCACTTGATGTGTATGGAGAGAATGTTCGTGTTGTCATTCCTATTGATTCTTTAGAACATGGAAGAGTCATGGTTATTTGTGTAGGTGCCATGATGGTTGGAAGTACAGTTATCACTCGTAAAGCCGGCGAAAATGTTAAACGTGCTGAAGAACTCGGATACTTCAAATTTGGTGGTAGTACTATTCTACTCTTGTTTGAAGAAGGTGCTATGAGATATGATGATGATTTGGTGGGAAATTCTAGTCAAGCATTGGAGACTTTGGTAAGTTATTATATGTTCCTGGTGAAGTTTAGAGGAGAATACTAATGGTTGATCGATCAATAGATTCGTGTTGGTATGTCAATTGGTCATCATCCAACTCAAGGTCAACATACACCAGATATGCGTAAGAATGAAGAAGATATTACGGAATCTGAAAAGGCAGAGGCAAAGAGGAGAATTGAGGGTAGTATTTCGACTCAAGGTGGGCATATACCACCAAAGGCTAGTTTGGCGGGGTAAATTTGAGTTGGAAATAGGTGAAAGTGATGGAGTAAGCGTGATAGAAGTGGAAGGGAAGAGGAGAGAAGACAAGTGGGGGGCCGTGCGGTGGTGAGGTGCGGAAATGAAATATTCAGGGAACAGGCGACATTGAAGTGCTCAGTCGATTTTAAAACTTTTCGTAAAGATGGCGTTTTTCCTTGATATTGCTGGACTTTGTCAGGTTTGCTTGCGGTGGAGAAATGATTTGTATGGGATGTTAGATATAAATGCTTGGATGGTTTTGGTGGAGATGCTGAGCTGGGATATCATGTAGATGATTATGTGGGTTGGGGATAGGATGGGGATGGAGTATGGATGCATGGGGTAAGGATGGATGGGGTAGGGAAGGGAATGGGATAGGGATGGGGATGGGGATATTAAAATATTATAAGATGTTCATCGATGCGATGTTTTATAGGATATATGTGGTGGGATGGAGGGAGTGAGGAAGAAAGGAAGAAAGGAAGGGAGGGAGGGAGGGAGGGATGGAGGGGATGAGGAGGGAATTATGAGTGATGGTGAGATTGAGATGGTGGATACTGGGTTGTGGGTAGGTAGTGAGTAGTGGGTAGACAGTAGAAGATAGTAAGCGAAGATTTAAGATTTATTAATATGTTCTTGAGTTTTTGTGTGAGATGAGATGAAATGAAATGAAATGAATTAAATGTCACAATAAAGTTTCATTATTATTTTTATTTTATTTTCTTTTTTCAAGCAAAATTAATAAGTCTCCGCATACATATATTAATTAATTAATCATTATACCGCTACTCGCCGCTACTCGACGAATATTACGTCACGCTAAGGTTCTATCAAACCTCTAATACTAATAATAATAACACAAAAAATAGCCCCCCTTCTAAACCTACACCTAAACCTAAACCTAAACCTAAACCGCCGACTCACCACTAAGCCCCGTCCCCACCCTCGAATCCTTCTCCCTCTCCCTCTCCTTCTCCCTCAACACCACCGACCCCATCGTCGAGGCCGCCCCCAACCCACCCATCTCGACAACCTTCTCCCCAATCGACAACCTCCCCACCGAACCACTCGACTTCGCAAACGTAAAAAACCCCTGTCTCAACCCTAATTTCCTCTCCCTCTCCTCCTCTTCCCCACCATACCCTTGTCCCTCTTCCCGTTCAAATAATCCCCAATACCGCTTAATTCCCTTCCAAGCCTCTATACCCAAAACAAAGAGAAAAACCGCTCCGATTGCAAGAGCCCATTCCCAGGATATACCGACGTGTTTAAAGACGGAGGTGTTGAGGCCGGGGATGTAGACTGCGGGGAAGACGGAGAGGGCGCCGATTACGACGGCCCAGAAGAGGAAGGGGTTGGAGTAGAGATCCTTGAATATGTAAATGGGGAAGGGGGATTGAGGTTGGGAATGAGATGAGGGGTCGAGAGAAAAGAGGCTGCGACGGATGGATTTGAATTCCCATGCGGAAATGAGGATGAGCCAGGTTAGTTCTGCGAAGACGGCTGCGCGGGCGCGGAAGACGGGCCCGCACGTGGGATTGTAGCTGCGGTTGCAGTCCTGGCCGAGATTTCCGTTGTTGACGCCGTAGATGATGATTACGAATGTGAGGAGGGTGCAGGTTCCCATGAGGATACCGTAGACGATCATATCGACGAGGATTTGGTTAGTGAAAACACCTCGTTTGTTATCATGCGGTGGACGTTTCATAACAGTCGAACTGGCTTTTTCTTTTCCCAATCCGAAAGCGGGGAAACTGGATGTAAGCATATTGATCCAAAGGATTTGCAATGGACTTAATGGAAAGACGGATTGGTTGTTCACATCTTGGAATCCTAGGCCGGCGATAAGTAAGATGACTTCGCCTACGTTGGATGAGAGGAGATGCAGGACGAATTTCTGGATATTGTCAAACATGCGACGACCTTCGCGGATAGCGGCTACGATACTATTGAATTTATCGTCGAGAAGTACAATCTTCGATGCGGATTTGGCGACGTCTGAACCGGCGATACCCATTGCGATACCAACATCTGCTTCAGAAAGACTCGGCGCATCGTTTACCCCGTCACCTGTCATAGCCATATAGAGACCTCTTCGTCTCAAAGCATGAATCATCCGTGTTTTAGTATCTGGAGCGCAACGAGCGAGCACTAGAGGAAGAGTAGGTAGTGCATCAATTTGCTCGTTAGTGAGATGATCAAATTCCGTAGCTTTCATAACGACAGATGCAGAAACATCAGCAGATAAAGTACCAAGATTTCTCGGGATAATACCAATTTCCTGTGCGATTGCTTTGGCAGTAGAAGGATGATCACCTGTAAGCATATGAACTTTAATTCCAGCTTGAGTGCATTCCCTGATGGCATCTTTGGTTTCGTCACGAGGTGGATCATATATTCCAACTAGACCCAGAAGCGTAAGATCTTGTTCCACTTCAATGCGTACATTTTCGTCGTCGCGAATTTTGTCTTCCGATGAGGTATTCCCAATCCATGGCTTAGCTGCCACAGCGAGGACTCGCTGGCCTTGCTCAGCAAATTTATTCATTTGTTGATTGATTTCCTTCTTCAATTCATCCGTCATTATCTCATTTGTATCTCCACTTCCAACAGAGGTACAAAGATCCAATATCCTTTCGACAGCTCCTTTTGTGAAAACCATACGCTCCCCATCTGGTCGTTGATAAATCACGGACATTCGCTTAATGCTACTATCGAATGGGAATTCGGCGACTTGTTTCCATCCTTTATTTTCAAGAACTCTCTTTCCAGAATCAAATCGATGAGCGAATACCTGCAGCGCAATTTCTGTTGGCTCTCCAGTTGTTTTCCATTTTCTTGTCATCTCACCCTCCACAACTTCATTTTTGACAGTAGCAAGGTTGCACAGTGCGGCAGATTGAAGAAAACTCTCGAGTTCTGGTATAAGTTCAGCTGGTTCTTCATTTTTCGATGATGAACTCTTGTTTTGATCTCTAGCAGCCTTTTCAACTGGAATATCAAATTTTAATGCAGCTGCACTTCGTTGATTATCGAAATCTATGACAGTATTCTCGCTAGAAGATGGAGTTTGAGTACCCTCGGATGTAAGTGCTGCTTTAGTGACGGTACCTTCTGTAGGATTGTTGGGGTCCATGGAGTTATTCACGGTATAAATTCCAACTTTGGGAAGCCATACTTTCTTAACAATCATGGCTCCTTGAGTAAGTGTGCCAGTTTTATCAGAGCAGATATTTGTTACTCCACCAAGTGCTTCGAGTGCTGAGAGATCTCGGACGACAACGTTGGCTTTACGCATAACGGTCATACCGACAACCATTGTAATTGTCAAAACCCTGAGATGATGTTAGACATTGTGGTCCAAATGAGTAAAAAAGGGGCGCTTACGCGATCAAAGATTCGGGAATAATAGCAATACCTGTGGAAATAGCATAAATAGCTACTTCATCAGTAACATTGAACCTGTTCACACCAAAAACCACAATTGCTAGTAAGATAGCACATCCGAAGAGGAGATACGCAACCTTGCTTAACTTCCTTTGCAATGGAGTACCTTCAGTAAGTCCTAAAAACTTTCCAATAAAATCGTAAGTACGTCTAGCAGCTCCCTTAACTGGCTGTATTTTTCCATATTTCTTATAGTTCATCGATCGTCCGTCCTTGCGCTGTTTCTTCGTAGTCGAAGCCGCAATCTTTCCAACTTCAGTCTGCATACCCGTAAATACGACAATACCCCTTCCGCGACCTTTGATAACCGTCGTGGTAGAATATGCCATATTGTTACGATCGGCAATGCCAACTTGTTCTTCAGTTGTCGCTCTCTCTTCGGTCCCCGGCACAAAAATTTCATTCGAAGTAATCTTCTCCACTGGTTCAGATTCACCCGTCAAACTCTTTTCCTCACACGTTAAATTCATCGCTTCGAAAATGCGCAGATCTGCCGGTACGGTATCGCCCATTTTCAGGAGTACGATATCACCTGGCACAACTTCCGGACTTGGAACCACAATCACCGATCCATCCCTTAATACCGAGGCTGATGGAGAAGAAAGCGCTCTCAGCGAATCCATTTTTTTCTCTGCGCTAAATTCTTGGAAGAATCCAATAAGGACATTCAACGTAATGACGGCAACCAAAACTCCTCCTTCGATGTAATCACTTACGCCGAAACTAAGCGCCATAGCGAATACGAGAACGAGGATCATGGCATTGGAAATTTGTTTGAGAAGGATTTTATACCAGGATATGGAACCGCCAGTATTGAGTTCATTCGGGGGATGCGACGCTTGAATGGTTTGGACTTGTCGCGCTGTGAGACCCGTTTCGAGGTTGGTAGAAAGTTGAGAGGCTGCATCTTCGGGAGTAAGGAGGAATGCATGCGGTTGAGTGGTATAGGAAGGTTTCTCTTGCGACGCCATTGTAGATGCGCTGGTCTAAACAATGTATGGGTGTATGTTAATTGTACGTATACTGTATATGTGTAAGGGTGTATTGTATATGTGATATGTGTATGTCAAACAAAAGAATGTCGTGATCTATTCCTAATCAAGGGAATAGTAGGGAATCTAATGATGATAATAAAGATATCTAGCGAATATACCAAAGGTAAACCCCAAGACAAAACGCGGGGTAACACATTCTTATATATTCCTTCCCGAAAACCCAAAAGGTCGTTCTTGCCTGCCGAATTGGCATACAGCTATCCTTAAGTCATACAAAAACCACAATGGTGGAATAGCCAAGAGCTTTCGAGTCACATACTCATAGATAAACATGTCAAAATAAAAGCCATGAGCTCATGAGCTCATGGCGCTTTCTTAGCTCTAGACGTACAATCTCTTTGTATGGATAGCATCATAGAAATCCAAGCGCCAAGGATTCTTGGCTTAGGTCGTGTTTAACTTGATTTGGCTTGGCCCTCCCCGCCTCAGACAATCCGCTCGGAAACCGCTCGGAAACGGAGTGGAAAGTTGTAAGGAAAGAAGGGGACGAGAGTTCATTGGATGATAATGCATCATGTGACCACGTGTCCTACGTGCTGAGCCTTTGTTTGGTGGCGGGGTTGTCTTTTGTGGTGGACTTGGCTGAATCTGACGAATTAAATTTTGGTTTGGATTCTTGCGGTTCTTGGCAGTGATGAATGCGTGGTGCCGATTTCCGCTGAGGAATGAGACTTCTCGTCCTACAGCGGAAAATTTGGCATTTGAAAACGGTTGATTGGTAATGACGCCATAGCGGTAAGAGTCTTTCTTTCCTGCAATTGTCGGTTGATTGTGGCCACGGCTGTAAAGGAGTCGAATCTTCAGCGGGAAGGAATGAATGAATAAATATATCACGGCTGAAAGGATAAGACGAGATGATATAGAGACAAGATCAGATCCGATGAGGAAAGGAGCCTGCACTGTATATGTATATCTCTATAGATGTTTAAATAAGGTGGTATTAATCCAGAGACGCTACTACTTAGGATCTCACGTGACTTACTAGCGGGAAATGCTTATAAGCGGTCACGTAATAGAACTTCAATCTGGTGAAAGCTCACATAATGAACTTCAACGATACAGAGGACCTTAAGAGGGAAGACCTAGGCTTTAATATACGTGTACCTATATACCTGCATACCTATACAAACATTTATTTGTAAAAGCTAGAAAAATACACTTATACATCGCGGGTTCATAATGCTAAATTGTTGGCCCACAACTCGTCTCAGGAACTTCTTACTAAGCTGGGTCTTTTACATTCCCCCAAGTGAGGTTACCCGTTAACGAACTTCTTATAGAACTAAACAGCATGTTTATCCTGTTTCCGAGCTCTCCGTCGGAGATTCCCCAGACCTCTTTTCGCAGTTTGCGTACCCGTTGATGTTTCGCTAGCTTTACTGGCAATATTATTTCGCGGTCGAAACTTTCCCGAAAGAGCGTCTACATTCCATGCCAAAATAACATTCGGGATGGAGACAAGTGCCGTCGCACCAACTACTCATTATATTAGCAGTTGGAATGCCTCCACTTCAGGACGTACTTACAGAGAACGGGGAATAACCACCATGCTTTGTACTTTACGCTTCCAGATTCATGGGGAAAGTCAGATACGTCTAGTGCGAAGAGAGACGTGAGAAATGATAGAGGAAGCTTAATTGGTAAGTATGATCATTAGCAATGCTTCTAACCTTTTCTCCCTAGTATTGCTAATGGAGACTTACAAGAATAATAGTGATGATAGTGAAGATAAAGATAATGTTGGATTGTTTCGCGGAGTCGTAAGCTTGTAATCGACCGAATTCCGCCTGTCGCAAATCGAGAAGGTTGTTGATCTTAGTTCTAATTTAGCTGAAAATATAAACTATCCTTTTAACGGGTAATACTGACATAGTTTTCGGTTTTGTCAGCTTCAGAGAGAATTTTTTCTAGATCCTTTTTAATATCGGTAGGCGTGTGAACGTTTAAGTTCATCAAATCATTGGTCGCAAAAGCCTGCTTCCAAACAAATTCTTGATCCTCCGCTAAAGAACTTAGCATATGAAGTTCATCACGAATATCTCGTATCATGTCAAGAAGTTCGGTCTCAGATGAGATAACATGATATCGATTTAAAGATGCCGGTCTAGTCGCTAGCGAATTGGGGTCGACCTCCTTATCCGGAAGTTGTCCCTTTTGTTTTTCTGCTTCTTGTAGACCCCGAAGGAAATCTCTGAACAGGGAATTTCTTTGTCGGCCTACCACATTAGATTAGTTGGAACTATTAACATTCTCCCACGGAAGTGCACTACAGACCACATCCCTGATTGACTCTCGAAATATCTCAATTGGCCTCTTCGATTTTTCGTTGGGAATTTCCACAGAAGGACCCATGAAAGATCCGGTCGCGACCCCAAGTAGAAGCTCCATAACGGAATGCGTAATTGTAGCGCGTTCAAACCGGCCTTTGGCCTCGCCGTAAAGTATGTTATTTAGTGCAGTTTGAAGGAGGCCGCCTGAGGATTTTTGATCAAGTTGAAGACTTTTCGAGGAGCTCTGATTGAACTTTTCTGATGTGGCCGTAATGATTGTTTCTGAACATAAGTTAATTGCGCGATGTTCAAATTTATGCTGGCATTATCAATCATATTCTCGTCAATAATCCAAATCCAAAGCTGATTTACTATGAGAATCTTCTTCTTGGTCATTGTGCCTTGGGTGGTTGTTAGTTCAAACACCATCATTGCTTTAGTACTTAACTTACCAAGTTGCTTAACGCCTTCAGGTTGTTTGCGTTTACTCTGTAAGAATTTTGACAGTACCTGATCATTGTCTCTAGCAGAGGTATTGAGAATAGTTGGGTAGTAATACTGGTCAAGGGTTATGGGCTCATGTGTAACTTCTCTCGAGCTGCGTTCTTCGGTAGATCTGACAAAATCTATGTGGTTTGCAGTGGTGACAGATTTATCCTCTCAGGGAATATAGGTCCCTATAGTAAGATATGGCATCTATTAACGATAATGGTAAATATCTTGCATCGTTATCTAAAGAAGAATTTTTGCAGCTACATACATAGAGTGCCGTGCAAGAGCCAGTGCTGGATTCTCTTGGTACTTGATTGCCACCTGACTCACCGGCCAAATTTTTGGTATCATTTTCCTGCTTGCGCTACGAAGGAAAAGATGGTGAGCTCTCAATACCGTTATGAATGTAGTTCTGCAATACGTACCACAAATCGAGGTTTCATATAATAGCGTCCAGCGCCAGCTGCTAATGCCGTCCAGCTTCTGTTAAAGTGTTTCATTATAGCCATATATTCTGTCTCCGAACGCTTTGAATCATGCGATAGCCGACTCACGAGGTCCTCAGAGAGATATTATAAGAGGTTTGTGGTAATAAAAAAAAACGGTAATTTATAAGACTTACTTGCATCAAATGTAACTATCGATTGTTCATTTTATCAGCACTCTTCGAGAGCTAGTGGTCTATAGGAATGAAAATTCTTACCTGATTGACTTGGAGATGAATCCAACGAAGACGGAGGTCACGGGGAGTGTCACCCGAAGGTTCTTCATTGTCATATTTGTCATGCTCAGATGATGGGGAATCCATCAGAGAACTAGAGCACCGAGCTCCAGTACCGTCTGAACAAGAAACGTAGATTCTCTTGCCTTGCTCATTACGAGTCTGTCTCAAAGCCTTCTTCAATGAATCTAAGTCCCTTTGGCGCAAATCTTTTCTGACTTTCCTCATTGTAGTCTCTGGACCCTCTCCATAAATTATATCGTAAACACTGGGCTTAGCGTATGGAATTTTAATAGTTTGACCGCCAGAAATAATGTCTACAATGCTCCCTAAATCATAGATCTTGTCTCCATTTTTTGAAGATCTATGTATGTGATTTTTTTTCGGGTTTGCAACATGATCAAGAGCCGGTGGTGGGTTCAGGAGTAATTTCTGAACGTGATATTGGATATCAGGGGATTCACGTGTGTCTGGTACAAGTTTTAAGGCGCTCTTTACGTCATCGGGAGAGTATCCATTCTTTGACAATAACCACCACACCACAACGGCTTGAGATCCATAGACTGCCCAATGGAGAGTTGTAAAGTGTTCTGAATTTTGGACACCTTCCTTGTGTAGAAATTCTCCCAAGATGGTTTCATGCCCAGGCTTTTCGTATATTGCTAGTAACTCGAGGATCCGATCTGCAACAGCTGGATATGAGTCTACGAAACTGTTGCCAGAGGTGTGAAGTTGTCTAATTTTAGACCAATACTCCTCCTCCAGTTGATGATGCCCTCGATCAATACATATAGTCAAAGGTGAGTCGCCCAGACTATTTTGCTGTAGGATAAACTTAACTTTAGCCCATCCCTCTGGTCGATCTGGCTTGTCTTGTTGATTCGTCATTCTATCAAGTAGAAGCCGCGTGACTTCAAGCTTACCGCTTTTGGAGGCTATGTGAAACCAACTAGCCCCTTCTCGGGTCCATTGAAGTACTTGCTGATCGTGATCAATACACTTAGCAGCCAGTTTGATAGCACCATTAGACACTGCCCAATACATGAGGATGTGAAGCTGCTCGAGTGTCTTATATTTACCGCTTTCGAAGCCCTTCAGCAGTTCAGTCTTAAGTTCCGGAACATCGGCAGCGCGCTCCATATAATGGAATTTTTGTGATGGATCTTGGGGGTAGTATTCTTGTGCAGCTAAGACTTCGATCGCAGTTTCAACGTTTCTATTTATATTAATAGCGACTTGAACAGGTGTTTTTCCTTCGTTAGTACGAATTATGGCGTTCGCACCATTTTTTACGAGTAGCTTGACATTTTCCACACGGTCATAAAGAACGGCTAATGTCAGGGCGGTCAATCCATGATGACTCGCTATTGTGGTATCGGCATTATGTTGCAAGAGCACTTCGGCGATTCGACTATCTTCCTTACCACAAGCTTCCATTAGAGCAGTACCATTTTCTTCAGATCCAATCAGGTTGACATCGGCACCAAGCTCAAGAAGGAACTCGACATGTTTGAGCTTTTGCGTCATAGAGGCAGAGTACAGAGGTGAAAAACCATGAATGTTGGGCTGGTTGATATTTCCGCCTCCACCAATCAGTTCTCGGACGATAATTTTGGAGTCGTTTGTAAGTTCCCGGCTACAATCTACTACTTGGTGAAAACAGGTACTTTTATCAGATGTAACATCTGAAATCAGTGCACCTTTTTTTCTGAGCAGGTCGAAGCTTCCTATATGCGAATTCAAACATGCAATTAGAATAGGGGTGAGAGAATAATTGTTTCTCTTGTGAATATCTGCTCCTCTATAATCAAGAAGCACACGAGCGGTGTTGATGTATCCACTCACACACACCATTAATAATGGAGTCTCCCCAAATTCTCCTCCTACCTGATTGATTGCTGCTCCCAGATTTAACAACCATTTTGCAATTTCGGGATGATCGTTCGCACATGCTAGATGCAATGGTGCATCGTTATGATCGTTCGCCTGGTTCATCTGCTCTCGTGAACCTCGTTGATAAAGAAGCTGTAGAGTCTCGAGATGACCATTTTGGGAAGCATGGTGAAATGCCGTATTGCCATCATTGTCCTGCAAGCTAGAATCGGCGCGTGCCTCCAAAATACGGGCAACGATATGTTTTCTGCCATTTATGGATGCAAAATGTAACGGGGTAAGAAAGAGCGGTGGCCCTGTCTGATCTACTCTAGCATTTCGATCTAGAAGAAAATTGACGATCGAAAGCTCACTAAATACTGAGGGCAGAGCCAATGGAGTGACTTTGAGCGTCTCAGTTTTACCATACTGTGTGAACTCGTATTCCAAAAGTGTCTCAACTAGATCATCTCTGGAGCCCAAAAGCCTCTTTACATCATCAAAGCAGTTGTTCCGGATTGCATTCTCGAGTTGCTTCGCTATGGAATCTACTGAATCAAAGGAAGGCCTATGGGGCGAGGAATCACTAATGCCTGTCATTGTCGCCGCTGTCATTGTTGCCGCTGTCATTGTCGTCGCTGTCATTGTCGTCGCTGTCATTGTCGTCGCTGTCATTGTCGTCGCTGTCATTGTCGCCGCTGTCATTGTAATCGCTGTCATTATCGCCGCTGTCACTATCGCCGCTGTCATTATCATCGCTTCCACTGTCAGCATCATCAGTGAGCTCTGCTGTTGATAAATTGTCGTCGTGTGGTGTATCTATGGTTTCCATAATAATCGGAAGTGCCTTTGGTGCTGGTAGTACGAAGCGTAGAAGATTATGTAGATCGTGAAATGAGGATTTGGGGGAGAGTGTTATCCACGACGGAATGCGAGAACGTCCGAAAGGCGTATTTAGTCCATGCCGATTCTAAGACGCGATGTGCTACAACTCCTGCAACTTCCTCTATACTCAGGAGGGTGTATGTGCATGAGCTGAAAGAAGTCTATCTGTCAGTCTACGTCCACCCAGGTTGATCAATATTTACGAAATATCGACCTAAATCCGCACAATTGCATCGGAAATGAGACAAAATTGCAAGGGCATATGTTGGGTTTATTGAGACCAGAAAGAGCATCAGATTGAATTGATTGATTTTCTAGCTAAGCAGTTAAGCTGCGAGTATATATTCAAAAAAATGAAGGAATAAGGTTAGGTATTCAGCCTTCGGAATTAAAGTGCTTTGAAATCAAAATATTGAAAGCAAACAAACAGTATACCGAAAAGGAAAGAATAAATTAAAAGTTGAGTTTTGTTTGCTCCTTATATGCATCATGCAATATATATGCATATGCTGCCAAGATCCCAGGAGGTCAACAGCATAACCTTGTTTTACCATGTGAGTCTAGTATCCCACTTTTGGACCATTCTTTTACATCAAAAATTGTTAAAAGGAATGACCTTACACAGGGAATAGTGGGAAGCTGATAGGGTAGAACTGAGGTAGTATTGGTCTAGTATATTAATCACTCTACTAAGTTCTACGGAAGTGCGAAGCTCTCCTACAGAGAGCTTCTCAATCTAGTCCTAATAGGACTAGTGCCCTGTGCACGTGCTACGCAGGAACCATTCATTTGAATTGCATCATTGTCATTACTTAAGTCCCTGCTTGACGCCTAGTTATAAACCACCTCGAGAGCCTAGAGCACTTCCACGTGATCTAGACGGCAAACCTCGTAACATTATATATATATAATTTTATATAAAATAAAATATAAATATCAATAAAAGATTAATCATCAATCATTTTTCAAGCTGGATTAATGTGACGGAAATCCCTGCTTTCCTCCCACCCTTATTATATAAGAAACCTCAGGTACATTAACCATGTCCACACATGATACGATTACTCGAGATTAGTATGCGATTTAGGTGACCTGAGGATCAGATCCGGACAAGTACTAGGTATCAATGGTTATCGGTAAAGTAATATCATTGGAGGAATAAATATGACTTCTTTTTGCCTAGCCATTGCGGCTAGGCCATTCATTTGTGTATATATAGAGTAGCTATCCCCATCTACAGGTGCTCTTCACCTGTAGATTCTAAGTTAAATACAATTGCTGGTCTATAAACACTCTTTTGGTCACAATTAATCTATTTCATTAATATAATACAAATATTTAAAAAATATTTATGATTTATTTTTAGTAATTCTTTTTGAAAGTTATTTTAGATTTTAAAGTTTTCTAAATTTGTATTCAAATACTATACAAATTGAGAATTCAAAATTCAACCATTAATATTTCAATCAGTAAAATTATGAAAAATCTGAAATTGTCAGAATTTATATACATTTATATTTTAAATTCATAATTGAAGTTTTATTTGATTTAATTCATTTGTTATGGAATTATTAATAGATGAAAATCGTTTATTTTGGTGTAAAAGGGTGGTCCAAAAGTAGGGCTCTAGACTTAACTGTATATGGAAGCAAATGGACCTCAATATCCTAATCTCCCTCTAAAAAAACTATCTATGCTCCGCCATAGACTAGCCTTCACAGACCCCAATTACTTATCAAATAATACCCACTGCAATCTCATCCAATAAAAGCACCTGGGAACAGATACCGATGTCAAATTGTTATCTCTTTCCTCGAACCAAGTCAAGTAATTAAGTAGGTAGCCCAAGACAACGTTCCGGTAAATAGTTCAAGGCTACGAAGGTCTACATCAGAAACTACGGTGATTTTGAGGTCAGGTTGATACAAGGAGATCATATGGATCGCGGTACCTTTTGCGTAAGTAAGGTTAGTGATTACTAGTAGCGAGACAAGAAGGTGAATTCGGTAAAGATAAATAATAGGCGCCAACATGGTCGACGTGGTTTTCATGGTCTTGTGTTTTCGATATTATGAGTTACCCTCTTCGTCATTCGCCTAAATACTTCTTATTTCATGGCGGACTTTGGTTACTCTTCTGAATGGTGCATGGAACTGCTTGTCGACGTCGGATAGAATTTTACAGGTTATACAGCTGTAGAATATTCGGTAGTCGGGCCTTACTCTTGGTGTGTATTCGTTTGGTGAATATAACTTCGTGAAGTCTAAGCTTGGCCCGTCTCCGAACCTTTAGGAGTCCGTGAATGTTTTGAAACGGGTTTTGCTGGAGTTATAATTACGATAATAGTAACTATTAGCATAGAAGTCATGACTAGCCGCAAGTCTAGAGATGGTGAGGGCCCTTGATCATTATGCATATAATTCACATCTGTAGCCTGAATAAACTAGAGACAAGATTACACCAACAAACCGAGTATAAATTATGATATGATAGGGTTTCACTAATGAGGTGGTACCGACCCTGGTCAGTGGATTCACAGATTAGAATCTTGCAAGAACTTACTCGAAGCTCACAATGGATGATGAATGCATGGAGATTACGTCGACCTTATTCTACTAAGAGATTCAAAGACAGATATCAGGTTACAATAGCTTTCTCTATTCACCCTTCGGATGCAAGAGAATATCGTCTCGGTACAACGCCAAGGGGGATATTCAAAGAATTCGAACTGTTAGATCGTAGTAAGAATTCCCATTTCACTTGCTATAGTCTAGCAATCACCTTTACCTCCCTCACTACATCCACAATCATTCTATAAATCTAGTTTCCTCAAATTCCTTTTGCCTCTATATCCGAAACGAACGAGTTGAAACCTATACCTTCATTTGGTCTGAACAACTTTCGGCTTTATCTTTAACAAATTCATTTTTTCATACACGAACCTTGCCTGAATTGCAAAGTCTTACAATTGCAGAGTCAACTACCATCGGATCGTCTGCAGCATTTTCTGGCCCATATGATTACAATATTGAAGGAAAGAGTTGGAAAGGCAAAATCGTTAAATTATTAGCATCAAGAGAAGAGATCTAACTACATACCCCACTTTCGGACGGTTACAGTATGGAAGAGAAAAATCTGTAATAATAACCTATAGGAAGTCTCTACTTCAGATTTTTTACCTCTTCAAACTCAAAACTTGCGATGATTAGCAGGCATCATCTTCAAAAGAAGCGGCATTTGCTGCGTGTCCACGGGTTTACGGGTGGGTGAATAAAAATGAATCGGAAACTTACGAAGTACTTGCTGATTAAACCATGTCAAATTCTACATACCATGCATAAGTGAGGCTCTAAAGAACAAATGGAAAATTACTGCGAAAGGAAACGCGGCAGGAGGACTGAATCAATAAGGTAACTATAACTATAACCAAAAGGCGACTGGGTCAATCGAAACAATCGAATCAGGAAGTGACGCTCGAGTCCTCAACAAACTTTCCCACCTGCCAATTCAGCTGTTAACTCACCTATCTCGCTCCCACCTGTCGATCTACCCACCAACTCAATCCATCTATGAGCCTGGCCATCCCGCCTCCGCTTCAAGTCTTCAACCCACTTCTGAAACACCTGCAGCCAATGACGCAATCAGCCACCAGAACACATTACTACTACGGACAGGAATCGGAAGAAAGCTAGCCAATCTAGCCAAGGTTTAGACTGAAGTACTAAAGTGCCATGATGTAGACGAAGACTTTGAAAGCGAGCTAAAAAAAAAAAAAAGGCTAATATTAGTTGCCACGTGCCATTGAGACATGCGCAATCCTCCCAAGCCAACGCCTTTGTGTAACCATCGCCACCATGGAGTTCTTTCGATATCTATGAGTAAGATAACATCCTTATTCAGGAGCTAATGGGTTTTGTCAGTGTGAATAACCTCAATACTTCATCACTATGAATTTCTCCACTTTCTATGCACTGGAGATTTACCACAGCTAATGAAGTACTTGTAAAGAAGCGAAAAGGACTGGCTATCGCAACACCACCTAAATTCACCACCCAAATTCAACTGCAAACTAGTAATATAACCGGTCTAAAATGAGAGTAGTAATGTGGTAACCTTTGATTGATGAACTAACCATCGAAACTGCTGATATCACTAGTATCAGAGGAAAATTCCAAAGTGGTCCAAGGCCCCAAGAATCAATACATCGCCAACGAACCTGTAGAACGTCTCTCGCCACTGTTTGCCAACCGAAAGCTATTTTTGATCTCTTTTAACTTTGCCAACCAGATTATCTATCCTCGAGAGAACGATGTAAAAGCAGCTTAGAAACGTTTACAAGGGTACACCGACAAATCGACAAAAGATCTCGATTTCGTTCCACTAGAAACAAACTGTTGACCTCCTGGGATCTTGGCAGCATATGCATATAAGGAGCAAACAAAACTCAACTTTTAATTCATTCTTTCCTTTTTGGTATACTGTTTGTTTGCTTTCAATATTTTGATTTCAAAGCACTTTAATTCCAAAGGCCGAATACCCAACCTATTCCTTCATTTTTTGAATATATGCTCGCAGCTTAACTGCTTAGCTAGAGAATCAATCAATTCAATCTGATGCTCTTTCTAGTCTCAAGAAACCCAACACAAACTCTCTGACATCTGTTGTCTTCGAAAATACAACATTCGCTAACACTCGAGATCTCTTCACAAATTAGCAACGTCATTACACTAACGACAAGGACAATAACGCTAATAGCAGAGTTATATGAAATGGATTTCGGATGCGATGTTAGCACTGTAATCAAATTAAAGGAACAATCAACAGGATATTAAATAGCATAACCGATACCCTTAATCATCTACGCAGATTCAAGATCTCTCTATGACTGCCTAGTCAAGCTAGAGGCTGTTTGGCCCGGGTATGACAATCAATCCTTCCACAAAATCTTTTTTGGGCTATAGAATTATGATCCAATTGCAAGGAGGTTTTTATAAAATGGTGTTATCTCTATTATTTCCAGGGGTGATGAAGCGGGCTACTTGTGTGTAGGCGGTGCAGAACTCCGCCGGCTCCGCGGGTGGCTTTTGTAGTCTTGTAGAAGTTCCCGGTCCTCCGGTAGTTATTGCCCCTTACCCCACATTCCGGCTACCCCTCATTCTAGTCATAAATTTACGAAGAATTAATAACTTTTGATACTTTAATAAAAAATAACAACTTGTGATATATATTGATATCATGTTAAAGTTAGTAGTTTAGCTTTGAACTGATATAGTACTTTCAGTGTAATGAATTAGACTCAAAAATTAAAATATATTAATAATATAAAACTTATCAAAAGGTAATATAATTTTAATGATAATTAATAGATCTATATCTTTAAGAATATAATACTTAATATCTTTACATTTGATATTTAATATTATTTTATCTTCTAATTATCGAGTTATATTGAGTTTTAACAAAATTAAAGATTCTATAGTGCTATTCCCACACCTCATAAAACACTATATCACTAATCATTGCCGGGCTCGGTACTTCACCGCATTTCCAACCTCGTTAATTCAAACGGGCATGCATCCCCTAGGTAGTCAATGCTTCTCGGGGAATATCTTCAGCGAATAATGATGATCGTACATTGGGGGAGAAATAATTGCCAGCGGTGGATATTCCGGAGAGGAAATAAAAGTGGTACCGAGGACTGATAAAGACTTATAAATACTTGGGGAAGAGACATCGTGCATGGATTCGAAAGTTTTGGCAATCGCAATCAATCTACATTATTCCAATCTTAAGCTTCAATATGAAGTCTCTCAATGTTGTTTATTTTATTCTCGGGTCAAGGGCTGTTTCGGCGCTTCCCACGATAGATACCAAATCTTCCTTTAGTTGGGATGATACTGAGTACTTGTGAGTAAAGCCAAATACCTCTGAATCGGAATTTTGGGTTCCACCACTCAAAGTAGTCGACAAGGTCATATTTACGAGCAACCACATCCACTTAGATCCAAAGCTCTAACTAAACTTTCATGATAGTCTCGCATTCGGTGATTCGTACACCTATGTGCAAGGAACATATGGATTACAAAACTACTCCTTCATCGGGGATCTTGACAATTTCTCATACACTCCTGCTCAAATCTTGAGTAATGAGATCGTTCAAAACCAGGTACTTATCCCGTACATTTAAACATTTTGCAAAATATTAACATTGTGAACCAGCTTGGAACATCTGCGGGAGGTCCAAACTGGGTAGAATACCTCACATCATGTTTCTCCGGGCTTCCATCAAAATGCACGAAACAATTATGGGATTTTGCCTTTGCTGGCTCAGATGTCTCTACAACTTAGTAAGGTCCTTTCAACTGATTTGGGAGTTTACTAATTCCAAATAGTACGAAGTTACATCATAATTACACGGTTTCTCTCGAGAACCAAATATTACAATGGTCAACTTACGCACTCCCAGTCGTGCCAATGGATCCATCCAAAACATTGGTTACTGTCTTTATAGGGATAAACGATATCGGTGACACCGATTCCTATACCTTTCCATCTCATAATTCGACGGACTACCCCTCCCTTTACACAAATATCATCTCCGCCGAATTTGCAGCCATTGAAACTATTTACAACGCTGGATTCCGCAATTACCTTTTTATGAACCTACCACCTTTGCAACGCACCGTAAGTTCTCATAGCCCTAGTAATATCTATTTTGATCATGTTGCTAACATATACCTCCTCAAGCCACCCAATCTCATCCGTGCAGCTGGCCCTCGTCCAAATATCACCATGCTTACCTCCTATAATAGCATCCTTAATGCTACTGCTCTCAACTTTGCAGCCACGCATGCGGGAACTAAGGCTATGGTTTTTGATACCTTTTCTTTCCTCTCTTCTGTGCTTGATGATCCGGCTCCTTATAATATCAAAAATATCACAAACTACTGTCCTAGATATGATGCACCTGATATTGCGAGTAAGTTACATATATTTTTCATTCTTCAGAGCATGGGGGAGGTAACAAACAGAAGCGAGTGGGGTGGAATAGGGGCGGTAGAAATAAGAACAAGAGAGGAATTACCCCAGCTAACAGCAAACCAGCAAACTACGCAGCCTACGGATGTCAACCAATTCCAGAATATTTCTGGTACAACACCGGACATATCACCTACCACACTCACGAGATATTGGCGAAGGAAGTTGGGAAGTTTTTGGAAGGGCAAAGCAAGTGATAATTTGATGATTTGATTATGATTTTTATTATCAATGTATTGAGTGAAATAGAAGAGATAATTGTCACGCATCAATTCTTGCATCGTTCTAATATTTGCTATCTTTGCTTGTCAGTGTGGTTCGGTACCATGCTACTTCTATACCTCAAGCTATCTGATCTCAAATTGATCACCTTGTTACTATTTTTCCCTCAATATATACACAACATGGCTCATCAAGAGCTTTCAAAGTAAATCAAAGCACAGTGTCGAGCTTAACCTTTTAAAGAAGGATTCAGGAGATCAAGTCAAAATTCTAACACACAAATCATGATCCACCTTAACCACTTTTCGGAGTTCCAACTCCTCATAACACATAATTTGCATTGAGCCTGCTGCTGTGTTCTTCTTATACCGGTTTATCAATATCTCCATATCCTTTAAAATCTAGTACAAGAACACCGAATCCTAATTCTTTTAGAGAGGAAATTTAATAATAAACTTACTAGTTATTATAACTTGAACTTGGAAAGCCGTGCAGGAGAAGGAAAATGTGCTTGCAATTGGAGGAAGTAGCGTGGATATGGATATGTGCATATTTGATACCGTTTTCAGGTGCGGACATTTTGCCGGGAAAGGAGAGGTGGGTTGGTGCTATCTGGGTTGGGTGTGTTATGTGGGAAGTGAGTGGTTTGCAAGTGGTTTGGAAGTGAACTGAAAGAGGTGGGGAGAGAGGAGTTTCCGCCATGAATCCTTGGATATCTTGAACTCCGTGAATTTTTGGTGTGTGTACCGGATTATGTGTCTAACCATGCGTTAAAAAGCATAGAATCTGAGTTCATGCATTATGTAGTGCGTACCGGTGGTGTATATACTCCTAGTTATCCGACAAAGAATGGCGATCAAACGGCATGGTGTATATATATGTCCCGGTCTAATATAGAAATCTTACGGACATGGTCACTGTCATGCATGGTATGCTCGAGTGCTTCTTACAGTTACACTTCATACCGAACAGCATCTATCACAGGCAAACTTGAAACAAGGTATAATATTCAAACTAGCGAGCGTAAGTATCCACATCTATCCAAGATCTCCAATCTACTTGCTATTAGTCCAACTTTTGTGTTTGATCGCATAACAGAGGATGAAAGTACAAACCAATAAAACAGAAAGTAGATAAAATCCTTCCATATCATCAGCACATCATATCGCCAATATGAAACCAACATGTCTCAACATAGCCAACTTGTCCAGACTTCTAGACAACAGTATCACTTCCTCACTTCTCCGAATTCGACATTTAGCCTTCATTTGCATCAAGATCGATATCTCCAGCCGGCCTCGCAACATTCGCACGCCAGTAATGTGCATTCACCGGATCCTTCTGATACAAATTGACTTCAAAAAATTTATTATGCAGAGTACATTTGAAGTTTTTATATCTGTTTACTTATTAGCTGGCTGGAGTCTACTTATGTGATATCACATATATGATATCGCTCCCAATTTCCATGAGCATGAATGCTGGACATCAAAATATAATGAAAGACAAATTACTTACGAGTTCAATTTCTGATAATTAGCTTTGATGAGATGTTGTTCAGTGATCTCTGTGAATTCCCCTGAGGAATTTTCACTGGGGATAAAGTAGCGTTTGGATTCAAGAGGACCGTAATTTACTTGTCGGACAAACTGTACGGCATATGGTGTTGTGGAAGCGATGGGGTTTGAGTTGTCCCCTAAGTCGTCGGTGGTAGTGGTGAAAGATGATCGTGGATAGTCGGCCCAAGTCTTGAAGTCTGTGAACTTTTGTTGATGGAGGAGTTTCTGGGGACGAAAAGGCCTGGGAGAGTCGCAGCAGAAGAGGGTGCTCATGATTTAGGATTGAGAGAGTAAATGAGGGCGAGCAGGTTAATGAGTATCGAAGGATGGATAATTCTGTTTGTAGTGCGATGTTAGATTATTGTGATTGTTGATACAGCCGCAGAGATACTAGGAGAGATTAGAGAAAATCTTGTTCTAGATATTCATTAAATGAAGATTCTAATCCTGGAGGCTGGAAAGATTTGAACCTAAATGCGAATATTTGCCAAATGATAAAAGCACTAGATAATCGAGCAGAAAGATTTCAAACTTCAAAGCACCAAGCCTTGGACGCCTAAGCCTGCCTCGCACAAAGGGGAAGTCCACATCCTCTGTTGCCAATGACTGCCGGAAACCTCGCCTCCACCGCATGCAACATCATCTGGTAATCAAGTATTCAGGGCTAACTGCAGATTTCACGATAGACGGTGAGCTGTTTTGGATCAGGATTCTGTACCATCTCCAGCAAAAAGAGTACTGATTGGAAGGCACATAAAAATGAGGCCTACTATATGTAACTTGTGTTTGTTCCTGTGAATATACCGTACTTAGCATGGAATCATATGCAGTCCCCTCCGAAAACTAGCGCGGAGACGAAATGCGAGGGAACGCAATTGGTAGTAGTAAATTCGAGGCCACCTATCACACTCCTTGATGGTGACGCTCATCCGCAAGAGTATGCAGAATGACATTTGAATGGATGTTTTCCAATATCGAGGATCCCATAATTTTTGAATAGCCGCTTGTGATTGGAGCGTTAGATTTTTTGAGGCCTACAAGCAGGGGATATAAAATACTTGTCCGTCATTGGATGCACAGTTTCGCTTCTTACAGGCATAGAAACCAAGTCGATGATTGGCTGTCATCCGAGTCTTCGACCATCATTTAAACCCTCGAATTTACCAACTTCTTACCTTTTCTTTTCTTCTTTTCTCTTCACGGCGCGAGAGGCGGCGCTGTCACTTCTCACTCTTTTTTCTACTGCAAATTCCACTCCTTAGGGTCTTCTTGCCTCGTTGTTTTTGAGCATCTTTTCCAATCGCTTGCACTTTTTTAACCCTATCTCGAGGGCCTCCGTTACGATTCAGGAGGCCCAAGGCAAATAGAACCTATCTTCTCTGACTACACTGCTGGGGAAGAAAACGAAAACTATCTACCACTTCATTTTGACTTTATCGATCCCAGCCTTTTAGATCTCAGGAGATATCCTGTTCCTCCTTCTTTCGAGCCGAGTGCTGCTGTTGATGCTCAGGAAGCACACGGACAATTTGTTGCCAATGAAGACCCTCTTGTTCAAGATTGCAGCTCCGGAAGTTTTGATCCTCTGCCTTACACTCCTTACAATACCTTCCCAGGTCTACCTACGCTAGAGGCGTATTGTGATCAGCCTCTCGAATATCTCGACAGACCTGTTGAAGGTCAAATCGAAAACTGTCTTTACCCAAATCCATCAGTCTCAATTCCTCCTGTCGAGCAATTCCAACAACATTATCCTATTGCACCGAATTCGCCTCATCAACCAGAAACCCAACCGATCGCTGAGCCATCCGCTACTGTCAACAATCCCACTTGTCCAGAATGTCAAAAAACATTTGCACGTGTCTGTGATCTGAAGTGAGTGTCAACGTTTCCTTGTTGCTATCTCTATTCGCAATGCTAATTCCCAATCTCAGCGTCCACAAGAAATCACATACCCTCCCTTTCAAATGTCCCAGACCCTCATGCAAATCACTTGGTTTCCGGTATCGCAAGGATCGGGACCGCCATATTGCAGACATACATCCCGAACTCATTCCTGGTGCCGAAAGATATTTTTGTCCTTTGGAAGGCTGTAAACACTCAAGGGCGAAAGGAAAGGGGTTCCCAAGGAAAGATAATTGTGCAAGACATGTGAAGAATTGTAAACATAGGAACAAGTAGTTGTGTGGCAAGGAGAATTTCTGTGTACGTAGTAATTGGGAGCACTTAGCGTTGCCTTTAAAGCAGGAATATGATGCGTTGATATCAGCAGCCATCATTTATGCATTTGATGACTGTGATTATAGCAGTATGACAAACCATTTTCGATGCAAGTAAAAGTTGATCCGAAGCACAACACTAGGATAATATGACGATGTATGCAGATCCCATCCAACCACAACCCCATCAAAATTTTCACTCAACGCCAAATCATCTCATCTCATCTCATATACCCTCCCACAAATAGCCAAAACACAAACACACCCATATCCTCACTCGATTTGAGCAACCTTCCCCATACACCTCGCCCTAATATCACCAACAAATTCTCTCCCAGTCTCCTTCTCTTTTCGGTTTTGAACTTATCAATACTAAACAATCCACCGTCACCAGCAACTTAAGAATTAGACTCAGTCTTCTGGCTGAGGAATACCTTTGAGCTGAACTGTGTCCTTCGCTTACCGTCACTCGATGGTAATGCTATGGCATAATTGCGCGCTCCTTAGTTGTTCAACAAGGCTAAGTCTCTCAAGGAGCCCTCCTCTGCTCACGTCCATAGTTGACTATACAGGAATACTGTCTCTAGCACTTGCAGATACAACTCGTAGACACAGCCAGCAGTTAGCAAGAAGCGATGTTTTATTCACACCTCGCCGGTCAATCCTTTCAGTCAATAAGCCATACTGGCAAATCCTACCAATCACTAAAGCAGGATTGACAAGAAGAAATTTGGTTCTTGGCCATAAAGCCAGTCGACATAGAATCATAATTACCAATCCACAGTACTAATGAAACCTAAAACCACTAATTCCCACCTCTCAACCACGCACAAACTCCCAACACAAAAACACAAACCATAGCATCACCGCTAACCGTCCCCCAAATTCGTCCATACCTGATCACCAACCCCAAATACCCCTTCCACGGTTCGGGCAAAAATCCCATAACCGTCCCCATCATGCCCGCTGGCATAGAACCCCCTTTCTCCAAATAAAACCTACTAGTCAACAACACCACTTCCGCCGTTGCAAAAATCCAAAAGAAATGCACACTATCCTCACTCAACCCATCAATCATCAAACCCGACGCCTCGCGCGCATATTTCGTGCCAGTGAATGATGTCGTAAGTGCTATGTACAAACCGAGCGACAATGCGAAAACAGCATGAACAATGCGCCAAATATAGGCGTAAGGGTCGACAGCGGCGGCTTCAGCTTGTCCTTGCATGCCCATCCCGGGCATACCTGGCATACCTGGGAATGAAGGCACGCCCGCTTGTCCTCCACCCGGTGCTCCTCCCATTCCTCCCATCATTTGCTGTAGAAGTTGCATCATGGGATCGTTTCCAGCGTCTGCGCCTGGTGCACCGCTCATACCTGGGAAACCTGCGAAGGGGTTTTGACCTGGAGCACTTCCGAAGGGATCTTGTCCCATTCCACCACCCAAAGAGCCTGGATCCATACCAAGCATCATTTGTCTCAGCGTATCATCATCTATCTGCTGCTGTTGTTGCTGCTGCTGCCCAGCACTTTGAGACCTCTGAATCGGTGTGCGGGTTTGTGGCTCATAATAATGATTCGAAATATCTACCTCATCTGGATCCGCATGATCTGTATCTTTATTCGATTTTTGCACTGGCGATGGGGATGGAACTTCATCTAAATTCTAATTAGCTTCATTCAATACATCCTAAAAGATATGAAACATTTTCCAAATAGAAAATATTAATAAAAAAACACATACCTCTAGGCAAACCACCACCCAAGCCAATAATTTTATTTAACCTCGCATTTCCTCCATCTCTAATCTTCGCCTCTCTCTTTTCCTTTCTGATGCGAGCTTGTCTTTGAGCCGGTGTCTCCGCAGCTGGTATTTCTGCAGCTGGTTCCGCCATCTCAGATTATATTTTTGTTGTGATGGTGTGATGATTACTCTGGCAATTTCGATGATGCAGCTGTTGGGTTCCGAGCTCAACAGCTGGGAATTTTTTAGTGGGGAGAGCTAGGGAGTGTCGAAGACCACCAACAGCTAGGTGATTGTTATTTATTAGCCTTCACCATTTATTTGATGACTCGATTTTGAACTAGAGTCAAGTCAAAGAGTAATGATACATTAAATACAGTAATAAATTATATAAGCTTCCACAATTAATTCATGGTAACCACCAGTTATATATTCAATACATACGTATTGGTCCACCAACCAATTTGATTGGCACCACGTTCACCACTTCTTGAAGAGGACAGACAACATTTTCACTTCTCACCAATTTCTCTAAATCTACACCAATATCCAGTTACAATCATAGGTATCATTCTGCATTCAAAGATAACAAAGCAGTATTATAAGAACAAGTTCTTGATCTAGCAATATTTCTTTAGTATACACACGTGCTGCGCTCTGTTCTCAACCATCGTCCCTAATTCCAGTTCTCAAATAAGATATTCCCTTCTACTCTAAGGAGTGACCTTGCTCATACTAACTAGTCGTTTAACACCGACCTATATTGATCACACATTAGTGTACGTTGCTACTGAAATAAGATAAATGTAAAACTTACCATCCAATTACCACACTCATCAGTCTTTTCACGTTGAATGTCAACTTGCAACCTGCTTGCTGCATCGTAGTTACCAGATTGAAGTGCTTCAGCCAACTGCGTCAATTTCTCAATAGTATCAGGCTTCACGAGTTCCTCATTGTTCAAGTGATCAAACAAAATGTTGAGACGCTTTTGCGTATCTTTCACTTGTGGTGCGAAATTCGCTGGAGCTTTCGAAACTACTCTTTGCATATCATTGGTGAAAATTTCGACCATTTTTTGCGCAGATGCGGGAATGTGTGATCGATCACCGGCAGGGTGTCTAGGCTTTGCTGGGGAAGCTGCCACAGCAGGTGCCTTAGGAGGCCCAGCGGGTGGTCGAGAGCCACCCATTCTCCAATCTTGTGGAGGACCTTGTGGTGGGCCCTGCGGTTGGCTTTGTGGGGGACCTTGATTTTGGAATTGAGCAGGCGGAGGTTGGTTTTCATACGGTGATTGAGATGGCACGTACTGGCTAGGTGGTGCAGCTGATGGCGGTGCATATGCGTTGGATGGAGGTGGCCTCATACCTCCCTGAGGAGGTGGAGCGACATTTGATGGAGGCGGTTGAGAATACTGTTGTGCTGCTGGAGCTGGAGCGTATCTGCTTGTTGGTGCAGCCCCAGAAGGCGGAGGGTTATACGGAGACGCTCCACGAGGAATTGTAGGTGGCGGTATTGATGCATATGGTGATTGAGGAGGGGGTGCTTGTGGAGTATACGCATTGGCTGTGGAAGACGGTCTAGGAGGTGGTGCATTCATCAATGGCGAAGTAACACGGGGAGGAGCTGACCCTTTAGGAGGTGGGGGTGGAGGTGTTGCTCTGGGAGCACCATATGGATTTTCTGGAGGTGGCATCGAAGTACCTTGTTGGTTGGGGAATGGATTGGTAACAGGGGTACTTCTTCTAGCAGTAGGCATCTTTGTTACGAAAGGTATGTCATTCCAATTTGTCATATCTTTAGCTTTCGATGGAGGTGGAGCTGATGGAGTTGTGTTTCTTGGAGGGGCGGGAGCTCCAAATGATTGTTGAGGTGCACCATAACCTGTTGGGGCTGCTCCATATGCTCCGTAAGAAGGTACATAAGCTGGTTGAGATGACTGTGGTGGCTGATAACCTTGTGGTGCGTAGGCACTTGTTGGAGGTGCATAGGGATTAGAAGCACCTGAAGCGGGTGGTGCATAAGGATTAGAAGCACCTGAAGTGGGTGGTGCATAAGGGTTAGAAGCAGGTGCAGCAGCTGTAGGTGGAACGTATGGATTTGGAGCAGATTGAGCTGGAGGTGCCACAGCAGCAGGAATCGGTTGTTGATATGCGGCTGGCTGAGCACGTGCGGGGACCCTTGAGCTTGCTGCAGGTTGTCTAGCGGCAGCAGCAGGGGCGACCGTTCTTGATGCACGCTTAACTCGGTCTCGTGCAACCTCAGCAGCGGGATATTGTGCAGGAAGCAGATCAAGATATCTCTCAGCAATAGAAAGGTGTCCATGAGCGGCAACAATATCAGCATACTCTGTATATTTGTCGTACAAAGCTGCCAACTTCCAGTCCGATGTCAAACTTTGCTCTGTATCCTGGAACTTGGTGACAGCACGGAATACTGTGACTTTCTCGATAAAGTTCTGAAGTGACTTTGCATGTACAGAGAATGTAGAATCCCCTTCCTGTTCTTCAATGCCATGTTTCTCATTCTCTTGGAGCTCGGAAATCCAGATGCTGATGACCTTCTCCAACTTTGAACCAACTAAGAAACAAAATGAAGCATCCTTTGCGCTGCCAGAATCCAAGAGTCTATCACCAAGCGCTTCACAGAGATCCGGAAACTGAGCTGGGTCGGCATATGTGCACAATGTTGCCATCGACTCTTTCCAGTTCCCGAGGTCAGCATTGTATACAATATCCCATAAGTTTTTACCAATCACTGATGTCAGAAGTCGTAAGTAGTTAGGCCCTTCTGCCTTCTTGGCTAAGTAGGCTGCTTGAACTTTGTCTAACAGCTCTTTTCCGCCACAATTGGCAATGATGAAAGCATCAGCAATTCGATCCTCCTTAAGGCAGATAGTCATCGCTTTTTCGAATTGGCCAAGCATTAAAGCTTTGGTAATTTGTTTTTCCGAGGCCGAATCGGATTCAGCGAATAAATGGAAAGGATTATCCGTCTTAGCTCCCTTATTTGCAGCGATATCAGTCAAAAAGTCATCCCCTTCGGCACCATCGAAAAGCGTTGATAATCTATTATTCTTCGCAGCTTCGCCATTGGCATCAGCTGGAGCTTCTTCTGGCTTTTCGGCATCCTCCACGCCGAGTTCTGATACACCATTCGTGGCCTCGTCAACATCAGAGAAGCCAAGGAATTCAGTAACTTGTTTGCGGGGGTTTGCCGCAATTAATGTCTCGATGACTTTCCAGTCTGCCTTCTCTTCCTCAGTCTTGGCTTGATCTATGTGAGTTTCGCAAATACTCTTGATATCTCCGGCCTTGAGGGCATTTTCGAAAGACTCGGTGGCAGACCCTACGTCCGAATCGACCGTGAATTGAGAGATTTGAATCTTGGACGATCTAGGTTTTCCTGCTGCAGCTGACGACAAGCTAAAGCTCACCAACTTACCACCAAATCCGAAAGAGGCTCCAACTGGTCGTTCCAGCCACTTAGGGGCTTTATTCAACGAGAATGAAGCTCCTTGAGGTTCAGTTTGGGCCTTGGTAAAAAAGTCCTCGCCATCAACTGGCCCTGCAACTGGAGCTTGGGATGCGGTAGGATTTGTATTTTGTAAGGTTTGGATGGCTATCTTACCATCGAAGGACGCGGTGGCAGATAATGCGGGGTTGTGTGGATTGAATCTGGTTTGGAAGGTCCAATTGGTAACCTCTGGAAACTCTCCATATTGCTCCCCAGTTTGAGGATTCCAGATTAGAGTTCTGTTATCTTTGCCGCAAGATATCAGAAGATCGGCATCTTGCTGACACCAAGATAATGACAAAATTCCTTGGATATGCCCTTGTAACGTCCTCTCAGGCGCATTTGAGTTTCTAAGATCCCACAAAAGAATGACTGGTGAAGAATCGTCGGGCGTAGCAGTCAAGAGCTTTGTCGCATTGTTCGGATCCCATGCAATTGCTCCTACTGCTTTGCGATTGTTGCTCAATTGTAAAGAAGCCTTCTTAGTTTTCAAATCCCAGACTGTGACGTATCCTCCACTTCCACCAGTTGCTAGAATATGGGGAACCTTTCTATTCCATGCCACGCATTCGAGATCATCCGATCTTGCTGCGGTTGTACCCAGCCTAAATGGGTTTGAGATGTCGTTCACGTCGTAAATGAATAACTCTCCCTTGGAGCCTGCAGTAGCTAGGATTTGTGGCTTCAATGGGTTGAACTGAAGAGACTTTATAGCGCCCGTATGTTTCGTCGTTCTGGACATAAACGCGTCCTCAGCTCCTTGTATGAGTTTCTCTGCATCCCATAAATCTAAGGATCCATTCTCAAGTGCGCCTGCGATTATGCCCCGCGGATGGTCTGCGTTCGCTGGTGCCCATGCAATGTCGTGGAATCTAAGGGCCAAATAAATTAGCTTACACATCTTCATATGCCCCAAGCTCGATATAGCTCTGCGTACCTAGAATCTGTGCTAATACTAGCAATAGGTTGTAATTCCACACCCTGCTCTGTGCTATCCAAGCTCAAATCCCAGAGCTCCAGCTTCGTCTCATCAGAGAAATCCGCATCTACGGCACCAGCTCTCGTCCCTGTAACCACTAAAGGGGCCTCTGGACCTGGGGACCAGGCAAACGCCGCTGTCCTTGGTATTTCCCGTAGACGGACCATTGTCCCGTCTCTATTTATGCTTTATTCTGTATGAACAAGCCAGATTACACTGCAGAAAGCTGCAGCTTGCCTTTTCAGCCGAATTTTTTATGGGCTATACCGAAGGAAAAGAAATTGAGAAATTGTAGTGAACGAGATTCGTAAAAAGTATGTGAAGATTTCAATGTGTTGTTTTGGACAATGAACACTGTGAACACCTTTCCCCATAATCAATTGGTCTGAGCGATATCACCGCCCGGCAAGATTGTGAACCTTGAAAAAACGTCTGACACGTGATCGAAAGCTGCTTCTTTCTAAACTTATGAATGACATTTGGATGCTTCATATACACGGAAGATTTATTTATATCACCAGAAACTGATTCTCAGCAAGCTACAAGATGACCGATCAAGCTCGTTGGAAAGCTACTGTTTATGTTGGTGGCCTCTCACACATGGTAACAACCGCAAATCTCGAAGCCGCATTTTTACCTTTTGGAGAAATAGCAGATGTCTCTATACCGTAAGTTTCATACCCTAGATATCGTCTGTCATACTAATTTTTTTTCTTAGTAAAGCAGAAGGCCCCAACTCAACAGAGCCACATCGAGGTTTCGGATATGTAGAGTTTGAGGATCCAGAAGATACCAAAGATGCCATCGACAACATGGACCAATCTGAACTTTTTGGCAAGGTGATCAAAGTCAATGCGGCTAAGCCTCCAAAGAATGCGAACGAGGGATTGGGAAGCAAAACGGCTTTGTGGGAACAGGTAAGGATTCACGTCATCCTATTCTACGATGGGTGACATCATCCATGACAGGTACTAACTTTGATTTAGGAGGGATGGTTAGCAGAGAATGCTGTGAGCGAGGAGGACAAACTGGCAGCTGAAAAAGCAAGAGCCGGAATTCATGATAGACCTGATGATCCTATGCAAGGTCTGGAGGGGTTGGATGTAGCGGGACCGAAGCCAGCTTAAGGGAAAGCTGTGTCCATAGGATATGGGTATTAAATGTGTCACTAGGGAGTTTTTTTGGGGGTAAAGCAAAAGGAGTTCAACGGGTAGGAAGACAACATATCAACGCTTTTGAAGCCATAGGGTGGATTTGTACAGCATGGGAACATCAGGTATAGAAACTTTGTATTCATGAGAAATAAGGGCCAATTCTGTACAACTCATTTGAGGTTTGGCCGACCCATCCGTTCCAATTCCTTCATTCCATTCATCCTCACGGCGTGCTTCTCTCCGTATCAAAGTGTAAACTTTTTCCCCATCTGGATCAATTCGATTACGTCCCTCCAAAATCTCGTAGATCAATTGTTCAGTCCTTTCTGTTTTGACGAGAGAGACGCATTTGCTTGTCAACAACAAGTTTGCGGCCCAAAGAGTAAAAGGCGAATCCAACAGCGACCCCGACGACCAGTCCTTCATTGATATCAGTGTAAGTCCTGGTGATATCCAGCGGGGATGCGAAACCTACCCAAAGGAACCAACTCGGGAGGAATCTTCTTCCATTGGCGCAATCGTTGCGAGATAGTGTGAGCTATGACTTTTGTATCAGTGTCGGCTCCCCATCTACCAGGAATATATTCTCTAATCGATATTCCATCTTTCCCCTCTATGTTCCTAAGTATGCAACCGTGGGGTAAACGTACCGCTATGCTCCTCCTTCTGTAAAGCCAAAAAACATTAGCCCTCCCACTCTCAGACCCCTGGATCAACAACAGATAAACTTACCGGCACAGGCGACCACATCTTCTTGGTCGGTTGGAACATTCTGGTAACGGTAGTAGGATGCATCTTGAAACGTTGTTCAATCTTCAAGTCTTTCTGATGTAAATACACTGAACTTCCGTGGTCTGAGGTTTTGGAGGACCTGCATTTCCGCACTAGCGAGCTCAAGAATAGCCGACCTCATCCCGAAGTGAGAAAGTGCAGTCCCATTGCAATTAACCTCACATCATTCGTCTCCATTGAACCACCACCACCACCATCTCCTCTCCAAAATCTTGTGATCGCCAGATTATAAATACGCAATCATGTCTGAAGAACGCGAGACCAAACCCTTCAAGTTCGTTACTGGTATGTGCTACCCGGAGGGCCGTCCACTGTTAGGATATTTAAAGATGGTGTGGTCTGATTGCTAACTATGGATTTTTTAATAGCTGGTATGCGATACTGATCCCGGCGACGATTGCAAAGTGATGGAGGACTGATTATAGGATATAGGATTCGATGCTCGATTCCCCAACCAGAACCAGACTAAACATTGCTGGCAAAACTATGTCGATTACCACAAGTGTATCCTAGCCAAGGGCGAGGATTTCGCTCCATGCCGTCAAGTATGTTTTGCGAATGGTTATGAGGGATATATATACTGATGGGAGGACAGTTTTTCTTGGCTTATAAGTCTTTGTGCCCTAGTGCCTGGGTTGAGAGATGGGATGATCAACGTGGTTAGTATTGGGCTTTGAGGGGAACAGAAAGGATAGATTGGCTAACGTGGAATAACACAGATAATGGAACATTCCCAGCTCGTTTGGATCAATAGGAAATTTGAGGATTATAGAAGGTTAGCATGGTGGGGTAGAGCACAAGACGTTTACAATGGATGTGTATCATACAAAGTCATTATGAGAATTGATGAGCGACGTCTCGGCTTGATCGGGTGTACTTCTATTGACAGTTGATGAAACTCTTGATACCTATGGTTTCTGCTTTTCATGGTTCCTTCAGGCTTCCCTTGAAGCTCTTAGTCGGTCATATCTCAACATCGCTCCAAGCAAGACTTGTGCTCCATTTCCGCAATCTTCTGGGCTACAATATTCGGCCGGATTGTGACTTATGCCGCCTCTACAAGGTACAAAGATCCTAGTTGGGGTCAGTCGTAATACGGCCTGATAAAAAAGGCGAAGCTTACATAGAGGTAGGAGCATGTCTCGAGGTATAAACACTGCATTTTATTCAGCAAAGCCCTTATCATCTGATTGATATTCTGACCTATCATGTCCAGCGCCTGATACCATTCTCATATAAGTGTTTGAAACGGCTCCTGGCTGATTCTCAGCAGTAGAAGTCGTTTCAATTAAGTCTCCGGCACTTTCTTCCACGCATCTGATGCAATCTTTGTTGAAGTGAGTAGCTGGAGAATCTGTATCTACTTGCCAATCCAACGTACAGCCTTTCCCTTTCTTTCCACTTGCCCCAAGAGTTGCCATTTGCGCCCCAGCAGCGATCAACTCGAAATCTTTTCTGAGCTCTTTCTCAAAGGCCAAAAGTCTCTCGTCCTCTGAGCATCTAATATCAAGTGAGAACTGCACGAATCCCGGAACGGTATTAGTAGAGCCAGGCTTCAAATTGAGAATTCCTAGTACACATAAGCAAATTGTATTAAAAATCTCGCGAGAAAGAGGCTAGCTACCTGTGGATGCTAGACAACCCATCTCAGAAGCCTTATTATGACTATGGAGAATGAGTTTTGCTGCTGTAAGCATAGCATCTGAGCGATTTTCAAAATCCGTTGTACCTATAACACGTCATCATTCCATTTCATCTATATCCAAAATATCATCACCAAAATTCCAGTACAGTAAAACATACCAGTGTGACAATCACTTCCTCTCACCGTAATTGTATGCCATCGATAAGCCTGCACGCCCGTTACAGCTCCGATACGGGTCTTGCTCTTCTCGAGGATTGGTCCTTGTTCGATGTGTAGCTCGAAATGTACACCGATTAGATTTTCTTTATACGACGCGGGGATTAAACCGAGATATCCGATTCTTTCTAATTCTGATTTCATGGTTGCGGGACCGTTTATCTCGCGGAGGTTGTGCGCAGAGAGAAGTGGTATATCGTTGGCCCAGACACCGGATGATACCATGGAGACGGGAAAACGCGCTCCTTCTTCTGTGGGGGATGTTAGAGGAAGTGTAAGTGAGGAAGATAGGGCGAAAGGGGAGAGAAATACCATTTGTCCACTATTCAAAAGTTAGTTTGTCAATGTCTACTAATAATGGAAGATAACGAACATTAATAACACCGGTAGGATATTCTGTTTCAATCCCCAGATCATTCATAGTTCTCAACGCTTCGATTCCTGCATGGACACCTAATATCCCATCGTACCGTCCTCCTGTTGGCTGTAATTTTCATTAATCATAAAACCTAACAAAATTGTATTCCCTTTTTGAATGGGAGGTTTGGGGATATACCTGTGTATCTAAATGACTACCTGCATATGTGGCCGGAGCTTCTTTTCTCCCGGGTCGGATGGCGAATATATTACCTTTTTGTTATACTGTTATTATTGCATGACTTTTTACAGATTGATGGGAGGGTCTCGAATAGAAAAAGAGGAGGAAATGGGGAACAGGGAAGGAGTACCCATAGCATCGATCTTCACATCACAACCAAGTTCCTTCATCGTTTCGACAAACCAATCTCGAGCTAGTTTGTCGGCGTAGGATAGAGCGAGACGGGACATTCCTTTGTCGGTTTCTTCTCTGGATTGATATTAGGACTCTGTATGTATGTATGTATGTATGTATGTAGTATATATGATTTCAAGAACTCAGAATTGAAATAACTTTGTGATGATGGAATTTTGATCTTATAGCAGAACTCCATTTGGTGCTCCTTGTCATGGTTGCTTGACTTATATATAGGTGAACCACACAGCTTGGGAGATATACTATTCTTCAATTTGGAGGATGGTAGGTTGGACTTAGCAGTGTATAATCACATATCCATGGCTCATACAAATTGACCTAGAACCACCAACGATATTTTAGGAACTTTCCCAAATCATTCCTTCTCTATCTCTTCCCGTACTATTCCTCCCCCCAGCTCCATCTCTCGTCTCCTAGCTCTCAAATCACTTTAACATAATACCAAAAATCAACGAAAAGTAAAAACATACACTCCCCATCTCTCTCCCTTCCCCCACTGACAAGTATAATGCAATTCCCTCCAAAGTCTCTCCCTATTAACTTTGATAATTCTAATTTCATCATCTTTGATATCAATATTCCTAATCGAGCTAACATTTCTACTCCAATCCAATCTCCGAGTCGTGGGGATAGATTTGAATGGATTGATAAGAGTTCTTGGATTATATCGTTTTAACATTTTTAGGGATTTAGAAATAGGAGTACAATTTAAAGATGATTTCGATATTGAGACGTTAGTTTTGTATATGTATGATGCTGATGGTGCTTATCATTGATATAAAAACTGGAACATTTGAGTTATCAATGCAATTGATTGCAAGGCAAGTTACCCCGCTATTGAGCATTATCAGGACCACATAAGACAGATATCAAAACTAGGGAATGAACCAAGTAAGATTAGATATTTGAAGACATTTATTTTTGTTATATTAAGAGTATGAAGAGACTTGATTATTATACATTTATACGTTGTACTCCGTAATCGCATCTGTCATTCTAAATTCCTCATATGATTCCTCCACCAACCAAAAGCAGTAAATGTGAAACTATTCCTAAATATATAAGATCTTACAATTCTAAGGGTACATGCAGTCTTACGTGTCTATCGCACTTGTTATATAAATCCTTTACATGATTTATAACTTATCAATAAACCCAAGCAAGGGCAATATGATGTGAAGCTATTTCAACTGTAATCAACCTTGAAACCTCAGACCTTGACTGTTCACTTGGACACACAACCCAAGTTCATCAAATCATCGAACCCTTCAAAAAAAGGATATCTTCGTATTGGTCACTACAAAGGAAATATTTTCCATATAGGTGCGAGGGGGCATATGACCTCAAATATACAGGACCTTGAGGTTAAATACGATATAACCAATCTGCTGTATTCCTAATCAAGCCCAGCACCATTCAAGATGCAGATCAGACATAAGATCTGCCCGGCTGCCTATAGCTAGGAACGAGAGAGGATATTTGACTGACAGCAAAATATAAGACAAAAGCGTGCAGTAAAATTCGGCACACTGCTGCGATGAAACCTGGGATATTACTATAAGGAGTGTGAGGAGTACTATTAGGAGGATCATTTGTGTTTTTTCCATTCTGGGGTGGCAGGTTATGGTTAAGGGTAGTGTGCGAGATGAAGTGAGGAAAGTGATTTGTAGAGATTTTGAAGGTGGAGGGAGTGGTTAGGGGGTAGAATTTAAGAGTAGGATGGGGTTCGGAGAGGGGAATCGGAGAGCAGAGTTAGAGTAGAGGATTAAACCCCTAAAATTCGGACCCAAAATCACAGAATAGAACATACCAGGGAGGCAGGACAAGTAAGATCATACGAATAAATAATGGATGAATGATGAATATCAAGAGTGATCTCCTCGGGAAATTAAACTAAACAAAACTTAAGCAAAAACTACAACTTTTATAACCATGCTTTTAAAGTTGTTAAGATTATAGATTTAAATTCCAAGTTCGTGCTGAACTAGTTGTCCTTATCATTCTTATTCAGGCGGAAGTTCATAGAGAGTGAGTGGTAAGTCTTGCAATATGAGGGAGTTGTGGATATAGGAGGAGATTTCTTGAGGGGAAGAGTGAGAAGTTATATATGGTTAAGAGAGGGGAAGATGGAATACAGAAAGAGAAATAGGGACATACCTAGTATTTATTAAGGGGCAGGTAAGCAGAGAGGAGAGAAGAGGAGGAGGGAAAAGAGGGAGGGAGAGTGAGTGAGTGGCTATACAAATGAAAACCATACTCATTCTAAGGAATTGTCAAATTGAACTAGCTCAGTATTCGAATGAGCTGGCTTGAAGATTGAGAATCTTACGTTAAGAATAGGTAATAATAGGTTAATTACGGATGTGAGGTTTGGAGATATGCTGAGGTTGAGTGGCTTGAGGAAGGGAATGGGAATGGGGATGGGAAAGATGGTTAAAGACTGAAGAGAGTAGAAAGTCTTTTGATCTACTAAGCTGTTCAACGCAGTATAGATTGAAGTCATTTCTAAGTCTTAGGATATAGGTATAATGTAAACTAATTATACCAAACATTGTTTTGTATTACGAATCAGGGACTAATGATTGAACTGCCCAACACAATAGAGATGAGAAGAGTGCAAAGGAAATTTGAGGTGGAATAAAAAATTGGATAACTCTATCAATGTATTACTGAGGCGATTGTAAACTAGAAGTTGAAAGTCAATTAATTTACGAATAATGATAAACATCGCTACTACCAAGGCAAACCGTGAATATCTCTTTATAATCCATGCTCCAGAACGCCGCGCTGTGATATCAATAGATCCAGTTCTGTATTTATTTGGCCTTCCCCTTGCCTTTTCCTCTTCCCTTTGCAGCTGCTTTGGCAGGGGCTTTAGCAGGCGCCTCCGCTGGTGCTTTTGCCGCTGCTTTTGTGGGAGCTTTCACGGGGATCTTTGATCGGCTTTTCGTCTTTGTTGGAGCAGGAGCAGGAGGTGGTGTTGGCTCTTTGGCAACTTGCTCAACCTCCTCTTCTCCCTCTTCCTCATCATCCACTTCTTCTGGGACTTCGAGCTCCTTGGCTTCAATTTCGTCCTTCTCATCGTCGTCATCCTCCTCTTCATCATCACTCATAAACTCATCATCTTCATCAAAGCCGAAGAAACTCATAGATTTTGGTTTGCCTGGTGTAGATTCCGAAGGTGGAGTTGTGTCGTTTGAGTCTACATCCCCCATAACCTCATCTTCTTCACTAGCGGAGCCATCGGTTCCCGAACCACTGCCTGAAGATGTTGCCAACAAATTGTCTTTATAGTTTCCAGCCTTCATAGCTGCAATGACAGCCTCACGCGTCCTCTCTCCGGCTTCCTCTTTATCCTCAACCCATTTTCCATCCACCTTTCCTTTCGTACCATTCTTAATTTCCTGCTCCCTTCGCTCTGCCAATTCTACAACTTGTTCCCATCGTTTCCTCCTCTCTTCTTTCTCTTTCTTGGCCATTTCCGGTTTGATTGCTAGATATTCAGCTAATGCCTTTGCTTCATTGACTGTTCTTAATCTGCGACCATCCAAATTTCGGCTTGACCCATTTTGATCACCTTGACCCTTCTTACGCTTGGATGACATACGACCTCCTGCTGCACGAAGTTGAGAACCGAAACCTCCTTTGCCACCACATAATCGCGCTGAAAGTCGCAAAGATAGAAATTCATCTTCTGGGTCTGATAATAAGTCCGATATTGGGGAGGATGATTCCACGGAAAGCAATTTATTTGATATGGTTGTGAGAATGAGGCGACGATCTTGAGATGGAATGCGCTCATAAAGTTTGTCTTGAAGCTCTGAAATGGTTGTTGTGTTAGGTAGAGGCAGTGATAAAGTTGGTGGTAAGTTCAATCCAGGAAATGAAGTCAACAAAACGTTGACTATGTGGGAGACCATATTTTCGGTTGACTGTGTCGTTTTTGCAAATAGAATTCGATTATAATCACACTTCGTGAAGACGTTGATGGCTTTCGATATGATAAAACGTTTGAAGTCTTTGTGATAGTGATAAGAAATCCAGAACGCAAGTCCAAGCAAAAGTGGCTGTGATTATAGTCACGTGTAAACACACCAAGCTCGGACCGTTTGGAGCTGTCAGCCACATATTCGCTTGCTAGCGTTTGAACCACACAAATTCAAAATATCAAATTTGAATTGCTTCGACTTTTTTCAACACTTCTCGACACGACAAACTCAACAAGCAACTCGACAAACCGCCAAGATGTAAGATATCAACAATTAGCAATTTATCATAATTGCAGTGGTTGCCAGAATACTAATGTATTAATTTTACAGGCTTATCCCAAAAGCTGACCGCAAGAAGATCCATGAGTACTTGTTCCGTGAGGGAGTACTTGTCGCAAAGAAGGAGTACGAAAACAAGCACCCAGATATCGACACCCGTAACCTTTACGTTGTCAAGGCTTGTCAATCTTTGACCTCCCGTGGATATGTCAAGACTCAATTCTCTTGGCAATACTACTACTACACCCTCACTCCAGAGGGTCTCGACTACCTCCGCGAATGGCTTCACCTCCCCGCTGAGATTGTCCCAGCTACCCACATCAAGGTCCAAAGATCCCACGCTCCTCCTCGTGGAATGATGGGTGGTGACGAGCGTGAGCGCAAGCCTTTCGGTGGCCGCGGTGGACGTGGTGGTGGAGAGCGTGGTGACCGTGGTGATTACCGCAGACGTGAGGGTGGTGAGGGTAAGGAAGGTGCTGCCCCAGGAGAGTTCGCTCCTCAATTGTAAGTTTCACGCATCATTTACCATTTTTTATCACTGGTCAATCCTAACATTTTTTCTTACAGCCGTGGTGGGTTCGGACGGGGACGTGGCCGTGACGGTGCCGCTCCACCATCGTAGATTTACTCTACGTCTTTCTTACGCTTGCTCAATGCATCCGACAGAAATTCCTCATAAATACTTGTATGGTTGGACGACTGGACAGTAGCGCGTTAGGTCGAGTGAAAGTAATCGCCGGGGGAGCATAGGTCGAAGGTGGAAGTTGACACTTCAAAACTGTCAGGTAGCATAATGAGCTTCTTCCAATACCCCTTCAATTTATTATGACGTGAAAACACGGCACTCCCTCATAACTGGTGCTCATTCTTTGCAATTGATTGTATGGTTTCTTGATGTCTCGTATGATTTGAAGATGGTGAAGTTGATTTTGTGATCCAACGAATAGCTCTTGATAAAAGGGTAAGTGTTACCTAATGATGTGGCATTCCCACCAGGAAATGATATTCTAAGCCAAATTCGACTCGGGTCTTTCGGTGATGGAAGGGTAAAGAAAGGTCAAGGAAGGTCAGGACGAACTGATCAGAATCATCAGATCAGGAGGAAAGAGGCCTTAGTAACGGCTTTGCTGTTCAATGTTCATAGGAATTTCGGCCAACGGCTCGTATAAAAGCTGAAAAGTACCCCACCAAAATCCCCGCGATCTTTTCCGACAGTTGACCCACCTAACAGACCGAAAAAAGACAATTCCCCTCTGCGCTACGTAGTTAATATCGTCATCGTACTTCTGCTCGGTCTTATTTTATGTTTATTCTTGACCACAGCACTCCGGATATTCAACACTTCCATAATAATAACATCGATAACTAGGCCATCAACCGATGAGTGAACCATTTTGTAGTGGAGATACATTAAACATTAAAACATTTCCGTCTAGAAAATTGAATGTTGGTAAGGAACGTGGGCTTATTAATCTTCCAATCTCTCACATCCTCGCATGTTGCTACCTGTCGTGGCGTTTAAATGGCTTTGGAAATAGATGTCCGATTGGCGCTCATTACCTTGGTAACGCGCTTTCCATGCCAATTTTGCAGCAGTGTGGGTAGGATTGAGGAAGTATATCCCTACTTTTGGATGGAATTTGATGCTTGTTGCAACTTGCTTCTCCTACCCCTCGCCTTCCTTCCCTTTTCTTTCCCTCAATAATGAGAATAGACAGACATACGTAGTATCCCTGGTAGGTACTCCTCGATGACTACTAAGAGAACTTATCTGATCGCAGTTATTTCGGTAGTATGTACCCATATCATACCAGATAGATCAGCAACGAAATTGATCTCATGATCCAGTACCAAGTATTGTTGAGTAGTAGGCACATATCATGGCTTGAGCTCCAACTCGTATCAACTCATACTAATAGTCTCATACCAACTCACCAACTCACACCTACCTAGTACCTGCTTCAAATTTTGTTCTGGGCCCCGATTGCAAGGAACCAGCCGCTCAGCTAGTCATACAAATAAGATGGAAACATTGAAATGGCGGGGCAATTTATATCATGCATACCAACAACAGGATTATATACCCCACCTTGAAGAAAGCCCGTCCCTTCCTTTTCCATTCCATCCAAGTACATACCTCAACTATAAGAGAGGTAAATAAACCAATCTTCTCTTCTTCCTTTCTCTCTTCCTCTTCATACCATTTCAAAATACCCTCAATAACTTTCAAGATACTCAATACTCAAATCACTTCTTTAATTCATCAATCTCCTTCAAACAATAACAACATCCATCAACATGTCTCTCCCAACTTCCATGAAAGCTTTGAGGTATGTACAGCATCTTGCTTTAACCCAACACTTTCGAGGCACAGCGTCATTCCACAACATTGTGTCAAGCATCAGCACAGTGATTCGATCAATGTATCCAATAACCCGAACTGCAATCCCATTTGAATCATTGAAGATACTTCATTCATTCTGATAGCCATTACTTTATAAAAGGTTGAATGATCAAAATGGTTTCAATATTCAAAAGTGCCTTGTTGGATTGCAATCCGGGTCATTGGCCCAACCTCCACTAGGAGAAGAAAATAAACAAAGGATCAAGGCTAACATAAATAAATTCCAATAGATACTCCAAGCCAGAAGAATACGGAATTGTCGAAGTTCCTCTCCCAAAGCTCCGTGATAACGATGTCTTGGTAAAGGTCAAGGCCTGTGGTGTCTGCGGAACCGATTTACACATCCATGAAGGAGAATTCATTGCAAAGGTATGTGCGAAAAGTTCTTTATATATGTGAATTGGAAGGGATGTCGTTTTGGTTCCCCACCATGACGTTCACCAATTAAGACGAACATGCGGGTTGATAATACGCTCCGTATACACCTGGATGGGTACCTTGGGGGGGGGAGGGGTTCCATACTTTACCTACATTAAGCTAAACACATTGGGACGACTTGAATTATTTTATGAGGGCAAAGGCTAATATGACGTATTATAGTTCCCTCTTATTCCTGGTACGCTATATTTCCTTCTTTGAACTGGTTGCTTCGTCTACTCGATTTTGTTTGGCTGGTGAAGGCATCTGCGTCTCTAGGCGAATGTAATGATACATGATACATGATACATTTGGTCGGAGCCATGAACACAAACTTTCTTAGAAAAACATCCTCCAGTAGAGGGTGGTGATACACAGACTGTTCTGATTCAGAATTCTACATGGATCCAGTCGGAAGAGTTCCCACTTTTCAGCTACCCGCAACGCTACATCCTTTTAAGACTGATCAGATGTCTAACATGGGATTCTATAGGTCATGAAACTGTCGGTGTTATTGCTGCTACTGGACCTAAGGTTAAGGGCTTCAATGTTGGTGACAGAGTTGTAGCTGAGTAGGTATCATTCAACCATGTCATTGTACAACATACTAACCTCTTCACAGTAACTCCGAACTTTGTGAGGAATGTTTCTACTGCCGTCGTGGCCAACTCTTGCTTTGCGAGAACTTCAACGCTCACGGTGTTACTATGGGTAAGCTCATTGTCCGTTACAATCAAGTTACAAAGCTAATTACAATGCAGATGGTGGTTTTGCAGAATACTGTGCCTACCCAGCCGCCAAGGTTTTCAAGATCGAGAACCTCTCAGATGTTGATGCGACACTCCTCGAGCCAGCCTCATGCGCTGCTCACGGTCTTGAGAAGATTGCACCAAAGATGGGTTCTACCGTTCTCATGTTCGGTGCTGGACCAACTGGTCTTGTGCTTGCTCAATTACTCAGACAAAATGGTGGATGCAAGGTCGTCCTCGCTGCACCAGGTGGTCTTAAGATGGAACTCGCCAAGAAGCTCGATGCTGCTGATATCTACATCGAACTTTCTCGTGATAACCCAGAAGCTCAATTCCAAAAAATCAAGGATGAGTACAAATATGGTTTCGATATCGTCGTTGAAGCTACCGGAAGCGCTAAGATCCTCGAAGATGCCATCAACTACGTTCGTCGTGGAGGTAAGCTCGTTGTCTATGGTGTCTACAGCAGTTCTGCTAGAGTTACTTGGCCACCATCCAAGATCTTTGGTGATGAGATTACCATTCTTGGTTCTTTCTCTGAAACTTATATGTTCCGTAAGTTTACAATCTACTTATATGTGTACATGAATTCTGTTGCTAACAATACATAGCTGCCGCTATCGATTATCTTGATTCGGGCAAGGTCAAGGTTGAAGGTATTGTCAACAAGACCTTCAAGCTTGAACAATGGGGTGAGGCTTTGGAATCTATCAAGAACAAGAGTGCTATTAAGGCAGCTATTGTTTTTGATTAGATTGTTTGTAAGATTGGGAGTCAAATAAAATGACATAATGGAATGTTTTGCCCAGACATTTGGGATATACCTTTTAAAAAGAGCTCTTTTAGCTAGATTCGAATTATCTCCATAGAGATAGATTACTTATGATTGAATGAAAAATAATTTACTTTTTGAACTTCTGTTTTCATTTGAGTGAGATTTTGTCGAGTGGTATTGGGTTATTGAGTCTTTGTGAATGGCCTGTAAGCCAGTGAGTGTAAGGTTTGGTTTCGAGGATTTAAATTGATCGGATGTTTCTTACTCCTGAATATAAAAACATGGCTTTATATTCTCATTTATATTCATCCACTAATCTTTTCATTTCATATCCCACATAATTTCATTTCTATCTCCCTCTATCCCCCCTCACCTCTCCCCTTCCCCCCTCTTCCCCTTCCCTCCCCATCATCTAAAATAAACCACCATCTCCTCCGCCAACTCAACCCCCACCGCACTAACCAAACTCCGCAATAACTCCCTTGATACTATTCGCATCCATGATGCTTTCAGTCTCCCAATTAATTAATTCGTGGGTTTCATGATCGGTTTTTCCGATGCGGATTTTGATTTTATCGAGGGGGGCTTTGGTGAGGATTTCGCTGGGGGTGAGGAGGCCTGGCATTGGGGGGGAGCGGGCGAAGATTGGGGTTTGAGAGTTTGAGTCGGAGTCGGAGGATGAGGGTGTGGATGTGGGTGTGGATGTGGATGAGTCTTGATTTTGATCTGGAGGTTCAGGAGTTGATTGAGTCTCGCTGACATATTTCCTCTCGTTTAATTTCCCCTTTAATTTTTCATCAAATAAGATCCAGGAATATGTTTCCGGGTCTAGTACATATTGAGGACTGTAATCCCCCTTATATCTCATTTTCACACAACTATGTATGTAAAACCCCGCGTACCAATATTGATATTCTTTCTCTTTCGCGAGGGAAATTTCTCGCAATGCGCCTAGTTTTCCGAAACCGTGGGAATGCACGGATTCATCGTACATGAAGTATACTGCGCTGACGCATTGTGGGAGGAGATCAAGAACACCGACTGCGATTAATTTTCCATCGAGACGGTAACATTGGTGATAGGATCCTAGGGGTTTGGTTTTACCATTGATGGTTTGGGTACTGCGGGGTAAGGGGGAGGAACAGAGGAAATTCTTGAATCCTGCTTTGCTGATTTTACTAGGTGGGTCGTGATGAACTATTCGTTGATAATTTTCAAAAATAGTATATTTCTCCTCTGTAAACTCGTCGGTTTCTAATGTAACGGTGAAAGAATGAGCTGGTTCGGGGGGTGTCTTGATTTGTTCCTTTTCTCCCTCGTGGATTCTTTCCTGAAGATCAAATTCCGTATTACGTTTTTTGGCTTGCTCGCGTGTTTTGGGGTATAATCTTGCTGCTTCCTTTGTATAGGTAGGTCCTAGGATAAAGTTGTTGAAACGATTGACAACTTGTCGTTGATCTTTGGTTGGGTGGAATTGATCGGAATCAAGACGGATGGTATATTGTGGACAACAGGATTTCTTTAGATCTGGTTTGTAGAGTAAGGTACCTGAGCGCCTCCATCCTCGATCGAGAAGACTTTGGTAAAATTCTGGTTGTAATTTTTGAGTTTTGGCGTAATACGAAAAGCCTAGAGATATAAATGAATAAAAGGTCTTTGCGTGATATGAAAAATTGACTCAAGCCATTGAGCTACAAAGGTAGAAGGTTAATACGGAGTTGAAGCAGAGGCACATGTGATGGAGAAGCTAGAACATGATACTCCAGTAATACATTTAGGTGAGTGGTAATTGAAATATGTAACTAACTTCCTGAATTATTGTGACAATATCCACAACTATTGTTACTGTAGCCTAGAGATGGAATGAATCAAGTCAGTAAGTAAGTTAATCATTTTCATCATATTATTCATTTTCAAAAAGAACTAAAATCTGCAGTGACATTTGAATTTCGTGCTACAATATAAGCCGGGTGAAGATATCTTCGAGTCAAATGTGGCACCGGGGAAGAGGAATTGAATAAGTTCATTGGAATGATCGTCATGAATATGGAGTGTAACACTTGTGTGACTTTAGGTTCTAAATTTTGGTTCAGCCGTGTTTCTGGGAACTGGATGAACTAGATGAAGTGGGGTTATGGTTAAACCATGATGAAGGAGATGGTCATGGTGACCAATAATTATCTCTTTCAAATTTCTAGTGATATACTCGGAAAGTATACAATGTAAGATGTACGATGTAAGATGTAAGATGTATGTAGTACCACTACTAAGTAGGTACAATACACATTTTGTACAGGATACAGGATGCAGTATGCAGTGTGACAAAGAAAAGGAAAATGCAGATAGGAATTAGAACATGGTATAGTAACGGAGAGAAGAAAATGAATATCAAAAATGGATTGTCATCGAGCCATTTACCCACGAGGTCAATTTATTGGCCAATGATGAAAATCCAAATCAAGATTGGGGGCCGTTTTCTATCTTGCTAGCTTTTGCAATAAATGAACGTTGGAACTTACCCAGGGGCGAAAGAAGCGAGACTGGGGCTTGCATGACGCGGAAACAACCAAAGGTGACAAGACCTGGTGGATCGATATTGGCGATGAGATGATATTTTATGAATACAGGTACGAGGAGAGTATTCGTCGGGTTGAAGTGGCAGAGTTTGAGAATGAGTGGAAATGGTCTTCCTTGTGAGTAAGAAGTGGGAAGAGAGGGAACAGAGAGAAGAGAGTGGTAGTCAGTGCTAGTCAGTGGATTTATGACTGTCAACCCCGTGTCCAAGAAAGATGGTAGAAGACTAGAATGAAGTTTGAATATGGTAAGTTAATTGTTCCAACAGCAATACTTAATTCATGCCTTCAAACAATGTGTAATAAATGCGTAATAGTGAATAACCAATGGCGTAGAGGTTTCTCGCTGGTGGGGATAACACACATACTTTGATATGATTTGGTGGTGCTGTGTTGATCGATATCGTATGTAAGGTTACTACTATACGATAGCACGATAGTATGATTGATGAATGATGAGTGATGAATTTAAATGCTGTGACTGACGGGTAAACAAGCCCGCTTCCGTTTACTGCTCGCGGCTTTTGCGGCTCGATTCAAATCGGTTTGTTGTTCCACAGCTTTGAAGGAATATCGGCGAGAGTAAAGTGTAGGTAGGTAGGCAGCTAGTGGTTGATTGATTGGAGATAAGAAATTGTGTGTACTATGTATGTTGTATGATACTACTAACTGACTGTACTCAGGATCATCGTATGGTAAAAAGGTAAATCATAACTAAGTATTAAAACTCAATAACGCGTATACCAGTAATTCCCTTCCTAGTGTTGTGTTGAAATCTACCAAATAGCTGACTAGGGGGAAGACCAGGAAACGAGATATATTGAGGAAACTCCGACTCGGTAAACCTCAATCAGTTATAGTATAGATAGATGAATATATAATTATGAAGATACTGTAGATATATTACGGTCATCAAGATTGAAGTTGTTTGATGCAGAAATACAGGCTAATTAATCCAGACTACATATCCGTACCTGGAATGTAAGACTTACTAAGCTCGATTAAGTGTGATGTGATGAATGCATTCACCATTTCCATGCGTAATTAGAACATTGGCTATCATTATAGTTAACTCATTGAAGCATGCATACCTAGGTACTAAAAGTTCTTTAGATATATCTAGGTCGGTATATTTACTAAATCAATCGGTAAAGAATCACTGTTGCAATATAAACATTGTCGATGTATAGATCTGATGAGGGCACTATTATAATTGTTAATAACATACAAGAAGTGTTCAAGAATGAATCATTTCAAGTACATTAGCCACTTACTACATTCATTATTATAGAATATCCTCAACAAGTAAACTATAAATAATACCGTTTTAGGTGTTTATCTAACTACACTGTTTTATCTAATCATTCGATTCCGAGACCGATACTGGGAAAAAGGCACGAGACATAGAACAATAGTATCAAAATCATCCAAGCTAGAACGAGCCTTGTTTTTCTCTCTCTATCCTTTCTCTTTGACCTCCTTTCCTCCGAAATTTCTTTTACACAATCCTGAAAAGGCTTACAGTTTAATTAGAAACTAGTGGGTGTTGTTGTTGTGGCAAGCCTTGCTGTCTGTACCTGACAGAGTAGTAACCTTAACATCCTCACAATCAGTCAATTCAGATTCAATTCGATTCAATCCAAAACTTCAAAGGAGGATCAAATTTACACACAACTCAAGCCCTTAACCCTTTTTCCTTTTCTTTTTTTCCCAAAGCTCGAATTATCTGATACATTTCCACAACATAGTGACAATCAATTGAAATTAAATTAAGTTTTTCTCAATTTCTACAAAAATTACCAATTTCCGACCGATATTGAATATCCAAGTACGATAACATGCACGATTGCGCTTCTTGATCCTTTTTTAAGAAAAAAAAAAGTACAGTAGCCTACTTTCTCGCAGCCGAACTTGAACTTTATCTCCAACGAACTTCTCTCAATCATTCGATTCGCAACAACAAATTGTGCTTCCTGCACTGTGCATCAGCACCCTACAGGTGAAGCATCGCCTTCATCATGGCAACTGGTCTTCCTATGGAGTCTCGGACTGGGAGAAATAATCAACGTACGTTTGCAATTCCACCATGATATTTGGCGCATCGTATCACACCCCCTACATTCCCCTAATTTCCAAATCCGGAAAGTTCGTGGACTTACATTTTCTCTTTCGGATCTAGGTTATGGCCCAGAAGGAGAAAGACTCGTTGCAGGAGTGGTGCCTTTGAACGAAGCAAAAACTCACGTCCTGCTCATACAATCGACTCGTCGGAACGCATGGGTCCTACCTAAGGGGGGATGGGAAACCGATGAAGAATGCACCGAAGCGGCACAACGTGAAGCATGGGAAGAGGCAGGAATAGTCTGTACCGTCGATTATGATTTAGGTCAGATCACCGAGACTAGAACTGCAAAGCAAATCTCGAAGAATGCACCCAAAGCACTCTACCAATTCTACCAAGTCACTGTCACCAGCGAGGAAAGAGAATGGCCAGAAATGCATAAGAGGAATCGAAAGTGGGCGACATATTCAGAGGCAAAGCAGGATCTTCAAGAACGTCCAGAGTTATTACAGGCTCTTGAACGTTGCACCATTCAACGGTAGCCTTGGGGGCCCGGTGTTTATGCTCCAACAATACCTGTGGGCGTCTGTGGACGGTCGCGAACGACCACACACGGGGCACGTTGTACGATATACTATATATTTCTATCCGATCGAGTCGGAATTGAGCAAAAATAAGTTTGAGGTCGATCGTATACGCCACTGCCAATGTCAGTTATTCGACAGAGTTATGGATACCGGGTTCCGTCGAACAATAAGTCAAAAATTATTTTGAAGATTTTATATTGGGTTGGTCGGTTTTCTTCAAGAAAATTGTTGCTTTACTCTTATTATTTTCGTCTGCACTAGATGGCAAAATGAAGTCGGATCTAATGCAGTGTGTTCTCACTCGCTCACATGTCTCATGGTCAATTCTCCTGTCTGTTGAACATCTTTTTGGTACTCGACAGCTTCATTATCATATTTACCAAAAAGCGCCATGCCATATAACATTTTGAGATCTTCACTGACGTACGTACTTGAGTACCAACTGTACTGTCCTTGCTATATCTAATGAAGTGGGCATTGTTTTTACTACTAGCCCATTGAGTATTTCAATTAACATTCAAAACAAAGAGAAGAAAGATGGGTTGATTGATGTTGAATTAATATATGATAGAAATACAGATCAATATTATCAATACTAGTATATCTAGAGAGCAATCATCATTCACACGGGAGTTCGAGAGACAATTTCATCAATGTCAAGATCTGCAGAACTATTAGAACTATTAACACCAGAATCTAAAGAGCCATGTCATTTATCATGGGATTCTCTAGCACAGTCCATTATTTCAAGGCAATTTTCTGAAGATCTTATGATATTTCGTTTTTAACTCTTCACTAGACATTTAATGATGGAAGGGACATTCATTCAGTATATTCGATAACCTTAGGAATGGGTACACAGTACGACTATTGGATTCTTTCACTCTATTACCTTTTATAGAGAAATAAACATTTAAAATAGACCGCAAAATAATAACACAAAGCAAAAACCTTACACTTTATTGTATTTTAATTCTGATTCTGATAACTATTTTGACCTCATTCTCCTCACAAATCTTTGCTTAATTCCAACTTCGGTGGGTGCATCTATCAACCGATTGGTCACTATCCATCACAAACATCACCGAATCTTCAACTTGCACACTATCCAACCGCACCATTCACCTCTTCACAAACCTCAACTTTCCGAGTTTATATCACCAACATTGCGGAATGGATTGGTGGAGATTCTCACTATTACGATAACCAACTTTTATCTTCAGAAACAAACTATATGGAGCACCAACCAACATATCAAGGCCCAGAAGGAGGGGCAGAGATGCCAGCTCTGGGAGCTGGAATACCTCCTCCAAATCAGCAACTCCCTGCGCAAATGTTCACGACAGCTGCGCAATTACTTGACTTGACTGATAGTAAGCATCCCTGATCTGCGAAGCTATACACGAAAAACTAGTTGTGATATGGCTACTTGCATGAGGAATCTACTAGCGGCGGATCTATGTCTTCAGAATATGCACAGAAGGTACCTTTTGTGGCGGGTGCATATGCTAATCATCGTCTTTACTATACAGAAAAACTTATGATTTCACTTCGCGATGGCAGAAAACTTATCGGAATACTTCGAAGTTGGGATCAATTCGGTATGCACATCATTTGTCCATAAACATATTTTTCCGTGTCACATCAAACATTCTAAACTCCCAACCACAGCAAACATAGTACTACAATCCACCGTCGAGCGTATATTTGTCGCACCACCTTCTCCCTCTACTCCAGGTGCGGTCACACAACCGGGACTATACGCCGATGTACCTCGAGGACTCTTCCTCGTCCGCGGCGAGAACGTTTTACTTCTTGGCGAAATAGATCTGGATAAAGACGATGATGCACCACCAGGATATGAAAAAGCAGATGCGGAATTGGTGCACAAGTTGGACAAGGAGAGGAGAGCCCTGGATTCGAAGAAGGATAAGAGTAGACTTAAGAAGCTAGCGGAGCTGGGGTTTGAGGGCGAAAATTCTGGGGAAGCAATATTTGGATGATTATAAGCGGATTGAACCAGGTTATACGGGAGTAAGGTGGGAGGGGATTCAAGCGGGAAGTAACGAATGGGGACAGATCAGAGATGTGGTTAAAAACACAAGGCCGAATATTGTGAAAGGCTAGCTGGCGATTTTTATCAGTCAGTCGTGGCAGATCTATGAGAGATAACCACAACAAACATTTTTTCCTTCTTCTCTAGAACCTTTTTCATGAAATTCGTGCGAATGGAGTATGCGAAAGGCCTAATGAGCAATCACGCCTAGTGTATTCAAGAGCAAGGTACTTCCTAATTCAGAGAATGAACTCCGATCAAGCAACTCGGAATTGTGACTACAGGAAGGCTTGAGTTTATTAAATCTTAAAGTCAAATATCAGAAATTGAATAGTGAAAGAGGCCTTCCTTTCAATGCATATATTCGACCCAATGTCCGAGAACAAGTCGGTGTTCTGGAGTTTGAAGATTAATGTAAGTTTGAAATTCCTTATTTATGCTCATTCTTCGTAGAATGGAATGAATCTAAGTGTACGAGTAACATCTACACAAGCATTTGAAAATTATCTACCAGTCAAGTGAAACTAGTGCTTTTCGCATATTATTCCCCCTTTTGATATCTTTGCTGAAGTATCAGTTCGTGAAAACCCGCAGCAGGGTGCATGAAAAACGTTTTATAAGGCGTCGGGAAAATGGAAGAAAAAGAAGAAATAATAGAAGAAAATCGTTACACTAGAAGACTTCAGACGGAACTGCAGAAATGATGGCTGTTTAGAATGCATATCAAATTATTTACTAAGTAGTCTAAGTGGAGGTTTTATTCGGTCAATCCGTTCATCACTTCGTGGTATATGCTTGATAAACTGAAAGTCGAGTAGCTATTCACAGACTAGATCCGCTGATCAGAAACACGTGCTACGATTTTCCATCATAACTTCTTCCCCTTTTTTCCCGAATCGCTTATACACCTGGTATGTAGTCCATCCCATCATTTAACGTTCTCTCCGGATGTGAACTAGGAAATAGAGAATGTTTAGAAATTAAATAAGCTTCGATTTTTTTTCTTCTGGTCTCCTTCTAGATCATTATGCACAATCCTCCGAGCGCAAATGTTGAGATGAGATTTGTGTCATGCGTGGATGTGTGGGAACAGGGGTAGAGGGACTTGGGAATTCATGCATACTTACTCACATAGAGGGGTGAATTGTATTGGCATTGATGGATGAGAGATGTAAATGGGTAGGACCTTGCTTTGGACGTATCACTCGGGAAATTTTGAGATGGGGATTCGGTAGAGAATTGTTCGGGATGGGAGTAGTGGGCTTGAGCATGACCTGCTAATCTCTGTGATATGAGGAACTATTGGATTTTGGGGACCTGCCGTTTCGCGCGGTGGAGAACGAGATGAGCGGTTGGGATGTGTGGATCTTTGGTTCTTTGGAGGGGTATATTGAGATTGTTGGATGAGTGATGACGGAATGCTTTTTGGGGGTTCTTATGAAGGAGGAAGTTCGCTCTTTTTTTGAGAGATTGTCTTGAGCAGTTGTCAATTGGAAGATTTTCTTGAATATTCAGATACCCAGATACCCTTATTCAATCACTTCTTTGGACTTCGACTTCGACTTTGTCGTATTTATTACTCTTACAATCTTCACTCCACTCAGAAATCATAATCACATACTCTCACATAACACCCGCAGCACTCTCGCTCCGGGTCTCTAAAAATCCTTCAAAATCTTTCACTCACGCCCCCGTCAAAGACCACATATAACCAGTCGACTCCTATCCATCCCCATTCGTCCCTGCAGTTCTTGCTCAAGATCAAGAACTAACTCAAACATGTCTTCTTCCACTTCAACCACAACACCCATTCCCGCACCCACAAACACTATTAATCCTCTTCCTGCTACCCCTGCTGAAGCTGCTGCTGTAGCCGCAGCTGCAACAGCTAGTGGACCAGCTGCCTCTGGAACAGCACTCGATTTGCATTCGCAAACTGAAGATGCAGCACGTCAGTATAAGGATGCGCAAAAGGCGGAGAAGGCCTATGGAGAGAAAAAAAAATGTATGACTGCGAGGAAGGATTGGTATGATTGTAAAGTACATTTTGCAGCTGGAGTGCAGGGGTTTAGAGAGGGAGGGAAGTGTGTGGGGAGGGTGGTTAAAGCGGGTCCGAGTCCTGGCAAAAGGAGAAGGTTAGGGGTGGGAGGGGAAAAGGGGTGTAGGGCGTGGATAGTGCTAGTCCCGGGGGGAGTGCTGTGTTGGAAGAAGCAGAAGATGATAAGAAAGGTGGCGGTGGTGGGGGGGTTAAAGCGAGGGTTTTGGGGTTGAAGGAGAAGGTTTTGGCGGTTAAGAAGAAGAGGGCTAAGAAGAAGATTACTAAAGCTGATGAATCTGATGCCACGACTACAAATGAGGCTGCAACTGCAGCTGCAACAACAACAGGAGCTGCGCCCGCTGCCCCCATCACATCAACCCCAACGCCAATGGCAGCGGCAGCGGCAGTAGCAGCATCAGCATCAGCACCAACACCAACACCAACACCAACCAAACAAGAAAAAAAGAGAATGACTCTGGATCAGGTGAGAGATCGAATCCTTTCCTACCGTACCCATTTCTTCTCAGCGGACGAAGATGAAGAAGAGGTGAACATGGCTCCTCGAATAGCAGGTTGGATGACCTATTTTTTACCATTTCACATTCTCCTTTTCTCCCTCACATTACCAACTTTCACTTTTGAATTTGCATTGAGAGTTTTAGATGAGGAATCATATGAATATGAGCATATAGAAGAAGAAGAACATGCTAATTGAAAATTTTTGGTAAAATAGAGAATCCAACAAGAAGAAGCCAAAGCGCTCGCAAAGCGGGAAGCGGAAGTCTCGGCTGCAGACGCGGTAGTTATGAGGGGAGAAGTCCCGGCGCAAACGCAAATTCAAACACGAGCACAAGCGGCGCCAGTAACAATATCGCAAACATCGACATCCATGAGCAATCCCCCGCAGTTACCGCAGAGGTCGCAGTTGAGTCCTCCAGGGTCACCGACGAAATCGACCATGGAACCTATCCGCGAGGACGGGGAATCGGCTCCGGTGTTGGGGGAGACGGTACCCTTGGTGAGCGGGGGGAGGGGAGAACAGTGAGTGAGAGTAGTGGGGTTGGGAGTGGAAGTGGGAGTGGGAGTGATAGCAGGAGCGGAAATGGAAATGGAGAAGCAGTGGGATTAAAAGCTAGAGTGGCTTTTATGGTACGTGGACGATTGAGGGGTGGTGACATTGATACTTCGAGAAATGTGACTTCTTCTACTATTCCTACTACTGGAGAGGTGGTTAGAAATGGAAACGGAAATGGAAATGGAGATGAGAATGAAAAAACCAAAACGAAAACGAAAAAATCATCAAAAGACAAAATTGTCGCGCATTTTAAACATCACTCTCGATGGATGAAATGTGGGAAATTATATTATAATGAACAGGAAAAGGAAAATGGAAGAGGAAATGGAAAGAGTTTCTCCCAATCGGGAAAGCTTTCAACGTCGAAATTGAGATTTGATCTTTTTATCTCGAAGATGAGGGATGTGGGGGGGAATGCGATGGGTTGGGTTGGAGGGTTGGTGGTGGGTGGGTTTGGCGGGGGTGAGTGGGTTGTGGGAGAGGGTGGGGAGGAGAGTTGGTGGGGCGAACGGGGGGTAAGGGCAGCGCACGGGGAGAAGAAAGACAGGGAAAGGGAAAGAAGAGTTAGGTTTCCGAGGTGGAGTAAAGGGGGAGGGTTTTCTAGCGGTGGGGGTGGTATGTTTTTATGAGAAAGGGTTTGATGGTTTGATGGTTCACGAGTATATTCCACGTTGATGATGTTTCTGATTTTATGGTTATGGTTATGTTTATGATTTTCTGATTTTATGTCTACGAGTATGAGGTTTTGTTTTTAGTTTTGCTGTTAGTTTTAGTTCTTAATCATGCTTTATATTTGTTATTCTTTTTTATCTTTCTATATATTTTCTTCTCTTTCATTTCTTTCGATATCCATCTTTCCATTCTTAGATTTTTCAGTTTTTCAGTTCTTTAGTTCTTTTAGAGGGTAATCACGGCAGATATATAGATAAATAAATAAACAGTACATGAATGAATATATATACAGTATAGTTTTGTTTCCCACTATAACTTTCTCCATTTATTTTCACATTTTCTGTAAAGAAGATGCTGTGGATGAAATATCTCTTAATGTCCAGTATTATAATAATTCAAGAAAAACATTAGAATCTCTGTAGAACTTGAACTAGGACATCGATCAAATCCCTTCCCTTTAACGTTCCCATCTAATTAATAAATATCCCCCTGCCCAAAAAAAGTTATATCAATCTCTATTCCCCCCTCGTTAAAACTAATATATAATCTTAGATTTCCGCTCTTTATTATACTATTATATTATATCTACAAAAATAACCAATTCTCAGTCCTTAACACAATACTCAACAATAACAAAAAAGATATTATATAGATATTAAAAATACACTCTTCTACTCAATAGACAAATGGGTATGTATATATATATGCTTAAGCGAAAAGAAACAGAAGACAAAGGAGTCAAAAAATACCAATGTGGAAATAAACGATTCGAACTCTAGCTCGTAAAGGATATCCCAGACCATTATTAGCCGTGTCACTTTGATTAATTCACTATATAAGATATGGGAGGCAGCATATGGTGGAGAAAGATAGAGAGAGGAACGACTTTAACGGCAGCAGATATGTGTAAAGTCAAGTATATTTGGTAGAAGCGGTTCAAGAGCTTTATCCTGGTGTTGATCGGTGTTGATAACACAAGGAATATCGTTACAATAAATAGAATAAAACAAAATCACGAAGATAGTTATTCATACTCACAACAATTTTAACAACTTTCTCCTCAATGCACATTTTTTGACATGGAATCTGCACTTTTATAACAAGTGACGATGACGATATCTTCATAGAGTCTTTGAAATATTCAAAATCAAAAACTCAAAATTAGATAAGTCGAATTCATTCAACTAGCAAAAAGTATCATTTCTTCCCAAGGCTCTAGTCATAATGATTCCACGCACTGCACTGCTTGCCCTTTCACTTATCTCATAATTTCGTCTGGATACTTTCAAACTTCCACTAACATAAAATGATTGATTATATAGTTTCATACGGGTGATCCTACTATAGTCATTGACCATAACAAGAGCATTCTGATGAACCTTTGAGTAGCCAGGCTTATATCCAGCCCGGAGCTGAATGACCCTTCGGTTATCTAGTGGCTCCTATTCTACATAGTGAGGATTGGACCTGAATAAAATATTGCTCAAATCAGCCCTCTTTCTGGATGGGTCATTCGCGAGGAGGGAATCAAGCCAATGAGCGGGAGGTCCTTTATTTGTTTCGATGCATTGCTGACCTTGGGGAAGAACTAGCTTCTCGTAGTCTAAATTTATGCTATATGTTTGCTGAAGAGTCCATACAGAATGTTCTGTTTTTGGGGTGGCTTCAGACTTTGATAGAAGTAGGTCTATGTGTCTATAAATATCTTGATACGAGTGTTCGACCATCTTATGAGAACACAATTGCTTTCACATAGTCATTCAACTTTGCTTTCAGCATATTATTGAGAAAATGTCTGGATGTGGCATAGGCAGGAGCATAGGATCTTGGTAACGTCTTCGAATGAGTTGAGAACTAGTAGTTGCTTTGAATCCAGTAAGGATGTTTTTCCCCCAAGTGTCCGGATAGCCATCTAGTCTCTGTATAAAAACGGGATCCGCAGAGTGACGTCTATTGTCCTAATCATGCCATCACTAAAGTCCAAGAACTGTTGTCAGCAGATAACGATACTAATTTAGGATAGTCATAGCGACCGAATGCTTCTACTGTCTACATTCTGCTGTCCATATTGGTTCCACCTTTAAACTCACATGAATCCTTCGGGTAAAATGGTCTATGAATGCTTTCTTCAATAGGCTTTTCTCAGTAGCAAAAATTAAAGCCGGGGAATAAAGCTGCGCAGGTGGACCAGCAACAATCGCTCTCTTTCCCATCAAAAATCGTTTGCATCTTGAAGGAAGAAAGATAGCTCAGTTGTATCTGTATTTCCATTCTATTACCATCAACAACATTAGCTCAAGCCGGGCACTTAACATGAAGAGTCAAGACTCAATCACTCAGAACTTCAGCATAATCAATATAGATTGAAAGACAATACCTTTTAACCTTCACAAAATCTAGATCCCGAATAAAATAATCATATGGGACTTAGGCACCGTAATGCTATGCTATAGCCACCGGAACAAAAAAAATAAACAGGACAATGCGGCGAACACAATTGAATTAAACAAACAAAACTGCCTGGACAAAATGAAGTCACGAAGCTAACTTACCGCAAGTGATTGTAATATGCTTATGAACCCAAAAACTTTTGATGACTCGCTCAAATGGCATAAAGCCTCTAACCATGTGTGTAGTGTTTCCAGAGAAACACATCAACATCACCTTCGCCCGAAATACAAAGTCCCCTGCGTTGTAAAGGATTGACCCAATAACGGCAGGCATACTGAGGATGCCCATACTCGATCAGTAGGTGCTTAGGAATACTAGCTTCTAGTTCCTCAAAGCCACAATTATGCACATCTAAAGTCTTATTTTGTAGGATGTTAAGGCATTGATGGGAAAGTTTTCCCTGAGAGTACTTTTCGGAAATCCGAAATGGATATGGAGATATCAGCGTCGATCAAGAATAAAAGTCTCGAACGATTGGCGAGTCAATTGTGTGGTGGTGTTATCTTCGCCTCTGTGTCTTTTCGTGATATCAAAAACAGAATATAGAAGCTTTACTGCACCGTTATTATTGTCGAGTCTTTTGTAAAGCAGGCGAGCCAAATCAATCTCTGAAAGATGATCGATGACTGTCAGAACGCGCACACAACTGGCTTAAACAGATCGATAGACTCTTGGTATTCAGCGCTGATCTTACAGAATTGTGACATAATTTCCTGGTATAAATGGTCGAGCGCCTGTGATGGGAATGAAGACCTGTACCTCTTTCGAGTATAGCCTGCAAGAGCTGTTTGGCATTCTTTCCTTCATCTATATACCGACATACGATCGCTACATAGATAAACAACCAGATCGTCGACAGAGTTCATAGATGCTCTCTTCTCCCTGCCAATGCTGGCTGTTGCTTCCTTCTTGGCCAGATAATTCATCATGCTCTTCAAATACCTCTTTTGTACGAGCATGTATATAGATAGGAACATCATCACCCTATAAAAATCGCCGCCCTTCAATAAGCAAACTAAAGTAAACACAGTATATTGCACATCTCATAAATACACAAAAAATACATACACCGAGTATCTGCACGAAAGCTACCTCGCCATAGTTCTCTATTAGTAAATGTAGCATGTATGTATGCCTGTATGTCTTCATGTACAGTAGACTCTGAATCCTAAGTTTCGAGAACGGAAAAAGCTGAAACACTTAAGCAACGAGATTGAATATTACGCTCTTGCGTATATTCATTCCAAGCTTGGCAACATTGAAGAATCGAATCTTCACCTGGATCTAGAATTAAATCTTCTCACTTGGCTCACAGTACTTAACATCTCAATCGAAAAAAACAAATTCACATTTCCATATCAAAGCCATCTCCATGTCCTGACCATTCAACAAAATATCATATCATTGCTCAGCTTTCATTACAGAAAGGGGTATGTCCTTTAAACAAACACCAAAAGATCCAGACGCCGGACACTAAATGCTTTCTATGCCTTTTCGGCAGAGAACAGACTTGCGATACAATATGTGGCAGGTAAATACCTCACCCCTGATTATATTAACATACAATTACTTTATTTATCCTTTGAAAACCACGGGAATTTCTTCTTCACGGGCTCTGCAGCTCCAGATGCACTTTCTACTTGGAGACTTCGTTGGTATATATCCTAGTGAAAATGATTAGCATGTGCATTAAGGATCATTCAAAATGGGAGAGGGAAAGACGAATGAAGGAAAGATATAGTACGAACCTCATCATCTGTAGGGATAAGACAATCCAGAATGAGGAGTCGTACCTGCCCATTCTTGGTGAGATTTGGATATGGCGTAGTTTGACTCTTCATAATGGGTAGAATAACCTCGGACAGAACTTCGAATTTCTTCCAGTTGATTCTCTCTCCGTTTGCCCCAATGAAAGTGCGACTTCCCTCCTCGGCTGAGACAAGGTCACGCCGAGTTAATGGAATGAAGGGAATACGAGGTAATGGAGAATTTTCCCATGCCAAACGGTATGCGAAATGACTCTTTTGAGTACCCATCAACAAGACTAAGCGGGCAAAGCGCTTTTGGACATCCGGAGGAACCAGATTTCGAGTTTGTGTGAGGCGATGTATTGCAGTTCCATTGATCCCTGCAAGAACAGCCGCCAGACCATTGTAATTGTTCAATTGCCGCAGCTTCAGTGCTATATTCATGAACTTCTCCAGTATGTGTGCTCTGTGCTTGGCTTTGTCTCGCATCAGAATCATATTAGCAACCCATTTCGCAATATGGTTGAAATGATTTATCATGCGATTTACGTTGGCAAGACTTTTGCATTTCTCCTTCTGGTTGAGTGAAAGGCTAACATGTCGAACCAAATCTCGAAGACGTATAGAAGAAAACATAACCCAGTCTATCCTGGTCATCTCATCAGCGAGGTCGTCATCGGGTATCTCCATAAACATGTGATATCTGTGTTTAGATAATGGTAGAATTCCCTTAGGTGTCATCTTGGCAGCCTCTCTCTCGTAATCCTCGACTGTAAGGAATGCAGGCGTATTAAGGTCCGGTTGAGATGACACTCGACCGGAGAAAAAAGAATCCCCCCTCGATCCTTTCAGCTCTATTTCACTGACGTCATCTTCTTGTACTAATGTGGACATATCAGTTTCGTATCCTCCTTTGGAATTGGTTCTTGTAGTCGTAGGAGAAACGGGCGCTGATTCAAGTTCCTTAGCATGTTCGTTGTCAACATCAGCATCCGTCCTGGCCCAGCCTGTGTCATCATCCTTTACTACACGAGATTCTAATTGAGTCCTCATTTCCTGCGCAGCAGCAGCAAAAACGGGATCCGAAGCTAATTGATTGATAAACGCGTCTAACTTGCGACTTGTTGAAGGACTTGCAAAATCCCCTGGATAACTCGAAACCCATTTAGCAACCACGGTAATTATCCGAAGTTGAGTTGTTGTTCGTGTTAGATAATGGATATTTTTATCCTCTGCTAAGCGTCCCAGTCGGTCCAATACTGCATCGAATAGCTCACCAGGAGCGGCAAATTTCCGATACAGACATAGAAATATCTCGGAAAAGTTGACGTCGGCTCTTGACATGTGTTGTCCAAGGAGTCGGTCAACAAGCTCTTCGAAAGTTACACCAGCCACCTTAGCAGGTTTATCGAAGAAAGTATCGTCACTACGCTGGAGAAGTGGTATATCGTCGGAATATCGGTATGAGGGATCTGCATCCAATTCCTCAACGTAGGGTGAAGTGTTAGTGCTAATGCTTCCAATACCAGGGATGATGGGGCTGAACGTACCTTTGGGCCTAAGGGTAGCCTGGGGCTAGGCCTAGAATGGTCCAATAGATTTTCACCTCGCAAAGCCGGATGAGCAGAAAGCGGTGGGGCATCATATGGGTCTGGAATCATGATTTGGTGTGATAAATTTGTTCGGCCGGTAGGTCGACCAGCCACTGGCGGAGGGGGAAGAGCCCGACCTATAGAGAACTCCGAGCTAGCCCGGCTATGCTTAGATTGCTGACTTAAAGGCCGAGGGATGGTTGGCTCAGATAACTTCTCGATATTCGCAGAGGAAGTTGCTCGACGGCGAGTACCTTGAGGTTGTATCGAAGGTGTATCTTCTGAATGTTTGATGAGTATGAGTTTTCAAAGCCATTTCAAAGTAAGTAAAGGAGAAGAGGTGAACATCAACGTTTTTAACCAGTCTACTCAGACCCTATAGCAAAGGACATGATGTAAACAATTTAAGTAGGTTTGCGCAACAATACGAAATGGATCAAACGGCAAAGTATAATTAATGGTGTCACACCACATATAAAATTGCCACCAAAAAAATATCAACTTACTATTACTATTATTATTATTATTGCTTCGACTTGCCATAACGGCTCGAAGCATAGAAGAAAGACAAAGTCTTGCACTTTCAGGGACATTTGCTGCCGTTTTGACAGTTTCTACACATGACATACATGCAGTTTCGACACTATCAACACTTAGTTGACGAGTGTGTTCAGGATTGTCGCATTTACATGAGACGAGGATAGTAGGCAGGCCCGAATTCACCAATGCGTCTTAAAATAATCCAATCAGTATTTGTCCAAAGCAGCTTTACCGCGGGAACTTCTTGACTCACTTAAGGTCTGGGGCAATTCCACAATACTCTCCCGATTCATGACATCGTATAGTAATAGAGCACCGTCCACGCGTGGGAGGATGTGCCCGTTGATTTGTTTGGGCCATTGTATTAGACGATCAGGTATTATATCAAATGACTCGAGATCCAGCTCAATAAGACTGACTGTGTACCCAACCTCATCGACTGACATACGAAGGCTCGATGCGACAGAGTTAGGTAGTGATCGTAGACCCAATGCTCGCTGTATCAAAGTGCTCTTTCCCACTCCATTACTCCCAATCACTGCAATATTTATGTCTGACATCCCGCTTCGCGATTGAGGCTGCATGGAAACAGTGGTTAGTCAATTGGGTCAAACGTTTCTGCAGAAGGCAGCTGTTGTTGATGGAAGTGACATACTAGTAAACCAGGATTTCCTAGAGAAGGCCTTTTGTTGGATCGCGGTGTTGAATTTTTGAAAACGTCGTCATCATGCGATCGCTCCGAGAAGTGCGTTGCAGACCACAATTCCCGTGCTAAAGAGACAGAACTTGGCGATTGATAATTTCTGAAAAAAGGATCGTCTTTTATAGACGCAACAGAATCCCGATAACTTCGCGCGTGAAGGTCCAATCCTTCTTCCGAGTCGTCCTCTATCGTAGTCGAAAATCTCGTATCTAAACTACCGCTGCCACTACCCCTACTGAGAGGGACAAATGGTGCCGAGGCCGTTCGTGAACCAAGTCCAGGACGTGAGCGCAAACCGAAAGTTGTTGGAGCGCCGGCAGATGGAGGGGAAACCGATAAAGCTCGAGAACAACGTTGAATTCGTTGTGAATCCGTCCGTAAGGGATTTGAGGATTTGGATCGTTTTGAAGTTGTGCGCGCCAGAAAACCACTGGCACCAACTTCATCCATGTTGGGTACTGAAGGGTATCTATCTATCTTAGTGTCCTCGGCGTGGTGCTGTAAATACCCGCGTATCAACTCGTGTCTTTCCGCTCCCAGGAACTGTACAGTAATCAAAAATCCCTTAATCCCTTTCCTTGGTAAGTCCGCAACACAAAATTGAGGGTTTGAGACCTGTTCCCTGTCAAGGTTTGGTCGGCAAGTCGCAGCAATAGTGATTGCGGATTGTAAGACTTAACATGCTGTGGGGATCAGGGGAGGATCTGGGATTCTTTCTGGAATTTATGTATTCAAATCCCAGGGCATGATAGATTGGAGGTTCGGCGGATTGATGACGGATTGACGGATTGACGAAGTGACGGATTGACGATGGGGTATCCAAAGGGTAATGAATGTGTAGTGTAGACTTGGCGGGTAGTAAAGAGCTTGTTTGCTCGCTGGGCAGTCAAAGTCCTGAAATAGTCTCTCTCGTATTGTGGTTAGTCGTTAGTTATTAGTAGTTAGCAGCTAGTCGTGTTTCTAAGAAGTAACTAGGAAGCCTTTGGCACGCCAGAGCTTCGATAATCGGGGTAAATTGAGAATGAGGTAGGTGTATGGTTGGTTATATGGGACAAACTATATTAAGGAAAAATACTTTGTGTCTCTGGATATTGACAATTCCATTGCTTGATTAAATTTAATCAATTGAATAAAGTTGAATCCTTTCCGAAAGGAATGCGACACCGAATAAACCCGCACGCGTGGCGGCGTTATTTGTTATTCGTTATTTGTTCATTATTATTTTTTTGTTCGTTATATCAATAATCGTTCTTGTCTTTTCGCTTCAGTGAATACGGGATACCTGCCTAGGTAGATCGGTAGGTAGTGTCGTCTTTGACGTGCACTCAGCAATGGTCTGTATATTATTAGTAGGTAGATTGTTGTTTGTTCATGTTGTTTATGTTTATGTTGTCTGACTGTTCAGCTGTTATTAATCTTTTTATTCACTCCATCCCTTTCTTCTCCTCTCCTCTTCTCTTCTCCTCTCTCCTCTTCCGATATTCATCCAGCAGCTGGGGTTTCCTTCAATCATAACTCTACTTGTCAGATTGGCCATGGATAGAATAGATACACGTGAGATTGCAATTGGTTATGCATGATCTGATCTTCACCATTCTTACAGAGAAAGTATGTGAGATATCAACAACTCGATGAAGAAGCTTACCTGGGATTTCAATGCTGGATGATCTTCTTCTAATATTGACTAGAAACAACATTCTCGCAAACACAGAAAAGACACACCAAGAATCTTTGCTCACACTTCCACCGCAAGCTCTCCTCCCACAGCTACATATTCAGAGACGTCTTTTTACTTAGTTCTACCATACATCTTCCACGCATATATACATACACAAACCAACCCTCTGCCAAAGATAAGCGATGATAAGTTTCTCCTTCCGCTTCTTCATCACATCTCACAAGGCTGGATCATGAACTCGAATGGTAACTTCATGTACTCCGTACAATACTAATGCACACCACAAATCCATGTTACATTGTCACGACGACATGCTGCATGCAGTACCTGGTAGTTTGGGGGAAAAAGGACTTGGGCTCGAACACGGGCTGAGGTTACATTTCCATTGATGTGCAGGTTCATCGTTCCAGCCAGGTACAGACAGTATCATATGATCAAGATCAAATGTAAGTAAGATTTTCATCATCACATCTCAGCTACTCCCATAAAGTCGAAACAATTAATCTCCAAGACTTCCAAGAATCTTAACCTCACTTGCAATGCAATTGATACGAAGGCCAGAGCAAAACTCGTCGATCGCGGTTATATATGTCGTGTACCTTGTCAATAACTCGTCCATCTCCGCCACAACAACTAGCCACCGAACCGTATGAGACCTATAAAGCGCGGTATAACCCCATGGCACGGATACAAGTCCCTCTCGATTCAGAATGGCTTGTATGTATACATCCAAAAAGGGACGAATCTCACGTCTCAAAGGTGGATGCAAGTTAACTGTGCTTACGCAGGAAAACGGAGCAAAAGTTTACAAAATTTGCCAAATTCCTTGTAACATCTTACCATCAAGTGACTTCCACTCCAGCATAATACAAGAGGGAATTCGACGTGTGACCGAGATCCGCAGATCTCAAAACAAGGTTTCCCCGGATGAAAACTGTATTTCTACCACAGCAATCTCACACTAGTCAAATCCATTCGATATGGATTTATTTCATTTCTCTCATCGATGTCGAGTTGGTGAGGACAACAAGTATACGTACTCGGAATGAATGTTATGTGGTAATCCTACGATTTTACACATGCCAGAAGAGAACAAAACGAAACTATTGTAGTACAAACACCAAAGGTTATTCATTCCTTTGGAAGTTCTGTTCCTCTTGACCTCAAGTGGGTTCGGGCTACGGTTAGACACTATCACGCTCCGGGAACATAGTGCATTAAGCATTTAACTGTACCTAAGTGTGCCCGTTAGACAAAAGCCTCGTCCAATACTAAAGTTGTCTTGAGTGCCATCACAACCTTTTGTTACTCTGCCTACGTGAAAATCAATTAATCTTCGTTTCTGGCCTGTTTTGGGGGGAAACTAGTACGTGGATAATTTACAGGAACGTAAACCGTCCCTCCCTTATTTCAATAGACCCATCATAAAACAGGCATCAATATTTTGCATGATTCTAAGAAATGAATTGAAATGCTTAGTGACTACTGTCAGCTTCGTCATGTACGAATAAGTGGGTATTGCTATCTATGTATAGAAAGATATATAGATCTCTTCATTCCCACCCATTCTCATCCTCCTGTTGTGCTTTATTTTCCTACTTTTTCATCGTTCTCCAATCCATTTCTGTTGCGTTACATTGTGTCAGACTCATCGTTTAGAAATACCCTGCAAGGCAAAATCCCCTCGCATGATTTCGACGCCTTAGATTCCACAACCTTGAGTCAACAGGATTCAAGCTCAAAGTCTCGAGCCTCCACTTCCTCATTTCCTTCCACAAGCCCTCATTCCCCGTGCACAAACCCATCTAATTTACCCCATCTTCGCAAAACCATTCACCCCACACTTCTCATCCTCAATCTGGACTCGCGCCATTCCACTCACGCCATTTGAAGGGTCTCACCACTCGACATCACACGTTAGAGGGTTGACGCTACTCAGGTACCTGACTCTCTGCGCGACAGTTTTCGTACACCGCATTTTCGAGCTTTTATACTTCTTCCGGCTACGCGCTGTGTTCCATCTGCTCGAAGCCTTCGGTTGTAGTCTCGTGCGAGGGTACACTGACACAGGAAACTTGCGACCGTTCGAATCGAGGAGTGTCTCAGTTTCAGAGGTACAGAGGTTATATTATTTATATAGGAGACAGCGCCGGGGATTTTCAAAATGGATACATCAGTCTTTAAAGCACCTATTCCTACCTACGAAGAATTGTGCTGTGTAAGTCGTCTCTCTGTGTACAACCACAAATTGTATATTACACAATTCTAACACCATACCCAGAAATCCGAACTCTACAGAACCATGAGTTATCCACCTAGCAACCAACACCACCACATCAATATCCATGTTCCCCGCGCCCACTCAAAAAGAGGTGCTCCCCTCGATCCAGACGATCTCTCCCGCCGTCTCAGAGCCCATATTTCCCAGCAAAAAGCATTTGCTGAACAGCGCCGCGCAGTTAGAGTCTCAATGGCAACAGGCGTCTACCACCATGTCCCGCAAGTCGCCGCCCAGTCCTTCGAGCACACGGCTACACAGGAAAAGCTCCATCAGGTGCACAAATTATCCGAGCCGGCGCTGAAGAATCTAGGATATTTGACTGCTGATGAAGGAGCGACGGAAATCGGATCTGGCTATGTATACCAGAAACCCACGACGGCCTTACAAAAAGCGCAAGTGATGGACCATGCGACGGCGGAAAAGACCAAGACGAGGAATAGAAATCAATATCAATGGACGACGGCACTTGAACGCGCTGCGGAATTGGATGCCGAGAGAGATATGTATAGATGTCCTCGACGGACGTTTAATTCAGATGTACCACTTTTGCATAAGAGTAGAGCTGTGATGAGACCAATGAGTATGGGGGATTTCTTACCGTGGGAAGAAAAGGAGGAGCCAAAGGAGGCGAAGAGGGAGAGGAATGATCGCCATGATTGGACGCAGCGGGATGAGAGCGAGGAGACGAGGCGATCGATGAAGGATATGGTGGGTCCGCTATTGTCATTGAAACTTAGGAGAGGAAAAGTACTTGACGGGTCGGGGGAAGTGATAAAGTTCAAGTCACCTGTGAGGTCACCAATAAGGGTGAGCTTCTTTGGTATGTTCAAACGTAATCCTAGTAATGGTAGTTGACGAAATTATTTTATTTTTATTCAAGGGTATCTACTTCCTTTCCAGAGTGTGCAACTTTTAACTTTTAACTTCATCGCATATTCCTGAGCTTGGTGTGTAATGCGCTGAAACCCTATATGGAGAAATTGATAACTTCTTCCCACATTCCTAGCTGCGCAAAATGGATCCAGGAAGTTCTAAATTATGATAGTTGTTATGACCTATTCCGAAGGTTAGTCTCATGCAATAAATGGTCATAAATAGAGCGCTCACCGAGTTCGCCCAGGCACATAGATTTGCCATATTCGTCGTACTATTGCCTTGTAAATGTGATTGTTCTGCAGGCATGGACCTTTCTAGTATTCGCGCCTCCCAATCTCTTCACCTTCTCTTCTCGGATTCCAATAATGCTCGAATAACCCGGGTGCTCTCAGCCAACGCCTCCTTTCGCAAAACCTCAGCTGCGGCCTCCTCGCTCTCTTCATCTTCATCTCCAAGAAGCCGTAGAACAAGTTCACAATACTCCCGCACGCCTTCGCCATCTTTTCCATAATACCCTCTTGCGCTCTTTAGAGCATTCCTCCCCTTCTCCCACCCTTGATCTTGATTCCATTTATGTGAGCTGGAACCTGTCGGACGAAGAGTTGCGGTATCGACTGCATCTAGGTGTGCGCGCAAATTTGGGTATCTTATAAAAAGTTCTTTGAGTTCCTTCGAATCATTCAGACTTTCGAATGGACCTTTGGCGTTGGCTGCAGCTAGTGTTCCGGGCCGAGCTGTCGATTTCTCTTTGAGTATGGGCGAGGAAATTTCAGTAGGAGGAGAGGCAGAAGCAAGTTTCTCCTTCTCCTCCTCATGATCGTTAGTGTCAGCTTTATGTGCATTTGAACATTTCACTGAACAACTTTTCGAATATCAGCACAGGCTTCTTTTCCTGGTCGCGCAGGAATATACTCACTACCGCACGTCACAATATTTACATTTGTACTTGTGATTGTTCTCCTTACAGAGGACGCATAGTTTTGGATCGGCGGGTGTCTCGTTCATACTGACACGATTTGTGGGATCGACGATTTCAACTGGTGCGTCGGCAACACTGACACAGAGATAGGTTTTGGTATCAATCGAACTGATTGCGTTACCACCTTCGGAAAAAGTTTCTATGGTATCCATTCCTTGGAAGCCAAACGATTGGCCGGTCAATATGTATACTTGGGGTTCTCCGAACAAACTAAAGGACCTAAAGAACGGACGAGAGAGGGATGTTGACTAGGAGCTGGTATCGTTAATTCATCGGAATTGTGTTAACACGCACATGCATTCTGAGATTGCGCTTATCCGCATCAAAAGCGAGAACAGTGAATAGAGGTTTAATGGCAGGTAAAAACTGAAGAGACAAGTTCGCGTGATGATAATTTGAGAAATGCATGGTTGTTGCAAATTCCGTAGCCTTGTGGACGATGGCCTTTGGAAAAAAAAAAAAGTTTTGAACCTTATCGGAGGTAGGGATCATTGATACCGATAAGGATGACCAATTAGAAGTGAGGTAATACCACCACTTGGTGCGTCATATAAATGCTTACAAAGAACGATAGAATCGTAGCTAAGAAATACCATTTCAATCTTCACTTTATATTGTCATCATACTTAATTGATATCATTCTATCACGTCTTAAATTATCCCAAAATTCTCTTGAATAATCAATTTCGATAGCCCAATTCAATAACTACTAGATTCCATCTGATTATTATCCAGCTGAAGCCTTCAAGTTAGCCGCACGATGGCATCAAAAAGAATCGTTCAGGAAGCAAAGTCATTGCTATCCAAATCTCGACCAGGAAAATCATCATTCGCCATCTGTCCTAGAAGCTCACAGCGATATGTACACCAAAGTACAAGATTACCAGCTATGACAGCTTCGAGCTCGAGAATAAGACCAACTCTACAACCTCTTCATCAACCATCTACCATGTTAAAACCTGCAGCCATTGGTGGCAGTCGCAGTATCTTCATCCAAACAGAAGACACCCCAAACCCAGATGCATTGAAGTTCCTTCCCAATCATCCAATTTTACCACCCTCCCTCAATGCACCCTTCATCGAATACCTCAATCCAAGATCCACGCTTGCGCCACCACACCCATCCCCGCTCGCCGCATCGCTAATGAATATTGATGGAGTTAAGTCTGTCTTTTATGGTGTAGATTTCATTACGGTCACCAAAGCAGACGATGCGAACTGGGCGCACATTAAACCAGAGATTTTCAGTCTCATAACGGAGGCAGTGACTTCCGGTGCACAGATTGTCAATATCACGGAGAAAACGGGGGCAAGTGGCGAAGCGCCGGAAGAAGAAGATAGCTTAGCATACAACGAGGATGACCCCGAGGTTGTTGGAATGATCAAGGAATTACTTGAAACCCGCATTCGACCGGCAATTCAGGAAGATGGTGGAGACATTGATTATCGCGGGTTCGAGGACGGCATGGTCAAGTTGAAGCTCCGAGGCGCATGCCGAACTTGCGACTCAAGTACAGTCACGTTGAAGAATGGAATCGAGGGAATGCTTATGCATTATGTAAGTATTTAGCTCAGATGACCATTTATGCGACAATGAGCTAACAATGAGTGCAGATTGAAGAAGTCAAGGGAGTTGTACAAGTAATGGACGAGGAAGAGGAGATCGCGATCCAAGAATTTGCAAAGTTTGAGGAGAAGTTGAGGCAACAAAAGGGTCCTGATGCAGTTGCATCAAGTAGCTTAGATTCTGTTCCAAGTTGAGCTCGGTACTTAGTTGAAGATGTATGACTTTGGGATCTTCTCGCATTGCACCGCGGATGTACAAAACATGTACAAAGAATGAGTTCTGGATTTCAACTGGGGAGGATTTTGTTTCACAGCATCGGCAATACCCATCAAGTTTCGTACATTTCTTTACCTTCTTTTCATTGAGCAGAAATTTGAGTGTCCCGTCGCCCTGCTACTACTTCATGCAAATTCAATTACGAAGTACATATGCACCTCACTATATATCACTGTGATGATTTAACTGGACTAAACACCGGGTCTCTCTCACCTATCAAACAGGTGTGGTAGAATTTTCCGTGGCGAATCAAGTACGCATTGATGGAGCGGGCGTGGCTTTTGCAGTGTTACCATTCAGAGCTGCAAGACTCCTTGGCTGTCATAGAAACTTGATGGACAGTCGTATGGTTTTCTACTCGGATAATGAGGAAGGTGTATGCGCGGATGGCAGATTTGATGATATCGATGGAATGGATGATTAAGGGTTGCCCTCTTTTTTTTTCATTCTGCAAAATGTGATTGGAATAGGGAATAGTATGGAGTTTTTGCTTCCGGCTCGGCAGTGTTGCACAAACATGGAACGGTAAGTTCCCAATTCCTCCCGCGAGGGTAAGGGTCAGATATTGTATGGAATACCGAGGGAGGGGAAGTTTTGCCGATTTGAATTGTCAGGGAAATGGGAATTATTTTTGATGCCGCTTTTGGAAGATGATGGGGTGTGAGGGGAAAGAAATGTAGAATAAATGAAGACGCAATTGGTATTATCTGTACGGAGTATCTAGGTACCTATCTATATGTAGGTACCTACCAGGTATGTATGGTACCAATTATGAAATAAGGTAGCTTCTTATTATACCCAGTACTGCATGCAAAAATAACGACTAGCCTCTGATACGAGTAAAAGCAATTCTATTTTCTTTGTTCTCTAGTCATATTCTGCTCCGTACGCTTCCTTCTTTTTCCCGGTTTTTTCTTGAAACTTCCCTTGTGATGCTTTTCCTTTTTCTGCCCTACAGAAGGAACACTTTGGTGGAACCAATTCAAGGTTCGAGGATTACCATGGATCAGCAGAGGGCGGGAAAAGGGCAATCCGGGAGAGAAAGAATCTGGGGTAGCTTAAGAGCCTGAAAATCCATCAGAATTTCGGAATCTTGTAAAACATGCCGCCATCGAGATCTCAAAATGAAAGAACTAATACATAAAACAGCCTACGCCATCAAGATCTTTGTAACAATGCAAAACATCATTTTTCGAAACAAAAAGACCATGATGGAATAATTTATCGAATGAGATGATAGTGGCGTCGTCGTGGCAAAGGTTTGGAATATTTCATTTTTTGGGTGAGGGAGATGCAAAGGCAAATTAGGGGAGCAGCTAAGGCAATAGAACGAAAGAGGGTAACAGTTATTGCGCTGCAAGTGATTTTGGTTTTTGGTTTTGATGTTGGTTGGTTGGTGTTGAGGTATGCGCTGCAACTTCAGGATGGACTCACAACATAAACGTTAATTGCTCGTACTTTCAATCTACTTCCTTTTCATTGATCATATGAATGTTGAGATGTGAATGTAGTAACGTCGTCTTCTATACCTGCAATGCCGGTACTTAAGATTCGCTTTCCAATGGGGTGAAGTGTAATGTAATAATTAGTATTCAAATCAATTAATTCGTCAAAAACGCTCTTTTATGATACGGCAAGCATTGATTTAGCAAATGAAGCGGCATTAGATGTTTTCTGTTTCGATTAGTTGTCATACTCAACCAATTGTTAAACTCGTAAAGCCGCAACCTGAAGCTCACTCGCGGGGTATTTGGAGAAAAGATCCGTCGATTAATTAATTCATTCATGGATATCTAGGTAATAGAAGGGATTCGAGGCCTCATTCCCCCAATTTCGGTCGGTCTGGATTCGTCACGTCAAGACAATAGTAGGAGGAGAAAGAAAAGGTACCTGAGAGTACGGAGTAGGTATTTCTTGCATCTGATCTTGTCTATCACTTTCTTTGCCTTCGTATCTGAGATACGAAGGAGTTCTTTGCATACATGCCTACATACTTACACACATACACACCATACCGGACACATATTTACCAAGGCACTTGATATCAACATTACAGCATTGTACATGCAAACTTGTCGATCATCAACCTCACAAGACGTCCTGGTCTAGGTAGGTGAAATAATGTAGTTAGTTATATAAGGTGCTGGGTATGCTTAACCTTCTGCATGGGATATTACGTTTGCATGGCCTGATGAATTTCAAGAAGAACTACTCGCTACTCCTCTATCCATCTCCACTCATAATTTGGACATCCAATGAGAGACCTTCTTCAATGGATGCTCTTTTCGCACTCAGGTCTCTTTACTCTCTGCTCTCTACCTATACCTAAGTGGTTCCCATTTGAAAAAATGCTCCATTTGTTCTGACTTGCATATTCAAGAGAAAATCCAATGCTGCCTTGTGATTTAATACGTTAAGCCCAAGTGTTTCCCCTCTTTTTAACATTTTCCTCTCGGTGCCGGACGGAGTACTCTCTCTTTTCCTCTTCCTGTCCGGTTTCCATTGACAAGAACAGCTGCTTGCCTTTACCTCGTTCTCTATACCGTATCCTGATCCTTCTCATTGCCACTTTATCTCGACACTGCTACTCTTGTCCACATACTCCCCTACCTTAGCCATACTTGTAGCCATACTTGGTTCATATCATCTATCAGTGCGTCTCTCTCTCTTTACCACTACCGTTTTACCTCGCATCATTTACCAGTCCAGTCAGTCTCTCTCTTGATCACCATCTCAATTCGCATCTCCACATCCACATTCAAAACTTGACCCCATAATTCATATGCCTTATTCATCCGTCCGAGTATCCATCGACGCATGCCCTTGAATTTCTTGTGGTGGCCCTCCACTTTAACGCAGAACTAATCGTTGCTCCCCCCTGGTCTACATATGTGGCTCTTGTACCAATCAGATCTCTCCATACATGGAAATTAGAAAGTTTAGTAGTCAGAACGCTCCCACTTCCCTTGCTCTCCACGCCCCCTCGAACATCGGACCCTTGTGCCAATTGTAGCGCTAAGGCCACCCTCAGTTCTTGTCTTGTCCTCATCTGGATCCATCCGTCGGTCATCCATCTTTCCTTGAGAGATCCTTACTACGCTATTATATTACATTTACAAATACCCCTTCTTTAAGCTCCATCTTTCGTTCAGTCAATAGTAATAAATACATCAATCCCATATACATATACACACATACACATATACATACATACTTTATTTCCCCCCTCCCAAACCCATCCCCATCCCAATAATCAAAACTAAAATTATTCTTCAACGGAAAAGACATTGGAAATTATCTTCAACGGAGATTTCCATTCTCTTCCTGGTGGAGTTTCGTCATCGTACCAAAAAAAGAAAAGAGAAAGACCAATCATTTAGTTCTCTATTGTCGCACATTTGAAAACGTACAAGCATAACCTTTTTTCCCTACCTTATTTTGCGCTGTTCTTGTTCTTTGAAGGTGTCTTATCGCGTGTTCACCATAGGCAGCTTTCCCCGCATCAAGGTTGCGCCTCAGCTCATCTTTCGATCCCTCGAAACTTATTTACAAGCTTGTTCACTTCGCCGCATAAGAACTTCAAAAACTTTCTTCCTTTTGCCAGAACTTTTCCTCAACCCTGTCTTTCAAAAAAAATAAAAAATAAAAACACATCCTCTTCGCCCTGAACGAAGAATCCCCCCACATATCATACATTGCTCATATCCTGACGAGAGAATACATACTACTTTCACCCGTCAAAGATATAAATAATACTCGTCTATTCTCCCCTCCGGAGATTCATCCTTCAACATTCTGGAAAAGAGAGCTTTGGCCTTTCGCGCCTTTATCCTTCCCACGACAATGGGCTACGCATAGTCCTGGCGACACAAAGCCTTCACGAATTTGAAATTCCGAACGCATGCGCAGAAGGTTTCGACTTTCGATCTGCTGTTTGTTTCAACAACGGCTAGTTCGAGCGATTATTGAGAAATAGACGGTATTTGGATTAGGTTTATAAATTTGAGAAAGAGAAAGCGGCATTAGAAGAGTTTCATCATTTTATGCGGAAACCGCGATTAAAGCAGGTAGGTGAGCTGCTTCTGTCAATCCTTCCATCTCAATCCCCTCAGCCTTGACGGGCGTTTGTGTGGGAGTTATTCCTGTCGCGACTCTAGGACTTTGAGGCTGACATGTCGATCTAATAGATAAAGAGATAATAATTGTAGCTTGCAACTTTGGTTTCCTTGGTCGAGTTCATCTCACATCCGGTGAGTTATACTTTTCCTACTGTCGAGTCAAGCAGAGAGGTATCCGATCGACCGGGTATTTCCTTCTTCCGAGTGGTTAGATTAAAGGGTGGATTCAACCACAACAATTGTTCAGGATTGGCGCACCAGCGCAATCGAATATACAACATCCAGAAAAACTGTTTCTTGGACTATTCAATGCTCTAAAGTCCAAGAATTACTTGCTCAAATATACCCAATTCCTATTGCGACTTCTGGAGAATTCTTTGAGAATCCACTGCAGAAGATATTCGGCACATACATCTCAGTCGGATGAGCTACCTACCTACCTAGGTAGCATCATCTAATTCACTTTACCGGCTATCGTCGCACCTGAACTCGGAAAGTCTATCTACGGCGCTGAACGATGAAATCCTGCTTCGTGTTTTTTGGATACTTCGTCCCAGTTCGCTGCCTAATCTAGATACATTTTCTGGTTTTGTTGAATGCGACGTACTCGAGACGATTCTTGACACTGTAGCCTTTCATCTTTTTTCAGTACAGCTCTTCTTAATTACTGACGAAGATTTGCGCAGTATTAGTTATTCGCTTCTTGTGCGCCAGTATCGAAGCTCCGTCGCTTCTCTCTCCTTGCGGGGCACACCAGAATCCACTCGCAATCACATCTAAACTTGGGCCTCTTTCAGCTCCTACACCTAGATACCTGTTCATACCCCTTTCTATCCAGTCGATTCCTATTCTTGGTCAATCTCACAGATTCGCTTACTGTCGACCAACCCCCCTTTGTAAAGCAAATTTCATTCAGAAGACCGGCCATTTATGAGAATTAGTTTGCTCAAATCACTAATTATCCAACCTCAGACAAGACTATTTGTTAATTTGGTAAGTTGTCACATTCTAGCTTGTTGTTATCCTTCGATCTACTTGGAATTTTTTTCCTTTGGCTACGGTCTACCGTCCCCTATCGCATATATTCAATTATTAGACCGCCTGCATAGAAGTTGCTGGATTCTCTCAAGTGGCTTTCTGTTGCGGCGACCCCTCTTATTTTCGCATGATTCACTTGCTCGCTGCGCTGCTTACATGAGCATATGGTATTCAACTTCGAAGTGATTGAGGACACTCTTCCAATTTGCCGTACCACGAGTCTTACATACGATTCTTCGCATTAGATTTAAATTTTAAGCAGCTTTTTCTCCTCTTTACAGAGAACTAATAGTTTTTACGCAGTCGCCATGAGTTCAAGCAATAATAAGATCGGAGCTGGTGGCAAGGCCAACCAATCTAATCCTTCGTCAATCACCTCAAGCAATCCTTCCCTTCTCCTTGGTAAATTCAATGAGCGACGCTCAACGCCAGATTCGGAGGCTTTGGCAAGCTCCGATGATGAACCCGACCGACAAGACACCCAACAGCCAGTTAACCCACCCCAAAAGCCTCCCACGCGCCGAGCCTCATGGTTGAACGACACCACTCAGTCTGGAACGCAGCCGAGAAAGGGCTCGTTCGCAAGCAGCAGTATGTCTCCAACAGCCTCACACCCCAGTACTCCCTCGGCCGACTCCAACGCTTGGGGTCCTCATGCCCAAGTAGCTGCAGGACGTGGACATACGAGCTCGAGCTCGTTCCCATGGGGTAGTGGCATTTGGAACAGCGAGTCACGTAAGGAGCCACCCTCGAGACTGACCGAAGTTCTACCATCGCCAACATCTTTGCACCCACCGGGTTCCGCTGGCAATGGATACTTTCCTACCGAAATGATGGGTCAACGAGATCCTTCTGTAAACCCCACCATTCCCTTTTCAATTCCTTTACATCCCACTCCAAAGACGTACCGATCTCAGTCATACTCAGTTGGTCAGCTCGATCCAGATACTAGTGCTGGCCCACCAGCCGCAGCTGTTCCAGCTGCATCAGGCCGTGGACGTGGCATAGGACATTCCGGATTGCAGCATCGACCATCGCGACCAAGTATGCTGAGCGAGATGACCGAGGGCGGTCTCGGAAAGGTCAAGGAAGTTGACGATGACGACGATGAGAGTACTAACAGTTCTTCTCATGGCACTCAAGTTCAATCCCAAGAATCCAAGACTATTGAATTGTTAGCTAGAGAGAATGCTATGTTACGCCAACAGCAAAATTATCAAAACTTACGCCTTCGACCTCGATCTTCAACGTCCAATGCTTTCAGTCTTGGTAATGGTTATGGCTTGCAAGAAGAGTCTTTGCCCGAAGAGTCTGATTATGCAATTGACGAACTTGATGAACTCAACGATTTACAAGATCCATCCAAAGCAATGTTAGGACGGAGAATGAGTGAGTATGGTATTGGTGGTGCACAGCGAGTCTCGCCCTACACTCTTGAGAACAGGAACCTGGAGAATGTTAAAAGGGCTTTTTGGCAAAGCTCTCTCGGATTCGGCGGGCTTTCCGATATCCCGCAGAGCAGGCGTCACTCTTTCGCTGATATACCTGCTCGACAAGGTTCTGTTAGCTCTATTGCTGGTGGCGAGCCATTGTCACAACTCGAAAGCAATATCCAAGAGAGTCTGTCACCAAATTCGGGTCGGTATAACGAAGGCAGTGGATATTCTACAAACGATCATGGTAAGCAATTCTCCTCTACTCCTTGCCTGCCTTCCAAATTTTGGAATTCAGTGCATACGTCCCATATACTCATGCTAATTGGATGTAGCATCTTCATACTTTGGAAATTATGCTCCTCAACCAGGTCGCAATGCCGATACTTTCACGCCTTCGGCCTTTAACCCTTCTCCATATCCTTATGGAAACGCCAATCAATACCCTGGTGGCCGCCCCTCTTCACCTCACCGGAGCATGTATGGCGTTCCACAACCTCGACATAACCAACTGCTCTACATTGTCTTGTTCAAATGTTCGCGAGCAGATGTCTTCTACGTTCAAGAAGGCACTGGTCTCTCTGTCAAACCTGGAGATCTCGTGATTGTCGAGGCTGATCGAGGAACAGATTTAGGCACCGTCGCCAAGGACAACGTGGACTGGGCTACTGCGAAAGAACTCAAAGAGCATTATGCCGAAGAACACTACAAATGGCTCATGATGTATTCTCAGGGTGCTGTAGGCAACACTGATGGAACAGGTGCCGGTTTAATGGCTACTACCAATGGTATGCAAGGAAGTGCCGTCGGCGGCATGGGTCCACCAAGCCAGCATGGCATGCAAGAACCTAATCCAGGAGAGATCAAGCCCAAGATCATCAAGCGGCTTGCTCAGAACCATGAAATACAGGCTTTGCGCGACAAGGAAGGAAACGAAGCAAAGGCAAAGCGTGTTTGTACGCAGAAAGTGAAGGAACACGGTCTACATATGGAGATATTGGATGCCGAATTCCAAATGTAAGTCAACTAATGACCTCACCGACTAATCTGATAACATAAGCTTACCACCTCGAATCTAGGGATTGGAAGAAGCTCACATTCTATTATTTTGCCGATGCCTATATCAACTTCAATTCTCTTGTCACCGATTTGTTTAAAGTATACAAGACAAGAATTTGGATGTCGGCGATCAATCCCGCTTCCTTCGCAAGTCCTTCTCTTGGCTTGCAAGCACCAAGCGGCATTGGACCTGGAGCTGTGGGTGTTAACAGAACCACCCAAAGTGAGCGTCGGCCACAACAGGCCGAACAGCCACAAACTTATAATACAACACAAACAGGAAGAGGCTATCAAGGCGTTTTCGCCCAGCCATTCCAGCCGACGTTGGACAGAAATTCAGCAGCTGCCCCTGGTTTCCAGCATCAAGGTTACACTTATGGATATTCTCCTTTTGGATCTACCAGGAATGTTGGTACTGCAAGCGCGTATGTTCCTTCGATGATGGACCCTTATACTGCCTTTCCAAACACGACCGACTACCAGGCGCCTGGTCGATTCCCTTCTCCTCATGGCACTACCCCTACTCATGATGGTAGCGAATACGGTCGACAAGGTGGCCTTGTCGGTCAATCTGATGGTTGGATTGGAGCTTTCCAAGGCTTGTCTATGGGAACTCGTTGAGTCTATCTTTCGCCAATACCACACGCATGATGTCGACTTCACAAGAATCACAAACTCTACCGCTGGTCTTGATATCCTTTTTCATTTCCAACTGATGAGTTTAGCCACGGGATACTCCTACAGAACTGGAGACTAAATACATTTTGCTTTTGTAATATATCACAGACGCCCTTCCCCACCGACCCTGTTAATTCCTTGCATGTTCTTGACAAGCATGTTCGTCTACACATTCTTTTAATTTATTTTCGTATTTCGTTTGCGCCGGGCGGCGCGCTGTTTATGGGTCAGGAGAATTTCAATGCCATGAAGACATATTGGAATGGACTTTTCGGAAACGCTACAATTTCTTTGCAATTTGATCATAGAGGATAATTGAGAAGGTTTCATTCAGAATAAGGATTCTTCTGGATTTACATAATCGGAGACGGGCACAGGATTCGTACACAGGACACTGGACATACTCTTCTTTTTTCTTCTTCGCTGATAGCTTTTTTTTTTGGTTTCTCGGTTAGTTAGGAAAGACTACACCTTTTTGCATCTTCTGATTGCAGCGGCCTGACGCGTTACCACGACTTCACGAAAAAAAATAAGTTTCCAAGAACTCCATTGATAGATAGATCTTTTCAAATCCGGCGGTGTCAAGTGGGGAAAAAAAGAAATTGGGTAAATTTGCAAAGGATAATGGATGGATGCATGCTTCATTACTTTTTTCTTTCTGAATTCTGATTCTTTTCTGATTTGTTACCTTTTTTGTGTCTTTCTCTTCTGCGATTGAAGGTCGTTGGGTATCAAATATGGTGGATGGAATTGAATGGAATGGAATCATATTTGATGCATGTTTATAGGTTTAGGGACATGGATATGGAATCGGTAGCAAGAATGAATTCATACACTGGTTACTTATTCTGATGCGTGGTGTTTGATGTGTGATGTGCGAGTGATGGTGAGTATATTTTTACGTGACATCAAATAATGTGGATGAAATCAAGATCCCGCTCGTACTCCCGAACCTTAAATATTGACTTTCATATATACATTCAAGTACGATATCATACCCCATCGACAAACACACTACACTCCAAAAGTAGAGCCCACCAACTCCTCGTGGTGTAGCAGTTTCCTGTCGCCCCACCAAGTGAGTAGCCAGGTTTTTGCTCGTCTCGTTAATCGATGTTTTGATTGTAGTGTGTGAGGAGAGGGTATGGTGGCCGGTAATTGTGGTAAGAGAGTGTGTTGGGAAGGAACGTTTGGAGGTCCGTCCTACTTTTCGCGATTTTCGTTACCTTTTACCTTGAGGGAGGATGGAGGAGGCAACTCCACTTTCGTTCACTTTCAACGTAAACTTCACACTGCCGTCTTTCTTCTTTCCTTTTGGGGGATTATTTTTCATATTCATACATTCGAATATCATCTCTTCTCGGATTGAATACTTGATTTCATCCCGTCTTTGAAATCACTCCCTCATTCACTCCAACCATCGCTGCCATGGTCAACAAATCCAAACGCAAGTCCGAAGGTGAGCCTTCAAGTCTCGGTGTCTTTTTCAGTTTCAATGCAATCATTACTTTGAGAGGGATTGGAACATTCTAACGTTTATTTTTATTGCATTGAAAAGGTGATTTGCCGAATTCTAAGTCTAGAACTCGTAATAATGATTCGTCCAAGTACTCAGTGGATAAGATGAAAGATTCGGATTATGAGGAGGATTCTACGTGTGGTACGGATCAGTCCTACAGGAAGAAGGTGAAGAAACTTGGTAAAGATAGGAATGGAGAGAAAGAGACGAATCATGATGAAGAGTCCAGTGATGTTACAGACCATTATGACACAAAGAGTCTGAGGAGGGATGGTAAAAAGAAGGGGGAGGAGAAGAAGAAAGGGAGAAGGTCGGAGCCTGTCCGCGTTAGGAACAGAGAATTAGGAGGTTTGGAAGAGGACGAAGTTGAGGATGAAAATTATGAGGATCCGGGACGGGAGGAGAGCAAGTATGTGATTTGATCGACTTCCTGTGCTTATGATTTTACTACGAGGTGTATTTCCATTGGGAAATGTGTACTAATCTATTGATTCAAAGTGAGTTTCTGGAGTTGGACAATCTTGAGAGGAAGAAAAAGAAGAGTGTCGAAAGAGCGAAAGCGCTGTTTATGGAGAAGTTTGTTGAGTCCGTGGAGAGAGATGCAGAAGGTTTCAAGAGATTGGCGGCAGAATTGGAAAAGGAATGGTAAGTATGCCTTTGTACTAGGAAATACTTGCTGCGTACTGACTGGAATAGGTTGACTGAACAGAAGAAGTTCATAACCAGCTTCCATGCTACTTACGCTTTGGCATCGCCATTTAGAATCGAAAAGAAAGGTGCGAAACAAGATAATGACATTCATGATTTCGCCTTGAATCATGGAAAGGGTAAAGATTTGATTGCACGGGCTTTGGAAGTAATTTCTCAATTCGACAAGCTGGCTAAGAAGAATGTTGCGAAGGAGTTTGACGGATTACTTGGTAATGAATGGGGTAAAGAGAATGAGCAGATTGTGAAGATGCTCGAACTGGGAAAGACTGTAGGGTTGGATAAGTTTGAGTGTATCATCAATGCTTCAAAGCCAAAAGAGACCTTAAAGACGGATGCGATTGAAGTCTCGAACAAAATCTTCCCAGTTGTTGAGGAGGGGGATTCTATTGGATGGGGAAAGGAGGCAAAGAAACATCAGAAGGCGAATAGGAAATTGCTCAAGGCTTTTGAGAGCAAGGTTTGACTGATGATGAGGGGAGTCAAAGAGAAGGGTCTGGTGGTCATAGAGGAGCAAAGGAAGAGTTACAGATTTTGCTTGTAGTTCTTTTAGACTTCGGTATGTTGGCTATCGGCACATACATCCTAGCTGTACTGTCTTTCATATTCTCCAAGATGCTACCACTAGCTATAAAATGAATACTATACACAAATAGCGAACTTGGCTGAATATTACATCGGCAGAGCTGCAAAGTCTCATGGGGAGACCAATTTCATTGTCACCCGAATTCATATCAAAATGACCATTGCCAATTCATCCATCCGGTTATATATTGCAAAGGGGTAATGGCTTCTCGTTAGGTGATAGATGTAGATATTAAATATATATTTGACATTTCAAAGGGAATGAAATAGAATACATGGAACTTATTTAATTTGGGAAATTTATAGTTGTAAACCTGCTGGAGCGTTTGGGTTTACCAATACATGTCTCTTTGGGGATACTATTGGAGTCCCTCGAATTGATACTAAAAATTACCTTATATATTTCACAAAGCTAAAATATGATGATCGATCAAACAATGAGGGGGAAAATGCAGGTGGAGAAAATTCTTGATGCATTTGATGCCTTAGGCTTAAACTTACCCGAGCGCACTAAAAAAGATTCCCACAGTTCTATTTGGAAAATCAAAAAAACTCTCGAACTTTTCTTTCACGACAACGCCAATCGACAACTTCCGAGCCACGACAACTCCCAAATTCATTCAAGGTTAGTAAATCGAGTTCGTTGGAAAGACACATGTTAGATTGAACATCTGCGGCAAGGAATGGATTTCTGGAATTGCAGATGTTGATCGGAATTGAGTGTCTTACGACTTCTCCTCATATCTTCATCGCAGCTTCAACTTGCGGGCTTCCAAAGAACCAATGCTAACGTGATCCGCTCTCCAAATAGATGGGTGCTCTTAAATATCTCGAGGAAATCCAGAAGAAGAAGCAATCTGATGTGCTTCGATTCCTTCTCCGTGTACGATGCTGGGAGGTAAGATAAAACTGCGACCCCAAGAGACGATCTCGATCGACTTCAATTATTCGAAAATTTGGTCGTTTCTGGACAAGCAAATTGGAATATTGTGGACATCTTTGATGTCTCTGCTATACACTCGTTGAACTTAGCTGAGAGTGCATAATATAGCTCCGACAATTGAACGTCGTCCACCGTGCTTCCCGCCCATCTCGCCCAGACAAGGCTCGCCGTCTCGGTTACAAGGCCAAGCAAGGATACGTTATCTACCGTGTCCGTGTTCGTCGTGGTGGTCGCAAGCGCCCAGTTCCAAAGGGTGCCACCTACGGTATGTTGAATCCCGTATTTGTTGGAGGGGAGACTTCAGGAGAATCGGGATTTACTGACACAATTTCGCGTTATAGGAAAGCCAACTAACCAGGGTGTTAACCAACTTAAGTACCAAAGATCCCTCAAGTCCACCGCTGAGGAGCGTGTCGGTCGTCGTTGTGCCAACTTGAGAGTTTTAAACTCCTACTGGATCAACCAAGACTCCACCTACAAGTACTTCGAGATCATCCTCGTTGACCCTCAACACAAGGCCATCCGCCGCGATCCCCGTATCAACTGGATCGTCAACCCAGTCCACAAGCACAGAGAATCTCGTGGATTGACCGCCACCGGAAAGAAGTCCCGTGGTCTCGGAAAGGGTCACGGATTCAACAAGACCACTGCTGGCCGCAGAAAGACCTGGAAGAAGCACAACACCCTCAAATTGCAAAGATACAGATAAATCTAATCAGGGGTTGGATGTGTGTTATTGCTTACTTCAGCAATGGGATGAATGGATTGTTTTATGGCCTCGTGGCGCACTGGTAGTTAATGCAAAAATGCATAGCTTTTCCATCATATCCAAAACTTTTATGAATTTACGACTCTTCCACAATGTGAAAGTATCATGGACCCCTGGATAGCTTTCGGTGATAAGTGAAAATGCGAATGCGTTTGATCAAGTTTCGGGCCAATTTTGTTCTGTCCAAAGCCAAGATGTGATTATTTTCCCCGAGCATCAATCCCCTCCACATATATATTTCATAACAAACCTAAGACCCCCACAAACATTTGTAACCAATTCCAAATTTCTAACTTTTCAAGCTCGTATCAACATATCTCGTATTCATTCTTTCTCTATTTCTTCTTCTACTAAACTAGAAAGATCTTCCGCATTCCTTGGCAAAGGGACGGCGCTTCCGCTTTCAAACCATTCCTGGGACGAATAATGAAGTTCATCGGTTTCATAAGACGAACAGAGACATTTAAACTGCCAATTATGCATAAATTAGTCCTCCCAACCCACGCATTTCTGTGGGGATAACTAGGTACACATCAATCTCAATATGGATTGAGATGAACCTGCAAAATTACATGGCCACTTTATAAGACAATGGTAAATAAACAAATCCATGTTCATTATGATCATGATAAAACCACCCCAACAACCCCCCCTTTGGAATTTTGAAGCAAAGGTCGAATTATACTTCAACATTACCTGCCTCCATTCACTAATTATATATGTTAATTTTCATGAGGGAGGTTTTAGGAAGGAGCCCGAGACCTATTACCCCCTAGAGTTCAAGTACGAACGGCGGACGGACTACCGATTACGAGAACGAAAGAAAGCTTGGATATACACGAGAAGGGAACTGCTCCCCTCGCACAACATTACAACCAAACTCGCAGATACTTTTGGAGGGCCCGATGGTCAAACTAGAACGCCTGCAATTCGCAGACAATTTGAAAATATAAAATGGCACCTTGGTCTAGTCGCCTACTGAATTCCAGCTCGCGCGTAGAATCTGGTTCGAGCGTTGCTACCGTCGCTTCAGTGCCAGAATCGCCAAACAAAAATCGGGGGAGAGCTAGGGTTACGGAGGCAGATATCTTGGATAATGCTTATGGTATTCCGACTTTAAATACGGCTGCTCAGCATGGTCGACCAGGCCCCTCGAGTTCTAATTCCTCGACTTCGTCGAAACCGACGTCGAGCCATGGGAGATCTATGAGCCATCCTTTTCCATCGTTGTTCAGTAGTAAGAAGAAGGCGACTGCGCCGGCGCCGCCTGATGTTGGATTTTTTGATGATGACGATATATCACCAGAAAATAATACGGGGGCTAGGTCTTCGAGGGTGCCAGATAAGGATTTCTTGATGGGAAAGTGTATGACTTGCAATGCGAGCGTGAGTTGGCCGAAAGGAGTTCAGACATTTAGATGCAAAGTTTGTACGACAGTGAACGATCTTCAGCCATACACACCGGCCCCAATTGATGGGCGCAAAACGTCTGGCTCTGGTAAATCTACTACTTATCCCGGGTTGAACAAACCTCAAGTTTCTAGAGGTACGCGATTGATGAGATGACTTTTTTGTAGGTCTCATGTCTGACTTTTACAGTTGCGCCATTGTCTGTTGAAAAAACTCGGAGACTTGCTGAAAGATGTGTAACTACCTACTTGATCAATCGACTAAAGCATGACGAAGCCGATACCTCGAATACGTTGTCAAGTTCGCCAAGATCACCTACATTTGGAACAACGGAATTCCCCCAAGAATATGAGTACCCCAGGCATTTCACAAATCAAACTGGTTCACAAGCAGTTCCAATCAGACCTCCTCCCCCAGGCTACGGAAACGGATCCGGGGACCGCCCTAGCATGGAAAGTGACAAACGGCCAGGCTCACGCTCAATTCCATACTCAACTTCATCCCCGGGAAGCTTTCTTGGTTCGCATATGGAAAAACGTGGTCGAATGGGCTCTGGTACCTACACTAAACCATTGGCTATTCAACCACCAAGTAGAAGTCCTCCAGACCCTCCAGGCAAATTTGACGAAATTATGCACGGAAGACAAGATAATGTGGCCAAAAATCTCTTCAGGCCTTTGGAAGAATATATTATAGCATCATTTAGCCAATTTGATTGTATCAATACTTCATTCAGTACTACTCGTCAAAATCCCAATCCCAGGGCAGGAAGTCAGAGCAATTTAAAGAATTTTATGGCCACTATCCCGGACGAGAACGATCCACAATCAGAAACTTCTTTGGAAGAACTCGATCCCAGAATGTTAATGCTGGGAGATATAGCAGAGAATGGTTCTTGGTGGACCGGAAATCAGAAAGAAATACCCGAGAAGAGCCGTTCTCAGAGGTCTGGAGACTCAATACGTACGAATCCTCACTGTGATCTAACTACAGTTAAATCGCCGCGTATCGACTGGCCTGACCTCAATGAATGGTATCACGTCGTGTCGAATCCCGGAAGAATTTGGCATCGCAAACTGGAGGAATTGATATCACGTCGATCCAGCCCAGTCGTGCAAGCACCCGCTGCTGCAGAGCTTGCCGAGATTGAGGAAACAATCACCGAGGCCCAATCACATCTTCAAAGGACGGTATTGAAAGCTACGGAGGGACTATTGAAACGTCCGGGACGTCCTCTGAAAGAACCTGATGATCTTCGATTTCTTTTAATTATCCTAGCCAATCCCCTTCTGTACCCGGGAAATGGTACGCCTTCGAGAAATGCAGGATCAAGAGTGCTATCGAATGAGCAGAGGCCTGAAGCTAATGAACTCAATGTCCCCAAAACTAGAGGACAGCCGCCTTCTTCTAGGCCACCGCTGAATGCAGCAAAAGGTGCCTCTGGTCAACATTCGGGGATCATCAAACGCATTGTGGGATTACTTTCAAATACTCCGAATGAATGTCATCATCATATAGTTTCATGGTTCGCTAGGTATCCGGAAGGTCACTTTCAGCGAACCACAGAATTGGTTGGCAGCTTTGTCACTTACAGGCTTACCAGGCAGCATGGGAAGCCTCGCGAGGTTGACAAACCTGATCTTACTTCTGGCTTGGTTCCCCAGATTAGTACCAGTGGATCCCATAATAATGTAGCAGCTTTTCATGCAGCCCTTCAAGCTGGACAAAGTACCAATAAGAAAAAGGACACGAAGCCGAAACCTGTTGTATACAGTGATGATTGGCAGATCAGGGCAGCTGCTAGGGTGATGGCACTTCTCTTCTCGGCTAATAATAGTGGGTTACACAAGAAAGGGAAACTACTAAGTAGCGTTCAATCGCCAAGCGAGTATTTGTCGAAAAGTACGGAACCTAGTATGGGAACTCCCATCAGGGCTCTGGCTGCACATGGACAGATGCTGCCGACTAGCCACTTTTACAACACCTTACTTGATTATTCTGATCTGGTTGCTGATTTTGAAGCTTGGGAAAGTAAGCGTAGCAAATTCGCTTTTTGTCAGTATCCATTCTTTCTTAGCATTTGGGCAAAGATCCAGATCATGGAGCATGATGCTCGTCGTCAAATGGAAGTGAAGGCGAGAGAAGCATTCTTTAATAGTATCATGACACGTAAGAATGTCAATCAATATCTTCTTTTGAAAGTCAGACGAGAGTGCTTGGTAGAAGATAGCTTAAAGGGGGTTAGTGAGGTTGTGGGAACTGGTGGTGAAGAAATCAAAAAGGGGTTGAGGATAGAGTTCAAGGGCGAAGAGGGTATTGATGCTGGTGGCTTAAGGAAAGAATGGTTTCTTCTGCTTGTAAGAGACGTGTTCAACCCTGATCATGGTATGTCCTCTTTGATGCGGTTCAGAAATGTAACTAACAATAAGCAGGCATGTTCTCGTACGATGAGGACTCTCATTTCTGCTACTTCAACCCTAATAGCTTTGAGACGACCGATCAGTACTTCCTTGTCGGGGTAGTACTCGGTTTGGCCATCTATAATTCAACAATTCTCGATGTGGCGCTACCTCCTTTCGCTTTCCGAAAATTGCTCGCTGCGGCTCCGGCTGCAGCTCCCGGTGCAACATCACATGCGAAACCCTCTATGACATATTCTCTTGAAGATCTAGCCGAATTTCGACCATCTCTAGCGCATGGTCTGAGGCAACTGCTCGAGTTTGATGGAGATGTCGAGACAACGTTCTGTCGGGATTTTGTAGCAGATGTCGATCGATATGGACAAACAATACAGGTGCCCCTTTGCCCTGACGGCGACAAGAAACCTGTGACAAACTCTAACCGAAGAGAATTTGTAGATCTTTATGTCCGGTACCTTTTAGATAATGCCGTAGCTCGACAATTCGAGCCCTTCAAACGTGGATTCTTTACCGTCTGTGGAGGAAACGCATTATCACTCTTCCGGCCCGAAGAAATTGAACTTTTGATCAGAGGTTCCGACGAGCCCCTAGATATTACTTCTCTCCGCGCAGTGTCCGTGTGTGAAAATTGGGGCGCACCAAATGCTGCAGAACGCGAACCAGTGATCCAGTGGTTTTGGGAATCCTTCCAGAAAGCAGATCCAAAGGATCAAAGAAAACTTTTGAGCTTTATTACAGGCAGTTCTTGTATTCCTGCCATGGGCGCAACGAGTTTGGTTATTAAGTTGAGTTGTTTGGGAGATGATAGCGAAAGGTTCCCCGTGGCGAGGACGTGTTTTAACATGTTGAGCTTGTGGAGATATGCGTCTAGAGAGAAGCTGGAAGGGAGACTTTGGAGAGCGGTACATGAGAGTGAGGGTTTTGGGCTGAAGTAAAGGTTGGGGTGACTGACATGGAAGATGAAGTGGTATGTGTTGATGGGGTAATGATCAAAGTAGAAAGAGAAAGGAAGCATTTTAGATAGAGTGCCGGTGATATTTATGTTTGGTGGAGACGGCGTCTTTATTTTGTATTCAGTGGAGCGCTAAGGGTTTTGGTGTTGGTTTTGGCGTTGCATCTCCATTGTCTCATGGGAAGTGGACAACTGAGAGCGTGCATGAGCTTCTTGGAATTGGGCTGAATTGGACCTGATGCAGAGATCGCATACCTTTTACATAAAAAGCAGAATCATTCACCGAGATTAGATGAGACGAGATAATATCTTTTCTCGTTATGATCGTTCATACATCGCTTGCCTCGTTCCTACGTGCGTGACCATTACCATGACCACCTTTTGCTTAATACATTGATGTATTCTTTTGGTTCTCGTTTTCCCATCATAGTGAGTATTCCTTCTCAACGCCTGGTATATATACAACATATTCTACACCCAATAAATATCTATTCTCTTTCAACCCCCCTTTTCTATGTTTCAGCAGAAGCAGCAGCAACCTCGCCTCTCGCCTGATCCAAGATTGCCTTCTCGGCTCGGATCCTTTCATTAACAGCTGCACTCAATTTCGAATCCTGTTCACTCTTCAATTTCATTGCCGCCAGATCCTTCATCATCTGTTTTTCAGCTTCGGTAGGCAGAACTTTTTTGGCTTTCGTCAGTTCCATTAAGTCAAAGAGGATGGCATTGGCGTCCCGATGTTTACAATCAATGGTTTTGGTGTGGGTTGTTGGAGCGCCGGAGGCGGAGGGTGTAGCGGGATTGGAGGCGGTGCTGTTTATGGGAGGCGGAGAAGAGGCTGCTAGGTCGGGGTTGGTGAAGTGGATGGTTAGGGTTGCCGGGACGGACGTGTCTTCCGTTCGGTTTACTGTCATGGGGACTGCGGGGTTATGATATTTGAGGCGGGGAAGACATTTGTGCCAGAACTGTCTGGGGGGGATGGGGTTAGCTGTTGGGTTTGAGATGGGGGAGAGGGGGGACTGAGGGGCAGAGGGCAAATGAAGGAAAGTAGATGCAGGGGGAGGGGATATATACTTTGGACCGAGATGCCCAGCCAGTCCATAGGCGAAGTCCATGTGTATTCTCGTAACTTCTGGTGGGAGAATTGCTGCACCGGGTCCTAATCGTATGCTGAGTAACTGAGCAAAAGTAGAAAAGTCAATTTCGAATCTTCGTATAGGAATATCATTATGGGGAATTCTTTACCCTCTACGTTGCGAATTATATTAGCATTTGCGCCATTGTGGAACGAATGTGAGAATACTTACAGAGTTAAGCTTCGCCATCCGCTTTAATATATTCACCATTTTGAATATGTGAAGGTCGATACAGTAAATTGAATGTACTGTATAGGATCGTGGGGTATGAGGTTTTGGAGGAGCTTGACTTGTGAATATATTTCTGAGGTTTTGAGACTAGTATTTTAACCCCTGTCAATTTAAAGTTCCGACCTCCGACCAAATTTATATTTTTTTGGAGGGACGCAATATCTATCTATCTGTCGAATCTGTCTACGCGCAATTCGACAACGATGCATATTACGATCTTTTGATATGCCACTCTCTACTTCTGGCAGACTTGCCTTAAGACTCTCAAGGCAGGCGGAATGTGCGGTCGCTGAGGTACCTACTTTCCTTTGTCCTCTACTTGCGCGAGGTTTGCAACTCTCTAAACTGGTACATAACCAACCACGAAAGAATGTTCAATTACAGCGAAGATATGTCCAGTCGCAGGCTCAACCACAAGCTCAAGTCCCGGAAATAGCTGAATCAACTTCTGATGCCCCGGCGCAAGCTTTACCCAAATTGCCATCCCAATGCGCCGGATGCGGTGCATTATCCCAGACAACCGTCGAAGATGAAGCGGGCTATTTTTCGTTGACAAGGAGGTCTATTAAGGAATACTTGCGGACTCCATCCATGGCGAAGAATGCGAAGGTCACAGCAGAAGATGAAATAGTAAAGAGAGCCCTGGAAAATGTCGACAGTACGATTCTCGAAACCCTGGGAATGGAGAAACCTGTAGCTACAACTACATCCACATCCATGGAACCACCAGTATGCGATCGATGTCACAATCTCAAGAATCATCAAACAGGTGTTTCTATATATCATCCTTCCGTGGAAGCACTACAACAAACGATCTCAGAATCTCCTTATAAATACAATCACATATATCATGTCATAGATGCCGCAGATTTCCCCATGTCTTTTATCCCCGCTCTGACCAAAACATTAAATGTGACGCCCCAAAGATCACACAATCGGCGTTCGAGGGCAGGGAAATTTTATAGTGATAGGAAGACTGAGGTTGATTTTGTGATCACGCGGTCGGATCTTCTGGCACCAACGAAAGCGCTTGTTGATGGAATGATGCCGTATTTGACGAGTGTATTGAGAGGTGCGTTGGGAAGGGCGGGAAAGGGGGTTCGCTTGGGAAATGTTAGGTGTGTTAGTGCGGAAAGGGGCTGGTGGACGAAGAATATGAAGGAAGATGTTTTTGAGAGGGGCGGAGGTAATTGGATGGTGGGGAAGGTTAATGTGGGAAAGAGTCGGCTTTTTCATGAAGTGTTCCCAAAGGGAAGGGGTAGGAATAAGGTGGTTATTGGGAAGCCCCTCTTAGTAGATACCCCGAAGGATGAAGGAGGCCCAGAGGTGAGGACTATCGGGGAATCCCAGTCCTTGCTGATGGATGCAGACACTGATAAAAGTGTTACAAATGAAGCTACTCCGCCTATGGCCTCACACACACCAATGGCAATAGAATCAGCGGACATGGAGGAGGAATCGGAAGTTGAGGAATTACCAGAGGGTGAATCAGATGACACAATGTCACTTCTTCCTCCAGCACAGCAAGAAACGGCGTATCCCTCAATGCCGCTTGTGTCGTCTCTTCCTGGTACGACCGCATCGCCGATCCGAGTACCATTTGGTAATGGAAAAGGAGAGCTTATCGATCTACCTGGGCTATCAAGGGGCGAACTCGAGCTTCATGTACAGCCAGAGTATCGAAATTCGCTTGTAATGAAATCTAGGATTAAACCAGAACAAAAAGTGATGAAGCCTGGTCAGTCATTGGTACTAGGTGGTGGTCTCATCAGAATTACACCCTTAGATCCAGATGTTGTTGTGATGGCTTATGCTTTCACATCTATCGAGCCTGACCCTCATTTGACATCAACTGAAAAAGCTATCGCTATGCAAAGTAGGGGTAAAGAGCCATTCATTGATAACATTACGATTCCTGGAAGCGAAGATAAGATCGCTTCAGCTGGAATTTTTCCTCTAAAGTGGGATGTCACGAAGGCACGTCTAGCCCCAGCCACGAAGTCATTGTTTCGTGGGACAAAATTAGAGCAACTCCCCTTCCACATCCTTTCTACAGACATTTTGATTGAAGGGTGTGGATGGGTTGAACTTGTTGCACAAGTTAGCAAGAGGCGTCTCATGAAGCAAGACGCAATCAAGAATGATACAGCACAGGACACAACCTGGGAATGGGGAGATGAAAAGGAGGTAGCAGATGAAATACCATGGCCATCAGTCGAGGTATTTACTCCTGAAGGCGAATTTATCGCTGCTAGGAAGCCTATGAATGCATGGATGTTCAACGTAAAGAAGCAGACAAAGGCTAAAGCTAGGCCTAGGCGCAGTATGAAGGGGGTTGAAAAATCGAAAAAAGCTAGGGCGAAGCTGGCATGGGCATAGGAGAAAACAATAAGAGCACACATAGTAGATGTCAATTTTAAACAATACCCTCCTACTCTAGTTAATGAAAATTACACACCATATGTACTTCCTCAATAAGAGCATACCAACCAAGAAGTCTGTGAGAAACAACCTATCAAGGATTAATCAATACTCTGTAACAGAAACAGCGTTTTACGTACATTTGTCTACATATAACCCACCTCATTCTCTTTTCCTCTTCTTTAAATCACTACAACAACTTTTAATACATATTTGATATAATCTTTTTGGCAGTATTTGAGCTCACTGCCTCTTGTCCTTCAGCAATTCTTTACTCGGTTTTCACTTTCACTTCGTTCAGTATAATATGTCCTTCGTTCAATTCGCTGTTTTTCTTATTTCTTAGATTACTCTTCTAAATAAGGACATTCAAAACTCCTGAATCCTTTTCCTAAGCTGGGACATCCAAAAGTGATGAATTACTTTAGTGAAACTAGGGCATTCAAAATTGCGACAATGTCTCCCACTAACTCGGAAAGCAATTCTTCGGTAGCTATTCATACTTGCGAGCAGGGTCACTACTTTTTTAATTGTCTATTCCGATTCTGATGAATTGCTGATGAGTGGGTAGTATGGGATGAGTCTGGATCAGCCTCCATACCTATCAGGGAGTACAGTACACCTTGTCCAGCTGCATCGCAAGTCCCCTTTCGGTTTATATAGAGCCCGGAGTGTGAAGCTTGTATAAGTTCAGAGGACGGGACGGCAGCTAATAGGACAATGTAATTCACAGCACAAATGGAATGGGAATTGGAAGTGGAAGTGGAGCTCGAACTGGAATTGGAATTGGGCCTGGGCTTGAGCTTGGCAAGGATAGTGAAGATGGCGGCAATGATAGCAGAGAAAGACTGGCAGCACTTGGGCGCCACGAGAAAAGGAACTTCACTACCCCTGGGTTCGGGTCAAAATTCGCGAAAATGAAGATCAGGCTTGAAACATTTGTGTCGGGAGGAGGTTAATGAGCATAGCGATAGTGGCATTCACGAAGGAAACAGTTTGTAGCAAGCGAAAAATTAATTATTCACTCACAACTTTGAAGATAGTAAATTGTCATGATTATAATATTTTGGTCAAGCAGTCACAATAATATCTGCGGAGATTTCTGAATGGTATTTATCATAGTACTTAATTGCATTTCCCTTTTTTCAACATCACTTATGTCCTAAACAAAAACTCACTCTGCAAAATACATCTCAAAACACATCCAAAGACTGCAGCTTGTATGTAAATTACTAACATTATTTTCCGACCAAGCAACCCTATAAATATGGATGGAAACAATCCTAACATAGGCGATAACTCCTTTTCGGTTCTCGTTAAGCACATATCTCCAAAGTCGAAGAGATTCATTAGCACGGCAACAGCACCACCTATGGCGCCACTTCCTTCTCTTCCACCAGGCGGAGATGGGAACAGGTGGACTACTCGACTTGAAGGACTCAGCACTGAAGAACAATCGAATTCAATCATCGATTATTATGCAGAAGCGCTCTTATCCAAGCACAGAAATCAAGAAAGAGATGTTTATCCTGTGGAAGACAATAAATCTGATTTGGAAGGAGAAAGGCCACTATGTGGATGCGAACTAAAAGTATCGTCCAACGAAGCGCTCCAGAGGCAGGAAACAGGAGGCCAAGCTATTGACCGTGATAACAACATGTTTCCGAGCGAACAGGGTAATCTTATCAAAGGCGAAGGTGTCGCTGAAGGCACCAATTCTGGTCACAACACAAACGATAATCGACCCTGTATTCATATTGACATGGCTGACGTAGAAGAGAGGTTGGCAGTCTTAGATGCTGCAGAACTGGGAGCAATGGAAGAGAGAGAGCAACAGGAGAATCGAAGTCTAGCCGAGCAGACCCTATTGCATCTCCCAGAGAGGGAGAGGCAACTGGAAGAAGAACTGAAGCATTCTGCGGGTATAAAGGATAGTCTTTTGGAGAAGCTAGACAGTGATACACCATTAGCTTCAAAGCTCGAGGCGGTAGAAATATTCTACGATGCGGTAGGAGAGGAGACTGAGAAGGTGGAAGATTGGACAAAAGAACTTCGGAAAGCGGAGGCGGATATTGATCATGTTTGTGGTGGAGACAGTGAGGAGGAAACGCCAAGCAAAGAGACGCATGCCAATAAACAGAACATATTGGAGACAAGTACGAAAATGACATTATTGCGAGGGGAAAATAATGGAGAGATCATCAGCGAAACCTTAAAAAACTTGCCAGTAAGGAAAGGAAGCGTCGAGAACGAAGCGCACGGAGCCCAGGCAGGTTTACACGCGGAGACAGAGGAGACAGATACAGGCGACATGATGTACCTCGGAGCAGCTCAAGCAGTCCAAAAACTACGACTGGAAAATTGGAGTAGCTGTAGTATAGCTGGCTCAGACACTGGTCATTATACTGGTGTTGTGCCATACTCACCAAGCAAAGACAAAAATACCACAGAAGCCTATAGAGCAGAGTAATTTGAGATTTCGTCGCCACATGTGCAATTAGTCGATAGCGAAGACAAGGGTGGAGCATGAATATGAGATTTTGAGCACGCAGAATGCTGTATATTAGCGCTGCAGATATAGAAAGCCTGCGGGACTTTAGCCAATGATCAGAAGGTAAAACCTAAGTAACACCACGCATTCGCTCTGCACAAAGGTTGAATTAAAATCGAATGTTTTCTTATTCCTAGCCATACCCTTACTCACCAACGCCATTGTAATGTCCAAGCACGGTAAGACATGCTCTTAGTATGATACAGCCGAAAAGTGCATCTGTAGCCAACCCATAAGCAGAAAGTTTTTTTTATCAACATCTCTCTCCCCTTATACTCTAACATTCCTACCCTCCTTCTCCACAACCTTAACCAAGTCCTTATAGACATCCTTGAATTCTTCTTCGCCCTCAATCTTCTCGGCCTTCTTTGCGCCCGACCTCGCTTCTGTGACCATTACCACACTCGTAGGTCTCTTTGTGTTGCCTGCTGCTCCTAACTCGGCCCTACTGGTTACGAAGATATATGGTACATTGTGATCTTCGCACAAGATTGGAATGTGAGAGATAACATCCATTGGCGAAATATCTGCAGCGAGGATAACGACACCAGGGAAAGCTGTATTGCTGGCACCTTGGGGAGACTTGCGTAGAGCTTTAACAACTTCCTTTACACCACGCTTGAGAGTTTTGTTTTTGGCAGCTACGATCAGACACACAAATTAGTATTTTTTGTCCTTATCAAAAAAATGCGTCCACATTGTGAACGGCGCAGAAAGTTGGAAAGAGGAAAGAGCGAATTGATTTACCTTTCTTAACACTTTTAAGCACCTTCTTTGCAACCTTTTCATCGGCCAATGGGTTTGCGAATGGGACCAAAGCTCCTACTGGTTTGATTTCGGGAGCTGCGCCTTCTTTATCCTCCCCAATTACAATATCCATGACTTCGACGGCCTCGGGCTCCTTGGTGACTTCGGCAATGGCAGCAGCTACATTGTCTTCACTAAGCTTAACCTTCTTGTCCTTCTTGGAAGATTTCTTGACACCGTCGACCTCACTTCTCTTCTCCTTCTTCTCCTTCTTGTCGCGCTTTTCGGATTTATCTTTGCCCATTATGAATAATCTCAACTTTTTACTTTCGAAAGAATACTTAATGTGTAATGCAAAATTGTTGGTGGTGGGAATTGGATAATTTTGTTGTTTTGCGATGAAATTCGAGCTTGAGGGTTCAGAACTTTTTTACAAAATGTTCGGCGGGTCAATTCGCACTAGGCTACATTGGGAGCTGCTACAAAAACTTATAAAATGCAACTTGGGCATGCCTGGCCAAACGAAATTGATATAAGGGCCTAAGTATTTTAATATTAACAATTAGTATCAGAAATTTGGCTTAAGATTTTTGCTTTCTTCTTTCAACTTCACTGGCGTGCAAATTTATATCATATCTTGCTTCACCCTTGACCTCATTCACGTCCGAATCACCACATAGAATTGACTTTCACAGATAGCAACAAATTACACACTGTCTGCTTGAATGGAGCTAGTTTCTAGAAACCATGATGCATTGAAAATCCCAGTCTAATACTGTACACCCCAATTTTGTTCCTCAACTTTCCCAGAGCCACCGAACTTCTTCAGTTTCGCGGGATCAGCGAAGGAGCAACACGAAATACTGCTTAGTATGTGGCCATGTACTTTCCAAGCTCTATTCCTCCGAACCACCATATTCCAATCTTCCTGGCTTAGAGTTCAGGTATTCGTTTCTACAGAAACTAGTTAGATTGTAGCATAGGTTGTATCGCCAACAACTAGACAAACCTCTCAATAGCCCATTCCATGGCAGTGTATGCAATAATAAATGGTGGTGCAACGTAAAGAACCTGGCCACGGAATCGTCTCCAGGTGTTGAAGATAGCTGCGTTGAAAGCGCCGGCAAGAGGGCGTTGTCGATTGGCGCTGAGTGCGTATGATGCGACACCCTTCTGAGGTTGGGAGCCTGGTCATCCCACTATCAGTCAACTGCTCCTGCTCGTTTCTCGGTCCCGCAATTCATCTCATGCTGTCAATTCTCCCTCAGCGATCCGACGTTCATCTCCTCCTTGACCTCGTCAAATCTCCGTTTGCGTCTCGCTGGGTTCGTGTGTGCCAAATGGTGCTGGTGCTGGGAAAAAGACAGGAATGTCGGGCAATCATAGGGCATGATGTCTAGACTCACCCAAGTTACCCCATCCACCCAAGTATCTGTAGAAATAAACATTAGCATGCCATATATGTTGAAAGCCATGCTGTGAAGACCCGTGAAGACCCGTGAAGATTCTTTCGCATTCACAACGGAGACCCGGGTAAGATACTCACTTTCCATATTTTCCAACCTCTCCGTCACCACCAGATCTAAGAATTGAGGTAGGTTTCATTTTGAAAGTCTGAATGCTAACTGAAGATTCAATGAGTAGGTATTATCCGTAAAAACAGAAGTTCTAACCCAAGAAGTCGGACATCGGGTTATTATCGCCAAGCAATCATCCAATCATCCTTGTCGCTACTAGCGCAAAATTCCTCCAAAAATGTCAAGCTGCAGTGAGGAGAGCCTCAACTCCGCACTGAGCTTCTAGATATCCCGCCTTCGAAAAGTACATCCCGCACATCTCCATTTCCACCATCCACAAGATAATATACGAAATGGCGCAATCTTTGAATAACCTCTACAAGCTCATCGTTCCCTTAGGAATCGGTGCTGCTGCCGTTCAGTCCTCTATGTATGATGTCAAGGGTGGCTCTCGAGCAGTTATCTTCGATCGTTTGTCCGGAGTCAAGGAAACAGTCGTCAATGAGGGCACACATTTTCTAATTCCTTGGTTGCAAAGAAGTATCATCTATGATGTGCGCACGAAGCCCAGAAATATTTCAACGACAACTGGAAGTAAGGATTTGCAAATGGTCAGCTTGACATTGAGAGTTTTACATAGACCTGAGGTTCAACAACTACCTAAAATCTACCAGGTTTGTTACCGGTCTTTCTATGTTTGTAGGTGGTTTGATACTAAATATGCAGTAGAACTTGGGTCAAGATTATGATGAGAGAGTTCTCCCATCTATCGGAAACGAAGTCCTCAAGTCCATTGTCGCTCAGTTCGATGCAGCCGAACTTATCACCCAGCGTGAAGCAGTCAGCAACCGTATTCGATCAGATCTCCTGAAGCGTGCCCAGGAATTCAACATCGCTCTTGAAGATGTCTCGATTACCCACATGACGTTCGGTAAAGAGTTTACTCGTGCCGTCGAACAAAAACAGATCGCTCAACAGGATGCCGAAAGAGCGAGATTCATAGTCGAGAAGGCAGAACAGGAAAGACAAGCAAATGTCATCCGTGCAGAGGGCGAAGCTGAGAGTGCAGACACTATTAGCAAGGCTGTTGCAAAGGCGGGAGATGGCTTGATCATGATCAGAAGAATTGAGGCTAGCAGAGAGATTGCGCAGACGTTGGCAAGCAATCCTAATGTCACTTACCTGCCCGGTGGTGGTGAGGGTGGTAAAGAAGGTGGTGGAAAGTTTTTGCTTGGCTTGAGATGATTATGACTATTAGGACCAATGTGGAATGGAATTAAATAAAAAAAAGCGGAAATAAACCTTCTGTGTACTATTAGGAATTAGGAACATATAATATCCCCTCTGAGCTGGAAGAGCGCCCTCCCCTTTGTACTTTATACGTGGTATGTCCCTTTGCTGTTTATTGTTCAACTTTGTGCTTATTTCTCTTATATAAAACTACATAGTGAAGTGCGATCAGGAAATGAATGTCAGTAGCTTCGGCTTCCACTATATGCATATCACATAGGCAAAGTTGAAGCCAATTTGGTTACGCCTTTCGGACAGGAGATACAATTTAGATACAGTCTCGCATCGCCTTCCGGCATACCCTCATTCTAACTTTCCAAATGGCTTTACTCTTCTCCATGGCCTCTTCGCTCTCCATTAGCATTCGAAACGGTACCAGAATGGATTTTGTTTTAAACACATTGTCCTATCTTAATCTCATTTTCTGCTCAAAAGACTAGTCCACGAGGATTATCACATTATTCCATGCCAAGTCTCGAACCAAGAGCCTAAACAAGACTATCTAGCATAATTGATGGCAGTTGTTCCGCTACGCAAAGTTTTCAGTATAGTAAAATAGCAGTACATGTTTGCTCAAATTGACTTGGGATTGAACTTTCCAGCCAATATCATCATAAATCGTTCGAGTGTCCGGATACTGCTTTCTCTACAGATGTCTACTGTCTGTGAAACAATTCTTGAGTAACTTGAAATGTTAGATGGTTTGTTTGTACAGAAAAACCAACAGTTACCAACGGGATATGTAAGCTGACATGGAGAGCTGATGGGGGCACATATTTGTTGTCGTTGTGGGACCTATGTTAGAGTTAGTATCAGCACCTCGAGATCGAAGTCTGTTGGCAATATGTTCAGATATTGTGCAACTTGATCGTTCTCACCTCAATTGTGTTGCCCGGTCATGAAGTATCGTTTTCCTCCATAATTTGGTCGTTTGTTCCGGTGGGCTTAAAGTTTTATAGAACTTTGGCTCATTCATGAAATCTTTAGATGGCATTCCCGAGTGGAGACTCCTTTAGACATGACTTTTATGTGCAAAGGTCCAACTAAAGGCAACTTCTTACACCTTCCATAACTGGGTTGTAGCCGATCCCAATTATAAACCATGCTACTCTAGGTTACGTTATCGAGATAGTATACATTCCATCATGTATCATTCTCCTACCTTCTAATTTCCAAAAGACACCATCTACATGATCTTCCGTTGCGTTCTTCTGCTAAACATAAATGTGTTCACATTTTCTTCTCTTGAGCAGAATTAGCTATGTATTTCATACTCAAGGTCCTAACTTTATGCTGTTTTCATCGGTTTATTTGTACATTTTCGACAAATACAGAATTCCCATTGTGCTTTTGAGGTTGCTATCGAGCATTATGGCTGTAAATGGGCCAGGAAATACCCTCGATGTGACCCAATCCGTGGTAGTGACCTAATGAATTGGAGAACGAAGGACGTGGGCAAAGGTCGCGGGCGAAGGTCGTCGAATGGGCTTATTCATGAACAAATCAAGAAGATCGGAAAGACTTTCGAGGAAGATTCATTGATACCAAGTTATATATACCGTAGAAGTTCGTAAAATACAGCAATTTTCTGCTCTTACCGTTGAGGATTATGGAAAGCCAGCTTAAAAATTCTTCAAATTATTTCTGGATGATGGATGCCTCTCACTAGGTGGTAAAGCAGTGACTTCAGCCGTGCCAGATGTACTCATTCTCAGTAGATGCTGGTCAAATCGACTAGTGGAAGCATTCCAGAGATATCGTAAAGCACATCTTTTCTAGATCAGGTCGGAACTTTCCGATTTGGATACACTCGGTCTCCATGTCGATAGATTCCTTGATCTCGTTCCAAGTGATGGGAGCACAATCAATCTTCAGGAACCACTGCATAACTTGGCAAGGCGCAACACATTCGAGTGAATCCACGGGAGATTAATGCAACGTGATTCGATTTCTCGATCTTTCAACCGAGTTTCTTTTTGGGCACTCTATCGATGCGCAACTGCTTCATGATCCGAACCATTCTGGGGATTTACTTAAAGCCTTCAATGACTCTCTTGCGGGTGTGAGCAAACGACGAATAGCAGGAAAGCTCTAGTTCCTTTATTCCTTCGACAAAAGCTGGAAGAGTGATGTCAACGTGGTTTACACTTATGTGGATACGCATGTCAAACGAGCGCTTGATGAGGGGCCTCCGAGAAGAAGGGTACCGGCGGTGGACGTGTAGCTCGACGACAAATTCTCCTCAATAAAATGTTCCAGCGAATCAAGGACCCTATTGAACTCCGCTACCAGCTTATGGATGTTCTCATACCTAGAAGTGACACAACCTGGTTCTCTTTGCGAACTACCTGTTTCATCTTGCAAGGAATCTAGAAATAATGGATTCAACGTTGAGCTGAAAGTGTTGCGCTCGGGGAACAGCCTCTTATTTTCGAGCTCTTGAAGTCACTGCATTCCTTTCGACACCTTCTCCATGAAACACTTCGTCTCCAAAGTCATGAGGGCCGTTTTAAACTTCTCGCGTTCAAGAACACCATTTTTCCACTAACCCTTAGCCCAGACGGCAAATCCCCTCTACTAGTGGAGTAGCGGGGTGTGTTTGCTCTCAACATCCAGGATCCTAATCATGATAAGGATATTTTAATATTGCCTATTCCGAGTATTCGACTATTAAATCAATGAAATAGTCTGCGGAAATCAGTCAAGTAGAAACTGTGATGATATTACTCCAAGTATGCCCAAGTAGGAGGAGTGATCATACGTGACTAGTAGGCATCCGAGCAACGCAGGTTGTGTCCTACCATTATTCTGATAGATCGGCAGAGGGACAAGAGACAAGCAAAATGGCAACAGACATGAACATTGAAATCTATCAATTTTCGCTATTGCGCATCCACATGTCCAGTCCAATCGATTTCTCCGTATTTCTCATTTACCCAAAACAACCAACGCGGTACAACAAGGTCCTTCAGCAAAGACGCATGATATTTTTGCTACCGGCTATCCACTTTCATACAGCAGTACTTATCCAATACAAAAGTGGTTCTTTCTGGTAGTATAGGATACTTTGGGGTAAACTTCTTATCTACTGCCTAAATCATCCATCCATAATTTCTGTTGTTGTCCTCCCTCATCGAGATCCTAAAGACGTGTCCGGAACCCCTAGAGTCAAAGTGGTCGTTGTGAAAGACTCCACGTTGTATGATTAGCCTACTGCCAGCGGATTTAAAACTGCTGATGCCGCTATCTAGTGGTTGGGCACATATAATGGGGTTGAGTAAGTCGATGTTGCATATCCTCTCACATTCATCAGGGCAGCCAAAACATGACCTCTCTGATCAACACAATTTCAATACGCCTAACCAGGCGGTGCTTCTACGGAATCAGCCCTCAAAGAAGGTCGAAATAACGGTCCTGTGGTACTATGCTAGCAGGCGTCGAGTTAGCGGCATAGCATAGGCAGGGGTTATGGGGTCTTCGAAGATGGCACCCACGGTGCATTCGCCGTTTACCTCGTCAAGCCAGGAGCAGTTCTGCCCAGAGAGGAGAGCCATTTTTTGGTGCATGTTGGATAGCTCCTTATCCATTGGAATTAGTCATCTTGGAGCCACGATGGTCGACCTGGCGATGCATGGAAACGAAAAAACATCTATTCCAGAACAATGCAATCTATCTCCATAAACCTACTCTTGAAACTCAAAGACAATAGTCCTTTGGATCTCCTCATTGCTTTCCAGCTGTGGCAGGTGACCAGATCACTACAGATGTCTCGCTTACTTCATGCCCTGAATTACCCCTACTTTTAAGGTTTACATCTTTGATTTATTAATCTTTCCTCGGTATATTCATCAAAAGATCATGCAGTCTAGACCTTCAGTCTACGGGGAATCTTCCTATAAGTTCACATGTAATACACGGCTATGGTATCAATCATAATAAAACACTACCATCATCACACAACCACGGGACGTAGAATAGATATCGATCGATAACCTTAAATTAAAAGGAGAAGTTTCCTGATGAGATTCCTGCTCTGAAGGAACTCCTATTTGCTAGGTTGACGAAGGGAACTTATGATACAAGCGTAGGTAACCATATGTCAAATATCCAACCACGATAGGCCCCTACAGACCAAATGTTTACCAATCACCATGACCCTACCAATTCCACGAGTCCTATCATCCGGGAGCTTGCCAACACCAGACGTTTCAGTGAGCAGGCGGGATGTAAGGATTAAAATAGGTCGTGATGCTTAGACTTTCTCTGTCAAATGCACAAGATATGTATGATTGAACACCAGAAGATGACTCGAGCTGATGCAGGGGCGCCAATTGTTTTAGTGCTCTGATGTATCCTTTTGCATAATTTCCCCTTCTATACAGCCCAAGAAATTTGGTGAGTCCTTCAGCAACCTTCATGTCCGACTTTCCATATTGCTTGGTTGGTATGTACAATTTGATATCTGGAAGCGCGTTTGCTTGATGGATTTCAAAATGGTAGCACATACCACTAGTAGTATCCTTTCTTAGGGGCAGGTCCTCAGATGTTGAGAATCCCACCGGAAGGTCAAGGGTCAAGCGCCAAAGGTCCTTCAATTCCTGCAAGTTCTTCTCAAACCCGGCTCGCTTTCCCCCCATACTAAGAATATCTACTACCGAATCAAAGCTCGATCTAGGTGTGCGGAAGTATATCTTTAATCTGCATTCTGAAGATATCATGCAATCAGTCGAGACCATGAAAGGAGTAGACAACTGCCTTCCATTCTCATTGTCACTCATGAATGATAGCATTTGGTCTAACGCAGTCCATTCCATCTTCACTTCTTGTCCTATGCTTCGAATGGCTGCAATGATTCTTTCATGAGGTCCAATGATAGCTCCGTCAGGTTGTGCTGACCTTGGTGGGATGAAATAAGACTTAATGGGAGAATCGTTCTTGGGGTCGCCTCTCAAAAATTGAAACGCAAGAAAAATGGATGAAGTACCCACTTCCGCCATGCTTGCTGCTTCAATATGCTCGCTTATTTCAGTGGCATCCGATTCTCCAAATATAGCATGATAAACTTGATAAAACCATGTCAAATCAACTTTCGAATTTACGAAGTCTAGCTCGTGGAGAACTTCTTTCGTGGCAATCTGATTGAAAGGATCTGGTGCTTTTCCTGCAAGGAGACCGACTGCCTCAATGGCCATTCTGAGATCAGGCTTTGACATTCTTCCATTTGACAATTCCTTTCCAGTATCCCACTTCCAGCTAAATTCGATGGTTTTGAAGTCGTCCTGCACGAATGACTTCCATACTTGTGTCGACTCGTTGGGAGAAGAAGATGACGCTAGCCGTGGACCAAGACGTGGCACAACCACATGATAGTGAAAGAGTAGACCCTCATACTGCTGGCCAATACTGTAACCGGCTTCGTGGAGGAGAGCACAAAGTTGAGGACCAGTTGATTGCCACCAAAAGTCGCAATCCTCATTGCGTCGAGGAAGCGAATCCACCACGTCCAGACGCAGAAATTGTTTCTGATCCCAAAAGTCAAGTCACCGGCAGCCGCCTCACCCATGTTCTTCTGATTCAAAGTTAGCTCTGTTGTACATAATGGTATTCTGCGTAATTTTGATTTCAATCCCTTTGAATTGGTAATTCAGACTTCGGACACTGAAGTAACTACTCTGTTGCCCGGAGAATCAAACTCAACTACCCATACCAGTCGTTGAAGAACTGTTCCATGTCAGTGGGGAGAGCTAGCATACCTGTTCAGACATTTTATGAAGTAAATCGTCACGCGACTTGGAGGAGGCTGTCATGTCTTATTTTGGATAGATTTTGTCTTTTGGAGTGGGTTTGATAATGTGGAGAAATATATAACTGGAAGTATGTTGCACTTGAGGGAATTATAAGTGAAGTATTATTAGTATCTACCATACGCCTCTCGGGGTGCCAGGCAACCGTCCCGTTACAGACTCGCAATTTCGCATCCGGGATTCACTTCTTGTTTCATTATAGGTCAGTCGACTTAAATATCAAATGTGCATCGGGTATTGATGGCCTATCATGAAATATGAACTATGATATACTTTTGTAGGATACCTCGGTACACGTTTAAGTGAGTTTCGAATCATTCGCAGAGAATGATATTGATTTATCAAATGCCAATATCTACTGCGAATCTGTTCATTGATGTTATCACCCTGGATTTTCATATGCGTGAAAGAGTGTTACAGATTTTTCTCGAGTAGGTTATATACATTAAGAGAATGTCAGTGGCTCTCTTCCTAAGAGGTGCAAAGGCTATATTGGTTGGATGGAGGAGTACTAATAATTGACTTTATCGTTGTATATAAAGGGTATATATAATGATTATTGTATCTATCTAGTAAAACATCTATATGTAGACGGTGTGTAGAAGATGTAAGTCTAGTATTTTATTCTCGGATCACCCTCTTTTTGGATTATTCTTATTTATTAGTAACTTTATAATAAATAATATAATTTGAACAAATTTGCATTATAAATTTATTATATAATCGTAAAAAAGTTTTAGACTTTCAGATTTTTTACAATTTTATTAATTGAGATAAAAGATTTGAAATTTTTAAAATTTATTAATATTCATATAATTAATTAATTAGATGATCTTTAATAATTAAATATAAAAAAAGGATTTTTATTGTTTTTTTTTTTCATAACAATCAATCTTTTATATATGTATTTTTGAATATATATTATTTTTATTGTAAATTTATTATTATTAGTTTACCAACACCAAAGCCTTGCTATATATAAGATTTACTTGATGTAGATTAAAAAAATAAGAAATTTGTTTAAGTGAAGCTTGATTCTAGTAATTTGATTAATCTAAAATATTCTAGGAGAAAATCTGAAAAAAACCTTGGTACAATTGTAGCTTCACAGTTTTAGGTATATCTGATTTAGAGCTTTTTCAACTAAATTCAACTCATTATAATAATAATAATAATAATAATAATAATAATAATAATATATTTGTTTTATAACTTATTTAATAATTTAATTAGTCTATATATTTTATTATAATTAATTTTTAATATTGAAAACAAGCCGATATTCCGTTTGCGCCCTAATATATATTTAATATTTAAATTTAATTCAAAATAAAAAAAAATTAAAAATTGAATTTATATTAGACTTTCTCGAAAAGCTAGGGACCCGGGGGGCGCAGGCCCCTGATTAATAAAGAATAAAAATAATTTGAAATTAAATTCTAACTTTTATTAATCAACGATTTTTTATATATTTTTATTATTCTTTATTTTATTAATTATTTATTTTTAATATTTATATTATAAAAGCTTTTAATAATAATTAGATTTTTTTTAATTCAATATATTTTGAAATAATCTTTATAA